TTGATATTTATTGGTTAACATCGTAACCATTACAATTGTAATTATTATATATTTTCTATATTCGATTTTCTTTGTTTTGGTTAATGTACACAGCTGACCCTCGGGGCCACCGTACTATTCAAAGTTTACCGTTAAAAAGCCGCAACAACTTTACTGCTTTTTGGCCGCAATACATCTTTTTATGTTAGATATCAATGCGCGAAGAACTCAACTGTACTCTACTTTGCGGAGGGATACTATTGTACACTCTCGAGCAGACTAAACCGTTAATTGTTGTATAACTGCGCGTCGTGTTTGCATAACGGTACCTTCATGAAACGAGGGAGTGTCTCTTAAACTACCTGAGGCTGTAGGTGAGTAATAGCCCTCATTCTGAAACACAACTTGAACATGACGTGATTGAATAGAGAACATGAGTGAACCAGAGTTTTTATCAAACATCAGCGTTTTCCTGCCCAGACACGAGAGTGAGTCAGAGTTCACCTGAGCTGAACCTGTCTCAAACTCAGGTGGGATCACCTGTCAGTCTGAGTGTCTGTCTGGGGATTTTCTCACTCTTGCAGGAACAACTGAGAGCCTTTTTTGGATGTTTACTGGTGGTGGGCGTAGATAGAAAGTCAGATAGTCGTGTTCAGTTTAGAGTTTCCCGGAGTGAAGTAGGTCAGCCAGGTTTAGCAGGTGTAATATTCACCTGTTGGCCCACTAAATACAGAATAAAACCCCAAAACAGGAACACTTAAATCTCGTTTTTTCCAGAGACTGTATAAACTATAGACAACTTGGTTCCGCCTTCTGCCAGTCTACGGATTTGAAGCCGAAAAGCTCTCGGTAATTCCGCGTTTTTTTCTCCACTTCCTGAAACCAACATTGCGCAGTAGCATTGTACGCATTTGGCGGGAGAGTTGCTGTGATGACGCTCAGCTCAAACAGCGTATCCCCCCCAGGTGCGTTTTTTGTTGGATGGTAGGGGAAAGTCCCGCCTCCTTCGCCTCTGATTGGTGTCTAGTACTATGTCTGTGACCCTATATGTCCTGTTGATGAAGTTAGGTGCTGTTCTGAGCATTATTTGCGGTCGTTACTAAAGTTGGTATAACTAGAGAAGCAAGCGGTCGGGCTTGTCTAACTCGGTGTTGTGGTGTGTTCAACCCTAACTTAATTTTACGCCAGAATATCCCTTTAAATTAGGTCTTATAAGTCTGATTTTTAAATAAAAGGAAACGAAATTAGAAAATATCCAATATACTACCTGATACAGAACAAAAACGATCATACTCTCATGTTAAATCTGTGTCAAGAAGTTCAGGATTTGTTGCCTAATACTTTCGACCTCAACTCTTCTTGATAAGACGCCATGTTCTCATATTTTCTGCGGTATCTGCAGTCGACAGGAAACAGGAAAAATATTTTGTTTGTTTTTTTTGCCGGGGGCAGAGCAAATAGATGTAGTCTCAGCAGTTAGTTCTGCTGTCATGTTTCTGTTGCCTCAGGGATGCACAAACAGAGAACATCTCCACTGAGTACACACGAAAACATCACAAGAGTGCACGAGCAGTTCCTCGTAGAGGGGCAATAGACACTCTTTAAAATGACTTTATAATGTTTAAGAAATTGCTTGAAACAAAATATTCAAAATGGAAAAGCAAAAAGACAAAAAGGAACTTTTATTCTCTAATATCTGTCAATCTAAGATACACTATAAAGATCCATCTCTCCCCTCTAAAGTGACCAATAGCGTCTTTTGTTTGACCTCCATCATCGTCAGAGGTTTATTTTCCCAGACGTGAGACAGCTTGTCTGGAGCCGCAGAAGATATTACACAACTGTTTATTTAAACTTCCTCCGACCTGTAAACATACATCGTAAACCCTCCCCTACTACAGTAAGTCTTACCCAGGCTGTAGATATTACAACATGGGCTCTATGTGACGAAAGTTTCCTCCTTAATCATGTGAGGAATCTGCTCCGAGCGTTTGTGCTCATTCTTTGTTGGAGCTTTTCTTTGAGTTTGGTGGTTATGATGATGAACGTGAAGGAGGTCGGATTCTTTCTCTTTTCTGATGACGCTGTGAGTCATGATAGAGGCTGATCTGTTCAGTGATTTCATACCTGAGATTAGCCTGATGAGTGCGTCTGTGAGAACACCTGATAAGCTCACCGTCTAGTCTTCAATGACTTTTTATGTCCTGATGCATTACACTTTGACTCCGCCACATTTCAGGGGGGATTTTTATTTTGACCGCTTTAGAAAAGGAGATGTTACCCAAGCGAATGATTTCCTGGTCGATTAAACAGAAATTGAAATTCCAACCAGTCTATCTCAGAGTTTGAAGGGGAACAAAGCCGAGTTGGTTTGGCGAGTTAAGATAACCATAGCAGAGCTAGCACCATTAGCCTTCTGTCCAGAGTTGTTAATATGTATAATGCTAGTTTTTTTTTTTTTGTTAAATTAACATTTTTATTATATTTTTTTATATATAATAATAATACTAAAAATATTATAAAAGAAAATATAAATGTAAATAAATTGAAGGATATAATTAGAAAAAAACAAGTAATAATAATAATAATAGTAATAAATAAACAAATTTGTTAAATAATTACATTAAAAAAAAAAATTACTGCAAAATACATGAAGCAAAGGTCAAGACATTGACAATGGAAAAGCCCAGCTACTTCTGCAGATGTGCTTCAACCAACAACCGGCACCACACTATTGACAGTACTCATCTAGTTATCTGTGAGAAGTCATCCAGTCATTATTTCAGTTTTTACATTAATGTACCACCAATGCCTAAGTCTAACATGTAAATATGAGAGGGCAGGTGATCTTTCTATTGAGGGGGCAGAATTGACTGACACCCACTGTGGCTAATAGACTTACTTGTGACACGTAACTGATACTACCCCATTTTAAAAAAGATGCCATCTCTCATCTGTGCTCGTTGCAGTTTAACTCTTATAACATAGAAAAGAATCAAAAAATGAGAGTAAAACGATAAAAAAGAGGCTGACAGGAAGTGTCTCTTTAGTTTCTTTACTTAAAGAGCTTTTAACATGAAGTTCTCAGGCTTCATGAGAAAGGAGACGAGATCAAACTGGCCCCTTTCCCCCGGACGTCATGTGTTTGGGATTAAACTGACTCACTGTTAACGTGACACTGATGGAGCTAAAAGACTCTCAGGCCACCGCAGAGCAGAGGTCTAACCATCCCAGAAAACCACAACACTCGGAGTTTGTTTTAATGTGATCAAACCAAAATCTACAAATATTTGGTTTTTATTTTAACTGGATTTAAAGTTAAAACTCTTTATGTCTCATGTAATCGTTCTAGTCATCCCCGCTGTACTTCTCTGAAAAATTTAGTCTACTGTGGAATTTTTGAAGCTACTAGTTGGACCAAAAAACTACTGAGCTGAAGACAGAACATCTAAGGTCACTTTTTTGGTTATAAAAAAGAAAAACTTAATTCAACACTTGTTTTAATTTAAGTACCATATTGACTTGAATATAAGACAACAACAGAAATGACATTTTTCCACCAAATATAATCAATAAGTCATCCTCTAAAAGCTGCCGGTCTCACAAAGTGAGTGGATTTTACAGTAAGTCAGTATATCCTACTGCAGAATTTTTAAAGCTGATATTATAAACACAACAATTACGTGGTTTAACCTGGTGTACATGAAGTAACCTCAGCATCTTCACAGTGGACGAGAGCATAATCAACATTTAAAGACAAGTTTACATGTTTCTGTGTCTGTAAACAAAAGTCAAGTGCCCATACGAACACCTAAACAGGTTTGACTTGATGTTATCTTCAGAAAATTCACTCAATGCCAAAGTGAAGACCAGGTTTAAGACTTCTGCACTAAAGGGCACAGGACTGATTTGGAGGAGTGCTGTAGACAATAATCACGCAGCAAGGCTTTGGTCTCATTATACCGCCATTTTCCAGCATTTCCAAATGAGCAATTGTCACATTTAACCTTCCCTCTGTGTTAGCTTTTACTACGTACCCACCATGTTAAGGGTCGGTTTTGACCCGTGTCTTCAATCAGCTGTAAATTACACTAAAAACATTTCTCTATTATCCAGTTTGGTTCTCATCTCTAGATTATCTTGTTAGGCTTAATATCAACAGGAAGAGGATCTGACCTCAGTGTGGTGCCTGTCAGTTCACTTATGATTTCAGTTTTTGCTCTAATTATTAGATATTAACCTAACCGGGTCAACAGTGACCCTAACATGACAAGTGACATAATTTTACTTGGAGCATATTACAATTTAATCAATTTAAATTTTTTATTTTTATTTTGTTGAAATTGTTTCTTTTAAGCATTTAAAAACAAAAACAGGTCAGTGCAGACCCGAACACAGGAGGAGGGTTAAGATTCATTGCGCCTCTTTTTGGAAAGTGATTGTTGACATCCACATCCATATTTGTGCAAAAAGTTTGTAGTAACTAGAAAACCGACTCGCAGAGTTGTTTTAGAGGCTGAGAGATATACTTAAAAAGTGAGGTCTGTGAGTTTGTCCTCATTTAGTAACACCTGATGGTTTTCTCTGAGTGTTTTTTTTTAACATTCAGGATGAACAGAGAGAGTAAGAACAGAAAACTAAACTGCTTCAGTGATTTTATGAGTTTAACAAGTTTAAATCGAACCGTTTGACCCTGTTTACCCTCAGGTTTGGTGGTTATTTATCCTTTTTTCTCTCTTTTCAGAAACTCCTAATTGTCTCTCTTTGACCCCCTCCTCTCTCTCTCTCTCTCTCTCTCTCTCTCTCTTTCTCTCTTTTTCTCTCGTTTCTTGGCAGGATGGCGAATGACTCACATCCTCTAAAGTCTTGACCTTGTGAAAAAACTTTGCAGTCAGTAGTCTGCAGTTTGCTCAGCTTCCAGGAATCCAGTGTGGGATTCCCCCCTCCCCCTCTCCTCTGCCCTCTTCCTCCCCCTCTCCACTTCTCCTCCCTCCCCTCTTCCTCCCCCCTTCCTCCTCCATGCTTGTTAGTCTGCCATGTTGCTTCACACCGGGCCCTCAGGCTGCTCGTCTCACATTCCTCCATGTTCCTCTGCTCCCACACGGAGCTGCTGATTGGACAGAGGGGGAGATCGAGCTCATACCTGACAGGTGGTGAACGCTGCCGCCGTGTTATTGGCTGAGAGGAGTTAAATGGGAGTACTGGGACTCCTCCTACTTCCTTTACTCTACTCAAAAAGCAGCTGAGGAGCCAAAAGAGAAGGGAATATACAGACGGATCAAACACGTCTCACAGGAGTTTAACAGCTGATTCATCACAGGTAGGAAACGTTTCCTCTGTTTATGATCTGAACACACATGTGACGGTGTGTAACCATGTTTCTTTCCTTCTTTTAAAACTATAAAACTCTAAGTAAACTCTAAGACATGCTATAAAACTCTAAGTAGACTCAGAAAAACTCATCTTTGCATCTCCAGCATCAGTTTTACATGCTGCTTTGTTTGTCATCTGAACTCTGTGACCTGAATCGAGACGTAGAAAGAGAAACTATCAACCGTTAGTGTTTTTAGCTCCTGAGAGGAGATGTGAATGAAATGAAAAATCTATCTTTTCTTCTTAAACATGAAGGTTTTTGCCAGTTCAAGTTCAAGTTCTGGGATATTTTCACTCAGATTATTTCATCGATAACAAACTGGTCGCTGATTCTTTTATTTGTTAAGAGTTAATGAATAAATTTGACTCAATTAGACTTAGAATTAGACTCAAACGCTCCTTTGCTCACCCTGTACCACTGGTGAAAGTACGGTGGCCCTCAAGGACAAGAAGCTCCAGAAATTCATGATTAATATGATCCTCCGTTTGTCTCATTTTCAGTCTTTTTGCTTTTGTTTTCTTACTCGAGCAAATCTTGAAAGATAGATGTGTCCTTCAGCGTTTGGTTTGCACTGATTTTAGCGCCGCCCCTCTTATTGATCAGAATCAGAAATACTTTGATAATTGCTTTTTGTTACAGTAACTTCAGTGCAAATAAAGTAGAAAGAAAAGATAAATAAATAGATATAGTAAGTAAAAATAAAGAAATAATCAAAATCATATCCTGTACATGTGTAAGTCGAGTTTGATCATCTTTAAAGTGCCGCCAAGTGACTCATCGTACACGTGTGGAAAAGGCTGATCTAGTCATTCATCACCTGCACTTGTTGTTGTCGTACATTTAGAAGCATCTGCAAAATTTTTTGTGACTTTTTAACCAGTTTTAGACTCTTTTCTGATCTATGAAGTTACTGAAAAAAACACTAATCGGTCCTGAAACTATGATCCTTAAACACCGCGCAGGTTGTCAAAATTGTGTCAGTTATCAGGGTGCAAGTAAGAAGAGAAAGACGTCACCCTGCACTCAGATAAAGCCGTTTTCCCGTTTTCTCGACCATGAGAATAAACAACCTTCAGTTGCGTCTCATAAATATTTCTTCTGCTGTCGTTTCAATGATCCCAGAGTCGGTGAATTTTCTCCACAAAGGACACCGTGTTTTTTAAAATTAACGATCCAGCCTCTAACTTGACAACCCCTCACAATAGTCCACCTGCTGAGTGACGTCGAGACCCCGCAGGCTGCTCCGTCACCGTCGTCCTCATTGTCTAACTCACCCCGAGCGTGCATAACTCACAGATGACAGTTATTAGTCGCACGCTGACGGTGTTCCCGCCGTGCGTGTGTCTGCCTGTTTGCTCAAAAGTCGCAGGTAGAGACGTGCGAGTGTTGTGAAAGTGTTTTTGAGGGGTTTTTTTGTGACGAAGCGGCGGATCAGCTGTCTTGTCTGCAGTCTGTAGTCGCCCCGGAGGCTCAGTGTGGGCAGATCCACACGGGGAACAGATGGTCAATGACCGTGTGACGCGTTCAATTGACTTTCTGACTCAGACGTGGAGGCTGGTCGGTGACACAGAGTCAAATGTGTGATGTGGCGAAATGTATTGATTCCTGGGTGAGGTTGTGTACTTTTGAAAGGCTTACTAACATGTGAGTTAAAGTACATTTTTATGTGAAGAAAAGCAGTAAAAAGACGAGTTTTACAATCATCTGAACATACAGGAAGGGCGTCTCAGTCCAAACTCTGAAGATGCAGCAGCTAAAACCAACCATTTGTGCTGATTTGTGTTTGTTTTGTTTTCGTTTGGCTCAACACGCTCTTTCTTTTTGTGTCCTCTCTCCTCAGAGTTACAGCGCCGTCTCCCTGGTAAGCCGAAAACAAAGATTGATAGCTCAGACGTGCAGCAAAGATGGCCTCCGTCGCTCCGTTCAGCCGCAGACAGTGGGCGTCTCAGTCTCTGAGGGTCACCGCCAAGGAGCTGTCCATCGTCTCCTCCCGGGGGAAAAACACCGCCATCGCAGAGCGGTTCTCCAAGTGAGTCTAACCTCTCCTCCTCCTCCTCTCCTCCAGCTTCCTCCCTCCATGAGTTTAATAATTCACAAGCAGCCACTCAGCAGATTATTTTATCTCTCCTCTGCTCATCGAACCCGAGGTCATGGTCCTCCTCACAGCTGACTCAGTTTCCCCTTTTCTATAAAAAAGTGACGATCGCACCATCAGAAACCAACCAGTTCCTCCAGTTTTGCCGAAGTCATGTCTGTCTCAGAGTAAAACCGAAGCTAAGTCATTGTGGAGGGTTTCCCCTTTGACAGATCAGGTTACTTACGGGCCCTGAAGTCTATCAGTCCTCTCTGCACTTACTCACTGTGACCACTAGGAGTTAGTCCTGCTCTATGTGACCCTAAGACAGACTTTGTTTTCAGTTATTAACCTCAAGATTCAGGAGAAATCAGGACATTAGATCCTGATCTGTATCTGTGAATGAGAAGAGCATGGAGTTATCTTTAAAGCTGTAAATGCACGGACTGTTAAAGTTGCAGCTTTTAAACCGTGTAATTTAGGAGAATATTTCAAAAAGGGCTGGGCGATAAACCAAAAATTTACCGATACTAAAATTAACGACAATTACAGATGTCATTTTGCCCATATTGGTATATTCAGTGTCAATTTATTTATATTCAGTGGATTTTTATCCGGTTTGAGAAAAAAAAGTATTTGTTTTTATTATCTTGTGAAGTTTTTCCCACTTTTTACTCCGTCTGTTTGTTTGTTATGGAAATAAAAGGTAAAGAGATGCGCAGGATTACTGCTGCAGTATCAGAAGTTAAAGATAAAAGCTAAAAAAAAGATAATTGCAGATAATGAAAGCTTAATATTGATTTGAGGGCCATATCGCCCAGCCCTAGTTTCAAATATCTAAATCAATAAATTCAAACCTGGGTGTTTTAAAAACAACAGGGTTGTTTCTTCAGCTGCTTGACTGATACCTACCACCTCGCATCTGTTTGAGGCGTTAAAAATGATCAGATAAAAATCATCAGGGGGACTAATTTGCTTTTATTTTTCATAATAAGGTGTCAATTTGAAATTTTGAGGGGAAAAAACTCCCTATAGGAGCTTTAAACTAAATATAAACACTTAAATACTTAAAATGACATTTCTAGCCGTGCTGCGCTCGACCTCCACAAAGATATTTCAAAGCGCCGTGAAGAGCTGATAACTTTGACGGCCGTGAGAAGAAACTTGAGCTGTCTGCAAAAATATGTTTAGTATGCATCAGGATGACTTTTTAAAAGATTTGACTGTAGTTTAGAAAAGTGAATTATAAGAAGTTAGAGAACGGACAAAATCAGATCTGCGTTTGAGAGAAAGCATCATTTGCACAGGTGGTCATGATGTCACAGCTGGTCACCGACTGAAGTGAACCACACCAACAGGAAACACATTTGCTAACAGTTATTTTTAAGGCCTGATGTGGCGGCTGAGTTAGTTTGAAGAGGCTCTACCCTTCATAGACGACTTTAACTCAGATTTTCCACAGCAAACATTCACACTGAGCGACAGGTTTGATATTTATCTAGTCGCATACATCAGGAGAAAATTAATCCAGAGACGAGGAGCGAAGATTTGTCAGGAGGTGGCGCCAAATTTAACCCTCAAAGTAGATCACAAACAACATCAGCAGAAGAGAAGGGGAAAGAAAAGCACAAAGACTTTTCCACATGAGCCAAAAATAAACTGATGGTCCGTTTTAATGAGAGGAGAAATCATAAACATGTGGGTACGGAAACAAACGCGGTGAGCGCAACAGTGGAAGAAATCCTGTCCACTTTGTTTACGATGGCGAAAGAGTTCTTAAGAAATACTGTCAGGCTGTAAACAAAATAATTTCCACAAAAACAAGATTAAAATTAAAAAATAAAAGAGGAAGAAGAAGCAGAGAGTAAAGAGGCTGCACCTGCCGACCGTACCGACCGCTTTTCAAGTGATGAAATGGAAAATATATAAATTAAGAGGTCAGACGAGGTTTCTATGGGGAGGAAATATGTCCAATAAGAGGTCAGATGTGGTGAATAAATGTAACCCGGTTTCTATCAGGGTGCGTCAGAGTCTGTGTCACTGAGACCAGCTGAAGTCCTGGTGATGAAACTCCTCTCGTGGGCTGAGGTTTTGGTCTCGTTCGGTGAAATTTCCTGTCAGAGGGGAGTGTTGAGAAAGACCGAGGCTGTGGTCGAAGGTGAAAGACAACAGAGTCGTCTGGGTTTTTTTGTTTGAGTTTAGAAGCAGAGGTGGTCAAGATCTAAAATACACTAGAACCTCCTCCTCCTCCTCCTCCTCCAACGTGGGCTGAAGATTTTCCACTCAGATTAACGTCTCCAGATGAAATCATGTGTTTTTTGGAGCTGGAAGATTTCATGTTAATTTCCAGGGTGTGTTCGGCAGGATGAGACAGGACCAGCAGTTTGTGATGATGATAATAAACGTTGTTCACTTCACAACTCGTCTCTTCTCTTTAACCTCAGGTACCAGATGGCGGCGGAGGAGGGAAACGCAGAGAAGAAGAAACCGGTGAGCACCAAATTTAACAAAACTACACGAGTATGTTCTGCATTCGCTGTGACTCTTAACACCACAAACTTAACGCACTTCCTCGAACTAAAAGAGAGTCACACATCACTCGGCTGTGGTTTGGTGAGCTGAAGCGGCGCGTCGACGTTTCCGGCAAACAAACGATGACTGTGACTTTAAAAGGAAATCTATCAAAGAGTGCAGATGAAGAAATGTAAAATTATGAAATACAAATATAGACACAGGATGTTCAGATGAAAGCAGATGCTGATAACAGATGCTGAATGCAGCTGTTTGTGAAGGGGAAGCTCGACTGAGAGGTTATAAAGTTTGAAACCTGCAGAGTCGCTCCTTTTTTAAAACTTTAACTTGATTTTAAAGCATGTTTTACTTATTAAATCCTTCATTATTAGGAGTGTTTAAAAGAGTTTAATGCAGATCAAACATTGAGGATCATTTCCTCACACAGCAGAGCAGAGAGCAGAGTCGTATCAGCCTGTACTGTCATGCAGCAGCAGCGGTAACAGGATGCCTCAGTCCCACCTGATCTGAGTGGGAGGGAGTGTTAGAAAGCTCAGTGTGTGTGTGTGTGTGTGTGTGTGTGTGTGTGTGTGTGTGTGTGTGTGTGTGTGTGTGTGTGTGTGTGTGTGTGTGTGTGTGTGTGTGTGTAGAGGAGGGTGCAGGGTCAGAGCTCTTCTTCTTTACAGGCTGAGGTAGGTGTGGTGCAGCTCTATCTTCTTCTTCTTTATGTTGTTTTTTTAAAATACTAACCACAGCATTTGGTTACCGCTCGTCTGAAATGTTGAATTTTAACCATGCGGTGAATTTAAAGTGTTGAGGTGTGACTCTTTTCTAACTTTGTTCGGACAGCAAATAGAGGAGAGAGTGGGGAGTGGCATGCAGCTGATATGTGCATCTCAATGAGCACTTGAAAAGAGCGTGCATAAATGAAAATGAAGAAGATCATGTTTTTTTGAGATTAAACTCTGAACATGTTGGAGATTCTGACAACCAAACTCCAGTCTGTTAAAACTGGATTTCAGGCATATATTTCAGCTCTGAGTAAACCTCTGATTCTGCATCATTAATATAAACAGTTTTCTTTAAACTCTCGTCTGTTTTGCTGCTACTTTCCCTGCAGTATTCGTGTAACTCAGACAAACTCTTTTGTGCTCTTTGGATCTCGATCCTCTTGCAAATAGAGTCAAATTTGAATAAAATCACCGTCTTAGATAACCTTTAAATAAAGATAACCTTTAGATAAGTCTTTAAATGTCTTCGATCCAATAATCTGAATTTAAGGCCTTCTAAAATGTTTAAAATTATCTTAAAAACTCATAAAATGTCTTAAATACAGATTTGAAAGGTCTTAAAAACGTATTAATGTTAATTGATTTGAAGTAAGTTTGAAATTTTAAGATTTCCCTTCATGCTTTTGTACTTTTTTTTTTTTGCCATAATAGATGTAAAATCCATCTTAAATTGTATCATCATGGTCTTAAAGAAGTCATAAAACGTCTAAAATCCAGTAATTTAAATTTAAGGCCTTTTAAAATGTCTAAAAATTCTCTAAAAAACTCATCAAATGTCTCAAATACTAAATTGAAAGGTCTTAGAAATGTATTGATGTTGATTGATTTTAAGCTAGTTTGAAATTTTCAGATTTCTCTTCATGCTTTTGTACGTTTTTGCCAGTATGGATGTAAAATGGATCTTAAATTGTATCATTATGGTCTTAAAAAATTCTTAAAAAGTCTTAAAATTGACCTGTTTAAACCTGCAGAAACCCTGGTCTTTATTTCACATTATTTGTATTAAAAGGTGCTATGAGAGTAAAGTGTTGTTGTTATTATAATGAGGTTTATGATCCGGTTCAGTCTCGGTGAAAAGCGTCTCTCTTTAGTCGTCTGTTGAAGTCTCCTGCTCTCGCTGCTTTTACCTTTTTTCTCATTTCCTGGTCGTATTTTCCCTCCCTGACCCACCGCCCGAGCGAGCGAGCGAGCGACTGTCTCTGTTTCTGATTTTCTCTCCCTCCCCGCCCCCTCACTCCCTCACTCACCCTCCCTCCCTCACCTCCCCCCTCTCTGTTTCCTCCCCTCTGTGTTGTAGGGGGTGGGCTTGTTACTTCATGCTGCTCTGATCACTTCTCAAGTCTTTCACATCTGGGACAGCTTGCAGCGTTTCCAGCCGGCCAGCAGACACACACTCACACACTCACACACTCACACACACACTCACACACACACCTTCAGCGCACAACGCCAACTGGACAGCGGGGTCTCCAGCCTCTCCTCAGGTTTTTACGTCTTTACTTTGTCCTAAAGTTTCCCTCTTCCTGTCGGGTCTCCTGTAGATCCAGGTTTACAGACCTGCATGCCGAGCCGCTCTCTGCTCTTTGTCTTCTTGTCTTCTTGTTTGTTTCTCTCTTTTTTTCCTCTCACTGTTTATCTACCTGAGAAAAGCGTTTGATTTGCAGACAGAGATCTGTGAGCGTGTGTAGACGGTGTTATATTTAGCCTTTTTCAGTTTCATTCAGTAGTTGCTGCATCGGGTGGCGTGAGTCCAGCATCGATGGAATTCATTGAGCAAACTAAAACCAGATTGAGAGAGAGAGCGGCTGACATCCCTCGGTGGGAGTCCTCTCTGACAAAGCTTTAGAAAAACTGAGTCACCAAACACAAACTGTTGGTGTGTGACTGTTTGTGGAGCCGCCAGTTTGTCCTCTTTTGTACTTAAAGTGCTCATGCATCTCAGGTCTTTGTATAAACTCAGACTCTGTACAGTACAGCAGCAGGATTCCTGTGTAGATTAGTCAAGTTTAGCTGTTTATGTATCCGGTTTGAGAGGAAAAGAGTTTGTTTTTATTATCTTGTGAAGTTTCTCCCACTTTTTTCTCCGTCTGTGGACATAAAAAGTATAGAGATGCTCAGGATTACTGCTGCAGAATCAGAAGTTAAAGATAAAAGCTGAAAAAGCAAATTGCAGAAAATGAAAGTTTAACCTGCGCCAACAATGAGCAGATGTATTTGAAACACACAGATTACAAATAGTCATTTTTTTTAAAGCTGTTTAACAAAATCAGCCCCAATCAAGTGTCTTCAGCGTGGTGGACTATGTCAGCGTCTGCTGGTTAATAATGATCTGTATCGGTGTCAGTATCGGCCTCATTGATGGGACGTCCAGCTGTTCAGGGGGAGTTTATTAAATCCTTCAAATGTCTGAGGTTTTGTATGGAAGTTAAAGTTTGTGTATCGTGGACTAACTGAGTTAGAAGTGTGTAAAAAATGCGACTCCGCCTCGTGTAGTCGTGTCGTCTTTTTGGGGATCAGAATATGGTCGCCCTCGTCTACAAAATATCTGAGAATCCACTGAAGTAAATTCATGACCTCAAAGCAGATTTAGTCTGGAAAAGTGTTCCAAAAATTCAGATTTGCAAACACTTGAAGTTCAATGTTTTTGAATCACTTAAGTCCTTTTTCTCTGTTTTAAATGTTGCCTAATTAATTAGTTTGTGTTGATTTTGGCGCCCCCTGTGGACCTCTAATCTTCTCCTAAATTTGTTCTCTACATTTTTAAGTGATATTTTTTGTAATTAAAGAAAATCTCATCTTGTTTTGTTAGTGTTGAGCGTTTTTGCTCTGATATGTAAACAAAAGCTTTAAAGAGCCATTACCGTATTTTCCAGACTAAGTCACAAACCCAGCCAAACTATGAAAAAAGTACAACTTATAGTCCGGAAAATACGGTAATCCTTTAAATGACACCTACGCCTGACAGCAGTTTTAGGGATTCATAATATCTGTACAGAAATGATCAGTTATCTTGTTTTAGGTCATACAGAGACATCAGTATTTAATTTTAGTGTTTTTAAAAAAACACTTACTGGAGCTTTAAGGTTCAACACTATATAATTAAAGCTCCTGTGAGGAACTTTTACTCTGTGTCTGTTGTTTGGCGCCCCCCTGTGGACAAAACGGTCCTTCTCTGACACATATGTTTCATCCATTGTGAAAATTTAATGTCGTCATTGTCAGATACGCCTGTTTCATCAGCTGTTCGGCTAACACTCCCCCCTCATGACGGTTTCAGGGATTAAAAATCACAAAATAAAAATCCTTAATCTTGTTTTTTTTGGTTTATCTTCAGAGGACATCGGCATGAATATCTGTCCATTTCAGAAACATTAAAAAAACTTTAAAATGCAGGTATTTATAAAAATGCTAAATAACGTTCACCTCGATTTTGCACCCGTCTTTGTACCCTGAATTAAAAACCTTTAACAGTAACTAACAGCTGATTGATTATTTCTCTCTGCAGGTCGCTGAGCCTCTACCCCCGACCCTTCGCAGTGGAAACCTGAGTGTCCTCAAGAAACGTTGGGAACAACAGCAGCAGAAGTCCAGCATCAGATCCCAGCCTACATCGACACCCTGCAGCCCTGCAGGACCCCACACCCCCACCAGTCAGTCAACAGTCACCAAACCTACACCCACATCACACATCCAGAGAGAGCCTCACACTCTGAGTACCAGCACACACTCTGAAGACCAGGATCCTGAGCCGGAGACGCAGGTTCCCCCAGAGACCACCTTCAGCGAGCTTCAGTCAGCTGAGGATCTGACAGACATGGAGGAGAAACCCAGCAGAGATTCGGAGGAGCAGGAGAGAGCAGGAGCCGAGGTGCCGGAGTCGGAGAGACCCAGCGTTCCTCTGAACAGCCTCAAGATGATGTTTGAGAAAGGAGAAAACCTCGCTGACAAAGTAAGTCCTCTCCTCTCAGTCCTGTTTTCTCCTGATAAATCCTGCAGACGTCAAGTAAAAAAACTCAAAAACATGCAACTCTAAACACAAACAGTGATGGAGACGTATTCAGGAATCCTCTGATGGAGGCTTTCCTCGTGTCTGAACAGGATCACATTCTTTCATCAGGCGTTCATTTTCCTCCTTTTTATGTGTTCGATCATGTCGGAAAGACTCCAGAAGCACATCCAAATATCTGTATGAAAATCTGTACCAATCTACGCTGCTTCTGATTAGGGAGCTGGACGTGTCGAACGCGGTTATTTGCAGAGATGAAGTCTATTTGAGAAGTGATCGTCTTGACTAATAAGGATCAATAACTATCTCAAAGTTTAAGCAGTAAAAAGAAATAGGTTTTCCTCGTAAATCCTCAAACTTTGACGATTAATCGTTTTGTTTTTAACCACTAAAAGAATTTATGACCCCAAAACAAATTGAGTCTGAAAAGTTGTTTCAAATTTCAGATTTCCAAACATTTGTGGTTCCGTGCAAAACTAAAAAAATGTTTATTAATCACATATAAAGTCCTTTCCTCTATGTATTTGTTTTAAATGATGACTAATTGATAAGTTTGCATTGATTTTGGCGCCCCCTGTGGACCTCTAATCTTCTCCTAAATTTGTTCTCTACATTTTAAAGTGGTATTTTTGTAATTAAAGAGAATTTTCGCTCTGAAAATGTCAACAAAAGCTGTGAAAAATGAGGATATTTGCAGAGATGAAGTCTATTTGAGAAGTGATCGTTTTGACTACAAATGATCAATAACTATCTCAAAGTTTAGGAAGTGAAAATAAACAGTTTTTTTCTCGTAAATCCTCAAATATTTACTGATTTATTGTTTTGTTTTGTTTTCAATCACTAAAAGATTCGTCAACAGCTGCTTTAAGTCTTCAGATCCGATAGAGGTACTTTTATCAGAGCCGATCAGGCGATTAGTTATCGATTATCTTGATTGAGAGTGATTCTGGACTTTTCCGAGTCTGAGATAACGAGCAGTGAGACAGGAACAGAGGGAGATCCTGATTAGTTTCGGTTTAAGTAAAAACAATCAGCTTGTTCTCAAAGAGGTCAGACCCCTGCAGTGCTGGCATACTGCGAGTCACATGGTGCAGCTTCAGTTCACTATCCTTCACCTCAGCGCACACACACACACACACACACACACACACACACACGCTCTCAGCTGACTCGCACATCCTCTGGACAAGCATCAGTAACCCGAGCCCTCTTTCATGCCGCTGCGGGCTGCTAATTGTTTTTTGTTGAGCATAAAAGTCGGGTCCTTTAACGTCCAGTCATGCATTTCCTCGAGGCGTGTAAAATGTAAAGTGCTCATAATCGAGGTGTGGCGTGTTGAAAGAGAAAAAACAGCGGCGCTGTGTTTCCTCCACACAAAGCGCTCTCTTGTTACAGGAAGAGGACTTTACAAACAGTTCTGAGGCTTCAAGAGGCAGACGGTCAGACCCAGACCGTTAGATTTAATGTCTCTTATTCATTTTACTGAGAATAAACGTCTTTTCTCCAGTTTTAAGGTTAATGCTGGTTCTGTAAGTGTGAATATCTTCAGGACTAGATGCTGTGAAGATAAAGAGGATATCAGAGAAGTTCAGAGAGCAGATATCAGCTCCTAAACTCAGAGCGAAAAAAAGCCACTCCTTGAATATTTCCTCAGATTTCTGATGTTCGAACACGCTCGTGTTCTTCCTGCCGGAGAAACAAGTTCGAACATTTCCCTCTGAGCGATCACTTCTGCTGTTTTCTCTTTAGAGGATCATGTTTTCTGCTTGTTTTTGCAAATATAGATGAGATTAAAGGTGGAGAAGGCAGGAATCTGTTAAAGAAGCATCTTATTTTGTGGTTTTTAAACAAAAAATCTTTTAATATCAGTCAATAGTTATTAGTTATTGATGAAATTTGGTAATATAACAATATCTCTGTGTTCTCTTATGTCTGTATAGTCAACATTTTCTCTTTCTGACTGTAAACAAAGCCGTTCTCCACCTCCTCTAACCTGATTGGTTGTGAGGCAGACGCTGCTCCCCCGTGTCGTTCAGGAGCCCAAACAAAGTTAGCGTGCTACAATATCGGACAGTAGAAACCAACCAGAAAGTTCGGAAAATTGTCTGAATCCTCCTTTGGCCACGACTGCCGACACAAGCAAGAAAACAAAGTAAATACCGGAGACTCTGGAGGAATAACGGGCGCTTAAAACGGAGGTAGACCGGACAAGAGCTAAAAAGCCGGGTCAACATAAACGATGGGGGACGCTTGGGGATCTTGGTGACCCTGTAACCTTTCTGCTGGACAGGTAAACCGCTTTAACAAAGTAAGACAAGTGTCTGTAACAGAAGTGTTTCTTGTCAAACGGACCTGCTGTAGCGTGTTGTAGCGCCATCGCTAAACTGTCCTCCCTCGGGTCCTGGACTATGTCACTTTATCCTCGTTGTAGAAGTCCTGCAAACATTGTGTTTGCTGGTAGTCTGTTGGCATCTACAGTAGCACCAATGCTTTTGACTTTCACCTTGACTGGGCCCCATTTGTAATGATCTGAAGGATTTATCTGCGTGAGTGAAACTGTCACACTGTCGAGTCCTGTGATAAAAGTAACAGGATGGGCTAAAATCCGACTTGTTCTTCGAGTCTGTTCTGGTTTTGCGGTTTAATAGGGTCCAGTACCAACAAAGGAGGGACTCTGACCTCTTAAGTGAGATCAGGGAGCGCTGCAGGGACATCCTGAGGGACTTGGAGTCTCTTATTGTTTGCTCTACACTCGTCCCCTAAAGGCTGAGTGGTTTGGAGGACCAGTACAGGATCTTTACAGTCCTGCAGACACAGAGTCGAGGGGTTTGTACAATCGTGTCCACTGTGAGTCTGAAAACGCCACAGATCAGATGATGTCATGGCGCAGGCTGGCGGGTTCATCACTGCAGACAGCTGATCCGCACTGGGAGCCTCTTCAGACCGTTTCCCCTAAAGCCATCAAAGCCCCCCGTCCTCCCCTCCCACCTCATCAATCACCCCGTTGTCCACGTCTCCTCTGCTCCTCGGCTCTCAGACCGTCTCCTCTGTTTTCTCTCAAACCTCCCTTCACCTCCTCCTCTTCATTCCTCTGCTCCTCTTCAAAGACCTCAAACCTCCTTTTTTTTAAAGTCGTACTAGTCTCCGGGGACCACAAAATCAGACCTTCAGTCGAAACGCAACTTTGGTCTGGACTGAAAGACGTTTTTAAAGAGCATAATGAATCATACAACCTTTACACGGTTCGATTACCATGAAAGGTGTTACAGACATTTATGTCCCCCTCAGGACGGATTATTCGAACTCTGAAGCTCCGTTTACTTTAATCGATGCGTCCGATTCCTTCAGAACTTTCTACATACCTAAAAAAAACAAAACTCATCTACCTCCAAACACATCATCTGGACTGATCAAGTCTATCGTTTTCTTAATGCATAAACTAAAGAGCGAAATTTGTGAACTGATAAAGAGTCGATAATAACGGATATCAAACCAACAACTAGGGCTGGATGATATGTCCTCAAATCAATATCACGGTATATTGATCAGTTCACCTCGATAACGATAAATGGACGATAACTACTCCACAAGCTGATCACCCCCTCCCACATTAACTTTGTCTGTGAAGCAAATAGCTAAGTGCTAAAAACTGCAGTTCCTCAAGTGTCCACTAGAGGCTGGCTCAGACATTTCCAGTCTGGTACAAAAATAGATTCAAGTCTGTAAAGCTTATTTCACTTCCTGCAGACACTCACAGGAGGAACAGATGTTCAGTCCGCTTCAACGCCGCTTCTCTATCTGCAGCTAACGTTACGTTCGAGTTACCTCAGAGGTCAGATGTCAGAGCTGAAAATGACGTCACACCCGAGTTGGAAAAAAGCCTTGCCTTATATTCGGACAAGGCAAGCGCTTAAATAACTTTCGTAGATGTAGTCATCTTGTTTCCGCCTCCGATTTTGCTTTTTTCTGACTTGGTAACTGAAACACTGGGAACTCATGTGTGACGTAATTTTCAGCTCCGACTTCTGACTTACGAGGAAACTTGAACGCAGCATTAGTCCAGGTTTAGTCTCCATTTCCAGTCTGCTAACTGCTAATGATCCTAAAGCTGCTTTTTCAGTTTTATTTTTAAACTCGGAGCAGAAATGAGAAATTCACAAATATCTTTAAATGTTTGTTATTTATAAAGTTTTTGTTTTTCTATATTTGTACAAACTTAAGTTAATGAATCGGGTCTGTCTGAAGTGGACTCACTCCAGATTTTGTCTTGACTCTGTTTCTGCCTCCAGCCCGTGTTTATGGTAACCCCCCTCCCCTCATTAAGCCCCTCGCTGGGCGGGCGGAGCAGGCAGACATCAGGCTCTCTGAAATTAATTGACCCCCAACCTCCTTTCCAGCAGACCCCTCCCTCCCTCCCTCCCTCCCTCTCGCCCACAGAGCTGCTCCTGCCTCCTTCTCCCCCCCTTCTGCACCAGCTGCTCCACCACCTCCCCTCCTGTCCCACCCTGTACGCCCCCTCCTCTTTATTCTGACCGTGACACAGTAAAAAAAAAAAAAGACAAACCGCACACGCACAGATGGAAAGAGGAGGGGTCACGCCATGCCACACTTCGCCTCCCCCCTCCTCTCTCTCTCTCTCTCTCTCTCTCTGTGATCCCCACCTTCATCCGGCCGCACCCCCTTTTTGAACACCTGCTCCCTGTCGCCTCTCTGTTCCAGTTGACGCTCCCTCCTCCTCCTCCTCCTCTTCCTCCTCCTCCCTTAAACCATCTCCAGAGGCTCTCCCACATCTTTCCGGTCAGACGCTCCTCTCAGTCTGGACCTCTCTCTCTCCTCTTCTGGATTAATTCATTCTCTCTCTTCGGATTTGCTTCTCTTCCATCTCTCCGCTCACTCGTCCGTCCCTCCTGGTCCTTTTTTCCTCCTCTTCCTGCACGAGCGCAGAGGTAGCTATGGTGTTTCATTCATTTGCTCTCTTTGTTTGGCCTCTGAACAGGCAGCGGTTTCATCGCCCTGAGACAGACGCTCTACTCTTACTTTCTGTTTGTGTTTTCGTCTTCCACTTCTCCGTGAGAGTCGGCTGAAAGCGTCCCTTTGAGACGAGCCGGCTGGAGTGAAAACAGCTGAACTTTATCGGCGGCTCTTTTCAACTTTGTCGGCTCACTTTAGGAGGAAAAATGACGCCACTTTGGTCTCGTTTTAAGGCTTGAACTCGTCTCTTTTCTGTCTTTGTTGTAAGTTGTGTGTTTGTGTGTGTGTTTGTGAGGACAGGGTGGAGTCATTAAAAGGAACTGAAGTCAGCCGTCTGTCTAAAAGCGAGCTATAATAGTATCAGGATTAGCTGCAGGTTCTTTGTCTGATCCGGGCTCCTGAGACTCGGTTTGGACCGGCTGCTTGTTTACATCCCACTAACCCTCTTTGCACGTACACACACATACATGCAAAAACCGGCCTCAGACACCCCCTCCTCAACAAAGCTGCACCCTGGTCTCTGGAAGATAATCCACCCTTGGGGATAAAACCGTCATTATGATGAGGAGGATGATGATGATGATGATGATGAGGATGGTTTCTTTTGTGTCTCTGATTCCAGACACGAGTCCTCCAACACTCTGAGTGTCTCGGTTCAGGTTCAGGATCACTGTACGCTCTCAGAGATATATATTATTCATGACGGGATGCTGACTCAGACTTCCATGACATCATCCGAACAGGAAATGACAGCTCGGGTTTTTTTTTTCGATCTTTAAATCGTCGAGTATCTGAAATGATCAATATTTAAAAAAGGGTTTCCTTCTGTGCAGCGTTTCATCGGAGCGTCTCAGTTTATCGTCGATAGTCTGAGTTCCTGTTAGTGTCTCATTATCGGAAATCAACAAGTTTTACAAACACTCCGACATTAAAGGGATATTTCCAGGTAAAGTGAATTTAGGGTCAAACACACCGTAACACAGAGTCAGACACCCCCCCCCCAGAGATGAATGTTGTCGACCGCTTGATTCTCTAGTTATACCAACTTTAGTAACGACCACAGATTCCTCTTTATGACCTAAAGAACCAAACCACCTCATTGTTTAATTCTCATAACCACAACGAGAGTGAAAATCCTGCTACAGAAACTATAACCTCTGTGATTGTCAGAGATCAGAGGTGATGTTTTGTCCACAGGGGGCGCCAAATTCAAGTAAAACCCAAAAGTCCTCACAGCAGCGTCACAACTGTAGTCTTCATCACAGTACAGCCGAGGCCCCCTAGAGGCCAAGAACTACTTTTATAAAAGTTAAAGATACTGTTTAAACGTCCGCCTAAAAGTACTTTTAGTGAACTTTTAACTGAAAGGGACTTTTTTTTTTAAGTGAAACCTGATGAGCGTCAGCTTGTCTGAATATTCTTGGAACGCCTTTTCTAGTTCTGCTTCACCTCCTCTTGTGAAATCTTTCCTGCTGAAGCCTGTGGAGCGGAGCAGGTGTGTGTGTGTGTGTGTGTGTGTGTGTGTGTGTGTGTGAGAGCCGTGAGCGTTGTAGTCGTGATCTGACCTGTCGTGTGATTTTTAGATTCGATCAGAGGGAAGAAATGTGTGACCTCAGGCGACCTGCAGATGTTTTTAGTGTTTGGATTTTGTTGCTGTAGGAGAGTTTAGCTTTGCTTATATAAGAAGCAGGTTTATTTACACATACTTTACCTACTGGGAATTTGTCTTGGTGCTTCAAATAATTAACATAGATAACAATAATAGAATAATAAATAAAAACAGGTAAAGCTAATATAGAAATCTACATATTTTAATAAATCATAGCTGTCAAAACATCTTATTTAGAAAAAGATACAAGTACTAAAAATATAAAAACATTTATAAACCAAAATCTAAACACAAAATATTAATTTTTAATATTAAATCTGCTTTTATTTTGAAGGAGTGTCAGATATAATCGCTTGATTGTTAAAGCTCCTATAAGGGATTTTTAATATGTTATCAAATAGGCTGAAATTTACTATGATGCAGCTCTATAATGTTCACAAACAATTTAGAAACAGTCAGTTTTGCTGTTGATGGTCTAAGTTGTAATTTTAGGGGTCTGTAACTGACGTGGGGAGGGGGTTGTTACGTTGAAGGAACAGCCGTGGTTATTTTGATAAATGTAAATATTAGCAGGGATTGTTGATGTCGGTGTAAAAAAGACAACAGAAGGAATTTTTTATCAACTAAAACTACTTTTACGAGACTGAGAGAAAACAAGCAAAACTAAACGTGTTACCATTTTGTCCACAGGGGGCGCCAAAGATGACACAGACATAATGTTCCTGACAGGAGCTTTAAAATCTGATTTTTCTTCCTCTTTCAGTTTAAAGTTTTTCAAGTTTTTATAGAAAGTTAGCTCTAAAGTTTGAAAGTATGAATTAAGAGAGTCAGGACTAAAATAAAGCCGATAACTGATCCTGGTAAAAAGTCAAATTTGACGCATAAATAGTGATTTTTTTATTCAGTCACTAAACTCAAGTTCGTCTTTTCTCTCACAGCTGAAACTTTGTGGAGCTCACGGTCACACTCTCCTTAAATCTGTCACAGCAGCTTCATATCTGATCACTGTTAATAATTGGACCTCAGACTGACGTTGAAGACGGCGGTTATCGTCCGCTCTGATGCTCGGCTGCGGCGTCCAAAAGAAATGATTTGTTTTATTTCTGACGGCTGTGGACAGACGGGTTATCTGTCTGACGCTCCGTCTCTCTCTGAGCTCATAAGGGGATTAAAGTGGTGTGGGCTGGTCCAACACAAACTCACACACACGCGCACACACACACACACACTTACACACTTACACACTTACACACACTTTATCTCAGCGGTTCGGTTTCGTCTGTGTGTTTCTCACTCGCCACACTTCGATCTTCCTGATGGACACTGCTGCTTCAAATCTTTTGGCTCCACTGACCGAAACATGTGAGCATCAGATGGCAGTGTGTGTGTTAATGTGCGTGTGCGCGTGTGTGTTGGTGTGTGTGCGACACATCCAAGCTGATTTGTCATGTCCATTTGACGTGTGGTTATCGCCTTGTGTGCTGGTTTCCACACCTCTGACTGTTTGCGTGTGTTTGTTTTTCTGTAGGCGTCCGGCGAGCCGACGAATAGAGGAAACACTTCTGTCAACATGGACCCGCTACTCGGAGGTCAGTATCTCTAACCTGCGGCGTGTTTTTATGAACATTTAAAACCTTTTTAGACGTGAGCGATGAGAGGTTAGAGAAGAACATTTTTAAAACCTCGAATCTTTTTAAATAAACTCTTTAATATGATCTAACTTTAAAGTTTAAGTGTTTCAGGATATTCTCCAGGTGTGGTTCACCTGCTCAGTATCAAACAGCAGGTGGACGTTAACATGTTAGAGGATTGAGAAGCTAAACGATCGGGCGTTTCTCACCTGAGCTGGCAGGCGGTTTAATCAGAAAGTGAGATAAAAGCTCAGCCCTACATGTTTGTTTAATTCAGAGTTTAATGATCATTTAATTTTAGTTTTTATGGTTTAATTCACATTTTTATGCTGCCTTCTCCTCGATTGATAAAGACAGAAGAGAGTGACGGGTTTTTGATCCTGCTTCTTATTAAACGAACATATAAAGAGTTTTTCTTTTACATTTAAATTATATAACATGTTGTAAAACTTTCTGGGCATGCTAAACGTCACATTTTTAACTGTTTTCTTAAAAAGACTTCATCAAATTCGTCCTGCTTTTGTTCCTCATGTCTCTCCTCTGTCATCGTAACTGTTCAGATGAGAAATTATAGATATAATACTGATATTTAAATGAGACAATGACTCTGTTTCAGATGCTTTTAGAGGGTAAAAAAAACCTCATTATAAATAACTCATAAATATATATATAATGCGCTATAATCCCGTTATAGCACTGTACAACTATAGCTATAAACACTTATTAATGATCATAATGCTTTATAGCAATAATTATAACACATTATAAAGTATTTTATCATGACTTAGAAGGTCAGGTAGTATAATATGTTCTGCTTGTTGTTATAAAGCCTTATGATAATTAATGAATGTTTATAATGACAGTTATACAAGTTTATAAGCACATTATAACACATCATAAATATATGTGTAATGTATTATCTCTGTGGTCATTGTCAGTGACTTGTTAACAGTTAAAACACATTTTAATGTCTGACCTTGTGAGTCATGATAAAATGCTTTATACTGTGTTTATATTATTTCTATAAAGCATTACGATCATTTATGAGTGTTTATAACTATAGTTGTACAGTACTTTAACGTGATTATAACACATAATACATATATTTATAATGCGTTTATAGAGACAGGCGTCAAATTAAGTGTTACCAAACTCTTATATTCAGGACAATACAGTAATTTTTAAGCAGCAGAGTGTGAAGGACTTCATGGTTGAACATTTACTCTGTTTGCGCTGACTCAAATATTCGATGTGACGGCATGTTTGAGGTGTGTATTTTTCTGAAAACATCGCTCCCTCTAGCTTTTAAACTCACTTTTTTCTGCTGTTGTTTCCTTTAAAACTTGATAATTTATGACATAAATTTCCACATCCTCTCTGGATACTTTCGGTTTCTCCTGTTCGGTTTTTCCCAGCACAGAAATAACAATCGAGTAGAGGTGGAGATGATCCCACCACACCAAATCTAAAACTAAAACTAAAAGTCGAAGGCAGCTGTCGCTCAGCTCGCTCCATCTGCACACGCTCCATTGTTCTCCGGGACTTTTCAACCAGCCACAAACATTTTCCTCCAAACTTGTCGGGATGGATTACATCCTTCCCAGAAGAGAAAATCTCAGAGCGACAACACAGGCGGGCGAGAAAAAAAAAGAGCTGCTGTGATCAGCAGACAGGAAAAGACAAACGCCTGTTTACCCGACGACTCTTGACCTCTGGTTCCTGTCCACGGCCTGCATGACTAACCAGCACATTCTGCACTCAGCGTGAACTGGGAGATGTGGAAAACATAAATCTGTATTAGGAGTAATTTTCCTGGAATAGAAACTCCCCCCAAACTTTCCCAGCAGTTAATGAAGAAATGTTAATGCGGCGTTTTTACGAGTCGTCTAAAATAAAGGTTTACAGAGACGAGAACGAGCTTCAGTCTGGATCTTTACTCGGTTTTTCTCTTTTGTTCATATCAGATGGAAGTCTCGCAGAGTCCACTCCTCTCAGGGACAGGATGGCGCTCTATCAGGCCGCCATCTCCAAACAGGACGCCACTCCCACTTCAGTCAATGTGAGTAGATCTGCTAATTATCCTCCACAACAAAACACCAACCAAAGTTTAGATAAGAACTACGAACGAGTCAAGCATCAAAGGTGATTAAAACCAGTTTAAGAGCGATTAAAATTACCGTAAATCTTCAAATAGAGGCGAATATTAAAAGGTAAAACAGATAAAAGACAAATTTCTGAGTTTATGTTTTCTTCTTCATCCAAAGTTAGAATTCTTTCATTGTCACTAACGAGTGTGCAGGTGTTTATTCACGGCACTGGTTCTGTTTGAGGGAAACACCTAAATTGGCTTGGACTGAGCTACATCACATGATTCCAGCCAATTAGGAGCGGGTAGCGTTTGAGCGCGGCCCAGCCTCAGCTGACATCTCTCCCTCCATCATGTCCTCACCTGAGCGGAGCACACCTGCATCATGAATGTGATGAAATTAGCCTCTGTGATTAAGGCCGGACTCATCCTCAGCCAGCAGCAGATCCGGACTCACGCGGGCTCCTATTCTGAGTCAGCGGGTCCATGATGATGTGAGGGGGCGGAGCTTCAGAATGATTGATTAGGTCGTTGTAATAAGCATTAATAAACAGTTAATAAGCCACTAATAAGACCGTACAGATGTTTATAAATGTTAATTAAGTGTCAGGAAGTGGATAAAATTAAAAAATAAAGTGTAGATGTGAGCTACGAACAAGTCCAGCATCAGAGATGCGCATCAGTTTATGTGTAGAAAAGAGCGTTCAAAATTACCGTAAATCTTCAAATAGAGACTCCTAAAGGAACAATTATACTGGGGAGCTGACAACGAATATCTAAAAGAGACTTTAAGTGTTTATTTAAATGACTATAAATGTTTTACTTTTATTGAAATCATAACAACTTGAATCAGATGTGATTTAACATGAATAAGACAATAAAAGGTTAAAATTATTGCTAAATAAGGATGATTTAAACCTCATTATTAACAGATAACAGTGTTTGTTTTTGTTTGTTTTAAGAAAAAAAAACTTTTTTTAGCGAATGCAGAATAAAATAAAAGCAAATTAATCTTTAATTTACTCCTTTAAAGTCTAATTAATATTAATGAACAGTCTTTTGATGTTAATGACGGGTATAAGGAGGGTTATCAAGTTACTAATGAGAGTTTGTTTTTATAAACACTTATTAATGTTTATGAGCATCTAATGAAGTCTTATAAGTGGCTTATTAACTGTTTATTAATGCCTTAAAATAAAGTGGAATATAATTTGATGTTAGATATTTGAGTATAAATCCAAATATCTTCATTTTTATTTAAATAATTGTCTTTAAAACTTTAAAATGTCTGTAACTTGAGGCTCAGACGATGTTTTATTTTATTTATTTCCGAGCCTGCGTGATAAACTGAAGCGGCCGAGTTTGAGTCATAAGTTGTCGTAAGCTTTTCTCATGCTGGGAGGGTTTTAACAAATCACATTATCGACTTGCTTCACATGAAGGAATTAAAGATGCAGCGGCTAAAAATCTGATTAGTCCGAATCAAACAGTGGAGTCAGGAATAGATCCTGTTTGATCTACCTGGAAACTCCTGCAGCGGAGCTTTTGCACCTCTGTACGTTCAAGTGTGAGAGAACAACAGTGTGCATCTATGAAAACACATCTACGGTGACATAAACAGGACTGAAAGGAGATCTTGTTTTTGTCTCTCAGAGCGATCAGCTGGACGGTTTCTGTGGGAAGCAGAAGGAGAACGTTCCTCCCTGTTCTCTGGACCTGGTGAGTGAGGAGTCCACGATCACAAACACCGCCTCTGAGATGTACCGTTAAAACACGAGTCAGTAACGAGACGAATCATGTCCTCTGTTCTTCTTCTTCTAGAGTTTGGACTCTGAGCCGAACACCAGGAAAGTTTTTACTGCAGAGAGCAATGGTGAGTCACTTTGAATCTCTTTAAATGGAAAAAACCCTGAATTTTTCTCCTTTTAACTCAAACTTTAGGATCTGTTTGTTAATGTTGAAGACGCCAAAGTCACCAGATTGGATTAAACATGATAACGGCTCCCTCTAGTGTTCAGAACGCATCACTGCAGCTTCACTCAGCTGATTTTCTGCTTCCACAGGCTCCACCACAGGAACCCCGACATCCTCCAGTCAGAGAGAGTCCTCCCAGACCAAGACCACCCCCAAAGTGAGTCTTCACTGCAGCTCCAATCCTCCTCATACAGAAGACAGTATCTCGTATTTTCTAATTTAATTATTCTGTGTTTGTGTTTTTCAGGGTTTCCGGCTGCCAGCGAGGGAGACGTGCGTGTCCTGTTCGAAGACGGTCTATCCTCTGGAGAGGCTGGTGGCCAATCAGAGCGTCTACCACAGCTCGTGCTTCCGCTGCTCGCACTGCAACACCAAACTCAGGTGAGGACGTGAAGTCAGAATGAAACTGAAGCTGCTTAAAGGAGGGGTGGTCAGGATCTGAGGTAGTTCAGATAAAACATGACTCTAGTATCTAATTTATGTTAATGAATGATTTTGTAAATTAATAAAGAAAAACACAAACGGCACAAATCAAGTCTGACCGTCTTTGAAAACTCTCTTCAGAGACTCTAATCTCTAATCCACCTCATCGCTCTGTTTCCTCCCTCCTTCCTCGACTCTCGGCTCAGTGCTGCCCTCTTGTGCACCGGCTCATAAATCACACATCTGTCAGAGCAACAAGTTAGTGAACAGATGATGCTGTTAGATAAGATTAGAGGTATAACTTTGTCAGGAGGGGGCGCCAAAATCAACAAATGAGTCAGTTTTTGACTTTTGCTCGAAGTCTGACCCTCTGAACTTTTTAGTCGTTTTAACATCGTCTCCTCCTCTTTCGTTTCTCCTCTCCTTCAGTTTGGCGAACTACGCCTCTCTGCACAACAACGTCTACTGCAAACCGCACTTCTGCCAGCTCTTCAAGGCCAAGGGGAACTACGACGAGGGTTTCGGACACAGACCCCACAAAGAGCTGTGGGAGAGCAAGGGGGACAGCGGAGAGACCTCCCCTCAGTCCAACGCCCAGACCAAACCAAAGACCCAGACTCCTGTCTCAGACCTGACCAGCCCGACCGTGGAGGACTCCCCGCTCGCTAAAGTCAACGTGCTGATGGCCACCATGGAGGCTCTGGGTCAGGGGTCAGCGGAGAAAGCGGAGAAGCCGGCCGAGACCCGCAGGCTGAAGATCTCCTGGCCTCCTCGTGCGGAGCAGGAGGGGTCGCCCAAAGCCGCAGAGGGCGCCGCTACAAAACCCATCAGAGCCAAGTGGCCCCCGGAGGACGAATCCCCCTCCTCCGCCTCTGAGCACGCCAGAGAGACCGACTACACCCAACACACCTCCTCTCTGAAGGAGCGCAGTAAAGTCTTCACACTCGCAGGACGATCCAGTCCTGATCCTGAGCCCAGGAAGCAGAGTCCGCCTCCTCCTCATGAGGACCTCCGCCACTCCAGCCCCGAACCCGCCTCCATGGAGCTGCAGCCCCACTCCGCCGAGAGCCACACCCCCACCGAGGACAGCTGCGTGGACGTCCTCACCAGCTCGGGAGACGAGGAGCAGGAGGGCGAGATGAAGAGCGGGATGACTCCTGACACTCCTGAGCATCAGCCTGAGGAGGAGGAGGAGGTGATGGAGGAGGAGGAGGAGGATGGAGGCATGCTGGAGGAAGAGATGGCGCCTCTGAAACGACAGGAGGCGCCGACAGACATCTCCTCTCCTGAAGCGGAGGTGGAGGCGAGTCGGTCATCTCAGGACGTGGGCTTCTGGGACAGCGAGGAGGTGGATGACAAAGAGGAGGAGGAGCAGCAGCAGCAGGAGGTGCTGACGGTGGAGGAGATGATCAAACGGAACCGATACTACGAGGAAGAGGACGAGGAGGACGTATAAAAAACTGATTTTAAGACGAAAGCAGCCATGGACTCACAGACGACTTCACGCCATTCCTTCTTTTTTAAACTTTTCTTCTTCTCCTCTTTAAAAAAAGTTGCTGCAGTGACCCTGATCCACTCTGCTGAACTCTTAGTGCCTCTTTCAACTTCCCCGAACCTTCAGAGCCATTCCTTCAGGACTGTCGAAGAACCTGATCTGTTTTTAATGTCAATATTTAAATAATTCCCCACGCAATAAATATTTTTAGAGCAGAAGTGTTGGAAAAAAAAACACAGAGGACCAGTTTTATTTTTGTGCACGTGACTTTTGTAATTTTCTAATTTCATTGAACGCCTCCTAACCTGAACTGACACTTTTTAAAGGGCCCGTAATTGTCCCACTTTGGTGGATTATCACCGCTGATGTAGCTCTGGTCACGACATGGTCTTTAATGGAGAGAGGAAAATTAAAGAAGACATGCGGAGAGGCCTCTCTGTTTACTAGAAAAGAAAGAAATTAAGATAGCCCAGCACTTTGAACTGTTACCACTGTTGGTTAGTTTTTAACTGTGTTTATGTCACTTTTCTTTACAGCTGCCATTCTGTACGACGTACGTATACATGTAAACTCAATAACACAATTACGCTTCTTGTTTTTCTTTTGGAGAGTTAAAACTGGATCGGAATAATGTACTGTTTTAAACCATGGGACCAAAAATCCTAGTTTGCTACTGTTTCAATAAATTGTTGTATACAAGTTTGTCCGAGTGGCTCTTCTATCCGGCAAATCAAAACATTATGACCTTAACATACACATGGAGAAGACTAAAGCCCTAAATAAGAGCTGTGATGAGATTTAGATTCTGATTGGTCGTTATAATCCTAACAGCGGTCTGCTATTTCTATATAACAGACCGTTGCTAAGGCTATAATCACAGCAAATCAACACTCATTATGACCTTTACATACACGTGGAGAAGACTGAAGCCCCAAAATAAAAATATGACTCAAACTGAATGAGATTTAGATTCTGATTGGTCATAATCTTAACAGCGGTCTGCTATTTCTCAATAACAGACCACAGACTGTTGCTAAGGCGCTAATCACAGCAAATAAAATCTGATTCTGACTTTCACATACGTAATAAAAAGTATGAAGTCCATGTGATCAAGAGGAAGGCAAAATATATACATGTTGTGAGCTGTAATGAGATTTAGATTCTGATTGGTCGTTATCTTAACGGCAGTCTGCTATTTCTAGATAACAGACTGTTGCTAAGGCTCCAATCACAGCAAATCAGAACTCATTCTGACCTTTTCATACATGTGGAGAAGACTGAAGCCCCTTGTGATCAGGGCAAAGGCAAAATAAATATATTTTGTGAGCTGTAATGAGGTTTAGATTCTGACTGGTTGTTATCTCAACAGCAGTCTGCTATTTCTAGATTACAGACCACAGAGTGTTGCTATAGGTGCTAATCACAGCAAATCAAAATTCATTAATAAAAAGTATGAAGTCCATGTGATCAAAGCAAAGGCAAAATGAATATAAAATGTGAGCTGTGATAAGATTTTGATTCTGATTGGTTGTTTTAATCCTAATAGCAGTCTGCTATTTCTCGATAACAGACCACAGACCGTCTCTAAAGGCGCTAATCACAGAAGGAGCAGCTGGTGAAAGGTAGGAGAGTTAGGGATGTCAAAAACAGATCAAAACAATCCTTTTTTACTCCATTACTGTAACCTTTTATTGATGGTCATACATGTACTGAACAAGGCCATTATAGTGCAAGTCAACAAGGTGAGCAAACATTACAGGAATCCTTGGTGAGTTAATTCAGAGACACTACAAAGAAAACAGGAAATTAAGTCCGATTTAGATCTAATTTGGTGTCACTGTAAAATTTCTTTTGTAAACTTAAATTTCTGCGTAAACTTTAAAATAAGTGATTTTAATACCCTGAACTTCGACGTGACTCAAACGTCCACATCAGTGTCTCATTAATATCTTTGCTCTCTAGCATAAGTTTACAGTTCAGGCAGTAAAAACCTGTTAAAGTCTCGATCCAGCCCTGCAGGAGAAGAAAAACCACTGATATCTCTTTATAACGCGTCCTGTAGACCTGCTAACGTCGTTATCAATGGCTCTGTGATAACTCCAGGAACAGACATTCAATCTCCAGCAGATACGTGATTGAAAGTTAACCCTGTGTACTATCGGATGATATCAGCTTTACTGTATTATTCTAGTGAGTGATTGACGGAGTTTGCATGCTACAGAGATCTGCTGAAGTCACTGGAATGTACAGTAAACCGTTAAGTTACAGGGCTGCTGATCTTAACGTAGACAAACACAGATGTTAGAGGATGTAGAGAAACACACACAAAGGTTAGCTAGCTGATGAAGCCGATACAGTATAATAATAATAATAATAATAATAATAATAATACACATTGATAACATTCCCTCTCAACAGAAGTCATTCTGGATAATTTATGTGGAAACCAGCTCCCACTGACACGATATAACAAACATAGTCTCTCATTTACCTGCAGATTGTTTTAACTTACAGGGTCTGGATCACAAAACAAGCTCGGTCAGATCGGGCTCTTGGAGGACGGAGTTCGAAGGAATGGTTAAAGCTCCTGTGAGGAGTTTTTCAGGCTCATAAAACAGAGATCTAAAAGCAAACAAGACCGTTAGAGACAACACAGCGGATTCTTAAATCCTGATTTCTGATGCCTAAAAATGGTGTGAAGGGGGGTAAGAGTCAACCTGATAGCTCTTCATACATTTACATGCAAAATATCTACAATTCATGAAACAACTAAGTGTCAAAAATCAGCAGGAGGAGTTTTTTTTTTCCTTTGGGGGCGCAAAGACTGCTCTGTCCACAAGGGGGAGCCAAATGACTTAAACTGAAAATTTCTCACAGGAGCTTTAAAATAAAATTGGAGTTGGCACAAACCAAAAGTTTCCAACAGGAGCTTTAATTTGATTTAAAAAAAAATAAGATAGTGTGTCGTGAAGGTCTGAACCTCAATGTTGACTTTCATGAAGTTCACTCAGAGGTCAAAGATGAACTCTTACCAAAGTTAATGATTTGTAAATGGATTAATCGATAATTAACCGATTAACCTTGACGGGATGTTGCTTCCTGTCAGAGAGGTTTTGGGCCAATCAGCTCCTGCGGCTGTTCTCACATGTGACCTGGCTAACTGTGACCATTTCTGACTCTGACGGCCAAATATGCCGAATCCAGTTTGGGATCAGGTGGTCCTCGGCTTTGTTTTTGCTGATTATCATTAATCATTGATGTCACAAAGTTTTGACCAATCAGACTGATAATTATAATGAAGCTCCGCCTCTGTAACTAAATCTGCAGCCTGTAAAATACTAAAACTGTCACTCCAGAGAGGACGAACTGACCAGCCTGACTCTGCGACACAGACCCTTCATGCTGCAGACGCGCCTCAGTAAAGTATTTGATAAACATGCATCACACAAAGCATTCAACAACATTGTCTTTAACCTTAAAAAGAGAAAAAAACACATCCAGCAGTTATTCGAAGATTACATATGGCATCACAGAGAGGACACGGTCCTCTGATTATAAAAGCAGGAAGTTAACGAGTTTGAAAGTCTCTCTTGGCTCATGAGGAGGAACTTAAAAAACTACCTGCAGGATCTGTTTTCTAAAATAACGAGGAGATCATCCTTCATACTGAGAGGAAACATGCACAGAAACATTAAAACACAGAATGATGGAAGTCAAAGCGATTACAGTCCAAATCTAAGACCCTGCTCATGATGCTTCTGTTTCATCTTTTAGTAAAAGTTAAATGCTCGTTTTTTAAAGGCTCATGATTTTCTTCTCGGACTGCATGATACAAAGGAAACATTTTCTCTACATTAATCTCTCACTTTCATTTTCTCAAAGTGCAAAAACAGATCACATTCCCTGAACTTTTCACCAAAAATATAAATTTGAAACATATATTTTCAGATCGATTGTAGAAAATACATCTCAAGTGTTTTTATTCATCATCCAACCCCGACATGGAACTATAAAAACACTCAGAAGTTTGAGGAAACGTCTGATCTGGCTCTGCTCAACCCTGAAACGATCCTTTTTCTATAATCTCAGACAGTGTTTACATCCGACTCCAGAGGAGCAGCGAGTCAGGCGGGGCAACAGCAGGTCCCTGATCGCTCACAGGAGGGCAGCCTCACCCAGAGAGAGAGAGAGAAAGAGAGAGAGAGAAAGAGGGGGTGTATTCCCTGAATAACATAAACCACCAGCGAGCTCTGACTCGGCACAACTCCTGGCCCGGCCCTGCTTTGCTTGGGGTTATGACAATTGAATTGAACAAAAGTATGCCAGATCTCATGAGAGGGGTTTAACAGCTGAGTGTGCATGCAGAGGGAGGTTAGCTGTGAGGATGAGAGCAGTGCAGATTGCATAGAATTAACTGTTAAATATCCTCCAGGAGCTTTTTTCTTTTTCTATCTTTGAGTAGCATCTGCAAGCTACACATCCAACACACTGCAGGATCCTTCTGTCTCTGCTACGTCACAACCAGGAGGAGGAGGAGGACGCTCCGGTCTGGTTGTTTGTTCCTGTGAGACGTACAAGTCTAATAAATTAAAGCCGAGGCAGTGTTGGAGGAAGACGTGCATGTGTGCGGCTGATCTGAGTGAGTTCCAGCGAGTGTTAGCAGCATGCAAGGCTACCGTGAGGGAGCTGTTAGCGGTTCGCTCATCCGCTGAGAGGGTGCAGGTCCACCTTGACCTTCTCCCCGCAGCTCAGCATCCCCACGGTTGGGTAGAGGCCGCCGGGAGGGACCGCCATCTCCCTTCGACCCATCAGCTTCCCGTTCCTGGTGAAGAACACCTAAACAGGGACCACAGGGGGGCGACGATGAGTTAGAGCACACCTTTATTTTTCACTGACAAGACAAGACGGCCACCTGGAAATGAAGCAAAGCAGCCAGAGCTCCCCCTGCTGGCATGCTGCAGTATGAGCCGTAAAGCCCGCCTCCTCCATGTAAACAGATTGAAGATGGTTCAAAATTCAAAAACATGATTTCATGTCATAAAAAGATGCACAACGCCGTGATTAACAGTCCTGATGATGAACGCAGGATCCTGCTCACTTCAGACTTCTACAGTTCGTCACATGGTCACATTAGCTCGATGAAAAACGCCATGAGGTTCCAGGTTACAAACAGGATAGTAGAGTCAATTTCAGGCGCGATCATCAGACAGTTTTAAAGATGATCTCCCGGATTATTTTGAGGCGTGGGGCGAGTTAAGAGGGAGTTTTCCCCCTCTGATCTGCACGGAGGAAGATAAATATTCAATAAAATGAAATGAAATAAAATCCTCAACAGCCAATCAGAGGGCCAGCTGACTGAAGAAGGAAGTAGAGCAAATGCAGCCATGGCAACGATGATAAACGTGGAAGTTGAGAAGCTAACAACAGTTAGCTCAACAGTCGAGACGTCATGATGGAAAGATCCTGAGTGTGGTCTGTTAAATTCACCACATCGTCGCTTTGTTAGAGATCATGGTTACAATAAAAGATGAAGACAGTGTTAAAGTTCACGACTCCAATAATTGTATTTTCTGGAGAGGTCCTTTAATACACTAAACAAAAAAGTAAAATGTGACGGTATCGGTGTCCTAGTTAACGGAAGAGGCGTGGCGCCGATACTGCAAACTGACCTCCTGATCTCTGCTGACTCCGACGCCAAACGTGGGAGAAATCAACCCTTTTGTTTTGGCTTCATTTTTGTAAAACAGGAGGAGACGGAGACGCTTCATCCATCTTTACTCACAGTCAATGATCTTAACTAAGTCTTTCCACATTGACCGACTGATGGAAACTTAATATGAGCGAGAAGAAGAAAGAGGGAGGCAGGAATTACGAGCAGTTAGGAAATATTGTTAAACAAACAGGTGATAGAGTAACGTCTGCCTTCTTATGGAGGGAAAAAAAAACTCAGTGTTTACGGTACATGTCTCTACTAAATCAGCGAGTGATCAAACATTATCCAGCTGTCCTCAAACGAACATCAACAAGCTTTTCAGCGCTAATACCGAGGGCTTCTCTCCAAGTCTGAGAGCAAATACCGACACACTAAAAACAACAAGTCGAGAACCCGGGAGTGTGTGTCTCCGATAAATCAGGCTGAGTCACATATCAAACATTTACTGTACCACCCACTTGAAAAAAAGAAAGGCTTAAGCACTATTCAATTAGAGATGAAGGGTGAGTGTAACCCCCAACACGTGCAGCCGAGCCCACAGAGACCTCGGCGAAGTCGAGCAGCGCCGCATTCAGCCTAATTTGTCCTGCTGAGTAAATATAGACAAATCCCTGGATTACGGCTCGGCCCGCTCTGTTCTCACCCACTTGGGTTTCAGTGCAGCGTGCGCTCACACCCGCTCAGTGACCCCCCGGCCTCCACTTGCACAACAGTGTGGGCAACTTTTTTCTACGAGTCAGGACGAAGTGGAAAAGCTGCAGTAATTAAACAAAAACAATCACAAACAAACAACAGAGCGCTGATAACGACGCTCAAGTTTTCACCGACCTAAACGAACCTTTTCTAGAGTTCACGATCAAACTAATCTCGCCGTTTCGATGAGCTGAAGTCATTCCTCTCCTTTAGTAACGACTCTGAACAAAAAAAGGAATTTATATATAAGAACTTTAACGTGTTCGAGCCGGTCTGAAGTGTCTGTCAGGGATGGAAAGACCTGCTGACATACTAATACACTTGAGTTTGATTCGCGCCCTGAGGGACGGTGGGAGAAAATAAGGTCATTTAAATAGATTATGTGTAATTGAGGTGAACGCATGAAGAAGTTACTCAAGGATCTTTTATTAAAACTGAAATACGCACACGTGGGTACATGAAGTCTCGGGTGACGAGACCAGAATCAACTCTTCAGACAGGGCTTTCAAAATAAAACGATAGCCCTCCAAAATAAAAGACCATATATAGTATTATGTTTATTGAGATAACTGCACTTTATTCTAAGGTTTTAAGTGTTTTTACATAATTCTTTCACGCCTTGTCTCCATGTGTATAAACTCGGGAATCATAAGACCTGTCTACCAAGGATTGAGCGTCATCAGTTCACCAGAAAGACAGCTAATATTTCACAGAAATTCACCCATAAATCATCAAAGAAAACTATAAATTTTACTGTCTAAGATCTCGTCAATTCCTGGAAATACACTCATTTTCTTCGAGGTGCAGAAAAGCCTCCGGGTGTCAGAGAAACGCGTGTCAATCCAGCGATCTCAGCGACTTGAAACTCTGCGACCCCAAGAGTTTCGCTAAACCGGCACGGTGGGTAGAGGTCGTGAGTTTACGCTCGTCTGCATCATCTCTGCTCCAAACCCGGTCAAAACTCTGCACAGCTGTTTGGTATCGAATGACGACTTTGGTACAGACTATAACCCTGCATGTGGCGAAGTAACCACACAGAAACTCCGCCCACTTTTTGCCCTTTGTTGGTAATACTTCACGCCCTTTTATCAGGGTCCCTACACAGTTGAAATTTCCGTACCCTTCTCTATTTTTTGGAAAAACCTACTTTCCTATTTTAGAAAACAGTATTTTAGCCTGGAAAAATAAATATTTTCCACACTTAAAATGTCATTTTCCAGACTTTTTAAGACCTGGAAATTGATCTAATTTATTTCCATACTTTTCCATACTTGCGCAGAAACCCTGTTTGTGTTGAAGGTTGTGACGGATAGCTTGTTTCTCGATGCACAGGTGCTCACAGGAGTAACGAGTATTCGTGGACACCGATGATGAGCTGGACTCAACTCGACATCCTCTCACTTTGACGACAATATTTGTGAATCTTTCCACCCAAAATGAAGAGATGAGGAGATAAGGACATCTGCACAGGCCTGAGGGGACCATAACTGTCATAAAAAGCTGCCATGATAAAATACTCTGATTAAAATTAACTGCCCGACGTTTTCAGACATTTTTAAGTGATAGCTTCAAAGATCAGTGCTCCGGGGTTTGAATGTGATCAGATTTATAACTGCAGTAAAGTGAATATTCTTGGGTTTTGGATTATCAGTCGAGAAAGAAAGTTCCTCGACTCGTCCTCTAAAGACTTTCTGTTCAGAGTCTGTGTGTGAAAAGTCTCTCAGGGACTCATTATCGTCTGTAGGTGAGAGCGTGTGCTTTCATTACCTCTAAACTCACCTAATTCATGAGTTATCACGAGAAGAAGCTCTGTGACGGTTTCTTCTTTTTCAAAATGTTGTTTATGTGTTTTTATCTCGAGGAAACAGGAAGAGAAAAAGGAGCGACAGGCTGGAATTGAGGCGTGTGCGCTCAGACCCTCCGAGAAATGAAAAGCGGGGACACAATCACCAGATCTTCCTCGTATGTTCTCCAGATAAAATTTCTTGGAAAACGTCTGCGGTGCTCCAGAACTGTAATCTAATCCATCATATATACCAGAAAATACTTTTATACTCATTAAAGAAACTCTAAATTTCTCCTCGAGGACAGATTTTACGACCACTAATGTAGGTCATTACACGGACAAGGATCCATCCAAGTCCTGTTTACATGTTTTTTAATTCTGTTTTGGGCCTCTCTCTCTGTCTCCATTGTGATTCCACTCAAGTGCACGAACCTGCTGCACTGTGTTGACCGAGTCTCTGTTTAAGGCTGATCAATATCGTTCAGTCGAAGTGGATCAAATAGGGTAAAGTTTTATGAGGCAGTAAAACGCAAAAAGTCGACGCGGACCTTTTCTGTCGTAAATCTACCGCATTATTTAAAGAAAATGTAGATTTCCAGGAAAGGAACGCTGATAAATTCATGTTTCTGCCTATAAAAAAATGCTCTGCTCGTAAGTCCTGGAAACCCCCCTGATAAAGTCGACCGGCTTCATATTTATGGGAAGAACCGCTTTTTGTTTGTGTCCTCAGAAATGTGTGTTATCGAACTTTGCACTGAGCAGATTTCAGATTTGGTTTTGTCTTTTCCTAAAATACTAAAACTGTTTTTATTTCTAGAGATCTCAAGAGTTCGGCAGAGGACATGAACTTCTTTTAGCACCATGAACACAAACGAAGGACTGAAAAATGGAGAAGATTAAATATGAACTTATGATCCCAAACACACATCGCTCTCATTATCCTGGTTTTCTTTAACAGGTGGGTTAGATCTTGAAAGGTGATTGGTCAGAGGTCGACACAGTCCTCCTTCCTCCTCGCCAAACTTTCTACGTTAGATTTTGTTTTCAGGGGGTTAGGGTTCGGCTAAGAGATAAATTTTTGTATTTTAGTTGCTTCGATTTCCATTTTTTATCATAAATTTTGCTCTTAAATCTCTTTATCGTGTTTGTATCTCGCTGTGTGATCACATACATTAAAAATAAACATGCACCTGTATTCATAAGTGTGTCAAACATGGACGCCTGAGCAACACGGACGTTTTAAAGGTTAAAAGAGCGCAGCGTTAGTACGAGACGGTTACCGCAGCTGCGTGTGTTTATGAGCGTTCCTCACCGTGACCTTCCTGCCCTCCTGTCCCTGATCTGCTTCTTCCCCGTCTTCTTCCTCTTCCTCGTCATCGTCCTCCTCTTCGTCGTTGAGGTACAGAACATTCTGGACGCTCGCGTGACCCGGTCGGATCTCCAGCCAATCGTCCATGTCACCTGAGGACAAAGAGAGCGCAGAGAGCACGATTAACGCCCGGTTAAGCAATTCTGAACAGTCTTTACAGCTTTGGTGGTTAAGAAACAGATTTTCTAAAACCACCTGAGAGTCTTTATTTGTGCATTTTGGAAATGGGAGGGAGTGGGAGGTAAGAGATTCCCCTCACAGTGACTGCTCCTGCTCCTGTTCAGGGCTTTTCTCTTGGTTTTCCTCCAGTTTCTTTCCCACATGCAACATAAAGTCCTCGGCTAAGACCGAACGTCGCCTACGCTAAACCACGATAAGCAGGTTTAAGATCGAAACCTCCCACAGACACGCCGACGGCATTAATGAGTGGAACTGCAGCACCTGAAACCCTCTGCCTTTACCTTCTCCATCCAGGATGTAGTCCCGTGGGAACATGATGCCGCAGCCCATGATGTCTCCTTTGAAGCACCGAGGGCCGAAAGCGTCTCCGACCCCGCTGCCGTGGAAGATTTTACCGTCATCTGGTGAAGACAGAAAAACATTTGAATTCATTTATTAGCGTCTCTGATTTTAGAAAAACTAATTACAGCAAATTAAACACCTTTCTCTACCAATATTTTTACTCTTATATAGATTATTTTGTGCAGAGGTGCATGTGAAGTCAGTCACAACAGCAGATTTCCACCTCATGATTACAGCAGCTGTAACATTTTACGATATTATCATGTTATTTATGGACCGCCTGAACATCAAACGACACAATTAGTGAAACCGAGGACAGGCAAGAGCAAGACATCACCTGTTAAAATTTACTATTAAGAGAAATAATCTGAGATGTCTGTTCAGGGAATGATTAAAAAAGTATATATTAGTATCCACAGAGGCAGAAACACAAACTTTGTTTCTGGATTCACAATAAATCTCAGGAAGTTAGTTTTTAAAAGCACATAATCATCGATCAGAGGTTTATTCCATGATATTCATGTAATAATATTGACATTAGAGAATAAAAGCACAACATGTAAGTATTTAGTTTCTGTAGTTAAGAAGATTCCTGCTGATATTCACAGCTGGTAGGATGATGTGCACAGACGCCAAGCAACCTTATAAAAGTATTTTAAATTTAGTTAGATTTAGATTAGTCTCATCGGTCGTTTAAAACTGGTCTGATTTAGCAGAGATAGACATGGAAAAAAAAGCCTGTTGTTGTGTTTAGAGTCATGTCTTTTTATCTGTAGTTTAATTCTTAAGGAGAAAAATAAAAGTTCATAACAACCATGAATAAAGTTTGGGGGAAAAATTTGATTTTCATTTTTGCTGATATCGCCCAGCCCTATTTTCAGTGTCAGAAACAGACTGCAAAGATACGCTGATGGTCGACATTTGAAAAAAGATGAGGTTAAAGATAATGTGTTGTCAGAAATAAAAGTTAAAATAGGGTGACCATATTCTGACTTCCCAAAAAGAGGACATGACCACACGGGGGCATGAAGTTAATTTTGAGAGTTTTTTGGGTCGGATCGAGTGTCTTTTGCGCGCTTCTAACTCAGTAAGTCAATGTGACACAAACTCGAAACTTGCGTACAAAACTGCGGACATTTGACGAATTTTATAAACTCCCCCGGACAAAGATGGCAGCCCCCAAAAAAGAGGACATGTCCAGGTAGAAGAGGACGTATGGTCACCCTAGTTAACAGATTTATTCTAGTACAGGCAAAAAATGAATATCGTACATCCCTAGTGTTCAGCAAAAGTTTCTATGATTATTTAACTCAAGATGAGACAAATTATTATCATCATGTGATAAAAAATAATCAATTTATTAGGAGGTTTTGAAACAGAAAACTGATGAGGTCTGCTACATGTTGATTTTGGATGTTTTTGGCGTTAAGATAAAGGAAGAACAACAATGTGATCACGCCAATACTAACAAAGCGTGATGAGCTACAAGATGCAAACTTTATCATCTGGTCTGTTAGGAAGCAATCATCTTGTTTTACTTCTATGCATACACTCGTTTATTAACTTGTGAACGTCTAAATGGCGAGTTTGTGCTTCTGAAACTTAAAAAAAATCACATTTCTGACTGTCTGACCTTCTCTCACTTGTTAATCTGTGAGCAGCAGCCTTGAATTTAAGGTCATTCCGACCTCTACGGCACATCCTTTGACTAAACGTGATTTCCAAGTCGTAAACTGCACCGTGGCTTTTTAAGTGTTTACCAAAGCGGGCAAACATGCGCTACAACACAACGCTAACGCTCAGGAAATCCTGACATTCCAGGCAGATGATTGTGTGTAAAGGTGAAAGCAGCACGAGTAAAAACACTTTAAAAAAAATCAACAACATCCAAAGGAAATCATCAAAACAACACATACTACAGTTGGAGAGACAACAATGGAAAAAAAGGCCAAAAGAAAAACATCGCAGAGGATGCCTGCAGACGAGCTCCCGTCAAGCGAAGCGGCGTGGCTACTGCTGGTAAATATTTATGGAGTTGTCATGGGACCCGTCCCCGGCTCAGGATACTGTTTAAACAATCTGTATCTGAGCACCGGGAGGGAGACGGAGACACTGTATCATTACGGCTCCCATGCGGGCCCTTGTCACAACACCACACACTAGGCAAACAGTGGAGCCACGCCGGCACAGGCGCAGAGCGACTAAAAATAGCAGGAGGAGGCTTTGGAGAGTGGAGAGGGGTGGAACTGGAGGTGAGCTGGGGTGTGGAGGTCCAGGTTTGGGCCTGAGGATGGAGGAAGGAGAGACATGGAGGAGTATCAGAGGCGTGTGAAATGTGTCTCCACATTTCACACTTTTGCTATTTTTATGCAATTTTTGATTCATAGATTAAACTTCCCAAATAATTTTGCACTAAATAAAAGTGACAACCCTTAAAATATCCTTAAAATGAGCCTCTGCTGCTCTGTGGAAGCTCTCTTCAGTAAGAACATGTGATCTTTAAACGAGGACAATATCTTTATTTTACGTTGACATATTTATTTCTTCTGTGTTCTTAATGCATAATGAGGTTAGTGATGGGAGCATAAGTAGTTCAGGATAAAGATGAATTTTTATTCAAGTACAATGAAGCACATTTTCTGTTTCCTAAACCCAAATAGGAGGATTTACGATTTTCAGCCGTTTTCTACAGAATTAGGAACCTGGTCAAGTGGCTGAGGGCTGTGGGGACATGTGACGGGTTATTTCTGTGAGTTGTTTGTCTGTGTTTAATATTGTGTAAGTCTAAACAGCTCTGACCCGGGGTGCCGGTTTGGCCCTGGGTTGCACAGATTTATATAAAAGTTCATTTTCCTTCGTTCTCATGATTCTCGTGAAAACTTTGAGGGAACACCTCAGGAATTATTTCGTTGACAGAAATCTGTTGAGTCAACCGGCTCTTGGCGTCCGCTCAATCGGCTTCATGAGGTAGTCAGCTGGAATGGAACTTGCTGGCTGCTTTTCCTTCACTCTGCCGCCCGAACCATCTCGTCTGGGTTTAGGTCGCGTGATTGCGGAGGCCGGGTCGTCTGAAGCAGTACTCCGTCTCTCAAATAGCCTCGAGGCGTGTTTGGGGTCATTGGAAAAACAACTGATGGTCCAGATGGGATGGCACGTCTCTGCAGAACGCTGTGGTAGCTTCAAACCATGACACCTGCCATGCTAACCATCCTCTCTCTTTGACTTGGCGCCGAGAGCCAAAAGTCTCAAACTTGGATTATATCAGAATTGTTTGTCCCGGTTTTATGTCTTTCTTGGTCCGGAGAGTTCCCTTCTTGGTTCACTGGCTTCTTTGCGGCAATTTGACCATGAAGGTCCGATTCTCCTCCGGAGGGTTGATGTCGGGGTGTGTCTGCTACTTGAACTCTGTCAGGCAGTTATGTGGTCTCTTATCTGAGGTGCTCTTTATCTGCTGGTAAGTCAGACGATCCTCCCCAACCCCGACTTGAAAGGACGTATGGAAGTATGTGGGCAGTGACAGAACCATCGTTTGAAACGGACGCGTACATTTCATACGTATGGCGAGCATAAATCAGCTTTTAGTCGACTGCTTGTACAGGACTGAGCTTGAGATAAGTCCCTGCTCAAACAGAATAAACTCTGTGTCCCTCTTCTTCTGGTTCAGGACTTCTAACCACCATCATGGGGTTAGACTGCTGACTTGACAGAAGTCCAGAAGACGATCATCAACAACCTCCTGCATGAAGGACAGGCCACAGGAGGTCACTGCTGAAAAAGCCGGCTGTTCACGGAGCGTGTAAATGTCAGACTGACTGGAGGGCAGAAGCGTGGTGGGAAAGGACGCACAAACAACACGGATGACCGCAGCCCGGACAAGAAAGGTTTGAGTCAAGAGCTTCACAAGGAGTGGACTGAGGTTCAAGCACAGGTGTCTTTAGGAAGGGGGTGAAAAACGCCTCATTCTTGAAATTAAGCCACACCTGAACCAGAGACACCATCGGCAGCTTCTCACCTGAGCTAAAAAGAAAAGAGAATCAAGGTCCTTGAGTCTGGAGGAGGATCAGAGAGGCACATAATCCAAGGTGCTGAAGTCCATCTGCTGGTGTTGGTCGACTGTGTCCTGGGTCAACACATCCTTAAATCTACCAGGAGATTTCAGAGCGCTTATCTGCTGAGAAGCTTCATAAAGAAACAGACTTAGCACCTGCCCACGGCGCCAAAACTACAACCAAATGGTTCCCAGACTATGGCGTTACTCACCTGATCTCAACGCCGAAGAGAACGAGTCGAATATTTGCATCAACGCAGCAAAACTGAGAGTATAAATGAACAGACTTCTCAGGAGGTGACCATTTCTGTGTCTCAGATCCTTTTCTGATTGATCGATGTTACTCTTATTTATCATGATGCACCTGTATGTCACACTAGATCTTATATTCTTAGCCCATCACAGCCTCTTTTACTTCCAAACTGATGGTGCACTGTTCAACAGACATGTCAGCTGTGAGTCTGGGTTTTTACGGTGCCCAGCGGCCCCGTTTGCCCCCGTGGACAGATGCATCTTTCCAACAAATCACTGCCATAAAAGAAGTGTTTGTGAATCTGCGAATGAAGTTAACTGAGACTAAATGTCTTTGACTGATGAAGATTGAAATTTGTTGAAATTTCCTTCTGCAGAGATGAGGAAATCTAAACCAGTAAAATCATCATCATCACCACGATAGGCTGATAATCAGAGTCGGCTGGAGGGACACGACTGAGTTTACCCAGAAGCTTTTACGTCTAGTGACAGAATAAAGACAAGGGGATTAAAGTAAAGGGACAGAAAAAGAGTAAAAATGTAAAAACTCTGAGTTAAAACTCTGGCAGAGTCGCGGAGCTACAATAAATGTTCTGTTGCTTTTCCCAAATGTGCTGCGATGCTTATAACGCTGGAAATCAAAATTCAGGAAGCTCGGAGACTTGGAGCGAGGCCGTGGCGGAAAAAGTTATAATTTGTGTTGGAGACTGTAGAGTTTAAAATTAGCATGGAGGTGTTGGTTTGGCTACGAGGTGAGAGCGTGTGGAGCGGAGGTCTGGGGATGGTGTTAATGCAGCAGGCGAGATCATAAAGTGACACTAACGTCGGTAAAGCGGACAACGGCTGCTCCTGTGACCGCCACCGAGTTCTGGGTCTTAGACGGATTAAAGCTGCAATAGGAAGCTGAAAACCGAGACAGAGTTTTGGGTTTGGAGCCGGGCCCGCAGGAAGAAGAGGGAACAAGAACCTGACTGAGCTCCGAGACCAGCTGGGAAGAAGAAAACAGGCTTTCTGGAAACACGAGAGTTTGTCTGGAAAAGACCGGGCTTCCCTGCCCAGGGAACAATGACTTCACAGACTCCTACAACAAGGAAATTAAAACTAAATATTTATGTTCATTCCATGATTTCACGCACACACACTCACACACACACGTGTGTTCGCACATGTCCCTAAAAATTTACTATAAATTCCATTTTGCAGCTGCCATGTGAGTTTGGATAAATCAAAAATCATGTCTCTAATAAAAATTACAACAATTTTAACCTAAAAACCCTCATCTTGAAGAGCTGGATGAAAATATGAGTGATCGACCACGACCACAGAGGTTTTTGGGAGACAGTCGTGAAGATTTTCACTGTTTTATGTCACTGTGACTTTTCATAGGCACTAAACGGAAGAGACAGCTGACACATTATCCATCTAAACTAAAGATCTGACTAAATGAAACAGATGTTACAAATAAAAAATACATTTGTTGGTCTATATATATATCTATGTATAAACATGAGCAACTCTTCGTCACGGGAGTGGGAAGGTTCGCGAGAAAGGATGTCACGATCTGATATTGATATCGGATATTAGTCCAATATCAGCAAAAAAACGAATATCGGATTAAGGCTGCACGATATTGGAAAAAAATAATATTGCGATTTTTTCAACCCTGCGATATATATTGCGATATTAAAAATACAGGAATTTTCACCAGATGACCTGAATAGCACTTAATGTTATGCTGCACTGCTGAAATCTTGAGGACAGTTAATCTGCTCTGATCTTACCTCTTTTTGTGAATGTTAGTAGAACGGCTTCTGTCTGTCTCAGAGATATTTTTAGCTTTTATTGTGCTGGGACGTTATTGTGGCAACAGATGAACACAGAAGACGTGTTTTGGTCGACATCATCCTTCTTTTAACCGAAATAATTCCAGATAACTGACTTTCCTTTTCTTTTTGGCAACAAATCTTCATTTTCGGTGGTTTTCGCTTGTTCGTTGTTCATTTTGCGATCGTTGTTGTTGTTGTTAGCGGTGTTGTGCCGAGAAACGCATGTCCTCCGAGAATTGCATGCACCTCGCAAAACGCGCACTGCTTATAGTAGAGTGGTCCACGGAAATGTACAATTTAAAACCCATACAGTTCTTATTTGTTGGGCTTAATAGTCATGAGTAAAGTTCCGAAAGTAATTCTCAGCGGACACACGTCTCCCTCCATGTGCAGAACATGTGCAGGGGGTTTCCTCCTCCCTGGTTTTGATTGACAGCTGGCAGGGTAGTCTGATTGGCAACTGAGTTAAGGACGAAGGTGATTGGTGGATCGCTGCAAAGCACATGCAGAGTCACATGGAGTGTATCTCAGTCAGTTACCCTTGAAATTAAATGAGTTAATTCACCTCCAATATCGCAGGCTCTGCAATGTGACTATCGCAGACACGTACATCGCGATGACGATAGTCAAACGATATATCGTGCAGGCCTATATCGGATTATATCGGCCTGCATCTAAAATCTCCGGTACAAGCAGTCCAGTCTGGGAATTTTTTGTAGGACGGTAGGGGAAGGTCCCGCCCTCCTTTGCCTCTGATTGGCTACAAGTGCTGGGCTCCGATTGGTTATTCCTTATGGCTGTGATACATCGTCGTCTGTCGGGTTAGGGTTAGGATTAGGAGATTCAAAAGTGTGATAATGTTCTGTTCGATGTACAGAGCCGACAGCCTGCGTTTGGTTTGAGCGTGTGATGACGTTCGCAGCTTCTCTAGCCAATCAGAGGCAAAGGAGGCGGGACTTTCCCCTACCTTCCTACAAAAAAAAAATATCGCATCCAGTCCAGACTCTGCTCCAGCACCTCTAGCTAGCAGCGTCCAGATCTAGCATACAGAGTAAGTGTGTACTAAGGTACTAACAAAGGGTTATTTCTTTTGTTAAAGTCCGAAAAAGAAGTTGAAAAAATTTGTCATACGCAAGTTTGTGCCATTATTGGATCAATATCGGTATCAGATTGGAAGTAAAAAAGTTGTATTGGACGCCCCTATTACCAAGTGTGGCTTTAAAACTCAAAAGTCGGTGTACAAAAACCCCTACAAAGCAAAACCCCTGTCATGGCGCAGAGTACTAGCGGTGATGATCGCGACACGCCAGCTCAGACCAGATGGTGAGAATCCTCATATCAGGATCTCTTTGTAAAACTCGTCACCCATTCTTGTCCCGTTAGGTAAGACGGATTATTGTTTTCAGTAAAACCTGAGCTGGGATCAGATTAGACCCAGAAGTCAGATTGAAGGTCTATTATCTCCAGTTGGTGGATGGCGGCGACCTCGAGCTGCGGGTGTTGAGTCATCGCACGTGTGCGTCGCTGATAGGGGGGGAACGGCGGGGTGACGGCGTTAATGAGCCTTACGGAGGAGCACTCACTGGTTGGATGGCTGGTTGCTTCTGATAGGACCCACAGGGGCCCAACAGGGGGGCCGCCAGTGCCCCACGGCCCATTAACTCGCAAAGCTGGGCCGAGCCAACACACAGGATGGAGGTCCACGCCGGGCCGGCTCCCAACACAAACACTCGCGGTAACACCAGCGCCGGCCAAAGAACTCTCAAACTATACAAGCTATACAAAGGAGCAGCGATAGGGTTGGCAGCCGGCTGTGTGTATAACTGGAACATATCTGGAGTAAAATCACAACCTCTACAGTTTATAACTCATATAACATGTGATCTAGGTCAACACTGGTCGCGTGCCCAATATAACGCACCATAAATCAGAGTGACAGAGAGGGAGCTCGGTGGTCATACTGTATAGTCATAATAGAAATAAAGACAAAGGAATGCTGCGTCGGGTCATTATGTAATTTATGTATTTACCTCCAGGCTGCGAAATATAAATCTGCAGCCACTGTTTTCTTTGAAGCTCAGGATAAAAACCTTACAAACACCCGGAGAGCGGCGGCGGAGGACGGCTTAATAAAACTGCAACAATGAGTTCAAACAGTCCATATGATGCGGAGATCTGCCAAGAATAATCTGGCGGACGAGCTCTGGAAGAAACTTGAGGTCAAAGACGAAAAGTGACCGTAAAAGTTAATCAACGGAGCGACCGTGTGACACAAAAAACACCTTTTTCGCAGCAGCCTTGGCGAGAAAACCAAAGTCAGTCCTTCTTTGAGTGATTTCTGCTGTGGTCGTATGACCCGGGGTATACGATACTGTCTATACATTAAGTTTCTGTCACTCTGCCAATGATTGCTGCATGAAATTCTTGAGGTTCCTGAACTGCTCTGTGAAAATCTGCGTGAAGGATGGAGGGGGAGACGTGAAGAAGAGGCCCCGGCTGTTGATTTTAAGTAGCTGGATCAGAGCCGGCACCTTAACCCGAGCATGGGAAGGCAGACCTCATATGCACAGCATGGAAAACCGCATACATCATTTTAGTCTCTAACAAATAAGATTAATGGGAGCTGTGCTGGGGCGTGCACATTTCTGTGGTGTCCGACGCACAGCGGCCAAGCCAGGCGGACCGCAGCGCGAGACCTCTGGGACTGGCATGGTGAGCCCCTGTGAATGAGTGGCCCCGTCCGTCACTCAGCGGCGAGGTATCATCCACAAGCCCCGGCAGGACGTACGGCATCGACTGTTCTTCTTATTATTGAAGTATCCCAAGTATAAATGGAATCCGCTAAAGGATACGGAGATCCAGGAGTGTAAACATCGCTCAGAAACACGGGAGGAATGTGCAGAGTGAACAAGAAAAAGTGTGTTTTTAAAAAGATCTGGAGGTCAGCTCCAGGAAGGCGAACAAAATCTCGGGCTAAAAATAAAATCAAACACTTTTATTTCGGGGAAAACATGCGACGGAAAGCAACATTTGTGGCGTGTGAATTAGGGGAGTGAGAGCAGCTGTTATCCTTCAACAATGGGATGCTTCAGACCAAAATAAAAAACATCTGATAAGACTAACAAGATCTCGACTGTGACAGCCGATTCTCCGATTAAGAGCCGGCTACCTACTGAAGCTCCTACCACCTACCTCACCGCCGCCATCCTCCGATCGCGGCAGCAGAGGTTGATGGCTAATCTCTTCGCACTGATAGTGAGGAGGGGGCTGAGGCCTGCACAGGGAGCTTTTGTAGATGCCTGCATGGATAATGTTCGCAGGCCTGTCGTCACAAACAAACGTGTGAGACGGTGGACCCACAGCGAGATAAAGAAATCTAAACTCAGGTTTTTGTGTCTTATGTTTCAGGGAGATAATCAAACTCCCACGGAAAAAGAAGAAGATGATCTGATCCTTCTCCTCTTTCTGATGCTGTCACTGTCTTTTTTATCTCTGTTTGCGCCCGCCACCTGAACATCCTGCAGAGACTCTGATGTTTCCGTCGAACAGGCAGCGGAGACGCTTCGCTGGAAGTGGATCAGATCTTTTTTTATTACATTCAAAGGGAATTCCAAACTTACAGAGTAAATAAACAACTTTCTTTCTAAGAAATAAAACACCACAGAAAGTAAGATTATGCGATGTGTTGAAATTCTCTGAACGCCCACTGAAAGACAGAAAACCGCTGATAAAAACAGAAGCTGTCTTTGTGAGGGATTTGAAATACGTTCTTTTGGTCTGTATGATCTTCTCAGATTATAAAACATGGGATTAGATTGTTAATATTACAAAAACATGAGGTGCAGAACTTAAAGTGATCTCAGTTTTGAAGTTTCTCTGCTGTTGTTCATATTTTCAACTTTAAAAAGGTTTTTTTTTCCATGAATTAAAAATGAATCTGAGAGGATCTGATGGTTTGAGCTTCATCTGACTGATATTAAAGTCATCTTTCTTCGGGAGTGACCCCTCGAGGACAACAATGCTTCCACATATATAAATAAATATATAAATATACACTCACCCGCCACTTTATTAGGTACACCTGTCCAACTGCTAGTGAACACTTAATTTCTAATCAGCCAATCACATGGCGGCAACTTAGTGTATTTAGGCATGTAGACATGGTCAAGACAATCTCCTGCAGTTCAAACCGAGCATCAGTATGGGGAAGAAAGGTGATTTGAGTGACTTTGAACGTGGCATGGTTGTTGGTGCCAGAAGGGCTGGTCTGAGTATTTCAGAAACTGCTGATCTACTGGGATTTTCACGCACAACCATCTCTAGGGTTTACAGAGAATGGTCCGAAAAAGAAAAAATATCCAGTGAGCGGCAGTTCTGTGGGCGGAAATGCCTTGTTGATGCCAGAGGTCAGAGGAGAATGGCCAGACTGGTTCGAGCTGATAGAAAGGCAACAGTGACTCAAATAACCACCCGTTACAACCAAGGTAGGCAGAAGAGCATCTCTGAACGCACAGTACGTCGAACTTTGAGGCAGATGGGCTACAGCAGCAGAAGACCACACCGGGTGCCACTCCTTTCAGCTAAGAACAGGAAACTGAGGCTACAATTTGCACAAGCTCATCGAAATTGGACAATAGAAGATTGGAAAAACGTTGCCTGGTCTGATGAGTCTCGATTTCTGCTGCGACATTCGGATGGTAGGGTCAGAATTTGGCGTCAACAACATGAAAGCATGGATCCATCCTGCCTTGTATCAACGGTTCAGGCTGGTGGTGGTGGTGTCATGGTGTGGGGAATATTGTCTTGGCACTCTTTGGGCCCCTTGGTACCAATTGAGCATCGTTGCAACGCCACAGCCTACCTGAGTATTGTTGCTGACCATGTCCATCCCTTTATGACCACAATGTACCCAACTTCTGATGGCTACTTTCAGCAGGATAATGCGCCATGTCATAAAGCTGGAATCATCTCAGACTGGTTTCTTGAACATGACAATGAGTTCACTGTACTCAAATGGCCTCCACAGTCACCAGATCTCAATCCAATAGAGCATCTTTGGGATGTGGTGGAACGGGAGATTCGCATCATGGATGTGCAGCTGACAAATCTGCGGCAACTGTGTGATGCCATCATGTCAATATGGACCAAGCTCTCTGAGGAATGCTTCCAGCACCTTGTTGAATCTATGCCACGAAGAATTGAGGCAGTTCTGAAGGCAAAAGGGGGTCCAACCCGTTACTAGCATGGTGTACCTAATAAAGTGGCCGGTGAGTGTACATCTCATTGGGAAAACACCTAGCTAAAACCGCAGGAACAGATCAGGGCGTCTCTGCTGCTAAAGATCCAGAGTGGCTTTATTTTCTCCCGTTTAGGGTGAGACACTAAAATCCACTTTATATTTAAAGGTCCTGAGACAAAACGTCGTCGACCCAATCAGAAACCAGGTTTGGAGAAAGAGAGGGTCTGAGATCTTACCTGCGTGGTACGCTACTGATCCTCGGCTCCATCCAGGGTGTCTGTTCTTGGGGTAGTCCTGCAGAGACACGAACGGTCACGTTAAACCAGATACTGCCAGTGATGGGCCAAAAAATCATAAAACTGTGTAAATAAACTCAAATTACTGATTCAAAGCCGACAGATCCTCCAAATAGTTTTTAACTTTTTTAACAAATGGAAGGATAAAAATCCACAAATCTTAAGATGTCCTCAAACCGTACATCTAACATTGTTTTCTCTCTGGAAGAATGAGAACGCAGCCACACCGCTGCCCTGAGTAAATAAACATTAGTACTAATAGTGTGTAAGTGAGTCAGGTCATCTATCAATGAATGAACTTATTATCTGGTGATGTTGAGAATGATTGAAAAGCTTTTTTAATTTTAAGTTTTGATAATTCCACAGCTCTGACATGAAGAGATATTATCAACCAGCTCTAAACTCAGAAGAAGAAGAAGAAGCAGAAGAAGAAGAAGAAAAAGAAGAAGAAGCAGAAGAAGAAGAAGAAGAAAAAGAAGAAGAAGAAGAAGCAGTAGATGATGTAGAAGAAGTAGAAGTAAAAGAAGTAGAAGAGGAAGAAGTAAAAAAAAATAAGAATATGGAGAAGAGAAGAAGTAGAAGAAGTAGTAGTGGAAGAAGAAGAAGTAGAGGTAGAAGAAGTAGAAGGAAATGTAGTAGAAGAAGCAGAAAAAAATAGAGCAGAAGACGGAAGAAGTGAAAGAGAAAGTAGAAGAACTCGAAGAAGTAAAAGCAGAAGAGGCAGAAGAAGAAGTAGAAAAAGATGAAGTAGAAAATATAGAAAAGGAAGAAGAAGAAGTATAAGAAGCAGAAGAAGAAGTATTAGTAGAAGTAGAAGAAGCAGAAGTGGAAGAAGAAGAGGAAGAAGAAGTAGAAGATGTAGTAGAAGTAGAGGAAGAAGAAGATCCAGTAGTAGGCTAGAAGTGTGTCCTCCTTGTCAGTCGTGTTTTGACGACCACAGCTCTAAAGCGGGTTACTGTAATCCTTGACTGACGGTGTTTTGGAGATCTGTCAGTATCAAAGGTGAAGATGTGTTTTCTCTTCAACTGTCTGCATGTACAGTGTGTGAATCTTTCTCCGGGTCGCACCATGCCAACAGAAATAACCAGTGGGCCAACTCTGGGATAAGATCAGGGGATGACTCAGATATAATTACCACAGATTTGATCTGAGCTGCACCTCCACTAATGTACAAACACACTGAACGACAGACTATAAAGACGAGGAGGAGGAGGAGGTTAATGATATTTCGCTCCTATTGTGTCTCCTCAGGGTTATATCTCTTGTACTTGTCTCTGTTGGGGTTTAAAACGGATGAGGCAACTCACCAATATCATAATAATCGACACATCAAGGTTCTGTAACGGCTTCACCAAAATAGATCATGCAGTAAAGAAACGAGGTTTCAGGCGGGGTGAAAACAAACCTCATGCACCAGCAGCTTAAATAACAAACACTTGCTTTTGCAACAGGGACTTCCCACCTTTGCATAAGACGGAGCTAAACTGGTGGTATCATCAATTTCAGGATATCACAAGAACGAGCGTGTCGCAATACAATCATGGAGCTATGACGTATGAAGCAATGACACAGAGGTCTTTGGGGTAAAAAGAGCAGATTTGTTCAGCATGAACGAGGACATGAGATACAGAGATCACTGTCCTGTGAGTTCCCATCATCCTTTGCCCTCTGATCGCTGCCTCGGGTCTAAAGAGATGCAGTGACCTACATGTCAGGGAGTACAGCTCTCCAAAATGTTTGAAGATGAGAAGAAAAATCCTGAACTTTTTGGGTAGTGAGGAGACAAACAGTCTTCTTCTTTTGGGGGAATGGGGGTCTAGTCTCCTGGACAGACACTCAGATTACTGCTCTCTGAGCTGCATTTGGAAAAATCTGGGTTTTAGCACGGAGTCGTTAATGATTACGGCGGCAAAACGATGGGAAACATCAAATTTAACCCTGTAGCTGGTTGTGTCTTTATCACAGACATATATCAGGATGGAGACAGAGAGGACTGTATTAGGCTTTTGTCATTTACGTCTGCCTAAAAATGATATTTCCGTCTGAGAAAAAGTTGTTGACAAACACTCATCCTCACTTTTTTTGTTTGCAAAGTTAACGCTGTAAAGTACGAGCAGACCGACGTCTAAGACGAGGAAAAAAACTGGGCAGCCTTCAGCAAATCCCAGTCAAGAGAAACAGCGGTGAGTGATGCAAAAACTAAAGAGCCAACATGTTCCTCAAAAACAGATTAGCACCAAAGTTATTTTTGCTGTTAACACCAGAATGGATCGGAAAAATTAGGGATAAGGACGCTGTGGAGAGACAGACGCAGAAAGAGAGCAGCATCTGAGGACAGGACATGAGGGATACATCCTCAACCCTGTCTGACAACCCCATCAGGGCTCCAGGAACAGGAAATGGAGATAGATGGGGAAAAATCAAGAGGGAGAGAGGGATAAGGATAGAGTGAGACATCAGCAGAGGAAGACAGAGAGACATGGAGGAATGCAGCTACTGCTCCAAGCCTGAAAACCCCTTGATCCGCCAAGTCTGCTCCTCTTCCCCCCTCGTCTCGACCACAACCCGAGGATTCCTCTGGCTGACTGGCATGTGGGCAGCATCTCCACGAGGAGGACGGGATCGTCTGAGCGTTTCGCTCCCTGATTGATGACCCACAGGCACCGTTCTGATCAGACATTTTGAGGATGAACATTAGGAATGGCTACAAAAATAATGAGCGGATTTGCAGAGCTTTAATGTAAACCGCAGACTTGTGTCTGATAAATGGATCAACTGTTAAATGCCTGTTTTCATAGCTGTCTTCTTCGTAATTGTTGTGTCCATCATCTCTAACTCAAAACATCTCCTCAGTGAGCGACTGCGGCTGCTCCATCCTGGAAAAAACTTACTGCTTTCTGCGATACCAAAAGTTAGAGAATTATTCTGGATGAACGACGAGTGTTTCTATCTTTATATAGACGGGGAACGCTCAACAAGGACACTCAGTTTTGGCCCAAGGTTAAGACAGCAAAAACAAGAGCTTAGCTTACTGTGGACAACAGCGTCATTGGCTAAAGAGGACAAAGAGGTGACAGAAAACAAACTGATCTACACACTGAGGGGAGCATCAGCAGCCACTTGGAGAAGATCTGCTCAAAAGACTTAAAACAAAGAGTTTACATCTCCTTACGAGATCATGAGATGTTACGTATAGAGGGCTGGGCGATATGGCCTTAAATCAAAATCACGATATGTTGAACAGTTCACCTAACTACTCCACAAGCTGCTCACCCCCAGCCCCTCCCATATTAACTTCGTCTACTTCAGCCGCTCCAACTTTCTCTCCGTCCTCCATCTCCTCTCCTGTCTTTCCCTCTTTGTTACAGACTGGATGGGGTGGAGTCACGTCTCTGACGTAGGACAGCGTCTTAAAGGGACATGAGACCATAGCCTACCTACACACATCCAAAACCAACTTTGATTTATTGATTTTTTTTTACACCAAATATATTGACATTTTTCGGTTTATCGCCCAGCCCTACAATCTACACACTGGGGGAAGCATCAGAAGCCACTTGGAGAGGATGAGCAGAAAAAGATCCCGTCTGCTCAAAAGTTTACGACTTCTTTTTCCCAGAGGGCGAGCTTAAGAAACCACGAGATGTTACATCTAGATCTAGAGGCGTGCGGTTGACAACGAAGGATTCAGATGGTTAGTAAAAACGCTGGAGCTCCAGAGCAAGTTCTCATCACAGCTTAACTTCAGTCTGACACTGTAAGCAGCTCTATCTTTGCTGATCGGTGGACTTCAGGAGGTATCCAGAGCTCTTAAACAATCAGTGAAACTGTCTGAATATTGTACTGTGGGCATGTCTGTGAGGTTTTATTATCTTATTGCAGGTGTGACATCTTAACCTTTCTATAAACTATTTGACAAACTCCAGCCGTGAAAGTTTAAAATGTGAGCACGCCGTGTATCCACAAGAAATAGCATCACAAAAACACCGTTATGAAATCATTCGCTGCGGCGAGTAGGGGCAAGACATCTTTACACAGGATATTCAAGTACCTGAAAAAACAGTTTGAGGGTGCAAAAATAAGATTCTGATCTTCTGACTCTTCTCGGTGTTATTATGTTTTCTTCACTCAGTTAGAACCCGTATCTAGATCCTGTCAAACAGATAATATTGTATTGTTTTGTAGGACTTGGCTTTCTCTTTCATAAAGGAAACACTGAAACCTTTTGTGGTCGGGAAATTACAACATTTAATGCTGTGATTTTTGTTTTCCAATCGGCTGTGGCGCCGCTAAATCATACATCCATTCCTTCTCTATCAACATACGAAGGAATGCGTTGAGAAGGGGGGACGCCACGATAAGCAGCCGGTCCACTTTCCTGTAATGTAAACCTTTAAAGCGTGGTCACCGTAAGTGTAGATACAAGCTGCTTCGAGAACAATAAACACAGACGTTTGTGTCCGCAGCATGAGGGGGGCAAAGACCTGCGAGATCTGATCCTCAGCTGCTACTCTGGTGTCATCAGAGCAGCCTGCATTTCCACACGGTGGCAGAGTAAACAAGTCAGAAGGTGCGGGCAGAGCGGGGGAACCATGTGGAAGCAGATAAGCATCATCTCCAGCAGGTATCACTCTGGGATATCTCAGAGCTGTCTAAAAATATCACTGCTAAAGTCATGATTTACCACAGATGTGAGCGTATGGGTGTGTTTTGAAAGTGCAGTTGAAGATGGAAAGTCGTGTGTTTCTGTTCGTACGTGCCCACACAACCTCACCTATACGGGTTGGGCACAGACAGAGTAGTGAACTAATGCAGGTTTGTTTGTTTAACCTCATGTCAACGGGCTAAAACCTCCAGCTCCCCACGCGATATCTGCAACCCTCTGACATTAGCTGATGATCTGAGCGGAGTTAGCGGGAACAACAGCCTGTGTTGGGACATGTTCATCGCTCCTAATGGATGCAAGTGCGAGCCTGAAACAAACATATTAAACTAATATTAATAGGTTTGTTCTGTTTTTGTTACGGAGTGGTGGAAAAGTTGACGGAGTGTGTACACTTCAACCTCAGCGGTGCCGTGACACACCTTTAGCTCTGACTGTGAGCAGTATGAACACAGATTACTCAATGATATTATGATATTAACACCTGGAACTGAAATAAACGCTCTTTTCGGTGCCTTATACCTGCAGTTTTAAGATTGGCGGACTGGGGCAACGCCTCTACTGGAAGGAAGGAAGACGTCCAGTTTTTAATACCTCTGGAAAAACTGTCCAAGTGACCAAACGGCTTCAATAGCCTGTTTCCAGTCTTCCTCCGCAGAGGCGTTACGCAAGTTTGGCAGAGTACGGTCCCGCAAGAGTGACGAGTAAAGTTGGCATCGCGGCGGAGTTTTAAATAGAGTGTGAGTGAAGGTTGGATGCCAGGGAGACCTGCAACCTGGGACGGAGTCAGGCACTTGCAACCCTGTCATCCAAATATGGTCAGTTCTCGTAAATGTCATACGTGAGGCTTTAAAATGGGAATCCTGAAACTGGCTGTTGGCGTCCGGGTTTCTTGTATGAGGTCAAGATAGCGTAACGTCATCAGTCGTCTGCGGCAGATCTCTTTTGAGGTCTCTGTGTTCAAATCCAGATGTCTGGATTACACCGGTCTGTGACTTTTTCAGACTTCAACCACAATTATCACGATGATCAGATGTCATGTGTTTTTCTTTCTGCAAAGTAAGAAAGTTATTATAACCTATAATCTAAATGCTGCTCGGATCCTGCAGCGTCGCCCCCATTACTGCGGAGATGTTCAAAAACACCAACCCTGGACGTTTGGATCCAGGCTGTGTCAGTCTGCTGTTCATTGCTGAGTGCTAATTTAGCCCTTTTTTTAGAGCTTTTTCCGTGAATAAAGCTGCCTCCCACGGATGAAAACCATTACATGAAGGAACACCTTGTACATTGTTGATGTGCTGGATGTTCTCCATGTTCCTCAGCTTCCAGTGGCACAGTGACCTTGCCTTTTGTTTTAGCCTGAAAGACCCTTTTAGAATAAACAGTTTGACGGAAGCAGCAGTTAAATATGGTTAGTAGGACTGCTGCATCAGAGGAGAGGAAGAGGAAGAGGAAGAAAGCTGCGGACCCGGAGCAAACCAGGACAGAGGAAACGCTGCCTCCGGGTCTCCTGAGCGGTTTTATTCCTTGAGTGTGAGAGTACATACTGTTTGTCCATGTGTGACTTCATGACTGCACTTCATGTACACGGACAGAGAGTCAGTACAGTCATAAAAGGTGAGCTGTGAAAACCATTAGTTTGATTCATACAGTGATGAACCGCAGAGCTGTACTTTTAGTTCTGATCCGATACGAAAATGGACCCTGATACTGTCTAAAACAGGGTATTGGGAATCAACCAGTGTACCAGTTTAAAGCACAGACACAACCCCAAAACTACAGACCACAAAATCAAAACTGTAGAGTCACAAATATAACTTTGTTTCCAGCTGTGCAGCTCAGCATCCCAGCACATCCACTACCACTGCTAAAGAAAACTGAATCTGAACATGTTGTTACACTTCCCCCAGTATTTTACAGTCATTTACTGTGATTTGGTGGTAATTACAGTAAGTTATCGTAAATTTACAATGAATAAACCACCATTTTATAGTAATATTACATCAGGATAATTGACTGTAGATTATCATTTGGTGAAAAAAATAGCTCCTCTAACTTAGTAATGCTTTGCAGTCAATTACGGTAAATTAACGGTAATTTACAGTAAATTTACAGTAAATTTAAGGTAAATTAACGGCAAATTAACAGCGCGTTTATGTAAAGGTTTCAGTGATGTTATATATATTGTAAAAAGTGAAAACTGACACCTCTACATCTCTATTCCAACAACCCATCCGTCTCCGCGGTCTTGTTCTTCCCTTTTATTTCCTTCTCCCAGTATTTTACAGTCATTTACTGTGATTTAGTGTTAGTTACCGTAAGTTATGGTAAATTTACAGTAAATTAACAAGCATTTTACAGTACTATTTTACAAGGATAATTGACAGTAGATTACCAATTCATCCTCTCAAACCTACTTATACTTTGCCGTTAATAACTGTAAATTTACAGTAATTGCAGTAAATTTACGGTAAATTAATGGCACATTTATGGAAAGGTTTCGCTGATGTTATATGTATTGTAAAGAGTGAAAACTGACACCTTTCCATCTTTATCCAACACCCCGTTCATCCCCTTGGTCTTTCCTTTCATATCCTCCTTCTAGTTTTTTTCAGAATTTGTTCGTTTTCTTGATTTTTATCCGTGTTTTTATCCTCCGTAAAGCTTCCCTTTATTTTTTAGCTCCTAACTTTTAACCTTCCCCCCCTCTCCTGCCCACTCCTCCACCTCATAACTCAGCCTTAATCTCTCTTTGTCCCCCAGCATAGCAACTGCTGTGTGTACCGGATAAGAAACAACCGTGCTACCAAGCGTATGCATGCTGTACATTCATGGACTCTTATCTTTACGCAGGAATGAAGGAGGAAGCGGCAGGTCATGCCAGGTCTGAGAATTGCAGTGGGGTCAAAACAGATCAGAGATTACAAACCCATAAAAACAACTCATTTACCTTCCACACAAAGCATTCACACTTATCACATTGCAGGAATTCCTCCGACTTCCCTCTTGGACAGGAAACTGGCAACTGTGGCTTTGGGGATTAAAAAGAAAAAAGTTCTTCCGCCTTTTTCAAACCAGCTAATTTGATTCTAACACGTTTAACCTCAACTTTTGCTCCACTTGGCAACCACGCTTTGGGATTTCGACGAAGCACAAACAAAGCGCAGTAAAATAGGACAATCTTTGGTTTTGCAATTAACACCATCGGAGGCAACATGTGGGAAGGCGCTTGAGGCCAAGTTCTAGAGTCAGCATGCTTTCATTGACACTCAATTTGATCTTATTTAGGAAGGACAACATTAGACACGTAAACAAAGATGGTGTTAGCAAGTATTTACGATGATGTTTGGTATCTAAAACCAAACAGAGTGCAACTGAGGCCAGGAAAAGGTTCTGATTTATAATATTACATAAGAGTCATGGAAATATTAAACTTCTGCCTCTGTTTTAGTAAATCTATCGTATACTTAATGTACCCTGTCTACCCTGGAGTCTCATGTTGACCTGGTTCAGCTCAAAGTTCCTGCTCATTTAAAACAAGCAGCAACTTTTAATTGGTAACATACAATATGAAGCTGATGCCACAAACTGCAGTACCTTTAGTGACCACCGGAAAACGTCTCTAAAAGCCAAGAGACCGCCGCATTTAACGTTCATTTTTTCAACAGGAATATATGTATTTACAGCCCGGTTCAAAGATGTTTGGATCGAAGTCTAGGCTGGTATCAACGGTACTGATACTGTGCTAGGTATACAGTCAGACAGTCATGGTTCTTTACACCGGTTGCCACCCGCAACAAAACAAACAGAAGAAGAAGAGGAAGAAGAAGTAGCTAGCTGGCTAGAACAGAAACAACAAAAGTGTTTGTGTCTCTTTAAAAGTCCCAATAACTTTAACATTTATACTTTCTAACTGTTTTTTAGCCGTTTTCATTCAGTGCAACTGGAAGTAGTGTATAGTTCATTTCAAAATAAAAGCTTGTTTGACAATAGGAACACTGAAGTAGGACTGGGCGATTATATGATTGTAACTAATGATCGTGATAAATTTCAGTTCACAAGTAGCATTAGCAGTTTAGCCACAACTAGTGGTGCAGCTACCAGACCAAATCAGCGATCAATAGTATCATCTACGTTTCCATCATCTAATATTTACATTTTAAGGCGTCTTCATTATCCCTGAGGGGGCGATTTGTTTATTTTGGGTCTTGCAGGTACAAACACTCAGGACTGTAAACTAGTTCACTGTATTATTAAGTATTTAGTATTCTACCTTTCTTGTACTGTTGAGTTAAAACAGTTTTTATATTTTTCTAAGTTTATCTTATTCAATTAGCTTTGTTATTTACTTTGTATGTTAATAAAATGTTGAACAAATATCTAGTTTCTTTAGTTTTTAGTACAGGTGTGTAAAAACTGGCAGTTAAAAAACATGGCGACAATAATCAAGATCATACAATATGACAAAGTATATCGTGATCATTTTTTGGCCAAATTGCCCAAACCTACACTTAAGCAACTTACACCAGACGGTTACAGCATGCCAAAGTAGAATCATCATCAATCTCATCACTTCTGTCACAGGGACAGTGACGTGCAAAGAACATAACTTTAAAAATATAAAAAATTGATTATGGCACAGAAGAAAGTAAAGTTTGTAAAGTATGGGGCACGCAGATAGCCGGGCATTCGCGGTTTTTGACATGTTTAGCCCCTCTTTTCCTCACATTTCTTAACTATCTCAGCTGTCCTGTCATTAAAAAAATAACTTACAAAATAAAAAAAATGTAAAGTAGCGTGTCGGATTAATTCACAGGGATAGGGTGAGGAAGGAAGTTTAGTAGGTAAACATATCAGACAGACTCCTTAGATAAGATGTGAGTGGAAGCGTTTTAAGTGCCCTGTGCAGTCCACAGCAGAAGTGTTTTTAAACTTTATTAACTGTAGGAAAGTTTTCTTACCCTCACAATCCTAAACCAAAGTGAGCTCGGTCATCTGACGACCATGAATGTCAGCGCTAAATTCTTAAGCAATACGTCTAATACTTTGATGAATACCTGACAAATAAAGTCATCACAAGAGTCATACCTCATATCTAATGGTTTTCTCTGAGAGGTGACATCTCCTGAGTTTGTTATATTGGGAAGAGAGAGTGAGTTGGCAGGGAGAGGATCTGTGAAGCGAGGAAAACTGGGCTCAAAGTTGAGCCAGAAGTCATAAACAACAACAAAGAGGAGAGCGAGTGAAACAGAGGGAGAGACAGACGGGCTGAATCTGGCAGTCTGGGGGGCATTAATGAAAAAAACAGCTCACAAACTTGTGACTGCTGTTGAGTAAACAGTCATTATCCAAGCCCTTCAATTTGCTGCTTTATCACCTCTTCTGGACTCTAACTTAATGTCTTTGTAATGAAATCCAGATGCAGGGAGAAATGTAGTGATGCGAGAGGAAAGGAGACGAGAACTCTGAGGAGGTAATGGGACAGGAGTTATCACCACTCAGCTTCTTCCTCACCCGTGGGAGCAGCGTCTGCATCCATTTAACTGAGGGCATGTGAGCACACATCGGAGTGTTGTTATTTTATTTGAGCAGATCACGCACCCATACAGAGAAATCTGATTCTGATATCAAGTGTTCTGGTTTTTGATTTCACTGGGGGTACTATTAACGACTCCTGTTTCTGCAGGCTCGGACTGGAAACTCGGCGTATATGGAGTACAAATCGCCAAAATGTGACCCTACAACCAAAAGGCAGACATCGAAGTGCAGCTTCTGCTTTAGCTTATGTCTGCTTGATTTTGATATTTTAATATTGTCAATGTTCCTTTAAGGAGACCTATTATTCTCCTTGTCACCTTTTATTTTGTCAATATGGGACACAGAAAGGACATTTTACATGAATTTGCAGCTTTGTTCCAGTGATATAGTTGGACGAAGCTTGTTGGTGTTACTTTTCACACAGCTTTATAGTCTCAAAACAACCTGAGATACAAAGGAATCATGAAGAGGGGGAATTAAATAACTACATTATTGTCCCAGAAATATAAAAACTTCCCTGTGAGCAAATTTGGAGATATATCAAACCACGAAGTTCAGAAGCTGAGCGGTGAATCTGATTTTCCAGGTGGTTTTAATAGGACATCATCATCAGCTGATATCAGGTTGTGGCAAACTCAGCCTTGGTTCAGCATGAACGACAAAAATTCAAGCATTATATGTATTAAAATGTGGCTCAGCACAATAAGTCTCTTTCAAAAAGCGCTAAATTTCGGTTTTGTGGTTAATAACTTACTAGACAGCTCATATGATGAAAAAAGCGTTTAATAAACTGAAGAAGACACACAAAACAAACACCAAACAGAACACAGCGTGAGCTTTGGCAGCGTTCAAAGACTGGTCGAGTTAAAAGAAATCATCAACATACTTTCAAGGTTACGCAGCAGAAAAACTTGAATCAGATGTTCTTATAAACCATCAGATCAAAACGCCAACTGAGAAACGCTCGTATGTTCACCCACTGAAAGGATGAAGTTTAGCGTTAATCGACTAACCTACTAACACCACTGAAGTACGACACCAACCTAGAATCTGTTAGCATTGTTGGCTGTGCTGTAAACAAAAGCAACACACAGTAAACTTGATCTTTAAAGCTTTGGAGCTAAACTGCACCTAAACTCCAAAAGATACCTTTTGAACCCAGAGGCTGTGGTGAGGATTTAAACGATAAACAAACACATGATTTAGGATGTGACCGTGCTGTCAATCTCTCACAATATCAACAAAGACTTTTTTTTTTTTTTGTATGTGGTGAGAACAGAAGGATAACTCTGAAACTGTGGTTGCTTCGACATCTTTTCAATCTATCTTTTGGGAACACGGTGGTTTATTCCTGTCAGGAAATAAAAAGGTGATGACACACTAAAAATAGATAAATATACAGGATGAGATCCAAAGAAAAAAACTCCATCCAGTTCAGAAGATCTGTTAAAGTTTAGGTCCTACAAATATTTCTGTGGTTAGTAAACCCTCTGGAGCCTCAGTATTGATTCCCAATAACCAACACTTTCATTATACTTTCATTATAGTGTTTATAATTAAACACACTTAGCAACTCAAGCTAACTGTGTTAGCCTGAGCGTCTCACTTTTCAGATTCACTGTCCACTCAGAGCCGCAAAAACGTTTTCATTAAACTTTTTATGTTGTGATAAACATAAAAACGCCATGACCTGTTTTTCTAAAGAGAGATTCTGACATTGTTCCCCTCTCTACATTAAATATCAGTTTGATGACGGATTCATAAAGTGACATACTCTCAGCAAAAAAATCTCTAGGTGGGGTGCACACCTACAGTGATCGTATATTTTTCTCCTCCCCCGTCTGTATGCATCTATAGCTCTCTCTCTCTCTCTCTCTTTCTCTCTCTGTGCATCCCTCTGTTCCCTCCGTGTTATATAAACTGCCTCTGAGACCTTGAAAGATGTTGTACAAGTTTCATCTTTTATTTTTGTTATTAAAAAGAGCAGAGTTTTGACCCTGGGAGAGACAGTGCTGGCAGCGCTCCACAGGCCTTGGCTTTGGCACTCACTAATATTTCACATTCACAACGCTTTCAAAGCCGAACCTACAGCGTTTAAAAAACTCACAAATCATGACCCCATACTGTCCAAGGAATATTTTTGACTCACAAGAATAATATTAGGGGAAAATGTTTTGGGGGTGAGAGAATCCGTCATCAGGCATCAACAGACGTTAATTTAAGTTGAAATCTGTTGAATATTCACTCAAAAAACAGCCGTACCAAAGCTTTTCTGTAGTGTAACATATACTGCCTGTGCATAGATAAATACACTCTTCATCCTCCTCATCTATCATTTCGTTTGATGCCCTGAAGACAGCGAGTTTTTCTGACTCATTTTTCAAAGCAGTTCAACGTGGTAACGTTCATTTGCAGAGCTGCAGTGCTGATGCAGAAATGGGAACCGCATGTGCATTCTTTGGAAAAAGAAATAAGGGCTCAAATGAGAGGTGTTAAAGTTTCTCTAATTGTATTTTCCTCTTGGAGGTGTTTCATCTCCTCAAAGTAGGCTATTAGATCTACAGAGACCGGTTTAGATGCAGGATAATGGAAAGGAAAGGAAAGCTGATTATGCCTACACTACCCCGGCTTCCAGAAAGCTCTTTTTAACAAAAGCCTCATTTCCACTGAACGAAACGGCTCCACTCCTTTGACTTGGGAGTACTTGGTCTTTTTAAGGCTGTTTACACAGAGACTTGTGAGACAGGAGTAACAGCTTACCAGTGAGAGGTAGACCGATTGATCAGATGTGCTAAACAGTAGGGCTGGGCGATAAAACAAAAATGTACAGATACCGAAATTTACGACAATAACTGACGTCATTTTGCCCATACCGGTATAGTCGGTGTCAAATGAATAACTAAAAGTTGGTTTTAGATGTGTGTAGGTAGGCTATGGTCTCATGTCCCTTTAAGATGCTGTCCTACGTCAGAGACGTGACTCCACCCCATCCAGTCTGTAACAAAGAGGGAAAGACAGGTGAGGAGATGGAGGACGGTTCAAAAGTTGTAGCGGCTGAAGTAGACCAAGTTAATGTGGGAGGGGGTGAGCAGCTGGTGGAGTAGTTATCGTCCATTTATCGTTATCGAGGTGAATTGATCAATATATGGTGATATTGATTTGAGGCCATATCGCCCAGCCCTTCCAAACCAAAAGTAAAAGCATCAGCTGATTGAAGAAAAAATAAATATCTGCAGACACTGTGACTCCTGCCAAGAGATTTCAGCCGTGGTAACATCTATATGAAGAGTATAAACTCTAACTGAGAAGCTGAACACAATGAATCTATTCAAAACAGTTCTATGTTTTGTATTCCTAGGCTGACTCGATGTGTGATCACAGATACGGCCTCTGATTGGTCATCACACCAAAACAAAGATGGCCACCTTTATTTAGCCAATTCAGGTAACGACAGAAATTACACTATTTCTCTAAATTGCCAAATGATTACAGATTTACTTCATTTTTTGAGGGATTGGATCCGTAAAGTCTCTGAAAATACAAAGACATTCTCCAGGATGTTGCGGGTAAACACATAGTTTATGGTTTGAAAGCTGCTGGTCTAACGAAGCGAGTAGATTTTACCATCGTAAGGTTGTAAGGATCACCGTTACCCAATCTGTTGCAGCAACATGTGTTTGTGCCTACCTACATACATCCAAAACCAACTTTTATTCATTTATTTATTTGACACCAACTATACTGACATGGGCAAAATGATGTCGTTACTGTCGTAGATTTCGGTATCTTTAAATTTTCGGTTTATCGCCCAGCCCTAGCTAAGACTCTTTAAGGCCGTTGTGGAGATACGAGTCAATCTTTTCCCAGTATCCTTAGATTTACATGTTTATGGAGGTTCCTACCTGTTCGCTTCAAAAGTAAAACTTTTTAACATCTCAACTTTTCTAGTCGGGGCCTGAGGAACATTTTGCACACGCTACAGACTTTCCTGCCGTAAGAAAGCAGAATAACCAACCCTGCAGTCCGCTCTTCTTGAAGTCAATGAGCCACACTGCCTGTTATATGACAGCTTGGAAAAATGAGGCGAAAGGGCCAAATGCAATAAACCCGTCGTCCATTGAGTGTAGGTGTGTGTTAAGTTGTCAGAGGCTTTTCTTTTCTTAGAAAGCTCACCCTTCTTGCCAGGCCCAGAGCGATGTAGCACTTCTCCCCAGCATCAACAATCTCCAGCTCGTAGTAGTGGCAGCGGGTGGTGAGTGGCTGGCGGGCCTGGGCCAAACCCACGTCCATGATGCTCTTTCCTTTGCCAACGTACTCCAGGAGCTGATGGAGAGCACAAACACAGAGAGTGAGGGAAAATGAAACTGGTAAATATATCAAAAATAAATAAATAATAAAATGGACTAGTATTTAATATGCAGACTCACATTACCACTTGAGTTATAGCCTAATAAACTCTGACTATAAGACCCGTACTGACAAAAACCACCACCAGATCGCTCTTGCTTTCATAACAGAAAAGTGTCCCCGCTCGGGGAGTTCAAATACCTCAAACTGAGTGATCTCCTGAACCCCTTCCCCTCACACCTTTTCAAAACTCCAGATCGAACAAATTTTATTACACTACCGAACCAATCCAACAATCACACTCACTTCATGCAAAAAAAATGATTCACTTCTTTCAAGCTTCCCCTTTGTTAGCAGACGAGCAGCACCTCATCTGTCCGCCGCTTCGGTCAAACTAGATGTCTCAAAAACTATTCAGCGCTCTGCTGCTCTTTTAAGAAGGAGCCAGCCGACTGCGATGATCCTCTGACATTTCCTCTCGCACTTACAACAGATTGTTTTTTTGGGGGGAAGTGGGGAATTGTCCTCTCAAGTGAAGGGTACATTTCCACAAAACGGCACAGATTTCCACTTTACCATGAGGGTGAAGCATGAGTTCAATAGCTGTATACTTCAACTTAAAGTACAGACTTCAGTTGTCTTCATGATACCAACATGCACCTGTCCTAATCAGCTCTGCTTACAGGTCCACATATCTCCGGAAAGCATGGACCAGTATGATAATATGATAGCCTTACGCCTGGTTCACACAGGAAGCGTCGCGCGCGGAACGGAAGCGCCGCGCGCGCGCGCAGCGCCGGCTCGTGCTTGGCTGTTTACACAGGAAGCGCTTCCTGCTGCGCTCTGACATGCCAGTCAGACATCGACTGAGCCCGGTAGTGCTCGGCCGTTTCCGTCTGCCCTCAGTTTTCCACACTTACGAGCGCTTTAAAAATGGGTAAATCACTATTTATTTACGTTTTTTTTTCGTCATACATAAATTAAATATTGACAGCATCTTCAAGTATTGTTTTAAATTATTATATAGGGGTAAACGACGAACAAATTGGGGAGTCTGTTGACTCTGTTGTATGTATAGCCTTGTTAGCTCGAGGCTATTGACTGTATCGTAATAAAGTCCCCCCCCCTGTCTCAATAACATCACTGAATCTCTGCAGCTCTCCCTCCGTGTGTGTGTGTGTGTTTGTTTGTGTGTGTGTGTGTTTGTTCATCGGTAAAAAATAGACCGACAAGCAACACCGTAAATCCTTTTCTAATTTATTGAAATTTACTTTATTTTGAAAATTGACCGGATTCTCTCGTATCTCCTTCCTGACTTCCTGTCTGGTCCGATCTGCTCTGTTGAGCTTTACATCGGCGCGCGCGGCTCGCGCCAAAAATAGAGAGAAGCGGAGCAGCCGCGCGCGAGCTGTGTGAACAGTCTCATAGGTTAACATGGGCGCCGATCTGAAACTCTGTGCGCGGCGCTTCCGTTCCGCGCGCGGCGCTTCCAGTGTGAACCAGGCGTTATGGGGCGCTTACACCTAGCGTGGATAAAATCACTTACTCGCTTTATTCGCGTGATTTTAGACACGTGAATGAATAGTATCTACTCGCTTTATTTGCGTGAATGAATAGTATCTACTTGCTTCATTTGTGCGTCAACAGTAATTTCAATGGTAATCCCTGCCAATTCAACCGGCAGGATCAAGTGATAGATAAAGTTTTTTCCATTTTACCAGGTAATCCGACCTCCTCACTCACTTTGATCCAGACGAGTTCCTTTTTATTCCGGTTTTGGTGATTGAAAGAAAAGGGATCATATAATTCGGGGCTCCCACACACCGACACAATCAGTTTGTCCTCCAGTTTAGATACCGTTGGTTTTCATACGTCACCCAGCAACCTTCCAGCTAGTTACTGCAACACGAATATCCGCTCAAGTTGAGATTCACCTAATTCGTGTCATTCGCATCGCCAGAGTCGTTGGAGCGTCTAATCGCGTCTTTGCACTGACTTAATATACACGCGTATGATTTTACTCGCACTTGTGTAGAGACAGTTACGCAAAAATATACAGTTTCAAGGGATCACAGTTGCAGCTCCATGACAAGTATCCATTAGTAAACACGTTAAAATGAAAAAATAGAATACAAATAGAAACTGATTTGTAGATTTCATTTAAAAATTCAACTACTAAGAATACTCAGGTCAACAAATGTACAGATTCTGTTTATGGCGTTTCTCGAAGGTCTGTCTGAGCTGATCTTCTTTCTTCTCTGCGATGGTCACCTGACAACACCGCTGTAAAGAGAGTCATCTATTTAAGCTTTACTTCAAACCTGTCAGAGTTAAACCCGAGCCTGGATGAACTCGCCCTCACATGGTATTTTATCCAGCTCTATTTGTATTTACGGCAACCAGTCTGCTGTTGCGTTTGTTTTAAATGTTTCCTAATTCCACTAAGCTGCGTGTTTCTTTTGCGCTGCGGCCCAAGGCGGATTTCCCTTCCTGGACAATGAAATAAATCTAATGTAAAAGCTTGTACGCATCATTTTGGCCTCTCCCCTCTGCATTTAACAGCGGCCATTCAGAGCTGCTATAAATAATTTCGCCCTCAGACAAGGTGGGGTGACTTGTTGTACAAACTACTTTGTTTCAGGCCTTAACTTTCTCAGTAAACCTATTTACTGCTGTTATATAATTCCGCTGACTTTCTCCGGAGCGGCTTAGGTTGACTCGTCAAGGAGACCCGGCCCAAGGCTACGTCAAAACTGGATGTGAAACAGCAGATCAAGCTCGGGCAGGATCTTGCAAGGGTGTCCTCTTGGTGAGTGGGCTCCGTGACAGACTGACACTTTCAAACCCAGTCAAACCCTCGCTGAGCCGCCCCTGGTGACAACCCTACAAGTACCAACAGCCAACGAAAATGCAGTTACTGTCAGGTCTGTTTTAGACTTAAGCGTCAGTGCGGAGTGGGTACAGATGAGTAGGTGGGCAACTAGGCAACCACAAAGCTTTTAGGCTGAGCAGGGTTTCCACAGCAGAGGAGCGTGTGTGTGTGTGTGCGTGTGTGTGTGTGTGTGTGTGTGTGTGTGTGTGAGTGAGCAGAAACTCCCCCAGGAGCAGAAACTCCCCCAGGTTCAAAAGCCAGGATGACAGACAAGGTGGGGGTGGACGAAATTACGACTGCATTAAGTCTCAATGTGTAAGTGAGCGAGTTTAGCCGGTCAGACACACCTGGAAGAAACAGCTATTCAATCCCTCCGTATTATGAAAAGTCAAGAGTTTCAATTAAGTTATTACCATTGGTCTTTTTTGTTATTCTCTGTTGCTAGGCGATACATCATCATGGGCGTGAGAGAGCGGTGGCGCAACCGAATGCTATATTTGGTGGATCTTAAGTTGTTTAAAAGTGAAACGGGTTGTCGGTTAATATATTAAGCGGTTAAAACCACACAGGGCTGTAAGATAAATAGAAGCAGAACCACAGAATCGGACAGTTATGACCAGAAATTAAACCAAATAAAGCAAATTTTCCAAAATGAATTCACAAACACAAAAGTCATTAAAGACCCACTCTGATGAAAATCATGTTTTTCTTGTTGTCTACATGTTCATATGACATTTTTCTGATGCTACAGGACATATCATGAGAAAAAAAAGTGTGAAATTGCATTTCTGAGAATTATATTAGAAACAGCACATACTTGAGAGTAGGGATGGGCGATAAAGTATCGTTCACGATATATCGTCAGAAAAATCCTCCATGATGAATACAACAAATGCAAGTTGATGACGTAAGCGCGAGCAACGGACTCACAGCCATAGCCCACACAGAGCAGAATAACAAATAAACATGGCTGAAGGTGATGAAGAAGATGTTTCTGAGCAGCTCGTTACTGAACGAGGCTCCACAGAGGGATTTCCTTCAAGATTGGGGTTTAGATGAGCACAAACAGGTCTGCCTGACATCAGACAGTGGATCTGCTGCTGTTCACTCTCTGCAATAATAATGTCATTAGTTTTCTCCATAACCTCTCACTGAAACTTGTGGTTAAGTGTCTTATTTGACTATTCCAACTGGTGTCCTCAAGACAAAATGTGTCAAAAATATAGATTGGAATTATAATATTTTTAATCGGGACTTTTATCATTATTGCCAGAACTTATCGGATAATCTTTTTTTAGCCCATATCACCCATCCCTACTTTAGACGTTTCTACAAATCGTCTTTTTTTTGTGTGGCTGTTTTTTATCCTTTAATTCAGGCTCTGTTTAAAAAACTTTGGTGCTGTCATGTAAAACAAAAACTTGCCTGTTCATTTGTCCTGTAAACTTCCGTCAGACCAAAGGCTTGTAATTTAGAGGGCAAACTTTTGTCACAGAGGGTAATTCACCACGATGAAAGCCTGGAAATCTTCCCCCGATTGTCTTTTTGCGAGGCTTTGTTGCTATGCATCTTTAAACTAATGGAGACAAAGAAAATCTGGAACGAGAACTATATTTCTTCATCGTTTCTTTTTAGCACTACCCTGATTAATTGTTCCCGTGGATAACAGTATTAGCCTCCACCTTGTTGTTAAATACTGCCCTTTCATGTGTACTCTTGTGTCTCCCTAACCTGCTGCACTTTCATGCCTGGACAGCTGCACGTCGACAGGGAGAGGAGGAGAGTTTCGGTGTGATGACTGCTCAGTCACACCTTTTCTATTTGCTTCATGCTGCTGAGTAATAGAGGGAGGAGAGAGACGAGAGGGCAGAGACAGAGACGTAGCCTTGAGCGCGGCGTGCCTCACTGTGATCGCTCCTCTCAGCTGCTCCTGTAATTGTGAGAATGGCGATGGTGGTGTGCAAGGCCGTGTTTTGTTAATCTGCTGCTGGGGAAACAGATGCAACGCCCAGTGAGTGGTCCTGCCAGCTTCCTGTCACACCTAATGGGTGAACTCAAAGAGATCTGAAATTGATATTAAAAGACCTCTCCCAGATCGTGTTCTTCAGCGAGTCGTCAACTCAACTTAGATCTTTCAGGCGTCAAATTACAGTTTTCTTTGCAACAAGTTTTGTCTGAAAAACACTAAAATCCTCAGTCTGCTTTCTGACGACGTCATTAAAAGTTATCGTTAAAGTTTATCGGTGAACGGGAAGTGGTTGGACCGTGCCCCCTTTACTGAGCTGTAGTCCAGCGGCGCAGGTTTGATTCCTAACTCATATGTTTCTCCTCTAAAGGCATAAAAGCCCAAAAATTAACTAAAGAAGAAAGTCTTTGGTATTAATTGATCTAAAATATTTCATGAATTTGAAAATTTTCCAGCTGTTCCGCCCCTCTAGGCGTGACCTTGTTCAACGAGGCACTTACGAAACACAAAAACCAAAACACATCCTGTGATTACCACAGGCCTCAAAAACAGACGGCTGAAAAAGTAAAAAGTGCTGAAAGACGAGATGATATTTGCTTGGATACGTACGCCATCCCTTCTGGCAACTTTGCCACCCTGGAAAAACTATTAATGTGTCCTTTATTATTATGATTTCAAAATGATCGACAGCGGGATGACGAGCAAAAACATTTAAGCACGATGTTACCACCACAAATACTTCAACAAAACGACGCCCTCGTACGATACGAATGCGATCTTTTCGAAAACTGAACATCAACGCTGATGCTCTTGAATGACACCTCGCCTCTCATTCTTCATCTCTGACCCAGGTCCGCTCGAACACGAGCAGCCAGCCAGTCTCCTCTTGATGAAACCATTCAAAGTTTCCCTTGTTCTCACGCTGCTCGGTTCACAGAACCGGCGGTAACCGTGACGGTGCCGCCGCTCCGCCTGGGAGTCGTCTCGATGAGAAAGTTGTGAACTTTCTGTCAAGAGCAGTGTCTTGTTGGGATCGATGACTATTGTTCACTGAGGAAGGAAGGAAGGAAGCAGGCAACCTTAGAAGGGTGTTGGTACCAAACTGGCTCTGACTCTTGGAAAGCGCGATGATAATTATGACTTGACTGATAAACTTTTTGCCGGGGCAGGGAAGGAGACATCCTGAAAAGGGGGGGTTTGAAAACTCTTGTGCACCTCAGACGGTGAGATACGAACATCCTGGAGACCTGAAATCTACCTCTGCAGGAGTGTGTGGGGGCTCTCGTTCACTAAACTGATAACTGCAGGCTCAGGTGCTGTTCACTTACTCGTGGGCCCGCTCATCCGCAGCTGAGGGGATTAAGTTGGTGGGCACAGCGACGGCTGTGACAACAGGAGGCGGAGGCTCGTGTTTGCACTGAGCCGCACGTACGCAGAGGAGAGCCGGCCAAATGTGTGCGCTCCAGAAAAACAGCCGAGCGAAGGCATGGTGGCGGGCAAAAGAAACCCACCATTCAGGTGGATGATTATCAAACACGCTGTGTTTGCCTTAGACACCTTCAGCTGACAGTCCAGGATAAGAAAGGAGAGATAATGGATCGAATGTGGGATGAAGTCATCTTAAAGAGACGGAGAAGTTAGATCGCCTGTGAAGGATTATCAAATGTACTGAGGTGAAAGAGAACAGATCGATCAAATCTAACTTAACATCCAACTTAGTTTGCAAAATTATCGTGATTATACTGTAGTCAGTTTCTTTTCTTATTCAGTGAATCCAAACTGACTTTTTTTTAACATAACCCTGTTTGTGAATTTTAAAGAAGTATTTATAATTTATCTGAACGAATGTCGTCACTCAATGGAGTTTGTTGATAACCACCGGTATTCAGTCGAACACGGTGGACAAACTAGTAACATATGAGTTTTGTAAGAGAGCAGCTGTTAGTGTTTTTGTGTTTTTTTCCTTGAAGGCCACCGTCACTTCATCAACAGGAGGGGTGAGCAAGGGAGCATTTCAATCCCGAATCTGAGCATTAGACATCACTAAATAGACAGGAGTGGTAGGGTGATGGTAGCTCAGGAGGTAGAGCGGTCGTCTAACAACTGGAAGGTTGTTGGTTCAATTCACCCCCCAACCCCTAATTTGTCTGTTGTGTCCTCGGGCATGACACTTACGGCTAAAACCCACAGAATCCGGAATGGCTAATCAAATACGCAAGCATTATAATCAATGTGAGTGATACCACAGAATCCATCTGTCATCCGGACCCGCTGCGGATTGCCTCCGGCTTCTATTTTTGCCAGCACATTTACTCAGTGCAGCGCTGCACGAGCAGCAGAGGAAATTGTATGCGGCTACAGAGTAAAATATCCGGTTAATTTTCAAACTAAAATAAAGTCAATACATTGAACGTGTTCTTCACTTGACAATAGATGAGGCCGGAGTTGTAGGATGTGGGTGCTTGTATAAACCGCCATCTATTTACACCGATCAACAGTGGGCGCTGTATGCTTGCATATTTGATCCGCCTGCGGTCCGGAGCCGTTCCAGATCCAGTGGGATTCCCGGGTTAACCCACTTTGCTCCTAGTGTGTCCTCCACTGGTGTGTGATTCATTTGTACGTCACTCTGGATAAAAGATTGTAATTGTAAATATTTCCATTTTCAAACACTTTTCCTTTTAATTTTCCCCAAAATAAAACAGCAGAAACGTTCATTGTTTTCACAAAAGAAAGGAAACTTCTGTTTTTCTTCGTCATTCTATACTTTTGGTTTAGTGCTAAATATGGAAGAAAAAACCTTGTTTTTCTCGAATCATTAAGCTGCACTACCACGCCTCAAATGTTCCTAAATAAGAACTCTCATCGCCGGGGTATGTGTAGTATATAACTTACATAACTTTTAGGTCATCTGGATTCTTTCTATCGAGGCTCAAACGCCAACAGAGGGACTGGCAGAGGATTTTATTAGCAGAGACAAAGTTATGAAAACAGTTGACGACTAAACGTATGGCTGTTCTGACCCGTTAGGGGACAAAGGTTCGAGTCTCGTAAGGCGGTTTGGTTCGATGCGGTCAGATGAGTCCGTCAGGCAGCTATCAGGTACTTTGAGGGCTGTGATTTATCACTGACATCTGTTTACAGGAGGAGAGTCACTCTGGTTTACCACACGAGTTTAATCTAATCCCAACGACTGTGCAGTTACTTTATTAACAAATAGCGCCGTTAATACCTGACCTTTTATTCTCAGGTCCTGCTCTGACAGAACTATTGAGTGAGAGGTGTCAAGCAGCAGGACTGGGAATCCAAAGTGTTTATAGATTTTCCAAACGGAGTGAGAAGCGAGCCACAATAGAGAGAGGGGAGATACTGGGCATCATGTCAGAAAGTCTCCTCTGGAAGGAATTCAAGTATTGCACTCAATTGTTGACATGAAAAGTACCACAAAACGTTGTGTAACGAACGAAAAAAGGGATCTGGAGAAACAGAAAACTGAACTCGGTGTCAAGTCTCCGAAACGTTTTGTGAAAAATACTGCTTGTACTTGAAACAAAAACCAGAACACGTCCAAAACCGAAATCTGGTCAGGTTCTATTTTTGAGCAGAATCTATTACCAGCAATTACCGCACAGCTGTCCAGCAGCAGCAGCACAATGTTGGTTTGAGTATAAAAAAGTCACGGATTATATAACTTTTTAAATTCCACAGATTTCTAACATTAATCCAACACAAATTAAATGTTTCCTTTTGTTAAAAAAAGACATTTTTCTGTATTTCAGTCATGGTTTCACTTATTTATCCACCCATTTGACAAATAAACTCATCTAGCCTTAATTTCAACACTCAGGCCATGATACACACAGGGATTGTACTGCTAATTTGGAAACATGAGCAGAGAGTCAAGAGCCAGTTTTCATTGATTTGGGGTTGTTTAAGCTCCCTCTGTGCAAATCCTCCCAGAGAGATGTTGTAAACTGCACTGAAGTACTCCTAAGCATTAGTGATCATTAAATAATCAATAATCAATGTTTTAATCAGTCTGTGGCTCGGACCCTCTTGACCATATATGGTCGGTTGTACCTTCGACAGGAAAAGAGTGCACAGTACAGATAATGCACAGCTGAGAGCGGAGATGCTGACAGCTTGTCTGCGCAAAACAAAGTCAACTGCAAAGGTTTGTGGGTCTTTTTCGCTTGAATATCATTACTGAAACACATTTTGTGACTTGGACCTTAAAGGGGGACAAATAATGGATAATTACTGGTTCTTTATGTGGCGAGATATTCTTTGTAAATTCCCCTCAAATGTATATTACTTCTTAAAAGTCTTTACCATGGAAAATGTAGAAAATTCTAAAACCTGGAAACGCTGGAAAAGTTATATTTCTCTCTCCTATTCAGGTTGGCATTGAGGCACTGTCATTCAGCACATGATTAATAAATCAATTAAAGTTTTATTAAATGATCAAATGGTTCAAATATTTGTAAGTTTTTTAGAGGAAACATGATTTTTGCCCAGTTTTGACAGCTTAAATGCACTTTAATGCTGCATTCCAGTTACCTAGGAAGTCGGAGATGGGAATGGCGTTATACCCGAGCTGACGGTATTCCACTTAACAAGTCGGAAAACCAGGATGGACGCCTACAGTTACCCGTTGTTAGCTGTTGTTTACAATTGTCAGCTGTTGTTAGCCGTTGTCAGTTGTTATTAGCCGCTGTCAGTTAGACGTTGGGCAGTACAACATCAACCACTTATTTAATTTCATAAAAACAAAACAGAAGTGCTCATAAATAAAACATTATGAGAGCTTTCACTGTTACATTTTAGTCTTGATTCACTGCGCTGCCATCTTGGATTATGACATTGTCGTCAAGTCGGGGCTGGTGAGGATCGTCCGACTTTCCGAGTCGGAAACCCGACTTCAGGGGGGCGTTCCAGATAATTTGTGACTCAGAGCTCAGAAATCCGGATTTCTGAGTACAACTGGAACGCAGCATACGCACTCTGTTGGAAATAGTTCAACTTTTTGATCACCGACCAATCAAATCAGGAGGGGGCGAGACTTCCGATGTTATTAGGGGTACATTTTTGAAGTCTAGAGCTGCTGTCATTACTCTGATACAAACCAAACCTATTCAGCCAAATTAACACTGACTGAGATTTCATAACACTACAGAGAGATAAAGTTCACCTCAAGTGTCATTAAACAAGTGGATAAATTAAGAGAATCTGTTGCCGGGTAGAAATCACCATGCTCATGTCTACAGTTTAAACATAAAAGCAGAGCTCTCTGAAATAACCTGGTCTAATAACGGTTAACTAAAATAGAAAAAACGTGCATTCAACACAGATCAAGTCTCTGTATTTATTTCTCTGCATGTATTTCAGTTTGCAGACTGGAAGAACAGGGAGGACTGAAGATTCAGCACCCCAGACAAATGGCCTTCAGATGAATGACTAAAAGACCAAATGAACAAAGGAGGGAGAAAATAAAACGAGGGAGGCCAGACAGAAAACCTCCCTGAAAAGTTTTCTTTTATACAAACTTTTGGTTCCAAGGGAAACCAAATTTGATTACAAGAAAGAGAGTTACAAAAACAGGCGAGGACAAAAGAGGATAAAGCAGAAGTGTGTGTGTGTGTGAGTGTGTGTGGGGATATTGGGTAAGACAGGTATGATGACAGCGTGTAGAAATCTCTGATCAGATAGCCACCTATCTAAACCCAGCTGCAGACAAGTCACTACGATCACCATTGTCCTCTGTGCATTCTGCGGCTTTGCCCTGTCAGTACTGTCTCATCAAAAGCATACCAGTCAGAAAAGTCATTAATCTTCCCGCCGTCACCCGGTTTCCCCCCCAACACCAATTAGACAGCAATGTGTAAAAACGGTTTCAGTGTTTGGATTCAGTGTTTGTGAGGAGCTGAACAAACCGCTGAAGGCCAGGAGAGGTTTTATTCATCCACGGCAGCTGAACGAGAGATCTCTAAGTCATCTGAAACCACCCAGACTGGAGGATCTGTTGCTAAGCTGCACGTGAGAAAGAGGAGAGGAAATTTTTCCATCGCTTCAAATATGTCAAATATGTTAAACTCACAGCTACAGTATGGGGCGGCTAAGTGTGAGTGAAATCCAGAGTTTAGTTTGGACTAAGGGATTAGGAGAGGAGGGGAGATGAGGAGAGGAGAGGAGAGAGCAAGAGGAGAGGAGAGGAGAGGAGAAAGCAAGGAAAGAGGAGGGGAGGGGAGGAGGAGAGGAGAGCAGAGAGCAAGAGGAGAGAAGAGAAGAGGAGACGAGAGGAGATGAGAAGAGAGTAGAGGAGAGGAGAGAATAAGGGAGGAGAGGAGATGAGAAGAGAGGAGAGGAGAGAAGAGGAGGGGGGGAGAGGAGAGGAGATAAGAGGAGATGAGAAGAGAGTAGAGGAGAGGAGAGAAAAGAGGAGAGGAGAGAATAAGGGAGGAGAGGAGAGGAGAGGAGAGGAGAGGAGAGGGGGGAGAAGAGGAGAGGAGAGGTGAGGAGAGAGCAAGAGGAGAGGAAAGAAGAGGAGATGAGAAGAGAGTAGAGGAGAGGAGAGAATAAAGGAGGAGAGGAGATGAGAAGAGAGGAGAGGAGAGAGCAAGGGAAGAGAAGAGGAGAGAGCATGAGGAGAGGAGAGGAGAGGTGAGAGCAAGGGAAGAGGAGAGGAGAGAGCAAGAGGAGACAAGAGCAGAGGAAAGGAGAGAGCAAGTGAAGAGGAGAGGAGAGGAGGTGAAGAGATGGGCCAAGGGCAGAGGAAGAGACAAGGAAACACAACAGAGAGAGGAGATATTAATGCCAGGAAAGAGGGAAGAGAAAAAGAAGAATCAAGGATTGGAGAGGGAAGAGTGGACATGTCAGAAGGTGGAAGGAAGGGATAGTAGGACACTAGGTAAGGAAACAAGTGGCTTTTATACCTCTGATGCCTAACTAAAACGCACAGTTATACAGGTGTCCCACTGTGTAAATTGATGACATTAGCAAAGCGTAAGGGGCATGACATGTAAACAAATGTCCATCCTGCTGGCTCCACTGTTCATACCGGGGATGACTCCAAACAAAGTGATTTTCTACTTTTTAAACAAACAAACCAACTTAACCTAATGTAAAAAAAACACTTAAAACCGTCAAAACTAAGCAGAAGTTATTCAACACGACTCAACAATAACAGAGTCAGCAGGAAACGCAGATTTGAGGAGTGTGGCTAACACTAGCAGAGTCTGCACCACCTGTCTTCAGTCCTCGTCGCAGGGTTACATTGACAGGTCTGTTCTGGTTGTGTTGTTACAGCCGATATATGATTTGTTTTCCAGTTTAAAATAACACTAAAGCAGACGAACATATGGCTTATATAGAGCAAGTGTAACAGGATGTAGAAGAGAGGAGGTGAGGACAGAGGGAAGGAGACGGGGTGGAGGAGAGAGGATAGAGTGTGTGTGGTGGTGATACAGAAAGAAAACAGGGTTTGTTTGTTCAAAGATCCAAAGTTGGAAAAGTTGAAGCAAACAGAGACGGTTTCAGTTTCAGTTTTAAAACCACTCAATGAATAAAACAAATTAAAAGTCTAAATCACCGAGGAGATTAAGTGAGACCACCTTGAGGCAGACAGAATGTTCTGCCCTTAAAACATAATCTCACCCCACACTTCTCCTGCGAACGCAAAGGTTTCGAGCCTCGAAAACAAACTTCTTTTTTCCCTTTAATTCTCCTCCTATCACTTCACTTCCTTCACCACACTCCCCCCTTTTTTCTTTCTCTTCAAACTTTCATCCCACTCCCTCCGTCTGTCCTCATTATCTACACTCGTACTTGTTCAAACTTGACAACTTATCGGTTGGAGTATTAACACCTGCACACTGATGACCACATCATGCGCCTCGGGGGCTAATGGTAGCTTACTCATGAGAGGGAAACAAAGAGAGAGAGAGAGGGGGGAGTGAAACCTCGTGGACGTCTGAGTGGACTGTGCAGCCGGGCACCCCAGCTGTGAAAACCTCCAACCACATTAGAGATGGTAAAAGATTCCTGCGAGTCCCGTTACTCCACTTATTGAATTTTTACAACCTTGTGGACCGCCAGGCACTTGGCTCGGCCGACGAGTTTCATGCCATTGCCACGGCTCGGTCCAGAAAAACAGAAGAAGGGGAGACGGAGAGCAAGACTGCTGGTTGAATCATCCCTCTCTGCTTTTATGACCCGTCTGCTTCGAGAAAAGACGGTAGCCTCTGTACTGTGTGTGTGGCGCATGATTGTACCGCCGCGGACAGCCACGTTTATCACATAACCACATACGGGACCCACACGCAGCCTGGCCTCCATCCCTCTTATGTCAATGAGAGACCCGATCTTAGTCTTGTGGTTTCTTTCTGAAGAAGTTCGAGGGAAAGGGGGGGGTCGGACTCACACCTTTCCTCAGAACAAAGGTGCTACAGTTCACTACTGTACGTACGAGGAGGGTACAGCTTTGTGATTACACACATGATGACACAGCAGCGGTTCTTAACAATGGGATCCACCTAAGCGAATAAAACCACCTACTGCACCTGAATCACAGTTTCTGTGAGAGTAACCTGAACCTGAACCTGAACCTCTATCTGCGCCACCAACAGGGCCAAGCATCAGTCAGCGTTAACTGCCGTGCACGCTTGTCTTTGGCGTGGAACGAGGAGAGCACGCCATGCCAGGGATGTTAGTTTAAACTGTGTGTGATATCATATTCAGGGAAAGAACAGAAAAGGTGACTCAGGCTGTTCTGTGAAATATTAGTGATGGGAAGATCAGTTCTTTTGACTGAGTCTTTAGAATCCGTTCATTAAAAGGATTCGTTCAAAAGATTCGTTCACTGAATCAGTCAGGGCTCCAGAGCAGTACACAAGTGAGTGACACAGCGGCGAGTTCGTTCATTAACGAGCAGATCTTCTGTGGCGGAGATGCGACACTTCCTGTATGCGATGCTGAATTTGATCTAGAGTCGTAGCTCGTCATTTAATAGTTGGCAAAAAGCATCAGCAAGACACGAACAGGATGTCACTTTTACAGCTCTGGACTGTTCGTTTGTTTACGAGCCAAAACATCCACATTATTCTGCGTCCATCTCAAAGCTCGGCACGTGAACGCAGACCGCTTAGGCCGGTTTCAGTCTGCCTGAGCTGAATGTATGACAGGGAGGATTAATCCCCAAAGGGATTATCCAGGTATGTTAGTTCAGACTTAAAGAGATTTCAGTCAGACTAACAGGTTTTTAAAAGTCCAGTTTCAGTCGGATTATTGCAAAAATCAACATTTTTACAACATTTTATCTACAGTTACCTTCACTTTATATCAGTAAACCAACTTAAAACCTTTCAAACCCCATTTTTACTACTGTAAATACATCCAATGTACTACTGCATAATTTATGTCATATACTTATATTTATAGTCTGTTTATAGCCGTCATATTTATAACCATATATATAATCTGTTCATAGCCTGTACATACACTACTATAGCCTGTACATACTTCATCCTCATGTATATACCTCCTTCATAGCGTGTACATTTGTAAATATAATTTGATTTCTATTCTATTCTATTTTTGACCGCCTGAGTTCGTTTTAATCCGGGTTAACACTTGACTCAACTCCTCTAAATGTTCTCTCATGTGTCTTGGGTGTTGTCCCGTCCTGCTGCCCTCCTGAATAGATGCTCTCATTGTGATCTGCCTCCTGGAAACCCCATCGCGCCTTTCTTTGCTTTTAACCGTGGATAAAAAAATTAAGTGTGTCCCCCTCCTTATGTTCCTGAGCTTCGCCGGCGAATTCGCCAAACAGTTGCATAATCATCCCCGACTCTGATGCAGCAAAGAGGGAGCAAAACAGACTCGACATCTCCACTCTGTTTATTTTGTTACGGGACGTGTTCTCGACAGAAAAAGGAGAAAATCCGCGAGCTGATGTCACGACAACATCAACGCTTTTAACGTGACCCAAATCCAGTCTCGACAAGATCCTACGACCACGAATTAGACAGAATAATATTAGAGTCATTGTGTCAGGAGCGTTCCCCTGACTTTCAGAGGGCAGTAAGTACAGCTGTCAACAAAGAGGGATTTGCTGGAGAACAGACGGTTGAAGGATCTTGTAGGAGAACAAAACAAACACGAGGGGAGACTGGCAACAGCCGTGCAGACGAACAAGCGGGAGAAAAGCTACTCCGTAATCCGTCCTTTTCAAGAGACATATGTTAAAAAAACAAAGTGAGATTTTTCCCGCTGCTTACGTTGGAGGCAACTAGTTTGAGTTACCTTATATGACAGAATCTATGCATCCTGGGTTTTCTCTCTCCATCTGAGAAAACATCTTCTAATTAACCCACATTCTTCCAAAACACACACATGCCTGTTCTTCATTTTCAGTCCTGTTTGGAGCCAATAAACATATCAGTTTTGAGGTGATTTTTTTTCCCCCCTTTCTCAGAGCTGCTATTTGTGTCGACTTTGGCCGGTGAACCCGAGCGAGCAGTACATCTGTGATCATAAAGATCTCGCTCTGGCTGACGTGTGCACTTTCTCCGGGATCTAGTGACCTAAATCAAGACGCATATATCTTCATGTTGTAAACACAGCTGTTTGCAGAATGCTCAGCAATGAGGTGATGTGATTTATTCCTCTAACAACAACAATAAAACGCTGTAAATTTCATCCTAGAGCTATTTATACATCGTCTTATAGTAGTAATTTTGTTGATTAGGTTAAAACTTCAAACTGAAACTTCGCCACGTCAGCTCTTCTGGTGTGTACGCACTAAATTACTTTTCGGGAATCAGGCCCTGAGTTAGGAAAAACTGACATGGAGACAGAATATTTCTGTTTCTATGTTTGACAGTTTGGAAATAAAAATAGAAAAATAAACAGACAAGTGTGGAGAAAAAAAAAGCATGTAATTTCAATGCTTACAAAGTGCTAATTCTGGCAGCTAATTTGGTCTGAAGATGAAAGTGCACACAGATTTTTTCCACTTGCATGGATGAGTCTGCTTTTCTGACTCTGAATCAACACAGAGCTACAGACAGAAGAACTCTAATATTACAGTGACGAATCAAAGGATGTTCACGTTTAAGCATCATCACCTTAAAGGGATATTCCGGCGTAAATTTAAGTTATGGTTAGAACAAGTTAGACCCCCCCTCAAGAGATGAATGTTGCCGTTTGCTTCTCTAGTTATACCAACTTTAGTAACGACCGCAGGATAGAAATACAGAGAGCCACGTGCTCAACCAAAACACCACTCTATAGCCACAAATAATGCTCAGAACAGCACCTAACTTCATCAACAGGACATATTGGGTCACAGACATAGTACTAGACACCAAACATCTTTTTAACTTTGACTCATTTCTTTAGCAAAGAGACCGAACCATAGCCTGTATAAACTACAGACAACTTGGTTCTGCCTTCCGCCAGTATACGGATTGGAAGCCAAAAAGCTCTCAGTATTTCTGCAATTTTTCTCCATTTCCTAAACCATTATTGTGCAGTAGCATTGTACGCATTCGGTGGGAGAGTCGCTGTGATGTTGCTGTAACCCTCTGGTGAGCTACACTATCTTCGTACGCCCGTAGGCTGAATCAACTGTCAATCATAGAAAACATGAACGCCCTAATAACTTTTAAAAACGGAGCTGCACAGAAAAAGAGGACTTGAGCACAAACCAGTCTGACAGTAACTACATGTCGACATCACAACCAGGGGGGAGAAACATTTATATTCTGTGTAATAAATTTCTAAATTTTGTCCACAGCTCCATAGGGATTTTCGGAAGAGGCGTGTTATGACCTATACTGCAGCCCGTCACCAGAGGGTGCTGTTCTCGGAGTGGCTTCACCCAGCAAGGAGGCAGTTCTTCTCGGTCTGATTGCATTTCCCTGAAGAAATAATCATAAATGTTCTTCCTTCAGCTGCGAAACTCCGCTGCACTCAGTGATCAACTTGTCAAGCAACAAGCAAGCGGCTGCTGGGGGGGAGTAGGTGAGTTGTGTTTGATCTCTTTGCTACATGCTGTTGCTGTTCTGAGCATTATTTGTAGCCTTTCGGTTGAGGTTTGTGCGTGAATATGTAGAACGCTCTGTGTGTTGCTATCCTGCGGTCGTTACTAAAGTTGGTTTAACTAGAGAAGCAAGCAATCAGCAACTCGAATTAAATTCGCTTAAATTTACGTTGGAATGTCCCTTTAACTAGAGATGTTAGTCTATAATCCGTTTGGAGCTGCTGCACTACAAACAGACTTTAAATAGACTCAGATCCATATGAGGAGTATCATCTTTGGCTTCAACCCAGTCATAGCAGAGTTCGACCGTCCCGCAGAGCAGCTACCCCACACTTCACTTCTATTTGTCTGTTTTACCTGCAGCTCTCAGCGTGCGTCCTCGTCTTCCATCAGTTATAAAATTCCTCGCGTACAGCAGGTCGTCCGTCCTGCTGGGCCGCTGACAGCTCTGTCAGCGGGGAGAGAATCCTCCGCAGTGAGGGGAGTGCAGCAGGTTTGTTTCACTTTTTAATTACCTTTCTTTATCGCAGTTTGTTTTGTAATCCTGAGACACGGCTCGGTTTGTTAAACCTACAGCCCACCATGTTGTGAGTTCAGTGAGTCAGCTTTAAAGAAACGCAGTGACTCAGCGTCGGGAGATCAAACGGGAGGGTTTCTAAACTGATGATTTAAATTGTAAATACAGGAGGCGATCCCTGAAACGTCTGTGCAAAAGCTAAACAAGGAATGACAAAGAGCAGTTGTTTCTGCCCTTTAACGAAAATGTCACAGAATTGTTTAAACAGTGAGGGGCACAAAAAAAAAAAACTAAAATATCTGCTGCTGCTTACCGTGCCGCTCACCCTGACGTCATGCAGTCGCCCCCAGTCATCCTCATGGCTGTCCACCATCATCATACTTTCATCTTCATCCAGGAACCACTCAGCCTGCAGGTCCACCTTCACCTCCTCCCCCATGGAGTGCATCCCGACAGCGGGGAACAGCCCCTCTGCAGAGACAGGGACCTCCACTGAACCCACCTGCGTCATTGAGGGACGTAAAGACACGGTTAACAGTCTCACTCATGGAGACTTACAGACTGACAGTACGATCGGTAACACTCACCTCTTTGCCATTTTTGGTGAAAAAGACCGTCGTTAAACCTGCTTCGATGTTTTCTGAGTGGATCCCACAGCCGATGCGGTCCCCACGGACACACTTTGGTCCAAACTGCTGTCCTACAGGGTTGCCGTTGTACAACCTACAAAGAATAGAGACAAACATCATTAAATTCTTCAGTATGAAGGTTTATATTTCCTCCAACAGTGAAGTGAAGTGATTCAAACTTCTCCAAGTAACTCCGAAAACACACGGCTGACCCTAAAGCTGAATTTATATTTGTTGAGTATAGAGTATGCGAGGTTACAGAGCCTACGTGTGTGGGCTAAGCTGTAGTTAATATGCATCATGTCAGAAAAATAACTCAGCGAGTACACAGAGTACCAACTCGGGATGATAATGACTGTAGACTTCTCTGCTTCTGTTCGCTCCTGTCAGCTTTCAAAACCAGCAAAGTCAAAATAAACGACTTAATCAGGTTCCTAGTTATAAGGATGTTTGTTTTTTTAAGGTTTTATTTCACATAAAAAAGTTAGTTTGAGTTGAGAGAGTTTTTAAATATAATCTAACACAGTGTGACACATGAGAAAAGTCGAGTTTTGGGCGTCATGAAGCAGCAGGACGTCGAGTGTGACTCAGAAATCATCTTTAAGCTTTGAGGACAAACAACCTCAATTTTAAAAAAACAAATGATTTTAAAACCAAAACTCAAAACACAGCTTTTTAGTCCTGCTTTTAACTCGACTTTATCACATTAACTTTGTTTCAGTGTTTCAGCATTTATCTCTTTCTAGTTTTAATGACAGGATCGTCTTTTATTGAGCTATTTTGGTGCTCTTATTTTTTTACTGTTTTGGCTTTATTTCATTTTATTCAGTATTTCTAAAATTTATTTCTATCTTACTTTGTTTTTAGATTTTAACCTAACCTCAGGTGTTTCCTTATCTTGAATTTTAAAACGGCGTTTCCTCAGTTTCTACGCATTTTAAAACATGTTTCTGTTGCGTTGAGATCGTGGGGTGGGACTGAGGGGTTGGGTTGGTATGATTTGGGTATTCTTTGTGTTACATGGTTGTGTATTAAAAGTGCAATATAAATAAAGACTGATTGATTGATTGACACTGGGACACTGTGTACAATGTTGATAGAAATGGAATTTAAGAGGTTTAAAATTTAATTCCTGTGTGTAATTAACAACAGAGCAAAGACGACCAGAGTTTAAAGGTGAAATTTCCCAGGGTTTCATCTGCTCGTCAGTTCAGTGTTTTTGCGTCATAATATGTTAAATGTGTCACTTTAGCTCCAGGACTCTTCTCCTACAGAGTCATGCTGTTGAGAATGTGGTTTGTCATCGTCTTGCTGAAAAAAGTCAATGTCTGTCTGGCGTATATCGCTCTATTAGTCAGCATTAATGTGTAAACTACTCATGCCATGAACACTTATTCATCCTCGTACCATCCTGGATACTGTGTGCTGGAAACAAACCAGGTGGTCCCTCTGTTTGCTGACTATCTTTACCCTCTCTAGCTGACATTTGTCTCCTACATTTACCACAATTCATCTCTGGACATAATTCCCATAACTACCCAAAATTAAAAAAAGAACTCCTCTATACTGAATATAGTCGTCGTTTTAACTCCTATAAAAGATATAATTAGCCGTGTAAGGTTCAGAGCCATCCTGCCAAATCTCCTGTTTCCGTTAGCAGTCAAATTTTTCCCCTTAAAAATGCAAAGTTAGAGTCGGAGCGATGGAGAATGAATTACTGTGCTGCTGTAGTTTGAGAGGAAGACGAATCAATTGGCCACAATCCATTATGTCAAACCATGCAAGAAACCAAAGCTGTACAGTAGAGTATAGATGACTGTGGTTTGACTTACTTGCCGTTGTCAGCGTGGTAAGCTACAGAGTATGGCAGCCAGCCAGGCTGGTGGTCCAGCCTGTAGAATTTAGGCACCAGGCCCACAGCGATGGTCCCCCTCACCCCTGTGTCCACTATTGTCACCTACAAACACACAGAGACAGACAGGACACCCTTTCACTGACTCTGGGGCACCGATGAGCCGGTAAAACCAGGCCTGAGGTATTTACTCCCTCGCTGCCGCCGCCGCCGTGTGTTTAAAGAAAAGGAAAAGGTTTTTTTTTGAATCAATGAGAGAAAGAAAAGCCTCAATGAGAAGCTTCAGTCAGGAAAAAGAAACCTCAGAGTAAACCTCGGCCTCTCGTAGCCCACAGCCTGTTTGTGCTTATGTAACAATGAGACAGGGGTCCTGGTCTGGGTCTGGGCCTTCCATTAAAGCCACTGTGAGAAGGTTCTAACTGGTTTTCAAGAGTGTCACTCTTATACTGATCCGTCTTTTTTTAGACCTGCAGATGAAACTAAAATCAAAGAAGTTCACTTAACCACAGCGCTGAAGAGGTGACAACAGACTTTAGGCGAGTTACAGAAGACTCAGGTCTTAAGTAAGTCCTCAGGTTGGCACAGTAAGACCAGTCATGTCTTAACGCTGCAGGAAAATAAAACCTTTGCACATACAGGAAACACAGAGAGAAACAAACTCCTGAAAAGTACGAATGTCAGTGACACCAGGTTGAAAAATGCAATTAATCACAATTCACGTCACGTCTCTGACGTAGGACAGTGTCTTAAAGGGACATGAGACCATAGCCTACCTACACACATCCAAAAACAACTTTGATTTATTACTTTTTTTGACACCAAATACAGGGATACAGGCAAAATTCTGTCAGTTATTGTCGTAAATTTCAGTATCAGTAAATTTTCCGTTTATCGCTCAGCCCTAGCCAGTTGTTTACCGTTTTATTAACACGTGGAATTTCTAACAGTGCAGTCTGTGTACCTCACTCATTTAAAATTTAGTCCAGTTATACTTAAAGCTCCATTTAGCGATTTAACTGGACTACTATCGAATACCGATATGGGCAAAAGGACATCGGTTATTGCTATAAATTTCAGTATCTGTAAATTTTCGGTTTATTGGCCAGCCCTAAGCAGGGCAACAGTAGCTCGGGAGGTAGAGTGGTCGTCCAATAACTGGAAGGTTGGCGGTTCGATTCCCCCCTTTCCCTAGTTTGTCTGTTGTGTCCTTGGGCAAGACACTTAACCCTGCTTGCTCCCAGTGTGTGTCCGCCACTGGCGTGTGACCCGTATGTACATCAGTTTGGATAGTGGCGTCTACTAAATGACATTTTAACTTGTAATTGACTGAATAGTAGGGCTGGGCGATATGGCCTCAAATCAATAAATATCATAAATTTCAGGTATGGGTAAATTTTCGGTTGATCGCCCAGCCCTCAACTAGGCTCAACAGTAGCTCAGGAGGTAGAGCAGTCTTCCAATAACTGGAAGGTTGGTGGTTTGATTCCCCTCTATCCCTAGTCTGTCTGCTAAATGACATAGAAACTTGTAATTGATTGAATAGTTATATAATTATTCACCTGTCGTCTGGATCAATGACTCTGCAATTCAACTTTTACGTCACGAGATCAATACAGCTAACACAAGGGAGCGCCACTGTCCTTGAGGAGGTCAAGACCTGACCTCTGTGAGATCCTCCAGTCCCCCCATCATTTAGGATTTATGTGAAACCAGACTCCTCAATGTTCACTGACTGAAAAATTACAGGCGCTGGTTCCGTTCCAGTTTCCAGGTACTTTACGGATAAAACTCGACACCCCTGCTTTGTTAAGAAGACCTCACTTCTCCGTTTTGGCAGGTTACCACTCGCACACTTGATCTGCTTCAAACTATTTGTGACAGTCCAACAAAGAAAAAGAGTAAAATACCTGAGATTAAGAGGGGGGGACAGGAATGTACTCATTAATGAGCCATTGAGTTATTATGTTCAGATGCATTTTTGAAACAAATCCATTAAAACACGTGGGATGGTGCAGCTGCGTTTGAAGAAGATGGATGACGAAAGCCGGGGAATGTGCAGCAGCGATGACGAAGGTGAAACAGATTCCCTGCAGAAGCACAACGAGAAGAAACATGAGGATACCGGTGACGCATTCGTCGACGGAGGCCTGACCTTTACCTGAATAAACTCTCCTGAAAAAAATCCAACATATCTGGAAACTGACGGCGCGTGTGCGTCACAGAGCGGAGAGAAAAATGTAGCTGAAAAATGTCTGGGTAATGACAACACTGGAATCCACTCGTTTAAATGTCAAGGAGACCTATTAAGCTTAAATGTGAGTCTCATTCAGATGTAAACTTTGTCATCTGAAAGGTTTTCTCCAGAGGAGGGCGAGAGAGATCATGAGGTCAAATCAAAGTAATACATTACGTTAAAAGGACATGTCATAGTGGGTCGTAAGCGTGTTTAAAATCATCCTTAACTCGAGCTGAAAGGTTTCAACACACGTCTGAAGTCGTGTTTCTTATCTCAAAACAAACCTAAAGGAAGAACAGAGGGAGGAGAAGTGACTCACTGGATTCACAGCCGCGTTGCGCCGCTGTCTGGCTTTATTCGCAGGTCAGCTGAAGGATGAAGGTACGCAGGATAACGTGTGACCTGATGCTGTCCTCCCGAAACCTACAAACCCCGACGAGGAAATATGCCTGCCTCACGTCACCGGGTCTGCTCCGACAAACAAGCTGCCTCATAAATATCACACCGCAGCCCGATTCGGCTAATTTACGGCTGAACTTCTGCAACTTTCCTGAAGTAAATCACCGGACGCTTAATCCTCGCACACTTCTGCGAGGAGAAGAAATATTTTGACAGAGTCGTGTTGAACACTCAATTATATCAGTCAATTATGGCGGTCAGTCTGCAGCCTGCGGAGATGATGACGAACAGTGAAGCTGTAATATCGATTCTAATCATATCAGTCCGCAGGAAGAAGAAAAATAAGAGGTGTAAAGGCACAAAAAGTTGGATGACGCGAAGATCGACTGATTGATGATTTGGTCGAAACAAGCTTTTCTCATCCCACATCTGGAGTAGAGAGGAACCGATCAATTTTTTCTGATCCAATCCGATACTGATAACTGGGCTGAGCATATCGGCCGATATCTGATACCGATCCAAGACTTCTGTTAAACTAATAAACTGGGCATCCCTGATCAGGAGCACGTCAAATCTAAAACAGTCACTGGTTTGTATTTTGATTTAAATTCCGTTTATTTTAATTATAACAGCAAAATAAGCCGTTTTTTTAACACATTTTTAGTGTTTTGTTTTTAGTTATTAGTTTTTATTGTTTTTAAATTAGTTTTTAAGAACATTGAAACTATATTTTACTTTTTAATATCTGCTTTTTTTTTTTTATTGTTTTAATTGTTTTTTAATGTTTTTTTTCTGCGTTGTTTTTTCTATTTATGTTCAGCACTTCGTTCAGCTGTGGTTGTTTTAAAGTGCTTTACTAATAAAGTTGAGTTAATTATCGTGTTTTATAAAAAGGTTAAATATAAAAACAGAGCGGGTCAGCTGAGGTTCAGTAATTAACACTGATATCGCTCTGATGTAGCTGGTATCGGCTGCAGTCACTGCCAATAACTCTAGAAATGTTTCATTGAGTGTGTGCAGTTACATGCAACAGAAAGCAAACATGCTCTGTGTGACTGAGCGGTCCTGATTTCCTTCAGTGTGAGAGTCTAAACTGCACAAACCAGCCAGATTTGAGTCACAACCTTTTTATTATGGCAGCCTGTGGTAACTCTCTGAGGATTCGTGGTTCGAAAAAGGTACGAGCACAAACAAAGGACAGTCTGTTACGTTAGCATCAGCAACCCCATGGTGAAAATTTTGGCAGTGAGGAAATTTTTTTAACTAGAAAGTGAAAACGGTCCAACAGGCAGCTGCAGTACAAGCAGGTCGATTGTTTCATGAGGTGGAAGCAGCAGAGCTGAATTCAACACTAAAATCAAACATGCGAGGAAATATGACGAGTTCGGTTTAGTGTCTGACTCCACCTTACCTTCGTGAAAACATATGAGGTGATTTTAAACATGATCTGACTGCTGTTAGTTGAGCTTGTGAGCTAGCTCCGGCAGACAACGATGCTCCATTTAATCATTCTTGTTTTCAGTCACAAGATCACATCCCTCCCTCGCATAGTTTCATACCCAGCATCCACCTGTAGGCGCTGGGGGTGGAAAGTAATATTCTCACATCACTCCCCAGAAATTAAGCATGTAGGGAATTAATCAGGGAGGAGTGATGAGCTGGGAGCCAATCAGTTCACGACCAATCAGGTCGCGGGAGGTGGAAAATGACTTTGTTTACATTAAGAAAGAGCGGGGCGCTCAAAAATGTTAAAATGTTGACTACACAGACATAAAAAAACACAGTGATATCGTGATATTATCAAATGTCAGAGTCGGCCAACGGCATAAGCGAACTAAGCGACTGCTTAGGGCCCCGCGGTCAATGGGGGGCCCCAAAAGCAATCAAAAAAATATATATTCTTAAACTATTTTTTATTTTTTGCATGTATGAGTGATGCTTTCTGTATGATCAAATATACGTTATTGTAAAAATAAAATAAAGTAAAAACATTGTAGAGCTGCTGCTGATGTAGGTCTATGATTCTTACTGCTGATATGTCAAAGCTTCACTACTGTTGTGTGCCTCCTGCTGTGAGCATCCACAGCACAGGTAGTTGTGGGACAAAACAATGTCTCAAAAAAAGACATATACTTCAGGAGCAGAGAAAAGAAAGAGGAAGAAGAGAAAAACGCCAAGATAAAGGTTCGTTTGCATGTCATAGAATGTTAAAGAGATTTGTGAAGGTGTGTGAGTGGTCAACAATCAATATTATTGGCAGAAATAGAGGGCCCCAAAATCAAATTTAGCTTAGGGCCACATTGAGGCTTGGGTCTCGGACAGCAGAGCATGTAAATCAGATTTTGCCAGTATAGGAGTATCTGATCTGGATGTATAGTGTTGGCAGAACCTCTGTGTTAAAAACAGAGATGATTGTGACCTCCCTGTGAATAACCTTATTTTTTTAACCTCCAAATAAAGAAAAAAAAACAGTTTTCCCACAGCCTCTCGTCTGTATATCACAAAATCAAATTCTTTTCAACATTGTTTGGAAACCCTGTAAAAAAAATCTCCAATGGTTTCCCCTGCTGTCAGTCCGTCCGCTAAACAAACACTGAGTGTTAAACTAATCTCTGTTCTCAAAGATACCACCTAACCCACACCCTTCCCTTCATTCCAGTGCAGAGAGGACATTTTTGAGGTAGTGGTTTTGCACTGTTGAACTGGGACTGCATGGGGGCACTCTGAATCTAATATGAAGTTGAGAAAATCTACAGCAACAGGATTCCAGGGGATAGGATTGCTGGCTGGATGGTAAAGAAATCTTGGGCACAGCGCTCACTGGGTGGATGGTATGTGGTATCATATCATGAATAATTCCCCCCACCTCTAATAGTTCAAAATTGTGCAAAGGAATGGCGGTGTATTATTTTCACATGATAACCATCCTCCCAAAAGAAGTGGATGATTTAAAAACGATCCGGGTTGGAGGGAGGGAGGGAGGTGATCATGAAATAAAGAAACCAAAACATCGTCGGGGAAAGTCAACAGTTACAGACGCAAACAGAATCACTGTCAATGAGCCTTACCTCAAAGTAGCAGTTTCCCTTTGATAAAGGATGGCCAGCCACATAGCAACCCACCTCCTCAGAGTTCCCTTGGTAACTAAAGAGAAGCAACGACAGGTTAACAATGGGTGACTCCTAATAGGCAACTCTGCTCAAATCTAATATACTTTATTATATTCAGATTACAGCCGACGCTTAAGTGTTTTACAGAGATCCCCGGGCCCAACAACCTCTCCTGAAAACACTTCTGTTAGACGTGATCACATCAGCATGAACACATTTGTACATGAAAGCAAGAAAACCTTTCACAAACATGACCCATCATTTAAAGGGATATTCCAGCGTAAAATTAATTTAGGGTCAAACAGACCGTAACACCGAGTTAGACACCCCCAACCAAAACTCCACTCTATAGCCACAAATAATGCTCAGAACAGCACCTAACTTCATCAACAGGACATATAGGGTCACAGACATAGTACTAGACACCAAACATCTTTTTAACTTTGACTCATTTCTTTAGCAAAGAGACTAAACACAACTCACCTACTCTCTTCCAGCAGCCGCTTGTTTGTAGCGAGACCTCAGACCAGTCCAAGAACATTTATGATAATTTCTTTATCATTTCCTTGAAGTAATAATCACCATATTAATCATTTTGCGTCTTGGTCTGATTGTATTTCCATGAAGGAATTATCATAAATGTTCCTCCTTGAGCTGCGTCACCCCGCTGTAGTCCGAGATGGACTGGCCTGAGGTCTTGCTACGAACAAGCAGCTGCTGGAAGAGAGTAGGTGAGTTGTGTTTAGTCTCTTTGTTGCTATAGAGTGGCGTTTTGGTTGAGGTTTGTTTATGGCTCCTCAGACCGCTGTGTATTACTATCCTGCGGTCGTTACTAAAGTTGGTAAAACTAGAGAAGCAAGCGGTCGGCAACATTCATCTCTCGAGGGGGTGTCTAACTCGGTGTTATGGTGTGTTTGACCTTAAATTAATTATCACCAGATTATCCCTTTAAGGAAAAACTGTGTGGTATTAACACAAGATTCAGATTCATTTAAGTTCTATTCAAACCATTAAATTATTAGAAATTAGATAAAAAGTTGTGTGAAATACTGTCTCTTTACAAGCCACTGAAGTCCTTCTGTATAAAAGGTTATTAATAATACACAGACTGACCTGAGTATGTCTCCATCCTTCTGCAACCTCATATACCGCTCCTGTGCTGGGCGTCCATCCCCAATGTCTCTGAATCGACGCCTCAAATTCAGGAGGCATCTGTGGTGTAATACATTGATATCGTCCATCCTAGACAAAAAACAGGACAGTGGAAATAAAATTAAGCACTTTAACCCTTCGCAGGAACTCCTTGTTTCTTTTTAAGTGGTTATAATGGTGACCAGCTGCTCCTCTCAGCTTTGAAACATCTAATTATAAGACAAATAAAAGCAGCAAATTGACTCTGTCAGTCAGATGAAAGTCTGCAGATATGCACACTTACGGAAACACATGGGATTTGATTAAAGGCGCAGAAATAACATTACAAAGGTACATTTAAAACAGCATTTTCTTCAATATCCTGTATATTTGATATAATACAGTTCACTCTCAGATTAAGACAGGGCAGACAAATCCTCCTAAAATACATGAAGGCCAAGTCTTTAACTTCTTTAACTGTGTTTCTCCTCCAAGATGTTTTCCATATACTGATAATAAGCACTGTTTCAGCAATAAGGTAAAATAATATCACTTAAGTCCTAGCCAAATATTGAAATAATGTTCTTATAAGTTATCTTTTTTAAATTTCAAATTTTATCTAAATTTAGGCAACATAAGCATTAGTGTGTCAGAAACTTGTTTTTATTTATTTTGGTGTATTTTCGACACACTCAGAGAGTTACGAGTGTTTCCAGTTAAATAACCTTATTTACATTCACAGTTTTTCCGACTTTTGATCGTTTGCTAAAAGGGCACAGAAGCAACCGCTCACATCTCCTCTTTTTATTTTATTGCATATTTTGTTTCCAGCCCTCCGGGAGTCGAGGTGGCGTATCAAGCCCTCACACAACGCTCCTCTGACGTCAGTGAAGTCGGCGAGGGTTCGGGGGCCTAATTTTGTGTTTGATAAATGTGAAGGTTTGAGGTTCCTGCTCTCCTGTAATTTTATTTCGAGTAAACTTCCCGTGAAACTTCCCAGCTTTGTAAACAAGCCCTGACTGCTTTCGAGCTGCCTTTCCCCCTCAAACATACATGTATATATAGAACAATTAAAAAGTTCTACACTAAAACAAGACCCTATTTCTCAAGGACGAGTATGTTTGAGGTATTTTGTGTGTTTATGAACTTTTAAGGGATCTAGCTGTATATTCACACTGAGGAGAGTTATGACATTCCTCATTCTTGGCATACCAGAGTACTTTAATCCAATCCGCTTTATTTATATAGCACATTTTAAAAACATTCAAGTTTGCCAAAGTGCTGCCCAGTAAAATTTAAGAGAGCAACCACTACAGAAAATATCATGAGAAAATAAGTAAAAGCAGGTAAAAAAATGAAATGAAATAAAAACACAAAAGCACAAAAGAAAAAAAACTGATAAAAGAAACACAAAAAGACATAAAAGGACAGAGATTACACAACTCTCATGCTGAGCTAAAAGCGAAGGAATCAAAATGAGTTTTAAGACGTGATTTAAAAGTGGAAAGAGTCAGGGATGTTTTCATCTCGAGTGGCCGAGAAAGCTCGGTCACCACGTGTTTTCAAACGTGTTTTAGGAACGACGAGTAGAAGCATTTAAGAGGTCAGAGATGTACTGTGGTGCTGATCCATTTAAAGATTTAAAAACAAACAGCAAAATCGTAAAACGAATTCTAAAATGGACAGGAAGCCAATGGAGGGACGCCAGAATTGGGCTGATATTGTCATGTTTACGTTGACCTGTTAAAAGACGAGCAGCAACATTTTGGACAAACTGCAAGCGTGTGAGGGAAACCTGATTAACGCTGACGTAAAGAGCGTTACAATCGTCCAACCAAAGTGTGGAAATAAAAGCATGAAAGACACGCTCAAAATCATTAAAAGATAAAAAAAACTGATTTAATCTTGGATAAAAGCCTCAGATGATAAAAAACTGGATTTAAAAACAGAGTCGATTTGTTGATCCGACTTAAAAATCATTGTCACCTTTTACAGCAAGATTTAAAATTGTGGGTTTAAAATGAGGTACAAGAGGGTCCAGCTCCCTGAGAGGGGTCTCCTGGACCCCACTAAAGCCAAAGATGATTAGTTCTGTTTTCTTTTAATTGAAATTTAAAAAGTAAAATTTAAAGTCTAGTATCTCTGCTTAGAAGGTCTACATGGAGCTCTTATAGGGTATTTCTTCTGCTTTGGTGAGGAGAAAAGGATCTTAGGGAACATTCCTGTAATAATGTTTATATTAAAAGTGTTAAAACTTCTTAAACCTGCGGTGAATGCTTCTTTGGTTAAAGGTTCATCTGTTTGGTCTGATTTTTCATCCCTAATAAAGTTTAACAGATTCACATCATAGTATATGTTAAACAACCTGTTTATTACTCAATTTAGTCCCGAAAACCTTCATTTTATTTCGTTTATATTGTATAAAAACTCAGTTTTAAGCAGAAAAAGCTGAAAGTGTTGAAGTAAGGTGGGCGTGCCAATGTTTACATCGAGCTTAGCATGTTAGCAGCATGCTAATAACAGCAGGAATATCACAGCCGTTCAAAGATCATATTTTAACCGAGGGATGCTTAAAAATTAATATTAATTAAAAAGATAATCAAATCTGTGATTATTCGTTGATAATTTGACGGTAACGGTTCTTAAATAACGGTAAATCTGCAGCTGTGTTAGCATCAGGAGCTTCTTTACGGAGCAAAGAGCTTAACGACAGATTCTGACTGAGAGCGGATAGTAAGATATGATTAACCTGATCAGTAATTATCGATAAGTCTGCGTAGACCTGTTACCTGTCCGCTAATAAAGGTAGAGACTCACCTGAGAACATCAGCTGCCCATCGCTCCACAGAGGAAACTTTGGAAACTGGACTTCGGCGCTTCCAAGTGACGTCACCGTGCCTTCAGCGAAGCAGCCAATGGCGTCCGGTTTAGGGAAATGGTGACAAGCGTTCAGCCAATCGGATTCGAGGATTTGTTTTGCGTGTAGAGCTAGGTTTGGCTCCAGTTTCTGCAGTTTCCTTCATTTTTAAAGTTTCTGTCGTTTCAAGAGATCACAGAGGGGTTATGTTTGTTTTATTTAAATTGAAATCTAAAGGTATGTTAGAGTTAAACGTCAACCTTTGAGGGTTTTTGGCTGTTTATTCAAATTTCTATATAAAAACAAACAAATCTGGAGGATATTTTTACATCTATAATCAATTAAAGGGGTCAGTACTGTGATTGTTTGAGTCCATTTGATTGGATTTGTTAATTTTCATGTACTTTTAAATGTTATTGTTGTTTCTGCGTGTTTATTTGTTTGTTTGTTTGTTTGTTGATGACTTGCACTGCTGTCTAGATTAATTTGAGGTACTTTGATGAGCTTTTTTGGCTCCTAACCTTCTCTGCACAATCCTGTTTTGAATCTATCACGAAATTGTTCTCGATTTGTCACGTGCAAATGAGTAAGCCAAACTAAACTTAACTAAACTAAACTAAACACTCATCCTAGACGTCCATGTAGATTCTCATTCATCCAGGTCATGGTTTTCTTGAAGACTAAAAAACAGGCAATTGGACTGTGTAGAGTTGAGAAGACGTTTCGCCTCTTATCCAAGAAGCTTCTTCAGTTCTAAATGTTGCTCGTGTGAGGAGCAGATATTTATCTTACTGGAGAAGAGGACAGACCACGACTGGGAGGATTTTTCCACATTTTCCATACCAAATAGTGAGTTTGACATGCAGGTAAGACATGTAGAATTAAAAAGTGATGAGATTATTCATGAGGAAATGTGTTTTCATGAACAGTAGCGCCTTTAAAAAAGAGATTAATCGTCCTTCTTTGTCCACAGGGGTCATTCTCCTCATTTCGAGGGGCTGTGAAGTGTCCCACTGTAAGTTGAGTGTGCATTTTTATTTCAGCTGGGACAGACCTGAGGAAGAGATTGATGAAGAAACAGTGTCTGGCTGGAGAAGGAAGAATGTACAACCCAGGGCCAGTGTGGAAAGGAGAGCCCCCGTTGGTCTGGCGTGTGTCTTGGAACATTCTCCCTGATATGTGGAAAGCTGCAGCTCCCGAGCTGATGGGAACACAAGACGGCAGGTGATTTCTGCCCTCTGTGCCAAGATTAATCAGAACAACAGGCGGCTGAAAGCTAAACAGATTTTGGCCTCATATAGCCCTGAATTCAGGCAGGAACAGGCCAGTAGCTCTTTCTCTCTCTCTCTGTGTTCATGATTAGTCATGTTTTGGTACAAACTATTTCAGAAGCAAATTACCCAATAGGCGAACTGCACACTGCAGATTCTGTGTGCACATAATCATCCTGCTATTTTAAAGAAGCATGATAACTAAATTCTGTTTATGCTCTGTGAAAATATTTGGCTTTGTGGTCATGTTGAATCCGTCCTGAGAGAACCCACGGCAGCGAGGAAATGACAGATAACACAGGAGACAATGGGAGTCTAGATAAGAGAGGAATTCCTCCACGGTCTTTCTCCTACCGGCGCTTCAAAGTTTGTTTTAATGTGTAGATTCTTGACTTTGTTTTGCATTTTTATTATAATAAATGGAGATTTTTAATCCCTCATGAAACTAAAAGTAGCTGATTGGATGTTCGTATAAGAAGCAGGGATGGATGCTGTAAAGAAGTTGCAGATTTACTTCTAACAAAGACCTAGAAATGTAGAATAATCATGCATTGTATGTTTGAGTGCAACAAAAGTGTACATTCATACAAAATAACACGCGTTTGTGTTTATAATGTGTTGCCGGAGCGTGCGTTCACGGCACTCGTGCGTTGAGAAGAGGGATAAAGGACTTTTGGTTCTTCAGGAGATGGAAAATCCAAACTGGCTGAGTGCAGAGAAATGGATGGATTACCCTATTAGCAGTTTGGCTCGGGTTGGTCGATGTGCATTCCTCTGAAAGTAACCCCCCTCCTTCACTCCTCCTAATTATCCAAATGATTACCCTTCCAATTCAAACAAACTGGAGGGCTATACCTTTAACTGGCCTCGTACTGTAATGTATAATACCATCTGTGAAGTCAGTTAATATCTCCGAGCTGCTGATATGTAATCTAAGAGTTGGCCAGCTTTATTAAAGACTGGATTAGCCTTATGTGGAGGCACTGCATCACTGACTCAGCAGTGATTTAAACATGCTGAGGCACAGTTTGAGCGCGTGCTACATAAACGTTCCTCACACCAATTTGTTGCTCTTCTGTTTGGTGAAACTTCTCGACAATAACCGGGTTTTAACACCTTACGTTCTTCGTGTTTTCTAAACTTTGCTCTGGTTTATGAGTCTCTGTCTCAGGTGCAGAATTAGTCATAATGTTACATGTGTGCAGGAAACACAGTGTCTTTCCCACGGCAGAAGAATTCACACGGCTGTGCATTTATTCTACGAATGGCATTGCAGTGGCAAGGCTCACACAGTGTTTATACATTTGCATGTGTTACCATGGCAAATATGTTTCCAGAAAGGTCTCTGACATTGGAAAGAAAAGTGCACAAGGCTGAATTTGACAACTGCTCTCAGTGCATTTGTAACACTGAGCACAAGTGTAGGAAGGCAGGCTGGATGTATGTGTTAGTATAAAACAGAAAGGGGTGGGAAGATTTTGATAATTTCTGAAAGGAACATAATCCACCCCCCACTTGCTCTCTCACTCCCTGCCACCTCCCTTTCTCTCTCTCTCTCTTCTCTCTCTCTCTCTCTCTCTCTCTGAGTCCCAGCCCCTGAAGGTGTCATAACTGTGCTCTCTCTCTCCTCTCTCTCTCTCTCTCTCTCTCTCTCACTCACTCACTCTTTATCACCGCCTTTCAGATCTTTAAAAGCCGGTGCTTTGCCGTGTCTCTCTCGATCTCCATTTGTCTCCTCTGGCACTGCAGGGGACTCAACCAGCAAAGCACCAAGGAGAGCTACTGTATAGAAACGGGAGAAAGACTGAAGAAAGAGAGAAAAGGGGGAGAAATATATACATCCAGAAATAGCATCAGCCACATTTAACTGACAGAGAGTGACAAAGTGGAGAACCTGAGACCTGGACACAAAATGCCTATCCTTTCTAACTTAACAACCGTTGCTTTGTTGCTGATTGCTCACTGCGGATCATGGACCGGGGCGAACCGCTTGGGCCCCTTCAAGGTCTGTCCCTCCTGCAAGGATCCACTGGGGGCAGGCAGGCCCCCCAGGGACCACAATGCTGCCGGCAGCACATCAGTGTTGGCCCAGGGAGAGCCCTGTGGTGTGTACACCCTGAGCTGTGCCAAGGGGCTCCGCTGTGTCCCCCCGCCGAGGGAGCACAGCCCTCTGCAGGCTCTGTTGCAGGGAAGGGGCATTTGCGCCAAGCACAGCAGGACAACTCCCACTGAGAGGCCCCACCCCACAGGTAAGACACAGTATGCACACACAGAAAACCGTATATGCACTCTTACATGCATGCACCTACGGCTGGCACATGCATGGACGCTGCAAGTAGGCTTGTGTTGAAAGAGTCTCCTGTGTTGCAGTGAATTGCATGTGATGCTGTGTCACTCAGCAGCAAAGGAAAGAAAGGCCAATTAGTGTCTGACATTTAAGCCTGGATGCATTTTGTGCTCTACAGATGAATTTGCAAAACCTGCAGCATCCACCACTGCCCAGCAGTGCCTGAGGAGTCACTCTGATAAAAATGACATTTCTCATTACTGTCCTGATGTCAGAGAGTTAAAGAAAAACGTGCAAATCACACAGAGATGATATTTGACGTTCCCTGGCTGTTGCAATACTTCATAAGTAGAAGACGTCCTGCATTTCTATGATTTAACCTACAGTACGGTTTATTATATGATGAGCTTTAACGGCAGGGTGCATGTCTATGATCTGTCCTACAAGTGAGCCTCTCTGTGGAGAATTTCAAATGAATGTGAAACTGTCACAGTGTCACCTACATCCTGATCAGGCTGCTTTTTATTGCAGTGATCTCCATCTACTGTTCAAAGTGAGATACTGCGATTAATCATCCAGAGGGGAAATCTTCTGTTTGAAATTAGGTCTCTGATTAAACGAGCGTTAAACAGATCTGATCTGCTCAGTTATGTCTTTTTCCTGTAAATATAAGGATAGATCTTGGAGTGTAGATGCTCTTTATGCAGATAGCTGTTCCTGGATCAGGACACTAGATGTGGTTTGATGTTAATAGTTGGATTAATGTCACGCTCTTCTTTCCTCTCAGGTCCTCATCCTTCACACAGCGGTGACATTGAAAAAGTAAGTTCATGCTTTTATTTCAAAGTAAACACTAACAAATCTTCTTCTTCTTCGCCTTAATGATCAAAATCATGAATCGTATAAAACATCCTGCAAAGCAAGATTACATTCTTACACATCATATGTGATAGAAAGGTCTGTATGTGGAGCTGCAGAGTTGCTGCCATAGATCCTGAGCTGTTTGGGGTGTTGCAGTGGCATGTACACACACTGCCCTGAAGCCATGCATTATGGCGCATGATGTGTGTGCTGCTATGCGGCAGAACTAATTGAGCATGATGAGAATCAGGAAAGTTTCAAGTTGGCCGTTGCCTCCTTTGGATTTTTCACTTTGAGATCCAAACCTCTGCAGCTCCTGATCTGATTGGTCGAGTTTGATGTGACGGGGACAGCTGTGGTCACAGAATTGATCAGGATGACACAGTTTGATTTCTCAAAGTGACACACACAAAAAAAAACCGCACACGTCACTTCATTACATTCAGTGACCTGAAAAGCTAAAGCATTGTGTAACAATATGGTTATATAATGTTATACAATATGTGACATCTGATGTATGTATAAATATATATATATATGTATATACATATTCTCTGCTGCTCCTGGCTCTAATGCTGCATCACTGTAGCTAATCCTTTGTGATTCACATCGACATGTGTTGCGATCAAAGAGGATTGCTGCCAACTCGACCACCTGAGGGGAAGATAGCAGCTTGCTTCTGCCACTCTGTAGTTGAAGACAGGTTAGATGGAGAAGTCACACTAAGCATTACTGTGTTTTAATCTTTAGGCACCCTGCCGCAAGCTGCTTAATAGTGTCCTGAGGGGTCTGGAGCTGACAATCTTCCAGTCTGACCGTGACATCTATATACCCAACTGTGACACTCGTGGCTTCTACAGGAAAAAGCAGGTACGCCCCTGACACGCCGTGAAACGTGAAACTGTAACTTTGCCGGCTCTGGCATGTGTGGAAATGTGTCTGTGCTGCACTTTGAGTGGATGCATACCTGGGAGCTGCTCTCCACTGCAGCTTCCTGAGATTTTTCTGTGAGAAGAAATGACACTTCTCTCTCTGAGCCTCTCAGCTGTGAGCTCAGAGGATCAGTACTGCGCTATGATGACATATCATTTTCTCTCTCTTCCTCTCTCACCACCTTTCCCCCACATTATCTCCACCCTCCTTTCAAATCTCCCTCCCTCTCTCTCTCTGTCTTCTTTTTAATCTCACACAGTGCCGCTCCTCCAAGGGCATGCAGCGTGGCCACTGCTGGTGTGTGGACGAGCTCGGCACGCCTGTGCCCTCACGTGCCAGCGAGGATGGTACAGTACCGTGCGATGGGGAGTGAGGGATGAGGCTGTCCTATTGCTCTGAGCCAGGAGGAAGAGGAGGAGGAGGAGGAGGTGGAGGAGCAGGAGCACAGGGAGAGGGGGTGGCTTTAGCATGTGCTAGACACTGCCTGGACAGGAGGTAGCAGGGATAAACCACTTCCTATGGAAAACACACACCGGTTAATGTCCTCTGTAAAGCTAGACACACACACTCTCACAGTCCAGCAGCAGCAGCAGCAGCAGCAGCAGCAACAGCAACATCTGCCTGAATGTTCAACAGTTGCAGCAGCGTCCTCTGCGTCTCCTGGTGACACGCTGCATGCTCACATTAATGCTCCGTGAACTGCCTCAGTGATCCAAAGCGGTATTACTCCGAATGATCTCTATATTCCCTGGCTCTTGTCCCGGCTTTCTGGTAGATTTTTGTTTTTCTTTTGACTTTAGGATAGCTGACACTGCCTGTGTTTGTTCTGATCTCAGTGGGCTGAAATACTGTTACGCAGGTGATGTGACACAGATGTTTAAAGAAAATGTGTCTCCCTCACCGTCCTCTCTCCCTCTCTCCAAAGATACACTGATATCAACGTACCTAATTGACAGGATTTTTCTTTTCTATTAATTTATTTTTGAGTCTGTATTTCCATCCAGTACTGCTTGAATCTTACAGTATCTTATCTATGTGTCGTCAGAGTCAGAAAAAATAGTCATATGAATATGATCCTGGATGCTTCTGTTCATTTTATTTGTCGAGATGGCGTTCTGACTGCTTATTTAGTTGATTGTTTGTACATATGTTTGAATTTTGTGGTCGACTGTGTCTTCTGAAGTGGCAGACTAAAAGCTTACGGCTGTTACCCTTTTCAAAAAGTTGTAAGGCATATTTTTATACACGTCAATATAATATTTTATATATGAATTGTTGGTTTATTTAATGAACTACAGTACAATGCCATGTATTTTTATATTGTCAGCAGTTTCTTATTTAAAGACAGAGATTATTTTATTTCATGTTAGGGGAAGTGTTGTGCTTCAGAGGCACTTTTATGGCAAAACTCATCACATTCATCAGAGCTCTATTCAACTGCTGCACATCTCATGGTTATATCTTATGTTTTCATTTCCTTTTTTTATTTATGCATTTTTTTATTTTGAGAACTGAGAATGTTCATGTTACTGTTTTTGTTTCGTTTCGTTCCGGCACATCGTACTTTCCGATTCCTGATTTCAACAGAGAGAAGAAAAAAAAAAAAAAACACAAACAGATCAAATTTCCTTTTGTTCTAGTCTGTCTCTCCCAAGTCCTTGCAAAAGTCATGAAATTGTGTGCTATTACGGTGTGATTAGAATTTATCTATTTCTGAACAAACTTGTTGTGCCAATGTGTGTGCCGTGATGAAAGGTCTGTGCACAAAGGACCTGTAAGATTTACAAATATGAAAATAAAACATAATGATAATAAAAGTGGAGAAGATTAAAACATATATTAATATAACAGCAGCTGTCGGGGGTTTTCTTTAAAGAGTCCTGGTGCATTTGAGGTGATATGCAGACGATACAAGAGGAACTAAGAGGTTAGTGGTACCGCTCTGTTTTAGGGACCATTTTTATGACTGACTTTACACCTACATATTTCACTAAAGAACAATTAAACAGTAGACTGTGAGATAAAATCATGCTACACTTTATAAGTAGACAAATAGTAAGCTTGGCTCTCACTGACTTCCACATATCAGCCCAATAATCCACATTATACCTTAAAGTAAGTTGTCATCTTCCATTTTGAGTATTTAACCTTTTCATGCAACCGAATTTCAAAAAAAGTGACAAAAACTGATATAAAAATAATGCAAAGACAACATATCAAATGTGAAATTATTACTTAGTGGTAGCAATAGTTCATATGTGCACTTTAAGTTTGAAGCCAGCAGCATGTGTCAAAAAAAGTTGGTGCATCAGATGATCTAAGGATCATTTTTTGTGTCATGATGCACCAAATGTTTTCAACTCAGGTCAGTTTAGCAGAAGACTCTTCTACTACAGAGCCATGTTGTTGCAGATTGTGGTCTGGTGTCTCTCCTAAAAAGTCATTGTCTAAATACAACAGCTTAAGTTGCTCCTAAACTCGTATGTTCAGCATCAGAGTTCGAAGATCATGGCCATCTGGTTTTTGTTTTTGCCCCTGGAGAGATTTCCCCAAACTCTCAGAATATCTGTTATGACATGATTTGATTAGATTAGATTAGATTAGATTAGATTCAACTTTACTGTTATTGAACACAGTACAAGTATAGGAACAACGAAATGCAGTTTAGCATATAACCAGAAGTGCAAGGTAGTAAAGTGAAAGGTATACTATTACATATATATATATATATGTGCAATGAATATGGTAAAAATATATACATGGTGCTGGTTACTGCAGGTATGAATAAGGTAATACAACAAAAAAATAAATAATTATGTATATTATCTATATACACAGTGTACTGATTAGTGCTATTTTAAGCTATTAAAAAGTGAGTGTGTTGAAGAATATAAATAGTGAGATATTTAGGGGTATGAGTAGGAATATGTTCAGTCATTAGATAAATAGTCGGATAAATTATGTCCTGTTGACGACTCATAACCCAAACTCTTGGCAACTTTACCCAAAGGATCAAATTTTCAGTTTAATGCGAAGAACTTTGATCTTAATGCTGCAATTTAACTTCGTCGTGTTGCTGCTTTTACCCAGGTTTAGGATCTGAAAACTTTCTGCTCGGTTACCTGTAGAAGTTTACAAGGATGTGGATTGGAAAACGATGGAGAAATGTTGCACAAACTCACAAAACAAGCAAAGGGACTCGACAGCATTTATCAGGTGCAATTTGCATGGCTACTCACTACGTTTAAGAAAGCGTATGTTACTGGTTACTGTAGAAACAAATCAGAGCAGCGTAGTTCCTCGAGTGTCCACATGAGGCTGCCTCTAACAAACCAGGAAGTCACACTTATACCTGTTTTAAAAAGCCTGAATCAGAAAAACATTTATCTGTCTGCAGACGCTTTACTAGTTAGTTCTGCATCTTCAGGGGCACGACTGACCCGACTGACAAGTTGAATTGTGCAACACAGGACCCTCGGCACAATCCTGTCCACAGTCTGGAAGCTCAATCTGCTTCAAACGTTTGCAAAGACAGTATAAAATAAGGTTAATATAGGACAGTTTTCACACTCTGTAGTGCTGAAGACACAAAGCAGGAAACACCTGGCCAACTCTCTCTCTCCAGTGAGCAGGTAGTCTCTGCAGTGGTAAAGTGATTACTTTATTTCGCAATTTCATATCATTGCATCTCTGCAGGAGTTGGGACCTTGAGCAAGCCGGAGCTATTTATTGGATATTATCTGCAGTAAAAAATCAGCAACAAAACAACAATTGTTAAGTCAGGAAGGAGAGGCACTTTCTGCCAAGCTACTGGATATGTAGGCCTTGTTTTTTCAAGCATAACAATCCAACTCTGTCTTTCTCCTACACCGTGAAATAAGAGAATAATCCAAAACAAAAGGTTTAGAGAGGCAGAAGCGTGCGTTTATGACCCGTCTGAGAGGAGTTTTCAGTATAAAACTTCTTTTGTTTCACATAGGTGTGCGTCCGAGCCTTCATCAAACACATCCACTTCTGCAGAGTCACTCCTGAAGCCTTGTTCTGCAGCACAGAGCTTTCCTCTGAATCATCAGCTGCACATGAACAGGTTACCGTGACTTACTGAGTCAAAAAGCCTTGGCAGTTCGGGGCTCATATCCATCTGCAGAGCCTGCGAGAATCTTCTCTGCAGGGAAATAGAAATTACAAATTAGAGCACATTAGAGTCATGCTGCTTTTCTGCCATTACCAGGCACATAAAGGATCGTTTTCCCCCTGCTTCGCAACACAGGGACCAGATACATGCCTGTTTCCAAGGTAACAGCATAGAATATCCCATTGTCCATGCATAATATAAAATGAAGAGAGAAAAAACTGAAGGAGGAAGCATGATCCTTTGTAGAATCACACCACCACACGTCCTACTTCTCTATCTGGGGTGTTTGCTATTCTTGGAGATTCAATTCTGTACATTGAGAATGAGATGGAGACAGTAACATGTCTGTCCAACACATTACAGTACATCCAGAGGTTTCCCTGCAGGAAAAAGTGCAGAATGATGGTGTGAGGAAAAAAAAACAAAGGCACTTTTGGATTTTAAAATGTTTGAATGAGGAGTTGAATCTGATCAGGGTCAAAGTTTAAAACATGAGCCGATTTTTCAGTCAGAAATGATCAAATATATCCAAATATCTTTAGAGCACTTACTTCGTTTTCAAGAGTGGATCATGTGAACAAATTGTCATAAAGGTCCCCACTTCTTTGATTACTTTCATCAGTTATAATGCAGATTATTTTGAAAGATCATTTTACTTTATATTTTCAAATAAGTTATTTTTTAAAAAGAAGAAAAAGGCTTTTATCTACCAGATGCTCTTCACACTGAGAAAATGAACTGTTTGCCAATCTGTATGAAGATGTGCTACGTTCACAGCACATGGGAAAACTGACTGTCTTAAACAGTTTAATGAAAACACTTCTCTAGGATTGTATTCAGACATTTAAACTGGAAAAAAAATACAGAGATAGAAAAAACAGTCATCCAAACACACAGTATGTGACTCAGCAGCTGTAAATCTGCAGCAGTCTGTTCCTGCAACATGCATTTGATGAGCGACTCGACACTCACGTTGATCTGTTCAGCTCTGTTTCTGCAAGACCTCCAAGTGTTTTTCTAGTGTGACTTTGCTCAAGGACTTACTGCCCCCCAGAGGTTGAAAATCTCCCAGGACATGCAATAGTAGAAAGCTGCTGTAGCAGACATCTGCACACATGTGCATCCTTAAAATCAACAGTGACTCACTATTGTGGTTTTACATGAAAAGTGCCTGTTGATCTTTCTTTAATGAACTCAAAAGTAACTTCAGAGTCCGGACCAACATCTTTCGACAAGTTCGCAAAGTTTTCATCATTTTACTTCAAACAGTAACAACCGTGCAGAATCAGACTGATCATGTAAATATCATCCTCTCATCTATTTGCATATTAACACACTAATGTTTGCATTAACACTATAGTAAAAAGAAAGATGTATACAGTAAAGTTTGCTGCAGCTGTATTTGCAGTTTTTGTTTATGTATTTTACCGTGTTTAACACATGTTGATTCATTTTGTGAAAGCATCGGTTTTCTATAAATTACCACCAAGTGTCACAGAATCTGACATATCCCAGATGTTTCAGCTCTTGGCAGTGAAAAACTTAATCTATAGCACAGCAGCATGATTTATAGCCCAAGTGTTTCTTAAATCTGGAAAGTATCTACAGCTGTCATTTAATGACAGATAAAGGATAAATAGTCCCCTTTTATTACCCAGAAATGTATCCATACATGTATTTAACATTTTTAAGATTAATTCTTTAACCTCAAAAGACGCTTGTCCGAAGTTTGTGTTGGAAATACAAGCAAACTTCTGTTTTTGATGGACTGATTCACACACCTACACACCTGTTTGGTTAAAAAGATAATGTGAAAAACTATTGTGAAAATGTGCCACATTTAAACACATAGAAAATTACCAGCAGCTGTTGCAACCATTGACTGTACACTGAATGGAAAACAAGCCCCTTTTTCTGCTCACTGAGAGGTTTGAGGCCAAAAAACTGTCTTGATGGGTGCCGACACATCTCCGCTGGTGCAGCCAAGTCATGGGCTTGGCAGGGTTGTAAGACTGGTATTACAACCTCTCTGCAAACCGAGACACAAATTTGGCTTTCTGAAGAAAAATTCAGAGACCTCTCAGGTGGGTAAAGTCCTCAGTAGTTCATATTCTTGAGTTGGTTTGAAGCACAGGCTGATGGCTGAGGAAAATTTCATGACTCTTGAGACTTTGTGTAGGAACTAACTATAATGACAGAAACCTTTTAATGCTTATCATCCATTTCTAATGAGGGTCGAAGTTATTTTGATGTCACCAGCACTTTTTAGAGATCGTAGTACCTCCAAAAACATGTATTTGAGGTGCTTTTATTTACATATTTACCGATTAACTGTCTTGGATTTAGTTTGCTGTATTTACTCTATAGTAAAAACATGCTTTTACTTTGAAATGACATGTGTTACTTCTGGAATAATCAAAAGGTGCAGAAATGAGTAAAAACAACATCGACAAAAAACGTTAGAAGTAAAAATATTAATGCGATTCCAATGAGGGACATTATTTTTGGACTCAATATAAGTCTTGGATATTAAGTCTTAAAGTATCTGCTTCTTCTTGGTCCACTCAAAATTACAGCACAGGCTCTTAAGAAAATAGCCAATAATAGCTCAGAGGTTTAGGGTGGTTTAAGATGAGCGATGTTACCGTGGTCTCCACTTCAGATGCACCTATAGTCAGGTGCAAATATGACTTGACCCCCAAAAAATTCAAAAGGTTTCTCAGCTGGTTTTTGTAGTATTAGATGTCCATAATAACGTACTAAAAGTTTACCAAAGTTCCACAGCTTGAAAGGTGTCATTTTCACGATGGGGTCCAGGTGAATAGGGTAAAATGTTTAACTAACAGATATCAACATGAAACTTCCCAAGTTTATGACTTGCATTAAGAAAAATATTTTTTGTATTACAAGTTTTGTCAAATGTTTTTGTCAAATGTTTTTATACAGAAGGCATCACTCATACATGCAAAAAAAAATTATATATATATACAGTATATATATATGTATATATATATATATATATATTATTTCTCTTGGGGGCCCCCTATTGAATGTTTAAAACTTATGTGTACTGATATCAAACTTCAATGGCCGATATCTGATGCCAATATCACACTGTAGTTTATTTTTTAAATACAAAATACAACAACTGAATAAAATATAACAACTGAATAAATATTTAAAAATAAAAAATAGATTTTTTTTCTTCTCTTGGGGGCCCCCTATTGGCCACAGGGCCCTAAGCAGACGTTTAGCTCGCTTATGCCTTGGGCTGGCTCTGCTTCATTCACATATTCAAACATAACATTTGACAAAACTTGTAATACAAAAAATATTTTTTTCCAATGTAAGTTATAAACCTTAAAAGTTTCATGGTGATATCAATTAGTTAATTTTTTTTCCCTATTCACCTGGGGTTCCACCTCGGGCCTCCAACTCATCATGGACGCCATCGTTAAAATGACACCTTTCTAGTGGTCAAACTTTGGTAAACTTTTAGCATGTTATAAAGGACATCTAATACTATAAAAAACAGCTGAGAAACCTTTTGTTAGAATTTTATTTGGGGGGGTTAAGTCATATTTGCATCTGACTATCTATCTGTTTTGGCGAAGTACTGACAAATCCGACCGCCACCATCCTGTGAACGCAGCACTAAACCGTCGTTCATTTCTGTGTATGTCGTCACCTGATCCAGTAGCATCGTTATCATTGGTCCATTTAGTCGTCAATCACAAACTCACCACGTGGTTGATAATAACATGGGTGGGCTCGAGGGGGCGGTGGTGTACTGTCAGTGAACGTTAGGAAACTCCTGAACGTTGTCGTACGTGGATGAAGTTCAGTAATGATTCATCTCGCGGGGTTTAATCGTTAAATCACGCTTTAAGAATATCGGCCTGACGGTGTAACGCTTAACTACACCCGACGGTTGACCTTTGGCTCGAGGGGACGGCGGGGAGGAGGAGGAGGAGCAGCGCGAGCGGAACGTTAGCTAAATTAGCTTAGTAACGGTTAGCCATCAGGAAGAAGTGACACCGAAAACACGGACGAGGAGAGGCCGGTCTGCGGGTCATGGCTTCCCTCGGTAACTCCGGGGCTGTTTCCAGTCCGATGGTGATCCTGGCTCCGAAGACCAAGACGAAGAAGAAACATTTCGTCCAGCAGAAGGTGAAGGTGTTCCGAGCCAGCGACCCCGTGCTGAGCGTCTTCATGTGGGGCGTCAATCACTCGGTGAGTCGGTGGAGAGAAGGAGAAGAAGCCGCTGGGAGTAACCGCGATGTAACAGTGTCAGGGAAATTCAGCTAGCTCGGTTAGCTTTAGAGTTAGCAGGCAGGGACTAAATACTCTGAGACAGTTTATATTCTGAGTGAATGTATATACATATATATATATATATATTTACAGGTGCTCTACACTCACTTGGACACCTGTCTCTGATACACCTGTCTGAACACACCTGAGTCATTATTCAACAGCAGTTCAATAATGTGTCATCTCTGTATTTGTAACAGCTATGTATCAGTATGTATCCCATCAGGTGGGACTAAAAAATGTAGCAGAACAAGTGTAACATCAGTTTAAGTTTTATATTATCTCATAAATAACCTCTCAAATCGTCTAAATATGTTTGCAGATGTCACAAAAAATAGGTTTCGATGTCAGCTAATTTTCTAGTCATGCTCAAAACCCCATCAGTGTTACTCCCAGAATAATCAGTACTGACTTTTAATGATACACAAGCCATTATCCATGCTTTTATCCACTCATGGTCGCATTATTGTGGTGGTCTTTTAACAGGTTTGTGCAAAATAAATACACGTCAGGAGCTCAAGCAACAAAAATATCACTCACACCTGTCTGACTTGTATAAAATCAGACTAAAAAAACATTTTTAAGTAAGTGTATGAGTGCAGATCAGATCAAAAATGAGTGTCTGTTAATGTTAGGGCTGGGCGATATGGGAAAAAGTTTATCATGATACATTTTTTTCATATCAGTTGACATTGATACATTATAGGACTGGGGGATTATATGATCGTGATCAATGATTGTGATAAATTTCAGTTCGATCACGGTGATCAGCTGTGAGCATATGTGCTGATCAAACATAGCGGAAATGTGCGTCACAACAGCCAATCAGAGTCGAGCTTTTCCTGCTCACTTCTGTAAGTTACAGGAGAAATAAACAGAATGACTGAATGTGGAGCCAAAGGCGGAGCTGAGGGCAGCAAAACAGATGTTCGCCATGACTTTGAGTCATCCTCTGAAGATGTTATTGTTGAGAAGTTATTCAACGTCGGTTGTGTGGCGGTATTTTGTTTTTTTGAGGTCAGACATGAAGCAGAGTAATGTGTACTGTAAATTAGGTCGAGTACATGTTCTCACAAAGTCGGGGAATACCTCAAAACTTTTTCACCACCTGAAGCAGCGCCACGCCGCAGAGCACGCACAATACAAAAGGTTACAAACCCCAGCCGGAGGGAGGAGCCCATGGCGCCTGTGCAGCCAAAACACCCGACCATTCAGACCACTTTCTCCAGAGCAACGCCTTACGACAAAACGTCAAAGAGACACAAAGACCTCACAGATGCAGGAGATTATTGTATTGGAAAAGACATACTTCCAATAAGCACTGTTAAATTTCTTTTTTTATATCGTGATATATTACGACATCGACTGATGTGAAAAAAATATATTGTGATAATCTTTTTCACATATCGCCCAGCCCTACTCACACCTGTCTGACTTGTGTAACGTCATATTAAAAGAACAAGTAAGAGCATAAGTGCAAAGCATATCAAAAGTTAGTGTGTATTGATGATGCAGGCTGCTCTTCATGGCTGCAAAGTCCTCAAAGTGTAATTTTCAAGTGTAAACGTTGTACCAGGTTGCAGTACTAGTTGCAAGTTCTGACTCAGTTCTGTCCTGGCATTAAAACCTGCACTGTTGGACCTTCTAATAAATACAGTCAACATGACGTGTAAAAGCCAGGTGACGTTTCCACCTCAGATTTTTAAACTGAAGGAGGTTGAGTGTTATCTGTTTTCGAAACGCTCTGCCTGAGAAACTCAAACTCTCTACTCCGACATCTTCTGAAGACCTATTTTTAATCCAAAGACTTTCTCGTGAATTCCTCCCCTCTTCTTCCAGATCAACGATCTCAACCAGGTGCCTGTTCCTGTCATGCTGCTTCCTGACGACTTCAAAGCCAACACCAAGATCAAAGTCAACAACCATCTATTCAACAAGTAAAAGAAATAAATGACACAGTTAAACAGGATTCAAATGTAAATAAATTAGACTCTGAGCTACCTGGTGATTTTCAGATCCTTGTTAGTATTCCTGTCAGATAAGTTCAGCTCTCCTTGTGACTAAAATTGTAAACAGATATCATGTTGGACCGTGGAGTTTGACAGGTGTTCTGCCAGATGCTCACTCCCCCCTCTGCTGTGTTCACAGAGAAAATCTTCCAGGACATTTCAAGTTCAAAGAGTACTGTCCTCAGGTCTTCAGAAATCTAAGGGAACGATTTGGCATCGAGGACCTGGACTACCAAGTATGTGGTTTGCTCTGAACTGTAAATGCAAAGACGGGGATTATAAAAGCTTCAATAACTCAGACTCCGTCTCTTAGGTGTCGCTGACCCGCAGCTCCCCCATGAGGAGTGTAGACGACCAGGGAGACTGTCTGCTGCTCAACTCCTACGACCGGACGCTGGTCATTAAACAGATCTCCAGCGAGGATGTCGCAGACATGCACAACATCCTGTCCGAGTATCACCAGGTGAGGTCCACAAGTCAGATACTGTCAGCATGTTCAGAGTTTTTAATGATTGATGAAGTTCTGCTCCTTCCTTGTGTGTTAATGTCCACATGCCCGTTAATTTAGATGACCCCTGATCCTTCCTGTTGTGCAGAGGAACTTGTTTTTTTTTGGGTTATAATTTCAGTCATAATAGAAGAAGGGAAGTTTGTGCACAGGAGTTTGACAAACCGCAATTCACTTTTTGCCAATAACTTACCCAGGCTTGGTTAATCTGAGGGTCTCACATCAGCTTTAACAGTCAGGACAAGGAGAGAAATCCGATTTTGCAAAAAAACTGAATTATGAGCTTAGTCTGATTAAACTGTGCCTGTAAATGCACTGAATGAAGTCTCCTGAAAGAGGAAGAGACATGACGGCAGGTTCTTGTTTTGATTAAAACTGTCCGACTAATGAACAACAGAGAAACAACAAACACCCCTGCAGAGCCACAGAGAGGGAGAGATTCTCCGTCTCCGTTTTGTGAGTTACCCTGCAAATCCCTGAGAACCCCTGACTGAAATCTGAAGTCAGATCAGAAACCTTAATCCTGCAGACACCCAGTCAGACATGTTTACTCACATTTACTCTCACCTCCTGCCTGCTTTCCTGAACTGTGTGTTAAAGCTCTTTTCGTGGCTGAAAACCTTGTGAGACGGTTTGTCACAGAGGTCCTAAATCGAGCACTTCTTCCTCAGGGAGTATGTTCTATTTTAACCTCGTAGGTAAGGGAAGTTGACCCAAATTTAACTATATTTAGCTTTTTGCTCTCCAGAAGTAGAAAATGGTTAAAGTGCTGAAGAGATCACGACGAGCAGGAGCCTGAATTTCTCCTCCTGGTTATGTAGAAGTGAGAACAAACACGCTGTTATGATGATCGCCGCTTTGTTAGAGATATTCAAATGTTCACAACTGACACAAACACACTCCCCCCTCTCTGTGATGTTTGTTGTTTTTAATCCACGTTAGTCACCTTGTTGTTATCAGTGTGGATACTTAAAATCTGGGTCCCACTTGAGGCTAAAATACCACGGAGTAAACTTTTGGCTGCTTTGAGCTCGGACTGGAATGTGTAGCCGGTGGTTAGGCAGCCTACAGAGAGGCAGGGAGGGAGACGGGGGAAAAATGGCAGCTCTGTTCCTGAGTGTTTATTATTTCACTTGGCCCTGAATGAACTCCTTGTTAGCAGAGCTCCTGCGTTGGCATCACACAGTCCCGTCAGTTTATCAGGACGGTTTGCAGATTGCAGTTTTTATGACATTTAGAGCAGAAGTTAAACTAACAGCTGTTTAAACAGGTTATTGATTTCATGTTGAGGATTTAGATTTATACTTTTTGGTCCTGAGGTCGTGAGTCGCTGTTTTACACACTGATTTATTTAACCGACACTCATCAATGACTCAGCGCTTTAATTAAACAGCCGTGTCATCGATTATGCATTGACAGATTTGGTCGTTTTGGTTTACAGGTTCTAATTTGTTTGTTTACAGCAGTGTTGAACGGGACGTCATCACTCTGAGAGGTGTTTGTAATTATTTCCAAAAACAACCTCAGCAGATGATTTCAGGTGGATTTATCACAACAAAGTGGAGAAGTCTGGACTTAAGAGACCTCATCATAAATCCAAGTGTGAGATTGTAGAAGCTTAAGTTGTCTGTTGTTTCCTTAGAGGGAGTGGACTTGACTTATTTCTCAGTCAGTGATTCTGATAGATGAGGTTTTGATGAGTCATCTTAGTTTATGGGGGTTTAAAACAGTTTCTCAAAGACTCAGTACGTTTACATGACACTTGAGAAAACTGAGTTATCGCCTTACTCCGATTAAGACCAGACAACTGAAGTGCATGTAAACACCTCAGTCCGACTATAGAGAACTAGACACCTCGATAATGCGATTGGAATTCGGTTTTCTCTGCCATGTTACCAGCGTAGTCGGAGTTTGATCGGACAATGCATGTGCATGTGCATGTGCGCCAAGCCCCCGTAACCGCGGAACAAAAACACCAGAGAAGAAGTGGCGCTATCATTTTAAGAACTCTGGACCAAGTTGGTGGAACCAACTGCAACATGGCTGAAGCACGAAAGAACGTCCACTTTTGGAATCACGAGGAGAACGCCGTTTTGCTTTCCGTCCTGACAGAAATGGACATTTTAAAGTATAGGGACGGTCGCAAAACGAGGAACAGAGACATCTTTAAAAAAGGTCCAAAAACAGCGCCACTGAAATGACCCATATCGCCCCCTAGTTTTGCGGAGGAGGACACGTTCACGTCACTGACTCGATTTCCTCAGCTGCATGTATAGATGGACACGGAGTGAAGTCCGACTCTGCGGAAAACAAATCATGAGCTTAGTCCGATTAAACTGTGCATGACGATGATCTTCTTGTGGATGTTCAGCTCAAAGTCTAACCAGGAGACATTCAATCATGAATTAAACTGTAAGCCTGAGTATCTCTCCACATCTTAATCTGTGACTCATGAACCCGTCATCTTCTCTTTCACTCTATTTCACTCGTTTGTTCGTTTATTCCACTGTCCAAATTTCCTGTTTTCCTCCTCTCTGCAGCACATCGTCAAGTGTCACGGCAGCACCCTGCTGCCACAGTTCCTCGGGATGTACCGGGTGAGTGTGGACAATGAGGAGACCTACCTGATCGTCATGAGGAACATGTTCAGCCACAGACTGGTGGTGCACAGGAAGTACGACCTGAAGGTGAGGCAGAGCTTCATGCAAAACCTGACCTTTTCTGAACACGCGTCTTTCTGTCATCGTGGCAGTTATGATGCAAACTCAGAGCTGACTGAGAGGCTGGAAAACACAGGAGTTTACTCTCAGGGATCGACACTTTTAGGTGATTGAATCTCTTTTCCAGCTCCATAATAATCAGATTTCTTCTTGCAGGGTTCTCTGGTTTCTCGTGAAGCGAGTGACAAAGAAAGGGTGAAGACACCTCTCCTTCTTACTGTTTCATACCCTCGTTTGGTCTGTTGTCTCTCTGCTAAACACGTGTCCTTTTGATTCTTTCAGGGTAAAGAGCTTCCCACCTTCAAGGACATGGACTTCAGGAACAACATGCAGAAGGTGTACGTCACCGAGGAGCAGAAGGAGAAGTTCATGGAGAAGCTCAACAGAGACGTAGAGGTGGGGGATTGTTTTATGTGACAGCTCGTTGCTTTTACACACAGACACCACACAGCGGCAGCATCTGCACACGAGAACTACTCTGATCCAGGTCTCTCTGTCGTCCTCCAGTTTCTGGTCAGGCTGAAGATCATGGACTACAGTCTGCTGCTCGGCATCCACGACATAGGCCGAGCAGAACGTGAAGAAGAGGAGGGCGAAGAGGTTTCAAACGAGGAGGACCCAGAGGCGGAGAACGGCCTGACACAGGGGGCCACAGTGGGCTCTTACGGCACGTCTCCGGAGGGAATCGCCGGCTACATGTCTGCCTGTAAGCCTCTGGGGCCCGGGGAGTTCGACCCCTACGTGGACGTGTACGCCGTCTCCAGCTGTGCAGGTGAATCAAAGACGTTCTTGTTCATGTTTTCATACTTTTGTGCAGTTTAGGTTTGCCATGACTTTATGAATGGATGGATTCATGACTCCTGCCTTTCCAGAGTCAGTTTGTTGTGAGTGTTTTTGCACCTTCAGAGTCGTCCTGTCCTTCTGTATCAGTGCGATCGCCTCCACTTTCATCTGGAGAATAATAATGAGGCACTTCTCTCCCCCTCGGCTTTAATCTGGATGATTGTGATGTATCGTACCGTCGGTAACACAGCCATGTTTGTTCCCTCGCCTTTCATCTCAGGAGCCCCTCAGAGGGAAGTCTATTTCATGGGCCTGATTGACGTCCTCACGCAGTACGACACCAAGAAGAAAGCCGCTCATGCAGCAAAAACCGTCAAACACGGGGTGAGTAGACCGAGAGAGGAAGGAGAAAGGTGAAGGGCTGCCGTCAGCGGGATCACAACAATCAGAGTGTACCTGCGCCGAGCGAACGTTTGATGTTTGCTCGAGTACCGTGTCATGAAGAGTGCGACCCGTACAGAGGATGCTGACGACCTTTCTCTCTCTCTCTCTCTCTCTCTCTCTCTCTGTCTGTTTTTGTCGCAGGCTGGTGCTGAAATCTCCACGGTCCACCCTGAGCAGTACGCCAAACGGTTTCGCGACTTCATCTCAAACATTTTTGCGTAACAATAATAATAATAATAATAATAATAATGATAATAATAATAATGCTGTAAGTCAGTCCAACTGAGAGCGAAATCTATATTTTACCTATGACCAAATATGTTAAGCACACACATACAGATCATTATTTAAATGTGGTGATCTGAGGCGAGACTACTTGTAGCAATATGACATACTTGTACTTCTGATGCATATTTTTATTATTAAGATTTAAGAAGCATTTCTTAGAGGAACAGACTGACTCTGGAGCAGAGGGGAACAAGTGTTGGACCGTCTCTGCGTCTGGTCCCGCAGACGTAGACCGAACTGAAGGAGTTTGACTTTTTTAGGGATCATTTTTGTTTGTTTTGTTTTTCTTGTGAAGTGAGAGACGACGACACTCCACAGTGTGTCTGCTGAAGGTTCCCGCTGAAGTGTTTGACCTCAGATAGCAGAACAGAATCGCTCTGAGGACATGTGACTACAGACCTCTGCTTTTGGTGTTACACTACTTCACTCCTTTTAAATACAACCCCAATTCCAAAAACAGCCGAATGTGAATACGAACAGATTTTGATGGTTTGCGAATCATTTGAAGCTTAAAACGTATCTGATATTGAGACTGACGAGTTAGTAAGACAACCAGGTATGAAAAAGAAAGACTGAGTCAACAAAATCGTTCTTGTTTAAATTTACAGAATATTTGTCGGGATTTTTTTTTTGTCTATGGTGGATAAAATCAAAAGATTCAGAGAAATTTCTGTCCAATGGGAACAGAGCTGAAGCAACAATACTGGCCATGATCTTTGCAGCCCTTCACTGTTGTGGGAATCACTGCATGACCTTAAAATGACTCCAAAAGTTGATTGCTGCATCCACAAATAAAGGTGAAAAGGGAACCATCCAAATATGAAACCACGTAAACATGATTGAGACACTCCAGCAGAGTCAGAAGGACTGTGGTCAGATTATTTAGAAGTCACTCAGCTCCATAGAAGAGAGGGACCACCTGGGTTGTTATCAGCATCATTTATGAAATTATATATAGGGGATCCTTTTAGTGTTGGTAGCTTAAACATGTGGAAAGGCAACATTTATACTGATCAAGATATGCAGGTTTTGGAGCAACATATCAGGATAGATATCACAAATCAGCAAACAATGTGTGAGACTAGGGGCTAAATGGGGCCACCTGCAGTCCTGACTCGTCACCCATTAAAATTATCAGAAAATGAAACAAGGAAGACCTCAAACTGTTGAGTTCACACAGCATACAGAGCTTTTTTTTGAATTGGGGTTGTACACATTGACATTACATGAACACTGCTATCAAATAAACACTGAATTTAGATTAGCCTCTTCATTCTGCCATTCTTAATGATTTAATCTTAATGCACTTATTTTCCAACGCTAACATGTATTCAAACAGATGATGGTAACACTGCAGCAGCACAGGACTCCTCTCTCTCTCTCTCTCTCTCTGTTTTTGTTTGTAACTCTTTGGACGAACTGTTAGCTTGGCTCCCTCCAAATCACTACAGCAAAGAAATTAACCATCAAACACCTCAGCATCTACATATTTATCTCCATAACCTTATTTATACAAAATCCTGGATTTAAAATCAATAACAGGAGCCAGTCTAGCAGTTCTTCTTGTTTTCAGTTTTTGTGGTAAACTACTTTAAATGACTGCTGACTCTAGACTTGTTTCTTGTGGATCTTATTTTTCTTATTTTGGTGAGAAAGCGAAAAAAAAAATCTTTACACGAGGAAGTATAAATGAAATAATAGAAGTCTTGGATCTACACTTGAAGGTTGATAATATTTATCCATCAAAGCGGGCTGTTTGTGTGGATGTTTAGAGTGCCAAACGTGTGGGATCAAAGCTTTATCCTTGCAGGATTTGCACTTTGCATCAATAATTTAAACTCAATCTCGACTGAATAGTGAAATGAATCTAATCCTGTTTTCCAACAAAGTCTTAGCAAAACAAAAAAAAAAATGTACAGAAGGGCTTTGTCAGTTGAGAAGATAAATGTGTGGTATTTAAGTAGAAAGCATATCCTATTATTTAGCCTGTAACAGTTTTGACAGTCGTGCATCTCTTTGCCGTTTTTAGCCCATAAGGAGAACGTGAGGTGACCGACCTTGGAGCGTTTTATTCTGACGCAGAGCTGAGCCCGCATTCATGAAGGAACTATCTTTACAATCAGGCTCAGCTCTGCCTTTTCAATGAAAGGCTTCATGTGTGCATGTGTGTTAGTTTGAAAACGCCTTTAAAAACGAGCCCATCCATGTTTGATCTGGACTGACTCCTTTTTGAACTTGTAGTGTAGTGTGCATTCAGATGACTAATGTGGGCAACGTGAATCCGTGTGATAGAGTTTAGAGTAATTTATCAGTAGACCTAGAAAGTACTGTCTGTGTGTTCAGTGATCAACAGGGTACTACTGTGGGAAACATCGTCAACAATAACACTACATTTCAGTAGCTTATGAAGGAAGCCTTAACTTAGTGTCATGATACAGCTGAACACTGCGAAGGCTCGACTCTGTATACGGCCTCATCTACTCAATGATTGCACATGTTGTTGTATTTTTGCAAATCAGCTTTTGGACCAAAATATATTTTACAAAGAATTTATTAAATGTGTCTGACTCGTTATTTACAGACTTTTGATGTTCAAACAAGTAACACCGGCGTGCACCAACATCTACTGCACTGTGACTCCAATCCGGAGCTCTGCTACATCTGTTACTGAGTTTGAAGGTCTGTGTGTGCACATGCATGCGTTTGAGAGTTGTTGGTTGTAACTTTGTGTATGTGAGAAAGCAACAGAGACGATGAAGGGACAGGGCCATAATAATTGAACATTGAAAATAGAGACAAAGATAAAGTCGAGGAGAGAAAAACTGAAGCTGCTGATGTCAAAATCAAAAACTAATGACATGGAATTAAAACAGGAAATGTGTCCTAAAGTGAAAAAGGAACATGAACCACTCACTTTTTGCAGGACGTCCCAAAGCACCGACATGTGAATTGCTACACTCCGTGTGTAAACAGAGGGATTGGAAACACAACACCCGAGCAGAGAAACTCCCACTGGTCCTGGATCCAGCACAGAGTTGAATTTAAGGTACTGTATGGGCCTCTTAGTGTACCTAAAATCAAAACAAAAACAGGTAAAGATGCAGTTAGTCACTACGGTACTTTGTTAGGTCTGCAGAAACAAAAGTTCTTTTAAAAAGTAGAAAAAGTAAAGGTCCCAGGATGGAGCCCTGTGGCATCCCACATGTTGTTTCCTCTCCCGTCATTGGTAGTGAGTCTTTCAGTCATTTTTTAAATATTTCTGAGCTCATTTGTTTATTTGATCGTCTGTTTTTTAACATGAGGGTGCATAAATATTAAATGTGTCATATTGAATTTGTGGGGTACATCGGTTGGACATTTTTCTGTGCGAGTAAAATCAAACATGTATTTGAAATTATCATTTTGTCTCACTCTTGACCCACAGTATTTGCTCCATCAGCAAACTATTGTATGCATCTCTTACATCAACGGTGCCGGTATTTTGACAGGATGCATGACTCACGTCTCACATGAAAACTTTACATTCCCTAGAAAGTTGATTGCAATATTTTGCAGCTGCTGCCGTTTCTTCTTGCATTCGTGTGTGAAACAAACTCAAAAAAGTTTGAAGAAAACCAGCAGCATCTGAAGAGATAATTTACCCTTAAAGGGATATTCCGACGTAAAACTAATTTAGGGTCAAACACACTGTAACACCGAGTTAGACCCCCCCCTCCAGAGATGAATGTTGCCGACCGCTTTCTTCTCTAGTTATACCAACTTTAGTAACGACCGCAGCCACCAAACATCTTTTTCGCTTTGACTAATTTCTTTAGTAAAGAGACTAAACACAACTCACCTACTCTCTTCCAGCAGCCACTTGTTTGTAGTGAGACCTCGGGCCAATCCATTACGGACTACAGCGGGGTGACGCAGCTCAAGGAAGAACATTTATGATCATAAATGCTACAAACAAGCGGCTGCTGGAAGAGAGTAGGTGAGTTGTGTTTAGTTTCTTTGTTAAAGAAATCAGTCAAAGTTAAAAAGTTAAGTTGGTATAACTAGAGAAGCAAGTGGTCGGCAACATTCATCTCTCAAGGGGCTGTCTAACTCTGTGTTACGGCGTGTTTGACCCTAAATTAATTTTACGCCAGAATATCTCTTTAACTTCTTGCAAACTTGGAGTTTAAGCCTACTCGGCACGGCATCAGATTTGAAAGCAGCAGAAAGAAAGGGGGCAGGATGTGAGCTCTATCTGCTCACATCCTGCCAGGGGAGGAGAGAAAACAAGAGCGGGCCAGGAAGACACAAGAGGGGTCACACCGCAAAGACAGTCTTAAATCGCAGCTTCTCATCGATTCTCAGCTATAATCTGCATCCTCAACCATGATGTTCATAACAGTTTAATACCAGCACTGAAGAGTCAAGCATCTCAGCATGCTAACTCAAACATCACACTTGTACCAGAGTAATCTTAGACCAAGAGTAAGTGGTACTTTCACAGTCGGCTCACTGCTTTTTGTGGGTCATATCAGGTTGTATTAAAGTGCTGGTTTTAAGAAAGGCCTTATGTGTAGCCTGGATAACGTGGTGTGGGTCAGGGGCTGCTTTGTGTCTCACTCTTCCCAGAAGATGTGTTTCTGCTGACTACTTCCTTCCTGTTTCATCCAAGCAGGGGGAATTTGCTGACTGGTTCCTTCTCCTTTCACCAGAAAACCGAGCAGAGCTGAGACACTAGGACTCGGGCAGGATGAGCAGGGAGACAGAAGGAGGGCGTCGTTGAAGGGGTCATTTCGCCGCAAACTGCTGACCATCCAGAGATGCAGTGGGAACACAACATCCAGGGAGCAGATCCCCATTAGTCAGTGTGAATCCCAGCCAACACAAATATTTCTGCGTTTTCTCAGTTTGACGCTTGCTGACCCCGGCGTTGACCTCTATCGATGACAACTGTGGCGACCCACCAGAAGCCGCTCCAGTTTGCTCACTTGCATCTTTGGAGGAATTCGTCCCCCACCAAAGTTATAAACAAGCTAGAACTGCTCAGTCATCACCTGCACAGGCTGCAGCGTTGGAATAATGTTATAACTAGGATGTGTCTGTACGTTCAGGTTAAAGAGCCCCCTTCCTCAGCGAGGCAGATGTGCCCCCAGGTCCCTCACCTCTCTGATAGTCTGCCCCTCTCTCACCATGCCCTCCTCCACAGGGGGGACTTCCTGACATTGTTCTCTGCTATGTGTTAACTGTTTTTACGGTTTCTGCACCGTCTCTGCCAGCCGTATACACACATACAGGATCGTTCAAGGTAAACCTCAGAGGAAACTCACAAACACGGAGCAAACACGGAGCAAACACAGCCCAGACCTTGTGATTACACTGTCTGCTTGACTTTTATTTGGAAAATCTAGATTGTTTACTTGTTGTTTCTACTCAGGAATCCAAATTATTTGAGCTGTTTCACCTCATGAACCAACACTATCTAAACCTGCACACTGATTTTGATGGTTTGAACCCTGTGTTAAATGGAAAATGGTGCAAAGACATCATATCAAACACTGAAACTTGAAAAAAGTACTGTTTATATGATCTATATGCTCATTTGCAACCTCCTCTTTAACAATCTTAACTTACACAGGACTTCAGCTGCTCAACAGTCATTTGTGGTGGTCTACAAGGCCAGATAAGCACTAGGACTCTTCTACTACAGAGCCACACTTTTGTAAAATGTGCAAAACATATCTGACGCTGTCTTGCAGGAATATCCAAGGTCTTCCCTGAATGGAAGTATGTTGAGAACATCTCGTTTATGCGTTTTTAACACAACACAAAAACCAAACTGAATCCTCACCAAACATAAGACAGGTTTTCCGAGACACTGACTATGAAATAATAGTTCTTTGGAATAAATCATGTGATTTTTTTGGGCTGTTTTTGCTTCGGTGAGTTTCTATTGAGGTCACTGAATAGAAATTCTTGGAAGCACTTGTCTTACTCAACATATTTCTTCCCCGAAAACAATTAAGTGACTTCCCCATTTTCACTGTCCCCCATTTCAATCCTTCGGATTTGTTTCCAACTTCCACAAGACACTGAGGATGTCCTGTTAGATCTGTACGTTTGTGTGTGTGTGTGTGTGTGTGTGTGTGTGTGTGTGTGTGTATGTGTGTGTGTGTGTTTTAATGAGAAATGGGAGGGTACAAACCCCTGGCTGCTTGATTGCTCAGATAGCCCTGGACATCAGAGCTGGAAGGAGTGATCCGGTGTCTGCGACCTTCATAGAGAAACTCTCCAGACTTCAAGAAGGCCTCAGAGGGGACGAGCCCTCTTCTTCTACACTCCACTCACCATCACAACAAGGTACTGAGGAGCCTTATTATACATTTATGTGACAGTTAGAGCCTGTTTTCACCCTACATTTATACAGAAAACAGGTGTTTGATGGGTGCTGATGCTTATGAAAATTATTGGTGTTTCAAAACTAACTTTTGTGAAGTCTGATAAACTGTCTCATGTGATGCCACTTCAGTCAACAAAGGCTAAGAACTTAAAATTACAAAAAAATGTCTGGATTTGTAAAAACATACAGCTGTTATACCAGCTCTGTACAAGCTGTCATATGTTAAAATGCAAAGGCCTTAATGCAACAGTTAGTTTAACTAAGCTGACTCAAGGTTCATCTCAGTCAGCAAAGTGTAACGTCCAGGCATTTTTATTAATTTTATTATTTAAATATAATATTTAAACACAAAAATTTACAGTCAGACAAGGAAACATCAGAACAAAATACAAGAAAATATGAAAAAAAGTAACAAAAAACAACAATGAGATAAGAAAGTGTAAAAGAGAAAATAGTGATGGACTTAATTTTAAAAAGGATTTTAAAAGATCTGATATTTGGTTGTTTTGGTTACAAAAAAGTCTGCTTTGTAAAAAACATAGTTATTATAATAGCTCTGTATAAACTGTCAACATGCAAAGGCCTTAATGCAACAGTTAGTTGAACTAAGCTGACTCGAGATTCATCTCAGTCAGCAAAGTGTAACGTCTGGGCATTTTTCTTAATTTTGTGTTCAATATTTAAATAAAAAATTACAGTCAGACAATTTAACATCAGAACAAAATACGAGAAAATATCAAAAAGGTAACAAAAAACAACAATTAGATAAGAAAGTGTAAAAAGGAAAATAGTGACGGACTTAATTTTGAAAAGGATTTTAAAATATCAAAGATACTTGGTTGTTAGCTAACACAAGCAACTAAAAATAACATTCAAATTCATTATGAAACATTTTATCTTTAATATTAAACACATTTTTGGTTTTACATAAAACATTATTTCCAAATGAAGACAAGACAAGTATAAAATAAACGAAATAATAAAAAGCAAAACGTCCAAACTTACCCATATTTGGTCGCAGATGTGACGCCCTCTCCATTCAGCTAATCAGTGAGTAAGCTAACCGTCAAGCTAACGTCAAGCTAACCGTCCGTTTAAATAACCGCCATTAACCACCGACTCGCGAGTTAGCTAACAGTACATATATTATGACTAAGCATTATGGTAAGCTAATAATTAATCACAGTTTTAAATAACAACAGTGACATCCAGTGGAGAAATCGTCGAGTGCAACATATTGCAATATGGCGGGTCCATCTATCTATCTATCTATCCCTGTCTTTTTTGTTCTTTGTTTCACTTCCGTAGTCACTGACTCTGTCTTATTTCATTCCTTTCTATAAATTGACTAAAAAGGTAAAAACAACAACAAAATACAGGCCTTTAAAAAAGGTATCTTTATTTATATTACTTGGACTTTCTTGTTTTTTTTTAATATAACCATCCATTGTTGGGTCAATAGTGTTGTTTACAGCTCTTTAAATATGAAAAAAGTCCAAATTCTGTAGAAGAATTTTAATCTGGCCCTTACAGCAACCTAAAGAGACTCATGTTTACTTTATGAGCTGCTTGTTGAAGGTGTTTTTTATGTCTTTCTAATAACTTGCTGTTCTTGTAGTAAACACCTCCAAAATCATTTAGGAAACACTTTCCCAGCATGTCTCCCACCCTCCGCCCCTCCTGTGCTTTTGTTACACAAGGTCTGAAAACATAATCAGATTAACCCCAAAGTAAATCTGAACCCAGTCCAGATATGAAACTGTTTCCTTCTACTTCTCACTCCAGACCATGAGCGCCGAGGAGTTCAACCACTCGTTTTTCAACGCGAACCACACGCCATGGTTTGTCTACGATTGCACCATTGTGCTCGACGCAGACTACCGGCGCATCGCCCTCTTCCTGATCTACCTCTTCGTCTTCATGGTGGGGCTGCTGGAGAACGGCCTGGTCGTGTGGGTGAACTGGCGCAGACGCCACTCAGCCAATGGCGTCCTTTTCTGCATCATCAACGTGAGCCTGTCGGACCTGATGGTGATCGTGATCCTGCCGTTCTTCATGATGGAGGTGACAATGGACAAGGTTTGGCTGTGGGGACGCTTCCTCTGCAAGGTCACCAATCTCATCTACGTGGTTAACTTCTACAGCAGCTCCTTCTTCCTGGCCTTCATGACCTTGGAGCGGTACCTTTCCCTGACCAGACCAACGTTTCCAGCCCTCTTCCCTGTGGTTGGAAAGCGCCGCTGGGTTCTCTGTGGAGGCCTGTGGATATTATCCTTTTTCCTGGCTCTGATGGAGAACATCCACGTAGATATTCTGGAGTGGGATGAGCCGGGTTGCTATATGATGCCCGAGTACAGCTTCAGGGAGTGGTTCATCAGTGTGGCCTTCCTGTGTCTCATCTTCCAGTTTCTGGTTCCTGCTGCTGTCATCATCACCTGCAACGTGCTGATCGCTCGTGCAGTTCAGACAGCACCAGATGTTCAGGGTCGCCGCGACGTGTGGCTGGTCCACGTCTACTCCCTGGTGTTTATCATGTGCTGGCTTCCATACCACCTGGTCATGTTCCTGATGATCATAGACGACATAGACGGAATGCTGTTTAGCTGCAACGCAATAGAAGCCCTCTACTTCTCCTTCAGCGTGGTGCAGGGTATTTCTCTCTTCCACTGCGTTGCCAATCCCATCCTCTACAACTTCCTCAGCAAGAGCTTCCGTGACAACCTCATCAACACAGTGGTGAGCTATATACCCAGAGAGGAAACTTTGAACCAAGTGGGAGCAGGGCCTAACGCTCCAAACGGAGGCGGTGGAGGAGAGCCAGGGAAGCACCGCAAGTTAAGTAACGCCAGCACCAGCCAGTCTGACGTGGGATCATAAAAGACAGACTGAAATTTAGCTTCAAGAGTGAGAAGGATCTGACAGAACTGACTCCAGATTTGGAGCCTCAGGATCGGATCAGGATCATGAGTGAAACAAAGACATCTTCATGTAAACATCAGAATCTCAAGAAAAAGCAGCAAGTACTTTGGCATGGACATGATCTTGCAAGTGAATTTAGCCTACTGTGTTGCCATCAGGGACGTTGTTATGATTTACCTGCTCAAACTGCTTCTCAGAATCCTCCGCCAGATTATCAAGAGCTCCACAGGATTCATTTCTTAACCCTTTCATGTATGAATTATGAAATATCACAGCAATTCTCTTCATAGTTACTTTTTACTTCTATTTTGATCAACATACAAAAGTTTGCACAAAGGTGGACATCATTCAACACTTTATAAATTGTATTTCATTGTGTAGAGATAAAGCGTGTGAAGATGGGAATACTAAATTGAAATGCTCCCATGCTCAACCCTTGGCTTGGTGAAGTGACGGTGGCCCTTAAGGAAAAGAAGCTCCTGAGTTTTTACCATCAATAATGTCCAACATTATGAATTATTTTGCGCACAACAAACTCTCTTCTTCTTCTTCTTCTTTGTCCTTTCACTGCTCCTGTAGAAACATGGCTGGCCTCAGTGGAAGAGGGACCAACTCTCTCTATTCTGAGTGAAAGAAAACAAAATCAGCCGACTGAAACAACAAGCATTTTCAAGAACAGGAGTAAACATTCACTGCAACTGAAATCTAGCCAACAATGCATGACTTCTGATGTAGCAGAGAGGTGATTTCTTTCTATATAAAATCAGTTATATCAATCCACTAATAATAGCTGGCCAGTAGGTGGCAGTGTCAGGGCGACTTTGTAACATCCAGTAAAAGGTTGATCATCAAAATCTCTGCTTATCTGGTAGAAATCAGCCTTTGGATAGCTGGTTTCTTCTCTTCATGACTGATCTCTTTGTTTGTCTGTCTTCTTCTTAATCACGAGGAAAGACGTTTGATTCCTTTTCCCGTTTAAGCTCTTTCCAGTAATTTATTTGTGGTTTGTGTGTCACTCTTGAGTGTCGGAGCTTTTCCAAACCACTTACGACAAGCTGGGCGAATACCATTGTTTGATTAATACCACCGGCATAAGTCGTTCCATCTCAATCTGCTTTGAGACTCGTTGTGACGTATGTTATGTAAGAGACGGGCTCAACATCACCTTCCTTTAATAATCCCCTTCCTGTTGTTTCCATATCTGATCACAGTTTTGAGGAGAGGAGGGCAGGAAATATCTGATGTATGTTCCTTGTTGCTGCTGAACTCCCGCAGGAACTCATGGCAGCGTTGTGTGTTAACAGATATACAGTATTTGCAGAGTGTGTAGTGTCAGGAAAGAGCGCGCCTTACTGCTTCTGTGTGAGTATCTTGCAAATGTGAAAACTCTGATTATGTTTGGTGATTTCATGACAAATCTTACAGATAAATCACATCTTAGGTTACTTAATTCTCATTTATCTGATTCTGGATGCTGCTGTCTTCTGTATGTGCACTCACAATGCAATAAAACTCCATTAAACACTGTTTTCATGTGTTAAAACTTGACTTTAACTTAAAAACAATTGTGTTTATTTGCTTTAGACGCCCCGCTGTTCTTGCACTTATCTAATCTTTATTACACTTACTTCCATTTCTGTCTGTCAGGAGTGTGTCACAGTTTAAATGATAAGACAGCAGAAAAAGGAAGAGGGGATGTCAGTCCACAGATGGCACAAAAGCAGGAAGAGACAGGGCTTTAAAAAGGGCAAAGGTCACAAGCCCCTGGAAGCGGCTACGTAGATTTCTGCAAGTTCACTGAAAATCTGATGACGGGGGGGATTTTTTTGGAGCAAAAGGTCACGCAAAACAGATTGAAAACTCATTTAAGCAGCGGTAACAGTCTTCTTTGAGGTTTTTATTTGTCTTTCTTTTCAAAAACAATATTTAGAAATGCCAACATCCTTAGAAAAAGATGGACGTGAGAAGGCAAACACATAATAAATAGTATCACTGTCATAAATATGAGGTAAAAAAATACTACAAAGAAATGTGACTGGCACTTCGAAAACATGTTTCAGCATTTACACCTCCATGTTTGAGTCAGACACTCTTGGATGAGTCTGATCCTGCTGTATCCATGGATGCAAAAATCAAAGTGTGAAAGAGACGTCCTAACAGTACTGTGTGAAAAAAACCATGACTGCAAATATAGGAAAATAATCTTATGCTACAGTGAGGTGCTACTTCAATAACAGTACACTTATCGATCACTGACAAAAGAACAATCCTGATATAGTTTAGGTTATAAAGACACAGACGTAGTCAGAGTACACAACAGTCACACCAGCTTCCCTTCCTTCCTTCACAGATACGAAACAGGACACACTGCCACCAAGTGGCTTCTTTAAGTCTTAGTCCAAAGAGACAAAACCTGCAGCCAGGTCGGCTCAGTGAACAGCATCTGACAGGTAACATCATCGCTACATTCTAAAGTCTAGGTCTATCATGGAGCCGATACAGTAAATCGATTAACTGATCAAAAAAGAAGTGATTTTTGATCATTGTTACAGCCGTGTTTAATCAAACGTAACCTCAGCTGCAAAAAGAATCGAGGCTGCTGCTGTGGAAATGTTGAGGAGCAGATTTTGATGGCTTTCAAAACTTTTACAGCCAGAATTTCAGTGAAAATATCGCAAAGACAAGATATCAAATGTTAAAACTGACAACTTTTGTTGATAAAATCATGAGATCATTTCAAATAAGATACCAGCAACAAAAGAGTGATGAAGTTAAAACAAAACCGGATTATAAAACAATCACATATATTCTGTCTTTGTAAATCTTTCCATTAAATTAAGGCTCTTACTGATTTGCAGCCATCAAATTTGATTTTAATTATTATTTTTAACAACATCCAAACTTTGGTGGAATTAGAAATTAGAGTGCCTGCATATGTTTTCAAGATGCTTTTAAAAAGCAAATGTTTTTTAAATTTGCTTGGAAATCAGCCCCTAAAATTGGATGATTTTCTGTTGATTGAATAACAGATTGATCGCTGCTGCTTCCAAAAACAAAATCTTTAGTTTCAGCTACGGTCTTTTTGAACACTGAACAGTTTGTGGTCCACGACAACCAGTAAAAAGAAAGAGTCAGAGAGACGGAGAAGGTCACAGGAGGGACGGGGAGCTGATCAGGTGTCCACAGTGTGCAGCGGCTCCTTCGAGTGATCGTTGTACATGAAGGTCTGTTCGATGTTGAAGTCGGGGGGCAGGTGGTCTTTGTGGAGCTCCATGTGCGACGACACCAGCTTCAGCGTGGAGAAGAACAGGCCGCACACGGTGCAGCGGTACATGAGAGCGCCGGCGTGCGTCTTCAGGTGGCAGATCATGGTGGACCTGCCTCTGAAGAAGCGCAGACACACTTTGCACTGGTACGGCTTCTCCCCGGTGTGGATGCGGAGGTGATAGGTGAACTCCCCGGAGTGAGCGAAACGTTTGCCGCAGTATCGGCATCTGTACCATTTACTCCTGACGGCAGCGACCACAGCTCCCCCGTCCTGCCCTAAACTCCCGTTAGTGCCAATCCCAGAGGACCCCAGACCTTGTGCTGACCCTTGAAAAAACTTATCTGAAATGCTGAAGCTCATCCCCAGCCCCAAACCCAGGTTACTCATCTTAGCGAGGCCGCCAACCTCCCGAGGAGAGGAAGAAGAGCAGGAAGACGGAGGATACTCCAGAACCAGGTCGGCTTTACGTTTCCCCAGCCAGCCCTGACTCCCCACACCTCCTCCACCCCCCAGGGAGTCGCTGGTGTGGAGGCTGAGGTGGTACTGAAAGGCGGAGGACGAGCGAAAAGTCTGTTGACACAGGAAACAGTGCAGCTCCTCCACCCCCGCTGTGCCGCCTCCTCCGACTCCTTCCGCCCTGGCCCTGTACGCCCTCAGCGCCGACCGCTCTCTCTCTTTAGCTGTCGCCTCCTCGGCGTGCGCCGCCATGTGTCTGTCCAGCAGGGGGCGCTCTACGAAGCAGCGGGCACAGTGTGGGCAGGTGAAGACGGGCAGAGAGAGGTGAGTGAGGGCGTGCCACAGCAGGGAGCAGAGGGAGAGCTGAGGGAGGTGACACACACCGCAGCTCAGGCTCTGAGGACACATGTGGTTCAGCAGGTGGTCTCTGACCGTCTGTGAAGGGCGAAAGACACAAAAAATAAACACCAGAGCTTTAAAAACTCATAAAAGAACCTTTAAATCTGCTCTAAAAGACACAGGTAACCAGTGTAGAGATTTTAAAATCGGCGTAGACCAATGGTAGACCACTTCTTTATTATTACTGCTCACCTTGAAGTCCTTGCTGAGGGTTTTGGTGCACACCGCACACTGCAGCTCAGAGCTCAGGCCCTGGCCGCTGTTTGTGAGCGCCCCCTGTGGGATGGTGTAACCAGAGGCGGTCTGTCTGTGATGTCGCAGCAGTTTGTTCTGGCTGCAGAAGTGAAGGTGACACATCTCACAGGTGAAGAGCTGCACCCCGACGTGGACGAGGGCGTGGGTGACGCTGGCGTTGTGGTCGGGGAACGAGGCTCCACATACTCTGCAGAGCCCCTGTTCGGTTAGGTGGGTCTCAGCGTGTCTCCTGATGGCGGCTGGGTCTGCTGGGAAGGGCACCGAGCAGGCTTTACATGAGAGCAGGTTTTCTGTGACCTGAAGGATTGAAGAACATTAATTTAATAAAGTAAACTTATATTCAATGTAAGAGCCAAAATATGTTTCTTTAGGATACGATTTCTAGGTACATCATTTAGAGGTGATTTAATTTAATTTTAAGGTGTTCCTGACATGTCCCACCGGGAGGAGACCTCATGGCCGGCCCAGGACCAGGTGGAGGGATTATATCTCTCGCCTGGCCTGGGAGCGCCTGGGAATCCCCCTGAAGGAGGAGCTGGTGGAAGTGGCTGGGGTGAGGGCCGTCTGGGCTTCCCTCCTGAAGCTGCTGCCCCCGTGACCCGGACCCAGATAAGCGGAAGAAAACGACGGTGACGGTACATCACTTCCAGGGATCGTCACTGAGGGGTGTGGTTTTGGGCTGTTTGGCGGGTTATCTAAACCTCACCGGTGTAGTCAGACGATGGTTGCTGTAAGCTCTGATAATTTTCTGTTGACCTGTTTTTACCTCATTTTCATCATATCAGTTTTGGACCTAGATCAACATGTTTTCTTTCCTTTTTTGAACAATAAATTAAATTTTAAACACTCAAACCGGACTGATAATTAAATGAGTCACAGATGCAAGTGAACCTAAACCCCAGCTGCCTTTTTTGTCGCTACATTCATGAAAAATATTTTACAATCATCTTCACCTGGTTACTTGAGTTTTCTCCTTCCCCGTTTTCCAAGCAGACAAGGTCGTCTTCGTCCTCCTCCTCATCGCCCTCCTCTATGAAGTTCTCATCGTCGCTCAGCTCAATGATCTCAGCTGCCAGGTGCCTCCACTGCTCCTCCTCTGTTCCCTCCATTGCTCCATTCCCAGACAGAGCCTCCCTGTCCTCCTCCTCATGCTCTCTGTCCTCCACCTCTCCAAACACCATCCTGTCCTCCCTCTGCACCTCCATTTCTCCTCCCTCCACCTGCAGGCTGCCCAAAGACTCCGAGGAGGACGTCGGGTCACAAGCCTCAGCGCCAAGCTGCGCTGAAGAGTCAGGAAAGGAGCAGGAGTTGGATGTCGAAGCATTGCTGCTCTGCGGCAGAGAGCTCCCTGTATTCTCTGGAACTGTTTGTCTGTCTCTTTCACCTCCTGCCTCCTCTTCCTCAAGCCCTTGCTCGATCTTCAGCTGCAGCACAGGCCCCTGAGGCAGCACACCATCGCTCTGACTCCTGGTTAGAAGAGTATTTCCTGCTGGTAGTTGATGATCTGCTGCCACCTGACCGTAGCTGATGTGAGACTGGATGTCCTCTGCCTTCAGGTCCCGAGGAAGAACCCCAGTGTGAGCGCTACTGCAGGACCTGGCTGTCCTGGTAGCTTGGAAGAGAGGTGAGGCAGTGTCCGCAGGGGTCGGGGCGGCGGAGGGACCAGCTGATGAGGACAGAGACGAGCAGGAGGCAGCAGAGGAACACACAGAAGGTGCAGACAGAGAGGCGGATCCAACCACAGCTACTGTAGAAACTACAGCTGGGACCAGACTGGAGTCCAGGGTCAGATCTCCAGAGCTGCCTGCTTTACAGTTTGCAGAAACAGACGTCTGCAGGTCTGGGAATGTAGCGTGACAAGCTCTAACCAGCTCATCAACGCCAAGCCTCTCAGCGAGCTCGTACAGCACCCCGACATCGATAAGGTCAGTCAGGATCTCCCCCGTGTACACAAACGTCAGGACCTTCTCAAAGTTGGCCGAGGAGATGAACTCCAGCGAGAAGGCAGCAGAGGAGGAGGCCGGGGCTCGGGCGAAGAGGTTGCGGAAGTAGGTCCCGGCACACGCGAGCACTGCGCGGTGTACCGGGAATGTGCGGTTCCCGACCTGAAGGAGGACATCACAGTACTGACGGGACTGTCTGCAGCGGTTCAGCTCAGCGAGGAGGCTGGCAGCGTGGCCGGGACCCTGCAGACGGATCCTCATCCCTGCTGCTGCAGCTGCAAGTGTGCTACGGTCCGACTGCAGAAACAGAACAGATGAGAGCGACGGAGGATGAACATGTTACAGTCACATCTGAGAGTTCGTACAAGATTTTAAATTTATTAGTTTTCATCAACAAAAAAAGCCACTCTTACATGCTGTATTTACATGGTATCAGGACAGTGTTATTGAGGTATTCTCCCTTCTTTCTCCAAACATAAGCAAAGTCTCTGTCGTCAAAGAGCTCTGGGGGGGGGCTAAGAATTTTGCTCTCAACTGTACATGTTATCTGCCACGATATTTACATGATATCGGCTATGATATTTTCATAGTATTTACATGATATCGGCTATGATATCGGCCATGGTATTTACATGATATCGGCTATGATATTTACACGGTATTTACATAGTATCAGCCATAGTATTTTCACGGTATCAGCCATGGTATTTACATGATATTGGCTATGGTATTTACATAGTATTTACATGGTATTTACATGTATCGGCCATAGCAAAACTATAATCTTCCGATCACCAACTAGAGAAAACTAATGATATCAGACCATTTTGTTGGAACTCGTTTCTCACAGTTATATACATTAGTTTACAAAGTGTCAGGTATAAATATGTGACAAACTCTGACATACTTTAGTCAACTGTACTGTCTTTCTCAGTTTAATTTATCTCTGTTTTACACTCAGAGTTGTATATTTCGGTCCAACATGAAGCTAACGGTGAAAAAAACTCTCCATCGACTCCGTCCAGATTTTACACATTTATCCATTAAAATCCTGTTTTTTGTTCATCTTATCAAACCCCTGTCTTCGTCAACACAACTCACCCATTGAAAAGTGTCTAAGGTCCGCTCTTTATCCTCTGTTTGTTTCTGTTTTTACAGATAGACTCCGGTTTTCGTCCACTGATGATAAATGTTGTAATTACAATCTTTTTTGGTTGGCTGTCGCCTTCTGATGACGCATGTCAACAAGACATCCACGATGGTCGCCCCCTGCAGGCTGGAAGAGTCATTACAGGGAACATAGACTGGACTGTAGGGGAGAGTGGGGTAAGATGAGTCATTTCTCATGTTTCTGATCACTTCATCAAGTCAATCATAGTTTTGTCTCTAACTCGTGTATCTGCAGATATTTCAGGATGTTGTTCATCCCTGCAAACCAACAGAATGAGTGTAAACAGAACTGTAATCTTGATAATATAGCATTACCCCAGGGTAAGTTGACCACTACTTAAAAGCTGTTTTCACTTTCCAGAGTAAAAAATGTTTTTTTTTTTTTTTAAATAAATATCTAACCCCTTCACCCATGTGCTTCTAACCTTCACAGACTCCATAAATTGATGCCCATCTCCTAAATATTTGGTCACATGATCTATTATTTTACCATTTACCCCACTCTCCCCTATAGGTCACAATACAACTGATCCTCTATAAAAAGACAAGGTGGAAGTCAGAAAAAGAAGAAAAAATATCAAACTAATAACACAATACACCTTAAAAATTAGTCTCTCTGCTCTGAAGTCAGTTCGTTATGTCTGCAAAGGTCTGGATTAAGTAAAAACATGGAAGTTTGGGGAATAAACCTTGACTTGAGAAATGAGACAACACAGCGATGTAACGCAGAGAGAGATAGAGGTCAGAAACACAAGGACAAAACAAAACACAGAAAATCATGTTAATGCTAATTAAAAAAAGTTTATTTGTTCCAGTAACCATTTCTTTAAGCTCATGATGGACTCATACGACCCACAAAGTGTCGGAGGTAACGGCGACACCTTCTCCTCTTATTTCATATTTCACTGTAAATTCATGAGAAAGACCTACACAACAGTAACATGAGTAATGTCGTCATCTTTACGCAGTCGTCTGGCCATCCCAAAGAAAACTCTTAACTAACAGCCACATGTTTACGTATGCAAAAGCATCTGTTTTCATGTTTATGCTTTTATGACAAAAGAGAATAAGAAATTATGAGACGATGAAAAAACAAACTTGACAAATTCTCAAAACTACCAGTAGAAATCATTTACAAAAATTGAGTCTTTGATTTTTGAGTTGTGTCGTAGTTACAGAATTGAACACTAAGTATGTAGTATAGTTACATTTACATCATATTAAAATGCCATATCTTTGACCTGTGAGAGTAACACTGACATGTTTCATGTTTCAAACCATTCATTTTTCTAGTCTAAGCAGGATGATCTCCGCTGACTCCTCAATGAAAACAGTTTATATCGGCTGAAGTGACCTTGATACTGCTGCGACGGGCACACACAAGAAACAACATGACATACTGAAGGTTTTATTTGTAAAGCCCGAGAAAAGAATCGCTGCTGCTTTGGTGCGGTCACAACTAATTTGAATAAAAGCAGCACCCTCTGGTGTATTTATTACATATATTTATCCAACACGTCTCACACTCAAAGTTGTTGCTTTTCGTCGTCATAGCTGGATTATTGCACTTCATCTGGAGGAAGTGAGACTGCAGCAGGTCGAGTGTCTGCCCTAAAATTACAGAGACGGCTACAGAGTTCTACTTGAGTCATTTTGAAATGAGGTCAACAACAACACAGTAGCTCAGCAATATGTCTGTCATCAACAAATTCAGTGAATATTGCTTTTAAAGTTGTTTGATATGTTGTTCAGTCTTCAGAAACATTTTTTATATCCATATTTCTACAATAAAGTCCTGTGTCTGGTGTCTTTTCGTTGGCTGTATCCATGTTTTCATATTTGACGAACATCCTCTCCGGTCCTCTGCAGCATCTTCGCTACCGTTTCCTGGAGTTGGTTCGGCCCAGACTGGCAGTGCTGGACCGGCGGGAGAGGACGGGCGTGGCAGTTGGTGGAGACGTCTCGCTGGGACAGCCGTGCTGGAGCAAAATATCGATGCAGCCTTTGCTCCCGGTTTGTCTGGCGATCCTCAAAGCGGTCTGGCCTTGGTCATCCTTCGCTTTCACATCGATTCCGTACTGCAGAGGAAGAAATATTTCTGTTTTAGTTTTAAATCTACAAGGATAGAAGGATGAGAAGGAAGGAGAAACCCACCCAGATGAGCAGCTGGGTCATGACTACGTCTCCCTGCTGACATGCAGCGTGCAGGGCGGAGCGAGGGGATGGATTTGACCCCGTGGGCTGAGCGTTGATCTGATCCTTAGTGCTGTGGGCCAGCAGCAGCAGCAGTCTGGGCAGATCTCTTTCTGTCACTGCAGACAGGAGCCACGTCGGCATGCTGTCCCCTGCAGGCTGTGACCCTGAGGTCTGCTGAAGAGCTGCCACAAACGCCCGCTGCTCGTACTTCGCACGGATCCACGACTCCCTCTCCTCACTAAGGAGACAGACACAAAAAGAGAGATGGTGAGGAGATATAGGATGGACTACAGACAGCTCTGCTTTTTGAAATACATGTAGAGATGTGTTTTACTCACCGGGTTGCGTTGGGGGTGGGTTTAGTTCTGCCTTGGGTGCAGCGCTCCCAGATGCTGTTGGCCATGTGGTTCCCGATGGCGGCCAGGACTTGTGTGAGCTCTCCAGGCCAGTCGTCCAGGTCCAGAGAGCGGACACGAGACAGGTGGGTCCCCAGGTTTCGATGGATCCCTGAGCACTCGATGCAGATAAGCGCACCCAGGTTAAGGCTGGCCCAGGTTGGATCTGAAATAGACGAGCAGTGACGGTGACAGATAAACAAACACAGCTTTACTAAACAGAAGCAAACAACGTGTCAAGTACGACACAACCACCACCACCACGGGCTGTCCTTGATGCATGAAAGCAGAATAATCCGACATTTCAGCACTCACTTGGAGCTTCGCAGTCCACACACAGACTGTTGCCCTTGGCGTTGCGGATGGCCTGCAGAGCTACGGCCTCGCTTTGGCTGCTCCGTCGAGCCTGCACAATGAAAATACAAGACACAAGTAGCATCTTCCAATTTGTAAAGTCAAGCATGAGAAATACACATATTACACCTGATTTAGCGCCCTATGACTTCTGTGATGTGGAAAAAGACAGACTAATCTCTAGAATGGACACTGAAAATGAAGTCAACCATAAAAAGGCGGATGCATTTATGAAAAAAAACCCCACCTAACCCTAAAAAAATTCTAACAAAAGGTTTCTCAACTGTTTTCATAGGATTAGATGTCCTTATTAATTGACCGCTAGAGAAGTGTCATTTCCACGATGGCGTCCATGATGGGTTGGAAGCCCGGGGAGACACTCCAGGTGAATTGGGTAAAATTTTGAACTAACAGATATCACCATGAAACTTTACAGGTTTATAACTTACATTAAGACAAACAGTTTTTGTATGACAAGTTTTGTGACTATGGATATCTGTTTTTATCACTCTGTAAATGAGAAAATACTCTCTCAATCCATCATGGACGCCATCGTGAAAATGACGCCTTTCTGGCAGTCAAACTTTTATAAACTTTTAGTTTGTTATAAAGGACATCTAAAACTATAAAAAAACAGTTGAAAAACCTTTTAGAATTTTTTTGGGGGTCAAGTCATACATGCGCCTGACTAAAAAGGCTGGATATGATGGAATTTTCTGAGATGTTAAGCGACACACTTGACATTTGATTTCTCTTTTCTTTACCATAGGCTATCAATGATCTAGATGGCATCTGCTCTCTAACCTCCTGCAGTGCCTCTCATGTGTTGTGCGCCACATTACAGTTGATGTCAAGGAGACTCTTGCATGCTCTGATACCTCTGAATTACTCTGGCGTTATTCTGTTTTGCTGCAAAATCCCTGCTGCTGTGGTCTGGCCAACTCTTCATAGGCTGAGCGGCTTCACCGGGGCCGTGTTAGTCTGCTTCTATTAAATATGACTAAAAGCGCTGGCACCTGCTATACTGCAGCATCAGCAAAAACTTGTCAAAATGTAACTTAATTTAGGTTACTGCAGAGACATTTAGAAGATTAGAAAAGCATCAGCCAAAAGAAGGATATATGAAAACAGCTTGAGAAAGTTTTTGATCACACAGGCTTATACAAAGATGTAATTTCCAGGCTTTTAAAATGTGGGTACCTTGTTTCTGCCGCTCTCACAGGACTGCAGACTGGCCAAGATCTGGCTCTCTATCGCCGACACCCAGGAGTCCCTGTCCTCCTGACTCTGGGCCTCAAAGTGCCACGTCTGCCCGGTAAACGACACAATAATGAAGTCTGCGTTCTCCTCCTCTGCAAGAAAATTCAAAGATCTGCGTGAGCTCAAAGGCAACTAACGAACCAAAAATGGACAAAATGAGTGGAGTAAATCAATATGAGGGATGCACCATAACATAAAACAGCAGCTTGATGGAAAGCGGCGCACACAAATCTCAGTTAATACAACAAAAAGATTCGCACGAACAACTCAGGCTGGGATGTTGTGCACAGACGTGAAAAAAAAAGGGTTGAAATGTTGAATGTAAATCCAGGTGTCAGCACCCCCACTTGTTACCTGTCTTATTAATGTTTCTCAAGCTACCAAAGCTCTTTAACTTCCACATTTTGCGCTTGGCTGCAGGGCGAGAGATAAGCAGAGGAGAAGGAAAAGAGAAACAGAGAGAGTTAAGAAAAGGCTGTTGAGAAATATCCAGAGAAAGATGCTCGGTAATCTGTGTGCTAACAGAGGAGACAGAAGAAGAGGACAGAGACATAAGCGAAAGGAACACTGAGTAGGAGTGTGTAAATCATGTGAAAATGGAAATGTAATTCTGTCAACAGAAAAGAAAGACTACAACAGTCAAGTGCTGCACAAAGCTTTACAAAAAAGCAACATTTTGGCATCATAATGGCTAAGAGCTCCAAATTTTTTCCAAAAAAGAAAAGGAACAGTATGTGGGAGTATGTAAATTACATGGCTAACTAAAACAAAAGACTACACAGTCATGCATATGATATATTTAAGGGCTGCTATAAGGCTATACAAAGGGCTGCTGGAAGTCAGTCATAGTCATTCAGCCTACGAGATACCACTGTCTGCTGCACAAATGCATTTACAGTTAGACTAATTTAACATTGAAACTGGTGCAGTCCGGTCACATGATACTCAGGGTGCAAAGCAGCTGGATTAAGCTGCTTAAGAGCCAGGATCACCTGCAGGTACAGGGTCACAAATTACACAGCAGGTTACAGCTTTTATTATTTAAGAGACCAGACTCTTCTTCTACTGTGTCCCTGTCTGATAAGGCAGAAAACATGCAGGACACTGTGAAATAAGCTGACGGTCTGATTGAAGTTAAACCTGCTGAATTATTCCCACAATATAAAACGTGAACTTTAACATGTTTTACCTTCAGCCTGTCCAACAGCTGTGTCTCCTTTCTGATTCATACTCTTCTTCCTCCTGTTCTTCTTTCTGTCGCTCATAGGAGATGACTGGCTGGGGTCTTTGCCAGAGAAAGGACTGGCCGCCCCTTCGAGGGCATCTGACATGTGAGACAAAAGATGATGAATCATATATACAACAGTAAAAGGAGCTGGGGACAAAGAGTTTCTAAACAGGAGGCAAAGATTGGAGATTTATATGTCTTTGAGTACGAACCAACGCTTTGTGCTTTGGTAGATAATGAGGAGGGGCAGCGTTGAAGAGATCGATCTCCTCCTTGAGGTGACAAACCTCCAGACGAGCGGTCGTCCACCACGGAGAGGGTGGCTGGACACAACTGGGGAACTAACAGGAGAGGAAACAACACAAATATACACAGTATTTTATATTTAAACAATACAAAAACGACTGATGCATGTTTAACTGACATGACTATTAAATAATCCTTCCTGTCTTAAATTCAGCAACTGTCTTAAGGTGCTTTTCAACCTCAGGAATCTTCTCCAGGAACTATGGGACCTTTTGGAGGACTTTGTGTGTTTCGATTGCAGGAACCAGGATCTAAATCTGATTCTAGGAGATTTAATTTCATATCGACTCAGGCACTCGCTGTAAGAAACTTTTTTTTTTTTTTGCATCGCCACTATTTTTGGTGTCGTTTACTTACGTTGTGGCTTTTTTTTTTATTTGCGGCAGTGGCGGTTCTCGGCCACCGTAGTTTACAACATACAAACTGGTACACAATTTACGCACAAACACTAACTGAGCAGAAAGAAGGATTAACAGGTGGAGACACTAAAGGACAATGGCACAAGTATTTACTTTCACTTAATAGGAATATTTAGTAACTGATTTTCGACAGCCTTTTTATAAATTAAAAGAAAACCAGCACAGAGCTTCTGCCATACTGACACAAGTACAACACCGACTGCCTGTGACTCACGCGAGTGTTCGAGCGCGAGCCATTTTAGAACCACCGACCGTTAATTTAAAATCCTCGGTAAACGTCAGCAAAATTTTAGCAGTGCGTCATAACGGTCGCCAAAAAAATAGTAAAATGGGTAGAAACAGAGGGAAAACTTCGGACGTTTATGCGGCAGAGGAGATTCATCGCGACTTAGACCCGATAAGATAAAGAAACTCTATAAAGACTACAGAAAAATAACTGCCCACGACAACCGGAGTGTGTCTGACAGTAAAACTAGCAAGTATGCTACCCTGGACGCTATCCTCGGCTACAGTCGGGCAAACGCTGGTAACCCTAACCGGGCACGAAGCATTCAACAGCCGAGCTTTGAGAGGCGATCATCGACGGTCGCTTCGGGGGCTGCAATTCGCCGGTGGAAGTCCCTGTTGAGGCTAAGTGGTTCCTGAACTGTCATGTCAGATACCTCACTTTAAGGTTCATGCTAGCCTTCACAACAAACAATAGCCGTGCCAATGCAGGCAACAAAGTCCCTATGGTGTGTGGTTTTCAGGGAATGTCTTGGCAAATAGTTCCTCTAAAAAAGGCCCATCTAAAAAATGTCAACTCTTACATGGACAGAGCAAGCCATCATTGACTTTCTGAAAGGCGTATAATAGCCATTAACAATGCATTAACATGACTTTTAGTACTTTTACATATTTATGTCCTTTAAAAGACCCTTTCTGCTGTCCCTGTTTGTGTCATTGCCGTGCTCAGGTATCAGAGAAGTAAAGGTGTTACCTGTACTGGTGCTATCTGTCAGCTCTTTACTCAGCCCATTGACTCCAGGTACAGAGCCTTGGGGGACCGGTGTGGGGACTGCAGGGGCCACCGCTCTCGGGGGACGCTTTCCAGGTACTTTAACTGTCACACGCAGCAGGTCAATATCCTTCCCGTGGATGTTCTGTGTGTAGTCCTGAAAACAAAAATAAAAGAGTTTAGAGGTGCTTTCAGCTGCATAGTTTTACTTTGAATAAAATAATCTTCACTGAGTCCAGACACATTCGCAGAAGAAAAATGTCTTTTTTATCAGGCAATATAAAGTAATGACAGAAAAGTATTTTGTTAGTCTGTATAGAGTAGCTTGTAGTCTGCAAGCACTTGTCAGCTCTCACACCAGGCCGAAAAGCAACAGTTGGCATGGTAGCATTCTGGGTGAGGAAACATTGAGTGTTTATTCAAATTAACTTTTCTGAATTAATTGTGATACGTTTTGAATTTTGCAGTGTTTAGTGCAGAGGCACACATTACAATAGTAATGAGATAATGTGAGAAATTGTTCAGCTCTAACCTCGCTGTTTTTAGCTTGAGTACGATGTACCTGTTTGTCATTCCCACGACTGCCGGGCCCCCCACCCCCAGACCCCTAAAATATCTCTCCAGCAGCCACTGCTTATGATCAATTTTTTTTAGATTTCAATGAGGTGAACTTCCTATCCAGCGATACACAATGCTTAAAAGTTAAATCACTGACAAAAATCAATGTTCAGCAGGAGTTTTATAGCTCCTATAGGTCTGTCAAAGATAAATGTGGTCTGTACTGAAAACCGCTGAAGCTGAAACTGCAGCTGAATCTGAAAAGCTGCAGATATGATCTGGCTGTACTAAATCCTCCCTGTGTTTTACTGCTGTATTGATCTGTTCCTGGTGTTCTCTTACACTGGAGCTGGAGTGGTAAGACAGCGTGCCGTTGTTGGACAGGGTGACGTATTTCTTCTTCCACTCCTTATTCAGCGAGCTTCCACTCCTCTTCCACAAGATGCTCTGTCGAATACAACCAAGGTCAGCCACAAATCTGCCTAAATTTAGACTCCACACAACAGAGACCATCTCTTCAAAGAGTAAAGAGTGGTTCGACAACAATAGCTGAAGGCACAATATTAATAGAACACCCCTGAGAAAGGTTGAAAAGATGAAACAGATTATTTTTTTCTGCTGCTTATGTAAGATGAAGCGTACGCATCTTATGTTCCCACATTGGTGCTAAAGAAAGGATCTGTACGTTCTATTGTGCTGCTTGGAACAAACACTAAAAAAACACATTTAATTGAAATTCAGGTGATTTTGTTTGTTTGTAAATTCATCCAAACCTGTTTGATGGGGACCCCTCGTGTGCTGCTCAGGTCTCCTTTAGCATCACCAGCCTTCTTATCTGAGTCTCGGTTCTGAAACAAAAACAGCAAATGTGTTTAAAGCCAGACACAGGGTGTGATCAGAGCGAGCCAGACAGGGATGGAGTGGGATGATAGTGAGAGGTGACGGGGAACTAAAAGGTGTGAGACGCCAGCAGCTGGCGACAACTGACCTTGAAGAGGGAGGGCCGTCGGGGGATGTTCTTCAGTGAGCGTGAGTTGACACTGCTCACCCCCTCTCCCTGAGCGACCCGCAGCTCTCTGTGGCCCACCACGGGGGTGGAGGGGAGGGAGTAGGCGTAGCCACCACTAGGGCCATTACTGGCCTGAGAGCAAGAGGAGTGAAGTGGTGGACAGCGGGGTCAGGAGGTCAGGGAGCGGGGGAGATGGAGATGGAGGCGTGAGGGAAGAGATGGAGAGAGTGAGAATGAGCTGAAAGATGAAAAATGATGGATGGTAACCCTGGGTTTCAAAGACTCTCAGGAGATCAGCACACACTTTTTTATTGTGCATGTTGTTTGCTAGCAGAAACCTCTAAGGTTGAAGAAAGGAACAAAAAGTAGGCTTAAAAAACTCTGCAGTTCTTCATGTGGCCACTAGAGACTAGCTAGAATAAAGAGGAAATCCCCATGAACCCCACTGTTAAAATGTCAACTTCTCCTCAGCTATGTCTGATTATACACTAAGCATTGTGTTTGGGGTCTTTGCTGATGCTCTCCCTGCCTTGGCTTTGCATGTACAGGCTATGATAACTAAACATGCACTGTTAAATCGGCCGGCCGATCGATCGGCACCGATTTCCTCAGTATTGGGGGATCAGTGATCAGCTGATCCTTACACACATAAATCAGATTTTATCCACCGATCTTATCTACTTCAGCAAGAAAAACATTGTTTAATGTTTTTCATTAAAATCAGATTGGAGCATCGAAGGCGTATGTTGTCAGTTATAGAAAAATAAAATCAGTATCGTCCCATATCATTATCCACAGGTCAAGCTTTTTAAAGATCGGTGATCGGCCAGAAAATTGTGATCGTTAACAAATCGCTGCTTTCTTTCTCTGTCAGACATGAATTGCAGTCTCATGATAGAGAGAAAAAGATTAAAAGTCAGACTTAATGAAATCTAGAGTTTAGTGTCCAGACTGGCCTGTGAAAAACCAGAGTCTCAAAAAGTGGTTCATGATGGAAAACATGAATCTTTAGACCTTTGAGGATCATCGTGAACAAGTGGGAAGTGATACTTATGGGGCTGAGATGGATGTATAGTGGGTGATAGACTGGCTCGTGGAAGGTGTTGAAGATGAGATTTCAGTGTGATGGATGATTTGAACCTTCAAATGCATTTATCTCCTTTTCAGTCGAACATGAAATTATCAAAGGTTCTGCAGAGAGCTTCAAAATCTTTCTTTTAATCTTTCAGGCTAACCCAGTTCTGCTTACAAGGTAAAGGTATTCATGACTAATTTTTAAGGGGATAATTTTGTCTCTTGTAATCGTATTCTAAAATATGCAGGAAATAAAAAAGCGTTGAGGATCATTAAAATTCTCCTAGAAGTAAGCAGATAAAAACGCTCAGCAGAAGTGAAAAACTACTCAAACTTTGCAAACACCATCGCAACAGCAGAACACTTTCATCTTTGTCCTATTTTTAACAGATCTTATGCAATATCTGTCTAGACTCGAAAAAAGATTGTGTTTACCCAAACAGATGAACAATAACAAGTTTGCACCTGAATATATTAATGTGTAGCACTCTGGTTTTATGCAGTTCTTACTCTGAAGGTCTTAAAAGCCACAGAGAGTTAATTCTGAATGTGAACCAGTGAGAGCAGTGCTTTTGGATCAGATTTGATTATACAGATATGCTGTCTGAAGAGGGAGAAATGGATGTGGTTTGAAGACACGTCAAGATCCCAAACTACATAACTGAAATTAGACAAGCAGGAATTTTGGGATAGAGTATGTTTGTTTCTTGCCAGAGGATGTTGTCTCCTTTGTAGACCAAAATGTCAGGCATGATATTGAAACTAATCGCTGTTTGGATGTTGTACCTGTCCAGGAAATGTTGCAGACCCAGGTGTGGATCCTCCAGAGTGACTGGGAGAGTTGGGGAGAGACTTGCAGGCCTGCAGCGCCGCCTGCTTCTTCTGAGCTACAATCTTCTGAGCAGCTGATAAAGAAAAAACACCAACTGATTTACTCCACTGACTGTCATCTGTAAGTATCACAGGTTTGTTTACACTGCCGTGTTCCCTTCGCAGTGAATTAGGTCACGTCACCTGATGAATCACAGATACAAACTTGCTCACCCTCTGAAAAGACTCGGTCCACGTTGAACCCGTAGGTGGCGCAGGTCTCGTAAAACAGCGAGTGACGCACATCAATGCACAACTGTCGGGCTCTCTGATCCTCAATCACACGGGGGTTGGTGCTGCTGATTTTATCTGGAAAAAAGACGATCTGTCTCTTTACACTTTTATCCAACCAGTTTACTCCCTTTAAGGAGAAAAATCTTATTTACTGTTTAAAATAGCAGCGAAATACGAAGTTGCAGACACAAACATGCAAGGAACCATTTACAATAGAAAGAGAAACTATCAGAGAGTTAGTTGAATGACCAGGTAAGCTAAAAAATCAGCTTTTAAGTTAGTCATTTTGGCTTTAAATACATTTAATGAAACCAGCTCCAGTGAGACCTTCAGAGAGATTTCACACAGCCACTAACTAATTAAAAAAATGAGATTTTAGTTCCTTTCTTCTACGCTACCATAGACTCATGGCAGTTCAAGTGGAAGGGGACCCGCTCCTAAGAAGTTAAAAAAGACAGATTCTAATTAAACAAAAACAAAACAGTTTTCATATTCACTGTACCTTAAAGAAGCAAGAATAAAGAGGCTGTTGGAGGACAAAATTCAACACTGCTGGCTGCACTTTTATGCAGATGTATGAATAATTACGTAAAGATTAATTAAAGTTAAATTTCTATTGGGTGCCTGCTTGAGAGGTTTCAGAGCAGCATCAGAGGGAAGTGGATTTTTCCTCCTGAGCTCTCCACACAGGCTGTTTTCTTGTATACAGCTATGAAATTCTGTTGGTCAGTAATACTCTTGGAGAAGGAGAAGAGAAAAAAGAGAGAGACCCTGGTGCAAACAAAATGTAACCGAGTTGCTCTTCAATGAGAGACCTACATGATAAAAAAAAAGGATTTTCACTTTTTCCCAGACTTTTGTACTCCGACAGCAACCTGAGACCCAAACACTTCTCTGACAAAAACCAGGTCTTGTGCCAACAGATTACACATCTATGCATTTTTTATCCACCTACTTGTGATCAGATCTATGCTTTTGCCCGTCTCTCTCATTATTATTCAGTTTAGTCCCGCAGTTTGTGAATTTAAATGCTCGTGATTTATTTTCTGACCTTGAGTGCCGACCACAATGACGGGGATGTCTGTGCGGTGAGCGTTCAGCTGGCTGTAGTACTGGTAGAGCTCCTGAAAACTGCTCTCATTTTCCAGACTGAAGACAAGGATCACTGCATCAACCCAGCTGCTGAACTGAAGGAGGAGGAATAGGATGAGGATGATTGATGATGAAGTCTGCAGGTATGTCAGTTTAGCATACTAATTACTGTCTCTTTCTCTCTCTCTGTCTTTATGACACACTCTCACACAAAGAAGCACCTGTGCATCAGGTGGACCGGGCTCCTCTCGGATCAGTAACAGATGACTCTGTCCGTCCACCAGCACTTCTTTTTTATAGCGGCCGCCTGACAAGGGCAGAGACAATGACAGACATGTTATTCAGCAGCTGGTGGCAGCGTGAGAGAGGCAGGGTGAAGCCAAATAAACCAGCAGGTCACACAAAGTGTACTCTGTGATGAAAGATAATCTAATAAGATCCAACAGGCACAAAAAGCTTTGCTGTGGTTAAAAGGCACAGTGTAAGGAAAATGCGCTTAATGTGTCTTACCATCAGTTTTCTCAAGTGCAACATAACTGCCTGTGATGTATTTGTTCACCAGCGCTGACTTGCCACTTTTCAGACTTCCCAGAATGCCCTGAGAGAAGAGAGAAGGAAATACAGCACCATGAAGTTCTTTCAGGGTGAGTGTGCACGCTTCATCATGGTGTAATGTTTCAAATATAAACCTCAGGCTGAATTAAAGTAGTTCCTCACAAACTTTTAGTTCCTCACTTGAGTGTGTTTTAGTTTCCTTTTAGCAGGTCTAAAATTATTGCCTCACTTCCTTTTTTTATCCACATATAGACATACAGCACAGTGAGCGGAAGAGGAAGAATTAGGCCCTCAACTTTTAAGAAGCAATATTAGATCATGACAGTATGTTGTTTTTGTGTAAGGTTGTCTTAAAGTTCGATTAGAACAGCATTTCAATTTTTGCGATTACTGTCAAAGCTTCAAAAATCCACACAAGACACAGAGGATGTCACTTAAACCAGTGGTTCTCAACTGGTCTCACTCTGGGACCCACAGTTTCCCATGATCCTTAAGTCGCAACCCACTTTTGTATAATTTAAACCAAGAAAATGTATATTTCTCTATCAAAAAACCTTTAAAGACTCAAATCTTTGACAAAAATACACCTATTTTATTGAGTAAAGTGCATTTCAGAGCACATGAACTGAGGATGACAACTACTGAGGTTGCATATACAGAAAATATCAAATATCAAATTGCACAAAATAGAGAACAGCAACATGAGAAATTTGACTTATTTGCATTTCTGCATTCAGAGCAGATTCAAAAGAACCTGAGGAGGACCATGCAAAAGTGAATAAATATCAAACTGCACAAAATAAAGACCAATAAAAAACATATAATCTTACCTAACATATAATCTTGCCTAAATCAGGCCACATTAATAAGAAACCGAGGAGGACCACGACATAGTGCGTTCCTTTCAAAATAAGCTATTTTTTAAAATAAAGGACATCTCAAACATCAGATGCGCATTTAATATTTATTTTTTTGACTAGCTGTTCGTGACCCATCCAGAACATGTTCACCAGCCACTTTTGGGTCGGGACCCACCAGTTGAGAACCACAGACTTATACTTTGTCCATGTTTCATACTGTCTATTGTCATGTCTCTAAAATAAATCCCTAAGAGAGGTGTAAAACCAAAACTAAATGTTAAAAAACCATAATAACAGGAAAGTGACCTTTTGGATCACCCTTATGTAAAACTCGCTGCCACAATGACTGTAGCCTTGATGTGTGATGCACACCTTAACCACAAGGCCAAAACAGCACTTCCCCAACGCCCACGAGATACTGATTTTAACTCATCATTTCCTGCACCATCCTGCTTTGTACAACAATAATAACGTCTTGAATCCTACAAATCTAAAAATAAATCAAATCCTCTGTTTTGAGTTCTGGCATGTGCTGGTGGTGTGTGTTGCACTCTGATCTCACCAGTCTGAGCTCTGGGATGGCTCTGCTCAGCGTCCACTCCTGGCTGTTGGCAATGTTAACTGAAGGGAGACAGACAGAGACAAACAGTCAGCGATGCAGCGAGAGAAAGAGAGAGATAGGGATTCATCATTTTGATCATGTACAGTAAAAAGGGCAGCCATCATAACGGCCTGTGGGAGAGCGATAAATCACACAGCTGCTGCATGGCTGCTCGCTGTAAGCGCACGTATGGCCTCGCGGGTCAACTTAATGAATATAACCTTTAAGTCACAGCGGGGGATCCTGAAGGTACAGCCACACCAGTCATTACCCACTTTGCCTCCCTTGTGCTGTAAATGACGGGCAGCTGGGCTTGAACCACCACTTTTACAGGAAAGTTCAGATCAGCTGCCAATCAAACATTCAAAAAGTCCTCTGTGGATTTCAACCACGGCCACCTTGAGGTGAAACTATTGATCAGTTTCATCAGAGACTGACCTGAAGGCTCCTCAAACTGATTGACTGATTTACCTTCAGGCTATGAAATGTCAAAACCATGTGAAAATACACTCCTCACAAGTTCTCTTTACAACAGACAGCAGTGATATCAGTCTGCTTAGATTCAACCAGACGTATTTATTTATGACAGCTTAAAAGGCACAAATCAAATGGCCTTTTTAGAGATAAGTATCTCCTCTCTACAAGACAACCAAATCTAAATCCCATTTCATGGGTTCTGATCCTTTTTAAGGACAGCTTGTTGAGATATGCAGAACAGCGCTGTTAGACTTGGTGAGATTCAATCTTCTGAAAATTCTGAACTGAATCCAAATTAATCCTCATACTTTATGTAACTAAGAAAGAATCAAGCCAATGGATCGTTTTAATACAACCATGAGTTTGTTTCTTATTTGCAGACAGAGGCCATTAAAAGGTAATTCGTTTTTACCAATATAAAACAAAACAGATTTATTTCAGTCAGGTCCAATTACAGTAAGGAAATATTTGTTTTCATGTCATAAGTTAAATTTGATGGTATGGCTCTGCTCTGGGGGCTCTCTTTATTCCCACATTTCCCACAAGCATTTTGGGATTATGGCAGCAGATATCAACTATCAAGAAAAATATATCAGCAATCAGACAGCTATTAAATCTGTATCTAACCTGGTAGGAAATAATGAGCAGATTAAACTGAAAACCAGTGTTGGTCACAAAAAATAAAAATAAAGACATAAAAACAAGTGTTGAGCATAAATATATATATATATGTTTTTACTACAAAGGCAAGTAGTGTAAACATACTACTAATGAGCCTTGTTTTGATGCAACAGTCCAAAGCCAAAGATATTCAGTTAACTATGATATAAAAGATTAAAAAAACTCACATTTCAGAAGCTGCAACCAGAGAAAAGCCACTTGAAATGATTAACTGATCATCGTAATATCAGACTTCCTGCCAGCTGACTAATTTCAGACAAATTTTTCTGCCAACCGACTAATAACCTCATCCTTCAGCCCTGATATGAAAGGGGTCTGGTTTGGATGTGCTGCCTGCTAAATGTTGTTGTTGTTCAGTGTGCTGAATAAACCACATGGACACACACACACACACACACACACACAAACACACACACAGACAGCAGACAGTACAGTAATCCAAAGGAGTCGGGTTGCACCCAGCTGTGCCACAGTCCCTACAGGGCAGAGGAGGTGGCCTGCCCTCAATGTGAAGTGATGCTCGCACCCCACACACCCAGCTGCAGCTTCAGACAAGAATAGATGGAAAGACTGAGCCTGGGGGTAACTAAGAGAGAAACAATAAACAAACAGTCGCCAGTTTATTTATTACGCTGAGCTTAAAATGAAGTGCCCTATAACAATAATCCTGTATTAGTAAAACATTCACGAAGGTTAAAAATCTTCATTTTTGTTTTCAAGATGATTCAACTCTAACAACATTTTAGCGGCTGTAGTTTGTGGTGAGGGGGGACGGAATTTCAACACAGAGGGCTGTATTTATGAAATGAGACTAGCCTGTTTCATAAAGATGTGGTTAGGAAATATTAAAACCTGTATGGTCAAAGGGGAGAGTTTAACTACATCACAGATGGCTGTCTCCAAAATGACCTTAAAGTTGGATACTCCAGAGTTTTCTCCTGAAAATTATAAAGCATCATAAACTTAGGGTTTATTCTGGGGCTGTTTTATTAAACCGCATTAGTCAGCTTGTCAATAGGTCATACCACTTGGATAGATGGTATCACTGACTGTATGTGATATGACTTCATCTCCTCCCATGGTGAAATAACTAAGCAAAATACATGTGTAGACCCTTGGCTTCAAATTTGTATGATGATGGAAGGTTACCTACCTCGTAGCTAGACAGTATTGACTTAGTAGTTATCATGTAATTACCAGATAATTTCATGTTGTTACTAGGTAATTACCTGGTAATAAGTGTACCGTAAAAGAAAACGTTACCGAAACAGCTTTAGACACTCTTCTGCTATGGACTGCACCAACTTTAGGGATCTCAGACATTTTATTAGAAAGTAAACTGTGTCTTTTTTGGCAGCAGAAGGGTAGATCATTCCCTACTGCGAACACTCTAGCTCCAAATGACTTCATATGCGCAGGATGTCTGTGCTGGGTACATTACTTTGGAACAACAGGAGGAGGTGGAGGAGTATCATCCATCTTTATACAGTCAGTGATCTCAGCTGAGAGGTTTTGTCAGGATTTCAGTGTAAAATCTTATGCCAATCCATTACATCAACACTGAGATATTGTTGTAGATGAGCGATGATTGAGGAGAGTTAACAGGACTAGAGTGATAAATCAAAAAAAAGTCAGTGGTTGTAATTCTTTAGGTAACAAGCTGCCAGCACGACTAACACCTGAGTCAGAGAGAGAATAAATTCATTACAGAAAAGTTTGAAAAATCGAGGGAATAAAATGGAGAATCTGGGAGATTAGTCACACTGATAAAGTGCCCACTATCAAACACGTGGTGTGTCTGAAGCAGATGATGATTAAACTCAGGCCAGGCGCTAAATCTAAGGAGCGACCAGGCCAAAACCTCTGAATCTGACACATGCAGGCGGTCGTGATGGGCTTTAGATGAGGGGAAAAAGGAGCTTAAACATGAGGTGCTGCTGCAGGCAACTCCCTGAGAAAAAAGGGCAACTCCTACCCCACACACACACACACACAGAAACACCCACATACACGCACACTGACACTGTGTCTATCTTTGTCTGTCTCTCTGACTCAAAGCTCTCTTTATGGCCGGCTGCTGTTGCCAGAAGTGATCAGACAAGTGGGATCCTTCTGCTGCTTCGACACACAGATTTCTACAGAAAGCCAATTATCCACACTCGCTGCTCCAAACCGACCATGTGTGATCCAATGAACCCCCCCTCCCCATATGTATGGCCTGTAGCTCTCATCCGAAACTGCCAATTTTCCAACTTAATGCTGTTTTTTGTCAGAACCTCTCAGCCTGTGTCAACGCCCGGTCACACACACACCAATCACACACACAAATACACACATACACACCACGTCTCCCCATCATTCTCTTCCACCCCCTCTGTTTCATCAGCCTCTGTAGCAGCAGCAGAAGCAGCAGTCCTGCCGGTTGCCATGGCAACACTTCCTCCTGCCCTGAGTATGTGTACGTTTGCGTGCAAATGTGTATGTGTGTGTGGGTGTGCGTGTGTGTGTGTGTAGTTGGCAGAGCTCGCCTCACTATACTTGAGTGATTCCACAGTGTGCATGTGTAACAGTGTGAATACACAATGAGTGAATGAATGTATTAAACACACACACGCACACTCGCTCACTCCCACAGGCTGACACTCGCTCTTTCTTTGAGCAAACATGTTTGTCTGAAAGAGTCGCTCTGTTGTGCGTTGCAGCCGTCGACACACAGCTAGGAGGGGAAAAATTAGCAGCTCGTAACTGAGGATGCTGCTTCTTAAAAAGCAATACGAACGCTCTGACATGATTTTAAATGTAATGCCCAACAGAGATTGGAACAAAAGTGAGCAGAAATGTAAAAAAAACACAGCCCCGTGTAGTGGCAGTGGGTGGACTATCAAAGACAGGATTAGAAATGTTCCTCCCTTTTTAAACGTGGGTGACAAACATCGCCTCACGCCGTTCCCTCTTCTGGTTTTACTGAACTAAAGCCGAGGCGAAAAATCAACGAGAGCAGTGCAACCCAACTGTGATCACACCAACAGCTCCTCTCCCCTTTGGCTTCATTATGAGATTTAAACCCATGCTGGGATCGCTGCTTAAGTGTGGGTGTGTGTGTGTGAGAGAGAGAGAGTGGAAAGATTACCCCTCCAGCGGTGTGAAATCTCCCCTCGCTCTGAGGGGAATTAGATTAAGACCGTCCAAGATGGTTCTATTGTCAGTTCTCACATCAAAGAGCTTCATCTGTCATAAATTTGTAGTCGCACATGGCTTCAGGAAATGTCTCATGACAGCAGTATAGCCCGTAAATGTGTGCTGTGTGGGGTTCTCTGAAAAGATCAACCCCACCCAAACCCACCCTGACTCATTTGAAATGGATGCCTTCACAGATGAAGAGGCTGCACCATGATGACTGTTTGACAGGAGTATCTCTGATAATAAGCTGTTATTATGCAGGTAGTTCATCCAAAAGAGCTGATAGTGATGCTGTAATAGACACTTGGAAGCCATTTTTTTCTTGCTTGTATTGATTTCAATTACTGGATTTGCTGAATTGCAAATTCTGATATCAGATTCCCAGATCCCAGACAACTTTAGTTTGTGGTCTAACAGACAGTATAAACTTAAGATGAATAACGTGGGATGGCAAAAAGAGATTTTTTTTACTCTTACCACACTCACCAGAGCTCGAGAGACACGACCTTAAAACTACTAGGAAATACGAACAGTAAAGGAATCGTAACCTAAAAACCAGCAGACCGCCTTCAAACAAACAACAGCAGATGCCAGAAATAGCAAGTGTCTGTAGATCTGAGGCAGCAGATTTAGGACTGCATTTACAGGACTGCAATTCCAAGACCCGTGTTGTTCGTGATGGAATCTCCTCACGGTGAGAGGACCACATGTTCAGTGTGTAGCTGCATTTTTAATATCTGCCACAACCATTTTAATAGTCTAACCACAACCCTGACACTAAGACCGCGTTTATATGTCTGGGTTGGAAGCCTGTGTTGGTAACTAGACCTACACTGGTGCAAGGATTACAGACACCTGCACTGGAGTGTCTGCATTGCACCCCACCTACACAATTTAGAGATCCTGTTCTCTTCTTGTTTGTGTAACCTGGACATATTATGTTTGACTTGAGCAGCAGTTGGTCATTCCACAGTTATTGCAAAGAAAAAAAAGAGAGAAAATATCGCCTCTGAGGCAGAAAGCGAGGGATACCGGAAATGTTTGTCACCAAGAGGACCGATCGCAGGGCCTGTATCGTTTTAATGAGTAGATACATTTTTGAAAAAGTGCACACCAGGCTATGTGCTCTGTGTAGGTGCAGGGGTACAGCATGCTACTGCTCAGTGTCATTGCAGAAGTATAAATCAGGCTCTACCCTAACCTGAATCATCACTGTCCAAACAACACAAGGGTTGCAGAGATGCGGTCCCAGAATTGCTGTCCTGAAACTGCAGGCTAATAGAAGCAGCCGCTGACAGCTAAAAAAACATCCACAATGGCAGTGCAGTGAGATGTGCAACTTATGGTGCATTTTCAGTTGATCTCAGGAGTAGAATATTCTTGGGTAGATCACCAGAAATGACTGCTGGAGTCAGAATCCCAACTCAGAGACTCGAAGAAATACAGTAACCTTGAGCTCAATATCCAAGATGGCTACCCTCTCCATCAGTAGTAAAAAAGCTGTACTTTTGATTGTGATAATTTAACCTTGTTTTGAGAAAGTGAATCAATCCCACCAACAAGGTTCTGGAAGTTCTATTCTGCACGCAAACATCAAAAGGATCTGACTTTCTGAATTGTTATAAACACATAACTGGTACACAGTCAACTCCGATGTGATGTATCATTCTCAGCTCCAACACCTGACTTCCAAGGTAAATATAGCGGTCACTACTTTGCAGTTGCAAAGAAGAAGAAATTATTTACAGTGGGATAAGCTGATCTTATTCTGAACTCATCATCTGCTGTATTGCATCTTTATCAAGACTAGGGTACTCCCGATATGTAGTCCTATGTCTAAGATAGTATCAGAGACATTTCCAACTCTGAATCAGAACAACTCTAGATGTTGTGTGTGCATTTACGACCTCCTACCTTCCTCCTCACTGGAGTCTCTCTGTATGTAGACAGGAGGCGCTGTGGAGGATGACCCCGCTGCCCCCGAACTGCTCTTTGTGAAAATGCCACTGATGAACTTTAGCATCTTTCTATCTTTAGCGGAGCCTCTTTGGCCCTGCTGAGCCTGCTGAGCCTCCCTGGCCAGCCCCAGGTCCTCAGACAGGCTGTTCAAGTCGCTGTTGTCCAGTGTGCGACTTTTACCTTTGCGGGCCGGTTTGGGGGCTTGGTTCGCGGGTGTGGGTAAGGACGCCGACCCCGTCTTGAGTCTCTCCTTCCTGGGGATGTCTCTCATCACAGCAGCCACACTACCTCCAATCTCAAGTGGGATTCCAGCTTGAGCTTCATCCCGCATGTCCCTCCATCCATCAGGCCTGCTCGCCTCAGCCCATGAGGCCCTGCAGGGGCCTGGTGAGCGTGTCTGCATGCGACAGTCCTTTCGGTCCAGGCTTTGTGCTGAGGTCGGGCTGCGCTCTCTGCCCTCTCTTGATTCTCGGCCTCGGGTGGCGACACTGCTGTGAGATTTCAGCAGACTCACAGGTCGCTGCCCCACCGGGCGAATAGGGAGGCTGGTTCTGGTTGGAGTGCGGCTCGGCTCGACCACCTCCGTTGGGAGTGTTCTGGTCAGCAACGGTGACCTGCATTGCTGCGCCTCTGGGGTGGTAATTGTCTTCTCAACTCGTGTTAAGTCAATCTCCACAGACTTTGTCACTCTCTCAGCAGGTAAAGGTATCGAAAGGTTGCCTGTTGGCTTTTCACTCCCTCGATTCGGGGCATCAACAGTGGAGGGCGGTTTATCCTTCAGCGGACTGAGAGGTTTTCTCTCTCCATCTTTGAGCTCCTCAGTCAACTTCCTGTCCTTCCCAACAGCAGCATCTCCAGCCTTTTGTGGTTGTCCTAAAACAACCCCAGCTCCATTCTCAGTCTGTAAGGGAGCGTAACTTCCCGCCTCCGCTCTCGCCCCGGCCTCCTCATTTCCTGCTCTTCCTCCTTGCCCAACCTCTACCTCCTTCCCCTGGGTGCTGCTCTTGGCCTCCCCTCCATTCTCCTCCACGGCCTCTACTTTTACTAGGGTGAGGGAGATGAGGTAGGTGGTGCGTTGCTGCAGGGCGCCTCCTCCGCTCATGTGGACGGGCTTCAGTAGACACACAGTGGATGAATGAAACCAGACAGAGTGACATGAAGCGCTGACAGTTCGCCAGCACAGAGGGATGTGAAAGAATCTGACGGCACGACTGCGACCAAAAACTTACATGGAGGGAGATTAAGTTTCTCCTTGGAAGATTCAACAGCAGAGCCACTGCTGGTTACATCCATCCCCAAAATCCCTTCTTCTTTGTTTCCAATTTTCAATTTCAGTCACGGATTTCTTCTCTGACTAAAATTTTCATTTGTCTCGGGTACTGGAAAAAAAAATCTCTTCCTGACAACCTTCAACACCCAGTCAGTGCAGTCCAATCAGCTCTTTTGTTCCTAGAAAACACCCAATTAAAATTTATCCACCGCTGAGGCAAATAAATCTTCATTATGGATGCCTCATTCCTGATGCTAATTATTTACTTGACCTTATTCTTTATGTGAAGCACCCCCTTGTTGTATGTTTCCCAGTCCATCCTCTTCAGCAAAAACCTTGATTGAATTCAGAATAATAACAGCCCTGCATCAGACGTCATCCAGAAATATGATCAACAGCGCCGGAAAAGGTGAAGTCTTTAAAAATTCATCAGTGTCACCCTAAAGTAGCATGGCCCAGCACACCCAGAGCTGTCTGAGGTCCAGTCCAGATTATGAGCGCTCATTGCAAATCCACACATGTGTGTTGACAGCGGTATCCATTCAGAGAGCGCGGCGCACAGATGCACAGGAAGGACATTGATGAGTGCTGAAGGGGATCAGAGAGGGGAGAAGCCAACAGAAGCCCAGGTTGATATCTGAAGATGCATGACCGAGTCAGGGTGCGTCCGGCCATCACGCCCCTCACGCTGTCTCCCGGGCTGCAGCCTGTGTCCTCTGAGCGCATCAGGCGTTAGGCATGACAACACACAGAGGAGGCGCCGAGGCGAGTCACCGCTCCAACAGCTCTCCGACTGCCTCTGAAGCTTTCCTCGGATAGAGACACCGTCGCACAGGTTCAGCGAGTCTAAAGCACATCACACACTCATGCACACTTTCACACTCATGCATGCACACAACCTCACACATGCACAGCTCTTCTTCTCTGTTCCTCCTGCTCTCAGAAACACACTGATCTGGATCTCCAATGTCCCCTCCCTCTACATGCCCCTCCTTGTTCCAATAAGCAATCCATACAATGCAGAAGGATCCTGCCTCTCGTCTTTCCCTCCTTTATTTTCTCTCTCTCTCTCTATCTGTGCTTCTGCTTCTGCTCCTCTCAGACTGTGCAGGGTCCCAGTTTTTTTTTATTGCTCATCCCTCCCATCCCCTCCCCTCCATCTTCCTCCCTGTGTGCCGGAGAGGAGGGGGGAGGCAGCGGGTAACGGCTGGTGGTAAAGCAGCAGTGCACACACGAGCCGGACCCGGTAAATGAGGAGAGACCGCAAGAGGACGGATCGGCGGTAGGGAGTGGAAAGAAGAAGGGAGAGATGGTTTGGCAGGAGTGACAAACTGAAAATGAGGAAATAAATTGATTCATGTTCGAGGAGGAAAAGAGGCACTCGGGCTGGATGTCTGCTCCCGGTTTCATTTATACAGCTGCCAGAATAGTTTTATCAACATCATCCATCCATCTTCAGCCGTCTATCAGTGCACAAATGTGTGTGTATTTGTGTGTGTGTGAATGAATGAGTGGGTATACGTGTGTGTGTGGCTCTGTGTGGCTCCTCCTCGGTAGGAGGCTTGGCTTGTTTGTTGCTAAGGTGTTACAATCTTCCTGGCTCTGGTGGCACAATCATCTCCTCCCTGTCTTTCCACCTCCACCTCCTCCTCCTCCTGTTTTGGTACACTCTGCATCACAATCACTGCCAGGATCTCCGTACCAAAATGGTGTTTCTCTGTGTGAGTGCTTCTTTGTGTGGGTTTGTGTGTCTTGTACATGTGAGTGAAAGAGGTTTCCTGTGAGTGTATTGATCTGTAGTCTATTGCCTACTACGGCATGTGTTCATTAGCAGAAGTGGGTGAGCTCGGTGCTCACAGCATGAAGCCAGCATCAGCGTGAGAGGATGAGAGCATATTGGACATCAATAGATGGACCACAGAATGCAGAGGAAGAAACCACGTCTGCTGTCATTCCTGTGTAAAGCACGTTCACTTACCCAACCCCCATGCATAAAAAATTACACTTGATGATGTGTAGGAAATATGTTAAGTGGAGACGACAATATAAAACATAAAAATCTAGATATTTAGTCAAATTTAGTTTCATTTTTGCATGTTATAGATCATATTTGACAGAGTACCCCGCCCTTCCATGGGCTTATGTGGAATGGCAAAGACTGAGGCAGATAGAGCACACCTTCCTTCTTCATACATGAAAAACCAAAGCAGGAAGAGCAGCAGCAAAGACCCTCGGAGTACAGAACAGAGTGAAGACACACATGGCACTGATAAAATCAGAGGAGCTGAGGTGAGGTGAGGGCGGGCCGCAAAGTGGTTTGCAGAGGAAGCAGCAGACAGGCTGAAGCAGTTTCATACTTTGATTATTTGCTGATTGGATTTGTAAACATAATTGGCCTAGTTTTCAGCTGATGAACTATGGGCTGTGTCTGACTTTGTGGCCTGCCTGAACTAGCACTATGTAACACTATTTGTGGCATCACTAAACAATAATTTTACTCAATTTATTCTGTGACCACAAAACCTATGGTTGATCGGACACCTGCAGAGAATAGAAGAAGAGAGGAAGAAAACAGCGCCAAAACTAGTGAGAGATGTTTGGATACACACACCGCCAAAAGAAGAGACATCGAACAAATAGATGAAAACAGACACCAGCCAATAGTCAAAACTGAAGGGACTTCTTTGAATAAATTTAGCATTTTACAATAGTTGTAGAAAAGGTTATCAAAATTATTTTTGCTCTACTAACAATATTAAACAAATACAGCAAAATTAAAAAAACCAACTACGGACCCAACAACTTTGCTCCAGAGTCTTGTCTTGCTCTGTCAGACGAGATTACGGTTTTCCAGGACTAAACTCAACTAAATGACAAGATTTTACTTTTACTTCATTGTCTTAAAATGACATCAAGAAAACTAGAAATTATCTCACATTGGAGCCAAAAGATGAAAGCTTTTAATGTCACTAAGTGTCTTGTTTAGTCTGACCAATCTGATTTCAAACCCAGAAAGATTTCAGTCTCAGGACAAAATGAAACCACCTGCTCAGAAATGTGAAGCAGGAACTGTAAATTTTCTGTGGTAGTGTGATATCAAAATGGTTGCACATCAATTTCCTGCCCAAACAAACTGAAATGATAGGACAGCCAAACAAAAGAACTGCAAATTTACTGTGTGCATCAAAAAGCAAACACTGCAGCAAATATGAATCACATCCGCCTCCTGAATTATAACCTAGTGTGTAATTTCATGTTAATTGCTCTCTGATTAAAAAACAACGCCTTGATATGAAACCAGTGGATGCATTTCCCCACAGTGCACCACTCTCAGCCTCCCACCATCATCTCATAACACACGGCCCGACTGTCCACCTGCTCAGGCTGCTCCCCCCTCCCCTCCACAGTCAGTGAGAGGGCAATAAACTACTCTCACTGAATACAAAAGACCTCCGACAGCCGCCTTTGGCTCAAGGGGAAGAAAACGACACGACCTGAAAGAGACACCATGGAAGAGGATTCATGAATAAAGAAAAGGATGAGATGTGCTGCTTTATGGAAACCCAAACACATTTAAAGGGGAGGGGACATGTGTAAAAATCCATTTTTAACAAGTGAGGAGACTTTACATGCCTGAATGTATGAGCTAAGTGCACCTTAGTTTGCTTCAGTGCTTCACACCAGCAGGAATGAGATGTAAAGCCAAAGAGTAAAAGCTGCAGTTCCTCTAGTAGCCACATGAGGGAGAATTAAGTAGCGAGTCAATCCTTATTAGGCCTAATACTAAAATGCACACATGTCCAGCAGAATCAAATGGTCATTTTAAGTGATAGGAGGGCGTTACAAGCTGTCAATCTGGTTATTGCTCTTAAATGTCATGGAGCTGCGTTAATGTTTATTTCAGCATGTCAAACCCTCCTCACAGGAGCTTTAAAATCTCCACATGTACCTCTATCATTACAGATGCAGGTCACTGAGCTGCCTCCGTCCGCTGACTTTGTTATCATCATTCTGGTAAATAAAGATCTCCAATGAACCACCCCGACTAACAGAATCACGTTCTGTTGAAACGTAGTAGGTAACCAGCTCATTTGATGGATAATGAATTACACTCCAACCCCTCGCTCCCCTACTGAATTGCCCTCTCATTCAAATACCATCACGTCTGGCTCAAAGAAATGATATATTTCGTGCTTGAGGCTTCAAAAGGCAGCCGACTAACCAATGATTGATGTCAGCCCGGCTGTGTCCATTAACTATACAGTAATGGTTCCACAGTGAATCTAATTATTTAAAATAGACGCCCACGTACAACAACAGACACGCAGGCAGACTCTTCTTTTCTATGCAAAGACACTTAAATGCATGCAAACAGACAAAGCTCTTCCCACACACTACTGACACCCGTGAGCGGCTGCTGTCAGATGGACGGCGGCCAAGGGCAGTGGTCATGCTGGGTGATTTTTCATTTCTCCTTCACTGTGAGCTGTCCTCTTCCCCGCCATGCTGCAGCGAGCAGCAGTCAGAATCATATTTAAATGTCTTCATTTAGCGCCCACCTCACTCTTTTTCCCTCCGTGTCTTTCTTTCTCGCCTTTGTTCGGCACACAGCACCAGCCGGCCACATCCCACTCGCTTACGAGGTCCACAGGAGAGGTGACTCTCTTTTTAGCATCAGTGAACTCCACTCTCACAGATCCAGGTCCCCATGGAGGATACTCAGACTTTGATCCTCGCTGTGGCTCAGACACTCAACAGCCTAATTATATCAAAAAAATTAAATGAATGTTTTCACACTCAGGGGGTGTCTCTTAAGAGTGTTTTAAAATGAGCCAGCTCCGAAGAAGACCTCAAAGCTCCCCAAAAACCACCAGGGACCTGACTGACATTCAGCTCACAGACAAACAGAGGAGGGAGGCTAATGAAGGGATGTGTGATCAAATTCATCAGAAGGTAGCTCATTAAATTTGAGGAGCTTTTCTGCCACATTTGACCTTAAAACACATTTACACATGTACTGAGAAGCTACTGAGTGTACTTTACAGGAGTATTTAATTCACTCTTAGAAATGTTCCTGACTTCCTCTTATTGTATTTTACATGTAATGAAAGGACACATAATTATACGGCTAAAGCTCTATAACATCAGCCTCCGCTTTGGTAGGTGATTATTTCTCCTTTCAGTTTGTTACGACTGGGCTGTCCCCCACTTGACCTACATGATCACGTCACAAGTCATGCTGAAAGTTGAGATCTCCAGTAGCTTTGCACCTTTCATACATTTGAAAATCAACTTCATCTTTTTTTTTTTTTTTAACATCCCTTCCTCTCTCAAGGTTTGTTCACTACCGTGTTTCCTGTTACACGTAGGTGCTGTTCAGTTTCTGGGTCAAAGTCAGTGGAGCATGCACAGAAAACTAAGGACAATCGGAGACAGATTTACGTGTAAATTCACGACAGTTAAATTTTTAGAAAGTCTTGCAATATCAGTTGGACTAATGTGCTGTTGGTTTGCTGAATTTAGGTTTTCCTGCTTTTATTTGAAACAACCTGAATACTTCTTGGTATTCATGAAACTAAAGAAAAAACTGTTTACAAGTTTAAATGCCCAAAGCGCTAGACAGACAGATGTTAAAATTTGATCTTTTTGAACATGTAAAGTCTGATATGGATTAATAGAAAATTCCACCCACTCACTGGCACTGAAATGCAGTTAAAGGAGGTAATCAATCTTGATTCTGATAATCTTCTTTTGCTAAGCAGCCCCGAAAGAGGCATTTCTATATAACATGGTTTATGATCTATCAGGACCTACGCTGTAGCCTACGCCATAAATCTGCATAACCCTGTGCTCTCTGTGGCTGATGCACACCTCCTCAAAACTGTAAACAGGTGTTGAAACTACCTGGACTGCGAGCCTTGCGATTGGCCTGTTTTATAAAATATCATTTTCTGTAAAGAACACGTTTTAGCTTAACACGCTGATGTCCGGTGAACAGAAGTCCTCTTTCACTCTGACATGTCCTGGGGAGGCGTTGAGTAATTTCGCCCAGGGCACCAAAAAGCTTAGGGCCCAGTCTTCTCTTTTGGCCACATTGTCCACCCTCTCTTTTCTTCCATGCAGTAATCGAAACATGGTCAACTGCTGCACAACACCTCTAGTCTTCAACTCAAATAGAATAAGCTTGGATAAGATAAGAAAAGAACTTTATTTGTTCCCAATGTGTAGCCCCTGAACCCCTGCACACTCCTCATGTTTGCACTGTATTAAAATCTCTAAACTGACCTTGTGCTCCAGAATGCATTTTTCCTTCTCACTTTACTTTTTGCAGCTTTTAAACCAGAAAGGTTCACTCAAATTGAGGTGAAAATAGAGTCCCTGGTATCAACTTCGTAAAACAGGTCGAGTCAGTGCATACAGAGTACTTTTTGAGGGGAACTCTTTGTTCCTGAGTGTAAAAAAAAACAGAAATTTAAAGCGTCAGGTTCTTGTCAGCTGCATGTTAACCTCCTAAAAGAGGAGCAGGGAGTTTTTTAGGTACATTTTGCTGTTTTCTTTTCTCAAGTGGTATTTTGTGAGACTTCCTCAGTGTTTTTTTTTTGCTCTGCACTAACGTGTTACTACAGCCTCTAAAGAAAAGAGTGCTGATGTTTCTCACCTTTCCTCTGTGACGCTGAAAGTTGAAGATAAGGGGGTAAAGCAGGGGGAGTTTAACAGTAACTCATTGTGTCACTTTAATGAGAAAAGGTGGGAAGTGAAGATAAGAGGAAATGATGTAAAAAGTGATCGGCTTCACATGTAAAGGCTGTGTTTGTCTGAAAGGAAGTGGCTTTGAGGGCAGTTGCAGATTGGCAGACAGGAAGTAGGCCGCACAGCAGGTTTCATCCTGCTGCCATGGCGATGGCTGCTGAGGGATGTTGCCATTGGTCGCCGAGGTCCAGAGGCTGACTGATAAATAAATGCCAGTGTATTAAAAGAGCAGCCAGGAGGTGATTTTTGGCTTCAGAGTGAAATGAGACAGGAAGCAAACACTGAGAAAAAGACAGGGAGGGACTATTTCCACAGAAAAAAACACCACAAGAGACAGGAAGTAAAGAGGAAGATATCAATCACCTACATCGTCACGTTCCCTCAACACCCAAAGACAAAGAGACGGACTGTGAATCAGTCTGAGAGTGTGCAGAGGTTCACATGAAAAATAAGCATCCTAAAGTCACCACCATGCACCTAATTTGAATGAACCTGTCTCTCAGAGGTGCAGCACGCACTTGACATGATGTTTTTCACCTTAATTCACCAAAGAGAAAGAGCAGCTGATGAACTTACCTTGAATGCTGTGGAGGTAAACTTTCAGGCCTGAGCGCAGCTGCTGATCCACGACTCTTTCAAACTGCTTGGAAAGTCTATTGATTGCACTCTGGAGAGATTCATGCCTCTTGATCTCCGCTTTTATTGCAGTGGAGTTCACTGATTTGCTGTTGCTGTTCATCCTGACACATGGAGCTGTTGTAAAGTGAAGCCAAAGTGCTTGCTTCAGCCCATTTGAACTCCTGGCTGTTTGTTCCCCGAGATGAACACCAACTTAAGACACAGAAGAAGCAGAAAAAGAAGCAGCAGCGCCTCTTTCTCTCTCTCTCTCTCTCCGACGTTCTCTCGCTCTCTCTTTAGACCACAAAGTCAGCTCTCGACAGTTTGTCTCTCAGTTTCCTCTGCAGGTTTGAACTGAAATGAATTTACTTCCTTGTTTCAACGTTCTTCAGTAGACAGCGGGTCTGGCTGCTGCCGTGGTCACACCGTTTAAAAGGCATCTGAGGCCTTATTACCTTCGAGCTATATCGAGCTCTACCGCTGCTTTATAGACCCAATACTTTCAAAACATTATGATCTATAACTCTGTTGTAAAGTTTAAATAATTTATGTCTCATTTTGCTTCTTGAGAAGAAGACAGAGTTTCTTTTAAGTCACATATCCACTTCTGTCTGGCCCTATGAGGAGGATAACTAGTAGTGTTAGAGTGTATTTCTTCTTGCCTTGAACATCAGGCAATCACCTTTGCACATATAAGGAGACACACCTTCATATATACAATACTGTGCAATTATGTGTCCTAATATGACTGCACTAACACAGATTGAATCACTGATGATTGTACTCGCATGACCTATCAGGTGTTGGAGGAGTTGGCCCTGATTTAATTTTCTTTTTTTTTTTTAATTAGGAGGTGATATGGCTAATCATCTCAGAAGACCCCCAGTCAGAGTCTGCAGGTGGATGCTGTGGAGGTGGTGGAGGCTAAAGGTCTGAGCGCAGCACAGATGCAGGGCAGTGAAGGTGATCGGAGAGCGGAGACAGAGACTCAGAGATCTTCTTTCATTCAGCAGATCTGTGAGGTACAGTTTTACATGCACAAGTTTCTACTTCTCAGGTAAGAAAATACCCTCTACAATGAAATATTTAAAGAAAACATGAAAAATTTATTTCTATATTTGTATTTGCAGAGTGAAATAATGAAACAGATTGTGGACCTGGGCAGAGTCCAAACATGAGCCAACACAAACACAAATTTATGTGCACGCTGATTCACAAATACACACATGCATACATGTTTCTAAATATATACATATACATCCATATGTCCATTTCATACATAAATAATGTGTACATATACACATACGCACAAATGCATGCTAATTCACAAATGCATATGTCTAGTACACTCACATGTAAGGTTAGTTTATTTCTACGGGATTTGCACATTTAATAAAGCAGTTCAAACTGCTTTACAAAGACATGAGAGGAAGACATTTAAACCTTGGTGAAACAAGATACTGACAGTCTAAAAAAACAATTCTGTTGTTTTTTGTCTAATTATAAGTTTGATATTGGTTTTAAATGATTTGCAAAACATCAAATTCTGTTTTTATTTACATTTCAAACAGCTTGATGTATTATTTTCACAGTATTTTTAAAACACATCGTCCATAAAATAAAATTAAATAACACTTTCACAACTCTTAAACCTTTCTTTTTAGTGTATTAAACATAAATTGATCTTTATTTATTTTGACCCGACAATGTTTTTATTAGTTTTATAGAGATTAATACAGTACAGTGAGGGCTTGAAAGAGCACAAGATACAAAGGAAACACATCACAAACACCCCCTTTCCCTCAAGACCCTGTCTACTGCTGGATATTCCTAATACTGTGCTTGAATAACAAATTCTGGGGCGAAAAAAAAACAAAACAAGTAAGTGCTGGAATTCAGGTTTTATAGATCTTAAATTGTATAAGACATTGAGAAACAAAACGTAAAAGAAAATAAGTTAAATGAACGACTTTACGTGAAGAGAAATACAAAGGTAGACAAGTCACTGAAAACTGAAAAAGTCCATAAAAATGATAAGAATTTAAATTGTATGATTATAAAACATCACAGATATATATTTCAAAAAGAAAACGATCCTTAAATTCAGAAGTCCTAGCTGAAAATGACGTCACAACCAAGTTCTAAGCGTTTCAGTTACCAAATCGGAGATGGTGACATCTACGAAAGTTATTTTAGTGATTGCCTTGTCTGAATATAAAGCAAGCGCTAAAATAACTTTTGTAGATGTAACTATCTTGTTTACGCCTCCGATTTAGCTTTTTCTGACATGGTGACTGAAACACTGGTAACTCCGGTGTGACGTCATTTTTAGCTCCGACATCTGACTTCCAACTCGAACGCAACACAATTATCGTACTTCTGAATCTACTGATCCTAATTCTAATTCTAATTCTAATTCTAATCCTAACCCTAACCTTAACTCTAACCCGACAGACGACGTTTCCCAGGCATAAGGAATAACCAGTCGTAGCCCAGCACTTCTAGCCAATCAGAGGTGAAGGAGGGCGGGACCTTCCCCTACCATCCTAGAAAAAAAGAAATCGCCTCCCACACAGATGACGCTGGTTGACACGCTGACGTAAGCCATGGCGGTTGCGTCATGAGTCACGCCCTCTTCGCCGACCAAAAACACTTGCGTCCCGACGTTAGCGCTCCGGGGAGCTGAAACAACAGCGATTTATAAACAAGTCTCCTTCTCTAGTCGGTCGAATCAGCCAGTCGAGTTTTCGAATATGGTCTGTGGCGGTTTCACCTGCTCCAAAAATGCCCTCTGTTCCCTGAATGTGGTTTATATGGTGAGTAAAAAGAAACGGACCATCATGCTAAAGTGTTAGCACTTAGCTTAGCTTAGGCTAACTAGCCTCCGAATGAACGGTTGAAGCAGGTTCGAGGTTAGCCGTGAGCTAACTAGCTAACAGCGCAGGAAACAATGCTAACGGTTCTGTCTTCTCCTTATTGTCTCTGTTTCCACCTCGCAGATGATTATCGGTATGGCTTTTCTTTCTTTATAGACATAAATGTTTGTAGTGTATGTTAGCTCGTTAGATAACCGTAGTTTTATAGTATTTAGAGGCAGTTAGAGCTCCCATCCACAGTGTGAGTCCAGGCAGAGCACCGTTAGCTGAGAGGCCAGCAGACCCACACTGTCAAACTGCTTTATCTCCCACATCCTTATCGGGCTTTTCTCAGCCATATATTATCAGTCCATGTGTCTGTTTTTGTCTTTGTTTTACTCAGAGGAGGTTTCGTAATCTCACAGTGTGGCTCAGCTCCACGTTAAACCAGGATAAACACCTGAACATAAACCTTTGTGCTGTCTCTGGAATAATCAGATTTGGTCTTTAGTAAAATTTTAAGGTACTTGTCCAACCTAAAATGAACTTTGTATTAAGTCTATAACAACTAAATATAATCAAACACAACAGCTTTACCACAAGATTTTTGTTGACATACTTAGAGTGGTGATAGATGTTATTCCCTTTGGTTGACGGACTGGAGTGCATTGAAAGTATATTGAGAAGTGTTTCTAATGTTTTGACTTGCTCATAAAACATAAGGAACACTTTTAAATATAGCCCACCAACACCACCCACCACGTCTAAGGAATATTTAATACAATCTGATCATGAAAATAAACTGAATGTAGAAGCTATTCCTGAAAATAGCTGTTGTATTGGACTTACCCAGGCTATAATATGCTGTGGCTTTGCTATTATTTATTAATGTCATTATTTATAACTCTGTTACGGTCTGGTCTATTAGAGAGAACGGGGATAAGTGGCTGACTGATATTGTTTTTCCTACAGCTGATAGCCAAAACATAATGCGGTTATAATGTTGTTTGTTTTGCATTTGATTTACTCCTTCAGTTGAACAATAGTAGCACCACACGAGTGACAAACTTTCTTAACTTGAAGGAACGTCTTTTCTGGTGTTGGGAAAATACAAGGTAAATGTTTGGTTTGAAAAAAGTCACATTCAGTCCAATTATTCCACAAACCTTAAAATCTAAAATACATGGTTTACATTTGAGCTAGTTAGATGTATTAAACAGGTTTGAAGTTAGTGGTAGTAGTAGTAGTAGCAGTCATTTATTCAGTCATGATAACACCAAATGTTGTACACAATATTGACTTTTCACACAAAATCAAGAATCATGTGTTGAATATTAACTGAAAAGGCAGAAGCAGACTGCTTAAAAAAGCCTACCCTGTATTGTCAACTTTTTAGGCTACCGACCTCCAGAAAAGCAGAGAAACCACAACAACAGATAATCAATCGCACTTATAAGCTTCAAAAATAGCTTTACAAGCTATAGAAAAGATGGTTATGACTGAGGAAATTAGGTTAATATGTAAATATATAAATAGGTAAATATTTACACAAGTGTGCATGAGAGTTAGAGTGAAAGCACAAGACTCGAGACTAACTTTTTCACCAGCCTCCTCACGTTGCTCAACAGCAACCACACTGAAAAGACAGTACAGCTGTTGTGAGCACAGGCCTCAATCTTAAATAGTCGAGTATTTCAAAATGCCATCAATCATCTGACTGATTTGTTGGTCTGCCTCTGGTTAGGACGTCAAAATCTCACAATATGATAATACAGCAGTAAAATTTTTGCCAATCAAATGAAGGACAAAAGGCGACCCAGGAGGAAGTAATTATTTTGACTTTTGAATCACTTTCTGAATCTTTTGTTGTCGACCACAGAAAATGTCTGTAGGTCGTTAGCTAAGGTAAGCATTCAGTTTACATCTTGAGCTACAGCACTGACGCAGAGAAGGAAACCAAAAAGGCATCCTCATGTCAGATTTAAGAGCTGCTGGAGCATCAATAATGTGAAAACCGACTCTCTGTTCTCACACGCCACTCTGAAAGCAGAACAAAAAAAAATTATGGGTAGGTACCAGACAATGGTCTCTGTAGTTCCCATTTCCCTTCACTTTACTGAAAACTACACTTAATGCCTGTTTACCCACGGTGGCATCAACACTTGAAGTTACAACAAACATTTGATGAACCAGACAAATGAAATCCTCTCTCTTCAGTCTTAAATAAAGATGCCATCTGGGCTTGTGTGAAACTGCGTTGGGCTTTTTTCCACCGTGTCATTTGATGAATAAACCCAATAATGACAGGAGAAATGAGAGAAATCCATGTATTAGCTGTAGCTGTAATAATACAGTACTGAGCCTCTATTAAAGGCTTAGGTTGACACATTATCCTGGGAAAGCGTTAATGCTGCGGCTGTCTTACATCTGTGCGTTAAAATGATAAATACTGTAATAAAACAGAGGTGAGCGTGTTTGCTTATGCCTCATATTTGCGTTCTTATTGACCATAATATAAGGTCATCCAGTTTGGGTTTGTCAGAGAGCAAACATGTAATTAAGTCTTCAGTTAGGAGGAGTGTTTTGTTTGTGTTTGTCACACTCACGTACCTGCTGCCCTGCTATTTTTAAACGTACCAGGTGTGAATGTTTCAGGCGCCACGGGAGCCTGAGATCTCGCCATCCTCAGCCTCCTCACTGCAGAAAAGAAACACTTGAGACTTGACCAATCCAGTCAGAAAGCCTTGGAACATGTACACATGCAGCAGATCGTGTTGGCAGCTGAGTCACTGTAACTGTCATAACTGTGACGCCGTAGCTGCTGTGGTGAATCAGGACGTTCTGTACATAGAAGTACAACAAGGACAAGCAGTCTCTTTATAACCGTGCTGTTCCCCCCCTGAGTGATATATGGCTGCAGGAACGTGAACTCTGTAATGTGAGGGATTTTTAGGTCTTTATTTTGACAAACAGACAAACAAACAGCAGAGGGAGTTACACAATTGTGACCAAACGTAACGGTGAGCTCAGTGTTTTGATTAGTTTCACGTTGTCACAGACAGTTCAATCATTGTCTCGAAGCTGGCAGTCTTATGACCCTGAGTCATGAGAAGAATTAGGAAACATTTAACCCAAACTCCGGGTCAAACTCTTTCCACGTCTTCCCCTGCTGCTTTGCTTGACATGTTATCTTTCTGGCAGCGTCTTTATCTCCAATCAGAGTCCCTGTAGACCCAGTTAGCTATCATGTGATACTCTGTGTTTGTGGTCGTCGAAGCTGTGCGCTGTGACTGAGTGATAAGCTCACTTCCATCTCTCTAAATCTGGTTAACTTCCTTCTCTCTGCTCCTGTCAGCTGGTCGGGTTGCTGCTGATCGCCGTAGCAGCATGGGGGAAGGGGTTCGGCTTGGTGTCGAGCATCCACATCATCGGCGGGGTCATCGCAGTGGGCGTCTTCCTGCTGCTCATCGCCATCGTGGGCCTCATCGGAGCGATCCACCACCACCAAGTCATGCTGTTCTTCGTATCCTTCATCTGAAGATTATCAGAAATATTTGATCTGATTTCTTTTCGCTCATACTAATTAACAAAGATGACCTATTTCTAACAGCTGATACTGATAAATTTCACATTTATTCAAGCTAATGAATTAAGTTTTATGAACACCTGAGGCTAAAGGAGATTATAACTTTGTGAGAGGAGATGAATGATATTAGATTTTTACTATTTTAAAAATGGGCTCTAACAGGTTCTCTGTTTTTGGGACCAGCGTCAGAAAGACTCCTCTAGAACCGCAGAGGTTTGATAAACACTGATATAACAGAGACAGGCTAACAGTGATCAATAATCTGTTGTTCCTAATATCTGTTATGCAGCTCTAATGAGTCCTCGCAGTGATTTGGTTTCTGTTGCTTCTTGACTCTCTGCTCTCAGTACATGGTCATCCTCTTCATCGTTTTCCTGTTCCAATTCGGAGTTTCCTGTTCCTGCTTGGCGATGAACCGCGGGCAGCAGGTGAAAAAAACACTCTTTTTTAAACATCTTAAAGGGATATTCTGGCTAAAATTAATTGGGGTCAAAAAGAGTCAGACACCCCCTCCAGAGATGAATGTTGCCGACCGCTTGCTTCTCTAGTTATACCAACTTTAGTTACAACTGCAGATAGCAATACAGAGAGCCACACGCGTGGTTTGTTTATGGCTCCTCATACTGCTGTGTGTTTCTATCGTGCGGTCGTTACTAAAGTTGGTATAACTAGAGAAGCAAGCGGTCGGCAACATTCATCTCTCGACGGTTTGTCTAACTCGACATTAAAATCCCTTTAATGTCAGACTGAATGATCCATATTCATTTTTGTGACTCTTTAATTTGTCGTTTATTTAGGAGACCCTCCTGAACTCTACCTGGGGGATGCTGGAAAATAAGACCAAGATGGACCTGGAGAGTCAGCTGAACTGCTGCGGGCTGCTCAACGTCACCTCCAGCCGGCAGCAGTTTGAACAGGACGTGCTCTACTGCCCCGCTGTAAGTCTTGAGTGTCACGTTTTTATTTCTACAATCACCAGGAAAGAAAATAAAATAACAAGATCCGTCTTCAAAATAAACCTTCTCCACTAGCACAGGCAGGGGATGAAAAAGTATTTTGTTCCTGTTTTCTTTCAGAACACACGTCCTTCTTTTGTAACTGTTCCCAGGCTTCACAGAGAGATGTCTTCATATCACAGAGTATTTCCAGTTACACAATATCTCTTACAGGATAAAAGCTCCACAAGCATTTAGAGAATTAGAAATAGGACACTTTCTCCAGTTCTCAGAGTTTATTTTGGTTTCTTACACTGTTTTTTTTTCTTCTTCTGACAAACCGTTGACTCATCCTGCTGAGGACTACAGGCTCTTTTTTGTCTCTTTCACTCACAGTTGTGCAAACAGAAAAATTCCTGCTACACCTGCGGGCTCAAGATGTTGGATCATGCAACCGAGGCCCTGAAGATCCTGGGCGGAGTCGGACTCTTCTTCAGCTTCACAGAGGTCAGTGTCTGCCTAAGAAACCCGCGGTAATCACCTGTTGAGTCATTATCGTAATTTTTTTGAAGTAGAAAGTGAAATAAGTTTGAGTTTGATGTTTGAGGATCTCTAGTCTGAATGAATTATTGAGTAAAAGGGGGGAAAAAAGGGAAATTTATTCAGTGATTATGAGGTTTGCTTTTCTTTATATGGAGTTTTCAACACATGTACTCAATTTGATAAAATCACTCCCACCTGTGGATGTACTTCCCAGGAGAAAACTGAACTTTAATCAGATTTTTGATCCTTCCTGATCAATTTGGAGTCAATTCAGATGTCTGGAGTTGACCCACTTTAATTAAAAACATGAAAAACTGTTGAATGAAGGAGGTGAATCCAAGTTTGTCTAAAAGGAGGCTTACATGTGGCACCAGTGATGAACCCAGAGAGTAGCCAAGAGGGCAAATGTCTGAAAAATCACCTCATTGGTGCCCTCTTAAATCCCTTAGTAGTGGATAAAAATCATTAAAAGAGCCTCCTCTGGAAATAAAAATCATAAGATGATATAAACTAAGTGCCTTGTGGTTCCTCTGTGAATAGAGGAATGTAAACAAAGCACACGTTGGAGGCTAGAAAAAGTGCACACCATAACAAATAAAGACAAAATGCCTCTTGATACTTTTTCATTGAATAAAATGTAGACAAAGTGCCTCTGCTTGACGTTCCAGTGGATAAAATGTGGACAGTCAGCCGTCTGGAAGTCCTTTGACTGTATTAAATGTAAACGAAGTACCTTGTGAAATCCCTCTCTGTGTATAAAATGTAGACAAAGTCAACTCTTGATGCCATTTTCGTGTATAAACTGTATAAATTCATCTTCAAGCATCTGTGAAGTATTTTTGATGATGTGTTTAAACAAAGTATAAAAATGAATTAATATACAGTTGCAAGAAAAAGTATGTGAACCCTTTTGGATTACCTGGATTTGTGTTCTGATCTTCATCTAAGTCTCAACAATGGAAAAACACATTCTGCTTAAATTAATACTGCACAAAAAAATCATATGTTTTCATTTTTTTATTGAACACAACATGAAAAGTATGTGAACCCCTAGGCTAACGACTTCTCCAAGAGCGAATTGGAGCCTGCAGTCAGCTAACCTGGAGTCCAATCAGTGTGATGAGATTTCAGGTGTTTATTAAAGCTGCCCTGCCCTTTGAAAACACACACCAGTTTTGAGTTTGTTGTTCTCAAGAAGTGTTGCCTGATGTGAACCACACCTACGATCGCAAAAGACTTACGATCAAGAATTGTTGACTTACTTGAAACTGGAAAGGGTTACAAAAGTCTCTCTAAAAGCCTCGATGTTCATGCATCCACGGTCAGACAGATCGTCCACAAATGGAGAAAGTCCAGCTCTGTTGCTACTCTCTCTAGGCATGGTCGTCCTGTAAAGATGACCACAAGAGCACAGCGCAGAACGCTCAACGAGGTGAAAAAGAGTCCTAGAGTGTCAGCTAAAGTCTTTTAAAAATCTCTGGCACATGCTAAATCTACAATAAACAAGAATGGAGTTCATGAGGGGACACAACAGAGGAAAAACATTGCTGCATGTTTGAAGTTTGCAGAAAAGCACCTGGATGTTCCACAGCACTACTATGGACAGATGAAACCAAAATGTACTTGTTTGGAAGGAAAAAAGGCACAGCACACCAACATCAAAACTCATCCCAACTGTTAAATGCCTCAGGGTTTGGACGGATCGCTGTCATCAACAGAAAAATGAATTCCCAATTGTATCAAGACATTTAGCAGGAAAACTTCAGACCATCTGTCCGCCAACTGAAGCTCAACAGAGGACGGATGATGCGACAGGACAACAACCAAAAGTATAAAAGTAAATCAACAAAAGCACAGCTTAAACAGAAGAAAATCCACCTTCTGGAGCGGCCCAGTCCGAGTCCTGACCTCAACCTGATTGAGATCCTGTGGCATGACCTTAAGAGAGCGAATCTGGATGGTCCAATATTCGTCCTGAATGTTGTGCAGGTCTGATCTCCAACTACGGAAAATGTTTGGTTGAGGTTACTGCTGCCAAAAGAGGGTCAACCAGTTATTCGTTTTCCCATCCTGCACCGTGAATGTTTCCATGTTGTGTTCAATAAAAAAGTGATGCAGAAATCCAAGTAATCCCAAAGTGTTCACATACTTTTTCTTGCACCTGTATGTAGGATGGAGGAGGAGGGTGATTCTCTGAATATTTAGGGTTGTCCAGTGCCAATCAAAATCCTGTCTGATGCATTTTCACTGAGTTTATTTGCTCAGTTCACATGCAGCAGATTTAAAAGTATGTTTTGTGACAAGAACTGGCAGCCCTGACCGGGATCCCGAGCTCCTGACATCCCTTATCTTGTCATGTGCAGACGAGCTTCACCGAGCCAATCTCCGTCTCTTTAATGTCTTTAAACAGATCCTGGGGGTGTGGCTGGCCGTGCGCTACAGGAACCAGAAGGACCCACGGGCAAACCCAAGTGCTTTCCTATAGTCAGTCCGCATGCAGAGCAGCGCCGTAGAAGCCGTTTCAAACACACTGGTACACATAGAATCACGCACATTTAGAGGCATAAAACACAGCCGACACGACAACACAGAACGAACGAGCGCACACACGCAAGCACGCAGCACCTGACAAACACCGAAAAGAAAACACACACCTTCATCTGAGACTTGAGAATCTACATCCACCTGTCCAGAAACGATTGCCAGAGCTGAAGCTGGAAGACTGGATACTTATGTATGAAAGGAAAACCTTTAAAATACCAAGAAGCGCGGCGGCTTGTTGGTATGTTGACCCAGCCTTGATTTGAGTACCAGATTCCCTGCTAGTTCCCGACTATGTACCGAGCGATGAGACATCTCTGCATGTGTCCCGCGCCTGCACAGACAAACGAGCCTCTTTGTTGATTTCATTCCACACGCCAACTAAAACGACTGTGCCGTGTCCGACTAATAACGTGTATGCACCTTGAAATTTTCCTCTCGTCTCTAATGTAGTGCCACAAATATACTCCTCTGGTCAGTGCTATCGGTGATGTGTAGAACTGTGTACCCAAACATGTCCGGTTTGAGTCGGCGGAGGCGGGAAGAAAAAACTGGACATGTGGTGTAAAGTAGTTTTTGAATTGTACGTAAATGTTTCTTTGTTTTGTTTTTTTTTCACTCGCCACAAAAAAAAGCCGGGATTTACCAGGATTAGGAACCGATGATGAATAGATACTAGGTGATGTTGTTGCTTGTCGTTTGGGTTCAAATATTTATGAACTGTATCTGAGCCAACTAACTTTTTAACAGTCTGAGATAATAGGACGCCAGTGGACTGCAGCCGTGATGTTGTACATAATCTTTTTGAGATCCGTCTCGATGGGTTTGTCATGTAGTTGTCAGGAGGTTTTCCTGCACAATAATCCACCCTTCCTGTATTTAATATGTTCCTTTGTGTCACACGGTGATGTTGCTTAGAGTAGGATCTGGTCGTAGAGAAGTGGTTTCAGGTACGATGTCATTACCTCTCTGTGTAACTGGAAAACAAAAAACACTCAAAATTAAAGGTAATTTGGTAAATTTGGCAGAAACTGCTCATCGCAAACCCAGTTTTGTTGAAATAGTGTTAAAATATGTGAAACTTGTTTGTTTTTCTTCTTATTTTAAGGATAGATTATGAAATTATGTTGTTCTCTGTTGACCTTTTGCTCTTTTTCGTTCATCAGTGTTAAAAAAAAAAGCTTTGTAAAAACTTGTTGAATATTTTCAGGATCTATTTAAGTTAAGTTTGATGATGATGATGATGATGATGCACATTATAGGCTGAAGTTATGTTGACGCCTCGCTCGATGTTTGACATTTCCTGTCGATAAATCACTGCTTCTTAATTCTCTCTCTTTTTAAGACGTGTTCTCTCCTCCTCCTCCTCTTCCTCCTCCTTCCTTCTTCTCGGATTGCTTTTAACTTAAAGGACTAACACTTACATTAACTTCATGTCTTACTTGAACCTGTCAACTGTTGGCTGATGTGGATTTCCTGCTGCTGGTTTGAAGTTCTCGCTGGTGTAAAACAAACTATGTTGGAAGATCTTAAGCATTATTATGCCATATACTATTATCATTACACCTCACTTCTTTGAATTCGTGTGCACTTGTTATTCCAATGTATCTTGAATTTTTGAGACTTAATTTTCCAAATAATAAAACCTCAAATCGGACACCGCCTCCCTCGAGTCGTCATTTGAGAAGTTTGGTTTTAGGCACCTAGATTCATAATACTATACTGTATAGAAAACTCAACAAAAACAATCCCCAATGTCAACTTTCGCAGTCTTTCCTCAAAATAAAATCTTCACAGCTGGTTTTAATTTAAAAATTAATCAAACTGTTATATCAGAGGTTCAGATATGGAGGGTTCCTCTGCAGATTTCTCTAAAAATCCTGTTTCCATGGCATCAAATCATCGAGCCGGCTTTACCAAACAGATTAATCTGCGTGTGGAAATTAACTCACACCTCTGCTGTGCGGAGGGAATTTATTCATTTAAAGTTTTTTATCAGCGAACCCAAGTCTGCCCTGCTTACATCTCCTCCTCGCTGAGAGTTAAAATAACAATTAAGTTTCTGTTCTGTTTCCATTCGCAGCTTTTTCTTTGTCAGGGAGGAGTAAAGAAGCTGATAGGACGTCTGTCTCCACATGATGGCAGTAGAGAGTCTGTGCAGCCTCCTCGTCTCTTGGCCACATTTGCTGTTATGTCAGTCCTGCTTTAAAATGGTAAATACGAGAAGCACAGGCTCTTCACACACTATCTGCTGTCTCATGGCGACTACAACCTTACATACCGACTGCACGCACGTGGCGGCTGTGAAATGAATTTACTTAATCTGTAGCAGGTTGTGATTCTCTGTGATACTCCATCAGAAGGCCATTAATCCCCTCAGCTGGGCCGAGTCCAGCGATGTGGGGGTGGGCGGGCTGGGGGAGCAGAAGGAGAGCTCAAGTGCACTCTGATAGGAGAGAAGAGACAACACACGAGGAAATTATCCTGATACCTTTCAAGCAAGGTTGTCCTAAATGAGGATAAACTGCCTGTGTGCCCTCGTCTGAATGGCCCATGGCAGGCTGTCACCGTCCCTGCTGCCCCCCCCCCTTCCACCAAAGGCGTGACCTAATCTCTGGTGACGGTGCGCCCCGCCGAGGAGCACCTGCAGCTCCGTTTTCCTGAGACGCAGGGACATTTATGTAAGTGAAATGTGCCTGCTAAGGGTTTTGGGTCTTGGACGTTTCCGGAGGCTTTTGGAAACCAGAATTTAGGAAACTGCACCACATATCGAGTCCCCTATTCCTGTCAGCGTGCTCTCCTGAGGGCCCGCTGCCAGTCCCCACCCTGTGATGCATGTCCATATGCCGGGTGTATTAGCCGGGAGAAGCTGTGGAGAATCACACCAACAGGGACGGCCATCTGTCCTCTTACAGATATAGCATGGACTCTGCGAGCGCATGAAGACAGGATCTTAAAACATTTGGTCCATTATATCACAGCGCTGATGATGAATGGCTTTTGCACAGGGCTCGTCCTGTACGCAGAACTAATTATATAGCTTTTCAGCGTGGGGGGTAGGACAATGCAGCAGCATTCAGATTAGCAGGAACTGATAGACTGAGTCCTATAATAGGCCTGTATTCAGAGGGGAGGAGGGATTCACACCCTTTACTACTGAAATGACTAATACTGCACTTTAAAGGAAATACAAACAAAAAAGCTTAAAAACTAAGAATGATTAAAATTATTATAAAATGATGTAAATTAAAGAGGTGTCAATACAATTCACTCAAAAATCAAAGCTCCTGTGAGGAACTTTTTGGCTTATTTCACAGATTTATTTTATCCCCTAGGCAGAGAAATATAAAATTAACTCGATGACAATTTTGCAGCATGGCAACAGCGGAGGAGGGTCCCAGACTGCTTGGATGAAATTGAACGTTTAGGTTTAAATGCATTAAGTCAGCTTTTCTCTGTAATTCTGTTGTAAATTTGAACTTCATTTTTTGCATTTTATCTAGTATCAGCTCCATTAAATAAAGAAAAAGTCACTAAAACATCCAAACTTTGCTGATTGGATTAAATCTACATGACAAATCAACTCAAAACTGACCAGGTAAGGTTGTTTTTTTGTATTTAATTCTAGTTGAAACTTAAATTTACACTTCAGGTCAAAGTATCACAGTCAGAAATTAAAAATAGAGGAATTTTAATGATGCTTGTTGCCCTGTTAAGCATTTTCACTCATTGATTCCTCAATTGTTGGCCTCTCTGCACGATCAGCCATGACTCAAATGTTAAAAAAAAACACCTTAAGAGTAAAATACTGACCAAGATTACTGCACAAATATTTTGTAACTCCACCCTAGAGAGAAGTCAGTGTTTTACTGGTGAGTTAAATGCATGCTGTTGTTTGCAGGTAGAGTGTAACACCAGATCCAAGACTCTACCAGACATCTCCAGGCTGCACCAGGTTAGTCACAATAAGAAGAGCACTGGTGATCCTATCTGCAGCTGATTGTCTCCAAGTACATTTTCAAACCCTTTTCATAGTTTTTATTGAAGCTACAGCTGATTTTAAACAATCATAAAGTCCCATATACATTATTAGATTGGATAAAAAGCAAAAAGTAACGTAAATCAGAATGGTAGGGGAGTCCTGGTCTCCTGACCGGTATTTCACGGATTGTTGATTAGTGAGTTATTTAAGCTCTGCTGCCAAAGGTGCGTATTTCCCTCTGGGTCTGATTTCACTCACCTCTTTACTTCCCTACAACCTCTCTGATTGGCTGTTTTATGACGTAACTGTGCTGTCAGTGTAGCTGTTAACACCTGATTTGATTTTATATTTGCTAAAAACTTTCAAACAAGTCTGGTTTTGGATTTCGATCATTCCCAATAATCTGTCTCAGTATCGGCCCCAACAAACCAATATCAGTAAATCCCGATTAACAGGACTAAAGAGCTTCTAAGAGGTAGTGAAGATGTAAACGACTTATACTCTGAATATGAAATTACTTAACACGCTTTAAAAGTTGTTTAGAGGGTCTTTAAGGGGAGGGGGTAAACGTGGTTTTAAAGGGTCTGTATCTGAATCCAGATTCTTCTCACAGCTCCAGGAGGACAAACAGGAAGGGGAATCATTCTCGTCAGTGAGGAGAGACAAACAGGTCAATATGGCCTATCAATAATGAAACAGAGCGGGGATGCATGTTGTTATCCCTCAGAGGGAAGGGTGATACAGGTGATGCAGGCAGTTATTTGGACTCTTAAAGTGGTAGAAGAGCCAATTTACCACCTTAAAGACGTTTAATGTTCTTGAAACGAAAATTTCTACTCGCACTAGCAGACCAAGACGGTTTTACATCTTTGTACCTCAGAAGACAGAGCCAAATTTTCCTGAAGGTTAAATTACAGTTTGATCGCAGTAACGTGTAATCATGTTTGGCCTCTTCTTGTAAAGAGTTAAAACGAAAGGAACAGACCAGGAAGTAAATATCCCTTTAATACCAGATATGAAGGATATTAAAAGACAGAAGCCACCCCAGCAAGAGCCGGTTCACCCCGGTGTCTTCTGGCAAGCGATGCAGCATCTGATGCTGTATCAACAAACTACAAGGTTCTTCCCCCAGGCTGTGAGACTTCTCCTCTCATCCTCCACGCTTCACTATAAAAAAAGATAGTTTTTTTGCCGTAACAAAGAAGTACAACAGTTTGAATTTCATGTGCAACATTTATCGGTGACCAAGTCAGTCACATTAGACTCAAAATCTCCAACTAGCCAGCAAAGTTAAAAAAATTCACGTGACCAGTTTTACTGAAATCTGAGCAAAAATCCTGGTTTTGTTTTCCGTCTGGTCTTCTAGTCCCTCGTTAAAGTTCATGTATGAAATAAAACCTCAATCCACCCCAAACCTGAAAGAACATCTCCAAACTTTTGTAACAGGTCAGCAAAAATGACCGTTTAAAGGTGGGGTAGGCGGGATTTCGTTAAAGAAGCATCTTTTTTTTTTGTGGTGTTTATACAAAAAATCTTCTAATATCAGTCAATAGTTATTAGTTATTGATGACATTTGGTAATATATCGATATCTCTGTGTTCTCTTATGTCTGTGTCGTCAACATTTGAACATTTTTGAGCGGTCCGCTCTTTCTGACTGTAAACAAAGCCGTTCTCCACCTCCTCTAACCTGATTGGTTGTGAGGCAGACGCTGCTCCCCCGTGTCGTTCAGGAGCCCAAACAAAGTTAGCGTGCTACAATATCGGACAGTAGAAACCAACCAGAAAGTTCGGAAAATTGTCTGAATCCTCCTTTGGCCACGACTGCCGACACAAGCAAGAAAACAAAGTAAATACCGGAGACTCTGGAGGAATAACGGGCGCTTAAAACGGAGGTAGACAGGACAAGAGCTAAAAAGCCGGGTCAACATAAACCATGGGGGACGCTTGGGGATCTTGGTGACCCTGTAACCTTTCTGCTGGACAGGTAAACCGCTTCAACAAAGTAAGACAAGTGTCTGTAACAGAAGTGTTTCTTGTCAAACGGACCTGCTGTAGCGTGTTGTAGCGCCATCGCTAAACTGTCCTCCCTCGGGTCCTGGACTATGTCACTTTATCCTCGTTGTAGAAGTCCTGCAAACATTGTGTTTGCTGGTAGTCTGTTGGCATCTACAGTAGCACCAATGCTTTTGACTTTCACCTTGACTGGGCCCCATTTGTAATGATCTGAAGTATTTATCTGCATTATATCTGAATTTAATTGGAACAATATGAGCGAGCAGGAGCGTCTGTTTGTGGGCGGGGCTTGAGGGGAGGAGCTGAGGAGGAAACTGGTTGGGAGGGGTAGAGTTTACATTCATGATTTCTCCTAAAAACTGGAACTTCATCAGATCCCCACTACCCCACCTTTAACGATTTCCAACAGTTTCATCATCAGCCGTAAATAAACATTAAAACTAGGCGGCTGTAATTTCCACTGCATCAAAACAACCTTGACTCTGTAGTGGAAATCCCTGCATGGGTTCAAAGTCACTCCAAAAACCGCTGTCTTTAAAATTACTAAAAGGAAAACCAGCGGAAAAATAACACAAACGCATTTAAAGCATTCAAAGGAAACAGAAGCAAAGACGGAGGTGAGAAATGAAGGTTTTCAGTACATTACACATAAATGCGACTTCCTGGTGGGCAGGAATAAAACCCTCGGCGTATAAAAGGCAGTATGTTCCAACACAGACTTTTAAGATGATTGCCTCATTAGCATTTACCGCCAACCCTCCCCCAACACAGAATCATCATAAAATAACCTCCCACACAGTGAATTCATACGCCACAAACACTCGCACACAACAGTTTATTCCTGCGGTGTGTAAAAATGCTAATGTAAGTTTGGCGCTCTATCTTTTTAAGATAGAGATGAACAGGTTTAGATGTAGCGGTTGCAGTTAAGTCATTAATTTGCATAATAACAATGCGAGCAGAAAAGCTTGTTGACCTGCTGTTATGGTGGTCAGAAGTCTTTAAACAAACAATTAGGCGAGTCTCCCAGCCCCGGCTTAATCATTACTAACAACTGAACACAGCTCATGAGGTTCAGCGTCGTCCTATATGTGGCATGATAGCTGAGGTATGGCACTGCATCTACAATCAGGTGTTATGCTTGAAATAAATCCATATCTGTAACAAGCAGAGTGTGAAAAATCAATCAGGATCAATGTGACAGGGGACTCTGTAGGAAGTGTTGCTATGGTGGAGAATGCAGAGTGTGAAAAAAGAGAGAGAGCAGCAGTGAGGCCGCTTCTTCTCCTTCTCTGTAAACTGCAGATTAAAGTGACCCCTGGCCCCCTGCCTCTGATGTTTCCCTAATTACCTTGTCTCGCCGTCCTGATAAACGCCACTGAGACGGCTTTCTGCTCCGCTGTTTACAGCTTCAAACCTGACACCGTGATGCTTGTTGCTGAACTTTCAGGGAGAGTATTGCGCACAATGCAGGTAGATGTTGGCTGCGATGCTTCTTGTTTTATCAGTCTCAGCATAATGACGTCCCTCCCCACCCAAAAACCTCACCTCAGGGTCCCGGCTCATAACAACCCAGCGCCAGCTGCTGAAAGAGGAAGAGAAACCTTTAATTCAAGGAGATGTTGCACTACTATAATAAAAATCTACTCCATTTAGCTGTGTGAGCTAACAGTGAGGCTCCTGTGACTGTTTTATTAATGTAATATAAGTTCAGCACCGGTACCCCAAGGCCAAACTCAAGTGGTGTAAATTCACAGACTACAAATGTGAAGAGTGTTCACCTCATTACCTGAGACTGATTTGGATCGTAGACCCGGCGATGATATAACAGGAAATCTCAGTCTGTGTCCTGCTTTGACTTTTATTGAGTCATGGTCAACAAAGAAACTGTATTTGATCTGGATTTATAGCATTAGATCAGTACCGATGACAAAATCACCAAGCAGTCCCAGCACCATACCCCAAAAATGTATTTTTCCTGAGCTCTGTTGTCTTATTCAGTCCACTGCTGCCCTCATATTAGAAGAATTACAGTACAGGAGTCCTCTTTGATAAGATAATTGTAGTCAAAACTTGAGGAAACACCTTAAAAAGAAGAAAATGCAAAATAGTGATCAGTGGGAAAACAAGATGTAGTGTCAGGGGGACCTCTTTAGTGGAGAAAACGTGCTGCAGAGCTGAATCGGGCACCTCTTTAACCAGTTGAGTGAAATGCAGTGCCCCCTAGGGTTCCCCTCCAGTGAGGGAAACAAATGCAGGGCCCAGAGGTTCCTGTATAACAGAGAAAACGACACCCAGTGTCCTCAAAGGAGACATTTCAAATGCACTGATTTACCGCAGTGGAGTAAACATGATTCAGTCACTCTGTTAGTGGTTAAGTGTGACTCAGAGGCCCCTTAGTTTATCTCTTAGTCAAGAAACTATAATGCAGTAACCTTGTGGGAGCTTTTCCAGTGGTGAAAGTGCGATTCAGAGAAGAAAATATGATGTCCTTTGATGACATGGCGCCCTGAAGACACTCTTCAGTGGAGAAAACAGGAAGTGGTGTCTTACTGGGCCTTTTCAGGTGAGAAAATGGTTCTCCATGTCTTTAGTGTTAATCAGGGAGCTTAGTGGAGAAAACTACCCTTTACCAACTACCCTCAAGACGACTTTTAGTGGAGAGAACAGGTTCAACCCCTTTTTGTGTGAGAAGATTTCATATGACCCCCTAATTCTGATGCATCTGGAATGACTACGAGATGGCCGTATCCGCCGATCGTATCTGATCATAACCATTCAAGTTAATGTGTTGGCTTTTTTTACGTTTCGCTGCGCATCGATGGACTCCGCAGCTGATCACAAGAGTTTTATTTTTCTGGTTATCGGAGCATGCCGGATAAATTCAGCACAGATTAACCCGTGCTGGAAAGGAAGTCGGGCACAGACACAAAATAAAACATCCAGCTTCCTTTCAAAATAAAATACTCAGTGTTTCAGACGGATCGTATTTCACACCATGCAAACAGGCGGAGACGAACAAGTGAAAGGTTTTTAGACGTCATTTCACCCCGATGACACCATGGATGAGAAGTTCTTCCTAGAGCTGCGTCACCCCGCTGTAGTCCGTAACGTACTGGCCCGAGGTCTCTCTACAAACAAGCGTCTGCTGGAAGAGAGTAGGTGAGTTGTGTTTAGTCTCTTTGCTAAAGAAATGAGTCAAAGTTAAAAAGATGTTTGGTGTCTAGTACTATGTCTGTGACCCTATATGTCCTGTTGATGAAGTTAGGTGCTGTTCTGAGCATTATTTGTGGCTATAGAGTGGCGTTTTGGTTGAGGTTTGTTGATGGCTCCTCAGACCGCTGTGGTTTGCTATCGTGCGGTCGTTACTAAAGTTCATCTCTGGAGGGGGTGTCTAACTCTCTGTTACGGTGTGTTTGACCCTAACTTAATTTTACGCCGGAATATCCCTTTAAGTGTATGTTTTTAGTGAGTGTTATTGCTCAAAGTGAACAGTCAGGGCAGCCTCCTCCCTCTTGTGCTTTAAGCCCAGGATTAATCCATTCTCTCTCACACACACACACACATATGAACTCTGAGGCTCGGGTCCGGTTTGTACTTCGCGGGCTCCTCGTGCATGTGGCCGCAGAGAAGACGTCAGCAGAGGGGGGATCAGCACCCTGGACAGCGGCGGCTGGTCAATAATAAAACCGCCGGAGAAAGTCGCTTCCCTGCCCGGGGAAAGAGCTGGATCTACAACCGGAGACGGTGCAGGGTTCGGGGAAAACAAGGGCTTGTTTACAGGATGACAGCCTCCTCTTCTTCTTCTGCTTCTTCTTCTCCTCTCTATTCCGGAAGTAGCTGCTGCGTTGGTTCAATCTCCAAGCCGACCATTTCGAGGAGGAAAATCAGCGCCAGCAGTATCATCACCACCATCTATCTGATCCAATAATCAATGCCATTACTGCTGTGTAATTGCTCTCGGATGCGAAGACATCTCCATGCGTCTTCCCTCTTTTTTCCTCCCTGATTAGAAAAATAATCTCACGGTGCCTTTTTTTTTAATCCTCCTCCTGCTTCTCTTTGACATTTTTTCGTTGCGATGAAATGCTGATGGACATCGAGCGAAGATGGGAAACATGGGGCTCTCGGGTGTTTTTGTGCCGCTGCGCTCCTCTCTAGGCTCGGGAAAATGCAAATGAAAAGGATTGTGTTTCTCATCTCGACGTGGATTGTCGTGTCGATGAATGGTTTGGATTTTTCAAGGAGATGAAATAGAAACGAGGAGAGAAGGAGAGAGAAAGAGGAGGGATAGAAAAATGGACCATGATCTGAGGAATGGGATGGTACAATGAAGGGACAATAAGATATTTTTTAATCAGATCTGAACAAAAACTCCCATTTCATCTCTTCACCCTCTTGGCTTTTTTTGGATTATGATTCTTGACAAGAGTCCCAGATGTGACTGTATGGATGGCATGTTGTTGTTGTTGTATTTTACATCCCATCTTCTCTTTCCTGCCTGTGTGCTCCTCTCTCTTCCACTCGTCCACTCTCTCGCTGTCTTCTGCTTTGGGTAGCAAAAACATGTAGGCTATTTTTTTTTCTTCCCTCTCCTCTTTTTTGCAGCAAAAGCCCACAGAGAGAGAGAAAAAAAAAACACGGAGAGAGAGAAAATGGACCGTGGAAATGAGAGAAAAAGGCGAACAAGTTGTAGTGTTTTTCTGGGGTGCGGTGGAAGATGCATCTAGACGAGTTGTTTGAGTAATGAATATTGAAAGAGTGTGTCGGCCAGCTGAAAGGGAAAATCTTTCATCCGCATTGGCTTAGACACACATGCCATCAGTGGGGCGAGATCCTTTGTGGAATCATTAAGAAATACTCCACTGAGAATGACCCTGATGGTTTTATAGACCCGTAATAATAATAGAGTTCAGGCACAAACACTTGGTTGACTGGTTCGTTTTGTATGTAGCCAAACATGTTCAAGTATCGGATCCGCATGTTTTTCAATGAACTGAAAGTCCTGGTGTTTATGCGATCCGATTCGAGACAGTCCGGTTCAGACACAGAGAGACGGTCCAACACCAACACCACCGCCGCCACCATGCGAGGTCTGGGGATGGGCGGCTGCGGCTGGCCCCCGTTCGTCGACTGCCATTCCCGGGACGACGAGGAGGAGTACTACGGCAGCGACCCGCGGCCCCGGAGCCTGGCGTTTGAGGACAAGGAGCCCAAGCTGCAAGTGGGCCTGGACGCCGTGTCTCTGGCCAGCACCGCGAGCAGCCTGCGGACCCCCCAGTGCCGGATCTGCTTCCAAGGCCCAGAGCAGGTAGACGTATACATGCAGCAGAGGATGGATGAGGCAGACAGACAGAGAGACAGGCTGTTTGTTTCACGTTAGGGGGATTTTTTTTATTGTAGCCGTGCACGGATTGATCCAGGTCAGCTCGATTTGTTTTATTTTGAGGGTTTCTTGAACCAAAACCACACTGGGCTCTCTATTGTAATCTGCCATTTTGATTTTTTGTTACACAGCAAATCACAAAGGGTCTCTGGAGCTACTACAACCATCCTGTCCTACATCTCTCTCTCTCTCTCTCTCTCTCCCTCTCTCTCTTTCTTCCACCCACCTTCCCCTCAACTGCCTCCTCTGAAAAAAACAATCTAGGATGAAGCCTAGGTTGCTCTCATTTAAAAATAGTCACAACAGTGTGGTTTATAAGACGGGGAAAATCACCTTTTCTCCAATCTTTACATTTTAGAGGCAAACACAGCTTATTTTTTCTTCTTCTTCTTCTGATGATGATGATGTGTAAATCACACTGTTTTCGTAGCTAATCAGTGGGGGAGAGGCAGCAGTTCCCACACATCTGAAATCCGGCCAGCATAGCAACAAAGAAAGTTAGCCAATTAGGTCTGCAGGATGACAAACAGAGTGAGAGGGACTGAATATGCATGACTCACAATCATTTTGTTAATGTGTAAATCAACTGTCCCCCCGTCTGCATGTGTCACTCCACAGGATGATCAGCTATTGATCCGCTTGACGATCACCCTCCCCTGGCCAGACAATGGTGTCTGTGACGGTGGAGAAATTAATTTGTCCTCCCCTCTCTCTCTCTCTCTCTCTCTCTCTCTTTGTTTCTATCTTTATTCGGCTCAGTCTGCTGCTGCTGCTGCTGCTTAAATTTCCCGCAGCCCAAACAAAACAATAAGTAGTTCCTCTCTTTGGTCGGCGGCCAAATGTCGATCTGACCAGATGTGCAGAAACCTGTGCCGCCTGGCTCAGCAGGTAGTCCTGAAGCCTGAGATAATTAGAAACACTGTAAATCCTGTAGGAGCACAGATGGATATTACCATTTAGTCACTTCCCTAAGATAGGCGTATAGTGCTATTACAGCCCATGTGCTAATTTATGACATCTGCCTTGGAGTTTTTATTGTGAGACATAGTAAACTGGAGAGCCATGGGACAGGAGATAAATCAGCCCGGGCTTGTTTTGGACACGCAGTCATTTCATGTTACAGACGGGGATCGACCCCAGGTTGCGGTCTTGCCCACTCAAACATCCTGCGTTAATAAAAGGTTGATGTTTTGGGCTCTCCGGCAAGGTGACTCATCGTGCAACATGGCTCTGAGCTGCCTCTTTTAGCTACAGACAAAGAGCAAGCAAACAAAGCAGTATGGGAAAACCCTGAGACTTCACAACATCACTCTGAAATTAGCTGATTTCTTCAGTTTTTTTGCAGAAGTGGCTCGTGCCTCCTCAGGTGCAGCGAGGAGGGTGGGCTCACATTTGCCATTTTATTGTTATTTCATTATTCAGGCGGGTCACAACAGGGGCCAGGATCATGTCGCTGTCAGCGGGCCAATTACCTGCACACATAATCACCTTGCTCTGTGGGCCGCACAGAGCATGAATCCTTATTAACTGTCTGTCAAAGCCGTCAGTTTGCTTCAGTAGCGGGAGGATGTGACTCCACTTAACGCTGTTTGGATTCTCAGAAGTGTTACCAGAGCCTGCTGGAGGGGCCCGGCCGTGTGTGTGAGCTTTGCATGGGCATGTCAGAGCGAGAGGGTGGAGGAGTGAGTGGTGGTGATCAACCCTGCCTGGCCTTTTCACTCGAGGTGCCCAACAGTGTGTTTCCACAGTGACACACAGTCTGGAGCTCAGAGGGGCAACTTCAACGCCGAAAATTTGAGTCTAAAGGTTACAGCTGAGGAGGAACACCGTTTTCTTAGTCATAGCAGTGACACACCAAATTAACACCTTCATGCTCTGTGAAGTGGCCGTCAGGGACAAACCCACGCCGGATCATGCGAGCAGGCGGAGCAGGAGTGTTTGTGTGTGCGTTTGCATGTGTTGTGCAGCCGCTGTGCTTGTTAGTGAGCGGGGATAAATATATTTTTCTAATTATCAGCCAATCGCACTAAAAGATCAAAACCAGGCATGAATTGATCCTCCTAATGAGAAGTGTCTGTGCATGCAAACCTGATGCATATCTTGTTAAAGAAGCCTGGAAGCGTTTTCTGATCTCATGCGAGCGTCAACACGGAAACATCCTCTGACAGCGTCTTCTACGACCATTACAGCTTGTTATTTTATGATGTGACAGCACTGTGGTTCAGGTTTGGTGAGGATTAGGCACCAAAATAACGAGGTTAGGTAGAGAAGTATCGTGTTTCCAGTTAGTATGAGTTTCTTTTTGCCATGTTTGTGTCTTTGGTTAACTCGTTCGTCCACTTTGACCTTTTTCTGTGTCAGTTTTGTAGCTTTAAGACAAAATCACCTGATTCCTCCCATTGTCCTTGTCACTGTTACTACGGCCGAAGGAGGGCTTTGTCACTTTAAAGTCAGAGCGTCTGTTCTGTCTCTTGCACAATGATAAGATGAACAGTCTCCAAAACGCACGACAGACTAAACTAGATGGATTTTTCCATTCTGCTGTGAAAACTCAAATCTCTCAGAGTCAAAATATGTCCTCAACCGCGCCGAGCGTACAAGTGTGGACATAAATCTGATTTGAAGATATTACTGCAAGAAATCAAAACTAAAGCAAGTATTTTGTCTCCCTGGACTCAAACTGAAGCACATTCAGCTGACAGGTCCAGAAAAACATCTTATTTCAGGCTTTTTTATTATATACTTGGCTGTTAAATACTTGCTTTTGATTGGTCTATAGCCTCTTGACATCAGCTGTTTATTCTGAATGGCAAAACAGATGGGATGGGATGTGGATATCCAGTATTTTTAAGCTCATATTGGCTGATATCGATACCATTATATACCCACATTTTTCCCAATTGTAAAGGACAACAAATCTCCTCAGAAACAGACAAAAAACATTTAATTTTAATTTATTTATTTTCGAATCTAAACATTCAGTAAAGTGTCCGCTGTCTGTTTACGACACTTCAAAATACATTATACACAGTCATATGTGGATGTTTTCCATTTATATGTACATTGGCTCACCTTTTATTATTTAACCAACAATTAAATTTCCATTTCTGCAGATAGAGATGACTGATTATTAAAGCTTTAAGACTGATAATAAAGTGCATACCAGGAAAACAGAGTAGAAAGTGAAAATCTGCAAGCTGCTAAGTCAAAGAGACATCTACCAAACTGAAGAAAACAGACACAAAGTAATAACAATAATAATAATACATTTTATTTATAACACATTTTTACAGGTTTATGCTTTTCAAGAAACACAATTTAAAATACAGAAAATTTGGAGTAATAAGACCAAAAATGTAAAAGGTTAAAAAAGACATAATATTTAAAGACAATAAATTCTGATCTGAAATGCCAGTTAAGTTTCCTAAATTATTTTAAGTCACATAATGAGATGGTTTTTCTATCTCTTTAGCTGTTTCTACTCATTAGTCTGTAGTATCTTGAAACAGACGTGCCGTATCAGTATGGTTCATATTAAAGCTCCTGTTAGGAACTTTCTGTTTGTGTTGATTTTGGCGCCCCCTGTGGACAAAGCAGTATCTCTAACATATTTCCCTTTTTGCTCTGTAAGTGTTTTTTTTTTTATCACCGAATATCCTACTTTGACTCTAACGGTGTGTCTTACTTTGAGCCTTTGCTGATTCATAATCTCGCTCTTCATCGTCTCCTCTGACACCTCCCCCCTCACTGCTGTTACAGGCATTCAAAATCACAACATGGAAGTTTTCAATCTGGTCGGTGACGCTGTTTGCTTTCTTTTTCCAGGCCACACACAAAGAGCCAGTTTTGTTCATTTCAGTCTGTTTCGTAATCGGTCCAAACTTCTCTCAGGAGCTTTAACGACATCAGACATTTTTATTAGAAATCAGATAACACGGGCTTAGTTTTGATTCGTCGCAGCGCAGTGATTGTAATAAGTGAAATGGCCATCACACTCTAAAGTGTTCCACTAAAACACACAATGGCTTGTTTTGGCTTTGTTCAGACTGCTGGCAGATCAGATTTGTTCCTTAAATCTAATCCTTAAAATAGAATATCCGCTCTGTTATTTGCAAGTATTTAGATTGGATTTAAACGTCCAGACCTAAGCAGCCATGTCTCAATAAAACAGAAAAAACATTTGTGCATGTGAATGTAAAATCTGTCATCATGAGATATGAATTCTTGGTGTTGGAGGCGTTCTTGGTTTCTGTTTGGAGTCTGTTGGAGGGAAGTACTGACCCGTCTGAGCCGTCTGTGGTTGCATACAGGAAAACAGTAGACGCTTAAAGCCAAAAGAGACAGATACCCGCCAGATCGGGCGATTGTCTGACATGGATTTAGCCTTTTGTTATCTTTTGAAACAATTATCTGCGTTCAGAGGGAGATAACTGTGCTCTAAGATTAATTGTAGGTGTTGTCTCTTTACTCCATCTACATTCGCTGGCAGGAATGCGCAAATCTTGACCCAGATAAATGTCTATCTGTTATCCAAATACCAGCTGGCTCCACCAGAAACCCTTCAGTTTTGGCAGTTGCCTCTATTGGCAGAGTCACCGTTAAACAACAACCTTATACCCATCAGTCTCAGTGGTTTGTTTGTTGAAGGAAAGCTGTCGCTAACTATGCACGCCGATGACACGCCTTTCTACCTCAGAGGCGTTTGATATGAAGCTCATCCATCATCTCGCCCTCCAAACAATCCCTCCGTTATTTTCTTTTGTTCACCTTTGCTCTCTTTGTCGCCCTCTCAACCTCTCTGATCCACTTCAGTCACTCTGGATTTGTCGTTGTTGTTGTGTTTTGTTTGGATTTCCTCAAATCAATTTGGATAAAATCAAAGATTTGGACTGCAATTCTGAAAAAGGCCTTCGATCCAGTTAGGCTTACCGCTGCCTTCAGGATCCACAAGATCAAAACATGTCTATTAATCCACAGCTTGAAATCGTCCCAAACTAATGCCCACCTGGAAAAATTGAACTATTTCTGCACATGACTGCTCTGTAGTCCTTTAACGGGGTTTGTCAACAGTAACAGAATACAGTCTTATCCTGTAAAATCTCGGAGGTTCGTAGTAAAACTGATGTGGGTTCACAGTCCACTTCACTGTGTGCTCAAACGCAGTACAACTCCACAAGTTTTATTTGAGCGTGTGCACATCCTGCCAGTCCAGATGTGACCTTTCATGTCTCTTTCTCTGTTTTTTTTGTTATACTCTGCTGTGTGCTGCCTTCAGGTACACACATTGACTCTCAAATGGGAAAAACCTGCATATGGCAAAGAAAAATAGAAAGGCACGGACCTCCAACAAGGCCAATAGTCCTGTCGTCTTTTTAATGGAAATCTACAAGGGCGACCACTATACAAGTCAGGATATATTATCAGAGGACTCACATAAACTCACGCTGTGAATAGCAGGAGCTTTGTTATTTCCTCTCTGCTTTTACCGTGTTCCTCCACAGCGGAAATCTCCTAATTCCTCACATACTCTGAGGATGTTATATTGTTAGATTTGTACAAATTATAAATGGTTGGACTCAAGAAAGCTTGAACAGAGTCAGTATGAGCGTGAGCAGACATTTTTACTCTGACCAAACAGACCTGATGGAGGTGGCGGTGTGGATACCGTCTGAAACTCCAGGGTTTGGTCGGCCAAAATGAGAGTTTTAACCTCATAAAGTCAAATTATATCTATTTAAAGCTCCTAGGAGGATTTTTTATATTTACGAAACAGACTGAAATCAATATTAGTGCCTTTTCATGATACACAAAAGCAAATAAGACCATCAGAAACAACACTTAATTGGACTAAGCTCATAATTTTTTATTTTTCGCCGAATCGGACTTCTCTCCTTGTCCTCGTTTACATGCAGCTGAGAAAATGTAATCATTGACGTGAACGTGTCCTCCTCCCCAAAACTAGGGGGCGATATGGGTCTTTTCAGCGGCGCTGTGCTTTGTTTGTTTCAACAACAGCAGGTCGGTGTCAGACGTTGGAAGTGTCTACAACTGCTGCTGGACATTTTCGAACAAGAAGATGGAGCATCGTACAGCGTTGTTTTTGTCCGACATGATGGACGCGCTACTTTTTCTAAAGATGAGACGCACGCTACTCCTCTACTCTGGTGTTTTTGTTCCAGGATTACGGGGGTGTGGCGCATGCACACATGCATTGTCCGATCATACTCCGACTACGATGGTTACAGGGTAGAGAAAATCGAATTCCAATCGCATTATCTGGGTGTCTTAATCAGAGTCGGACTGAGGTGTTTACATGCACTTCAGTTGTCCGGTCTTAATCAGAGTAAGGCGATAATTCGGCTTTCTCGAGTGTCATGTAAACATACTGACTGATGATCTTTCTATTGTAGTTTTTAAAGATTAAAACCTTTGTAGGGGGTAGGTGTCAGCTGAGCAGCCTTAAAAACATTTACCTTATTTTGTGGGAATAAATTTTAGAGGACAACTTCAGACAGGCGCCAAAATTTGACCTGACCCAGGAGCTTTAAATGAAAGTGTTGACAAAGGTTTTGATATTAACGGGCAACTTTAAATTCTTAATTCAACAAGTTTTAGGTTCAATAATTTAAAGTAAAGAAAACTACAGACATCTGTCTCACCAATCAGGTTTTAACAGAGGTCACTTCTTGGATCCACCTCTGCTTGGCCTTTATTGAACTTTGATTATTTTTCATTAAAACGGGAGCAGAAGTTTTTCTCTCATTCAGCTCAAAAAAGAGGAAAAGAGAAAACATAACCTTGAAGACAGAAATCGGTTTCTAAAAAGCGCCTCATGTCCATTTTTGTTCAGTTAGCTGCAGATGAATTTGATGGTGTAAGTCATCTCAGTGAGGTCAACTCTACGGTATTTTTATTTAATCTGAATATAAAGGTATAACTGAAGAGCCTGAGCGCGTGTTAAACTCCTGATACACTCATTACTGGTAAAGGCGTCTTTCCTCTGCAGTCATGTATCTTAGTACGGTACATTAAATAACTCGCTCTTCTGGATTTGGCTTTTTGCTCCTCCTGTCTTTGCAGAAGATGTTGTTTAATCCACTGTTAGCATCTGTTGACTGTCCATCACCAAATATGAAAAAGCTGAAACTAAATATGCCTGTTTTCTTCACTTTGGTTGATGTCCGTTTTAATAGAAACCGTCTGATTGGAGGACTAGAGCTTCTGCACTAACCCCCTAAAAATCGAATTTTCTCCAACAGTCGTCTTTGCCCTGAAAACCCCGACCTAATTCGTACTGAACATTTTCTCCTCCTAAAAGCTTGTTTTTGCTCATACAAAGTTTTCACCTTACAGCAAACACGTTCAGTCTTTAAAACAAACCACCGTACACACTTTTGGTTTTTCCCAGAACCAAATTTGCTCGTGTGCATCCTGTTTTTTTATTTATTACGAGCAGAGCGATCAATATCTGAGAAGATCAAACACACTCCCTCAGAGTTTGAGTAGTAATCAGGAGCCACGAGGCAAACACGGCGAGTTTGTGCATATAAATCAATGTTATTACTTAACGGTGATGATCGGACGCATATGCTGAGGAGATCCCTCTGGGTGCGCGTGATTCAAAATATCATGGAGCGGCCCCAAAAACACGCAGCTCGATCCGTCATCATAGTTTCAGCTTCTCTTTAAGGTGTTGGTTTGAAAACCATCACATCAGCTTTTAAAGGTCTTTGTTTGTGTTTTTTTTTTTTTGCTCCAGCTGATCATGACATTAAAAATTCACATCCAAAACACACAAACAAACACACACTCCTCAGCCGCCGCCTGACATTTCCGAAATGTTTGCTTTCATATGCTTTTTATTTAGTTTCTCATATACTTCTGACCTTCTCTGTGTTATCTTTATAATGTCAGCAGGCAAGTTATTTTAAAGTTTATGAGTAGCATGTGGCTCATCTGCCAAATCCAATCTTTTAAGCGGTGGGACACTTGAAGTCTTTTTATTATAAGAGGGAAGGTCAAACGAGCCAGATGGGGAACGACAGAGCGCAGACGGACTGAATAAAAACCCGTGAAGCATTATTTGTGTCAGCGAACTTCTCTGGTGCATAAAACCTGTATTGATTAAACAGGTAATTATCTGGCCAGATACAGTAAACCCGTTCTGATTCATATATCTGAGTCACCGCGTGTAAATAAATACTCTTTAAAGTGCTGATGATGCTCGCTTCAGACGGCGAGCTTCACTTTTAATGGGCTCCTTCATTCAACTTCACCTCACAGCCGACACAAAGAAGACAATCACTATTTTAAGCGGCTTGACTCTCCTATCAGTCGAGCCTGATCTCATTCGAAATGCAGCGGAGACATTAATCTGTAAAAAATATATGACTTTAGGTGCGAGCGCGGACTTACAGGAGGAGACAAAGCCCGGCTCTGAACTCCTCATCTGGATCAGGTTTTACCTCTTTCTGCTTTGAGAAGTCAAGAGTTTAAAAACAGTTTGTCGTTTTACAGGCTGGATGAGAAAGAAACCAGATGGTGCTCACGGAGAGGTTTTCCTCAGTCTTGGATTTGAAGCCTGTCGACCTTTTTCATGTGACCAGATGAGCTCAGGTGGTCAGATCGTCTCACGGCGCCGCACCTGCTGGTGACTTTACACAATCGAGTCGGCTGTATGTCAGCGAGTTTATGGATCCTGCATTTGTGTTGGAAATCAAAACAGAGCAGAGGGAGTTATTTAGGAGCCTCAAACCTGGACTCACTCAGGGGCCTATGTTGGTACTGAGGGGCCACTTTAAAGTTCAAGTCCAACAAGTTTAATTATAAGATGTCAAACTTAGAAACAGGAAGCTGTTTGAGATCTCTGTCTTGAGTTTAGGGCTGCTTTATTTCCTTTATGGTCACACATAGACTGTTTATAGAATGGACGCCGTCTGCCTCCTCGCTGGGTGAGAACAGCACACCCTGGTGGCGGGCCGCAGTATAGGTCATAAATCCCACCTCCTCCAGTAATCTCTATGGAGCTGTGGACAAACTTTAGAAATTAATGACCCAGAACATAAATGTTTCTCCCGCCTGGTTCTGATGTTGACATGTAGTTACTGTCAGACTGGTTTGTGCTCAAGTCCTCTTTTTTCTGTACAGCTCATTTTTTAAAAGTTATTAGGGGCGTACAAAGATTGTGAAGCTCACCTGGGGGGATATGCTGTTTGAGCCGAGTGTCATCACAGCGTCTCTAGGCGACTCTCCTGCCGAATGTGTACAACGCTACTGAGCAATGTTGGTTTTAGCAAGTGGAGAAAAACGCAGGATTACTGAGAGCTTTTCGGCTTTAAATGCGTATACTGGTGGAAGGCGGAACCAAGTAGTCCATGGTTTATGCAGTCTAAGGTCTCGGCTCTGTAGCCTTGCAGGGGGCCACTGCATTGGATTTTCTCCACTAGTAAGGCCTCCTATGAGAAACTGTAATATGTTTCACCTCTAGAAAGGACTTGGATGGCCTTTCTTGTCCGACTTTCATTACTGGGGAGGCACACAAAATGACATTATACCCTGTTCTCTCCTCTATAGTCGTCTAAAGAGTAGTTTTTGCGTAGCTCACCCGGGGGGATACGCTGTTTGAGTCGAGCGTCATCACAGCGACTCTCGGCGACTCTCCCGTCGCATGCGTACAACGCTACTGTGCAACGTTGGTTTGAGGAAGTGGAGAAAAAACGTGGAATTACTGAGAGCTTCTCTCGGTTATTGGACGACCGCTCTACCTCCTGAGCTACTGCCGCCAAGTAGAGTAGACCTTGACAAACCTGCAGCTCGCCATCTTGGCGAATGTTTTTTTTTTTAGAAATCTCCACCTTTGAGGGAGATTTTACAAACCTTCAAGTTCAGTGAGGTAAACCTGGACCAGAGCACCCTGTCCTGTTTTAATGTGAAGAGGTGGACTCTCACAAAAACATGTATAAGACATTTCCACCGTACAAACCTAACCGTAGAAAACACAACAAACAGAAAATCAGTCAAAGTAAAAAGAGAGATATTCTGTTTCATCCTCCTGCACTCCTGCTCCACATGAATGTTTTTGTTACCTGCTGCGTTCACACACGGACTCCCAGACTTCACGTGGACATCTTCCTCGGAGGCTTGTAGGGAAAAAAAGTCTGGATAAAGTCGGGCCGTTTGCACCTCACATACGGAAATTTCCTGCGTGTGTGAAAGAGGCTGATATATGTGTGTGTAAGTTTGTGAGCCGTCGTCAGGCTCCGGCAGCTCTCGTCTCCTCCACCTGCCTGTCCTTGAAGCTACACCGCTCCTGCAGCGTGCTAACATTTCCCCTTCACCGACTGGGCCCGGGCCCGCATCAAGCTGCGCCCATTCATTGACTTACTAATGATTCCCACTGATATTCTTCCCCCAACACTGCTGCTTTAAAAGCCTCCGTTCAATTATGACACGGGAGTTCGGTTCAAGTTTTCTTCCCCTTCTCATTAAGTGAAATAAAAACTTTGCTGACGACGTGCCATCAAATTTTCAGCCTTCTGACAAAATGGATGTTTGACATTGAGCGGCGATGACAGCCTGGATGTAGTCATCCTTAATGTGGTGCTTGAGATGACGGTGGGTTTGGTCCAAAATCCTCTCGAGTTGGCTCTCGGAGATTTCATGAATGTTATTAGAAGGGAAAAGGGTGTGCAGAGGAAAGGGAGGGCGGGTAATTTTTATACTCGCTGAAGGGAGATTAGTACGGCTGTTTGGGGAGAACTGGGAGAGTCATATCTCTCCATCCTCACATCAAACGCCATCCTTTTTCTAATGTTAGCTGTATGAGTAAGAATCGTGTTCACGGGGGATTTGAACTCACAGATTTGACCATCGAGGATTTATTTATTCGTATCTACATGCATCACGTGTAAAGTGAGACATTCATACACGCACGCTGGTCTGAACCCACTGGAATACTGTTTGATTTGTTATCAGCCGTTGTTGGGAAACAAAGATATTAAATGTTTCAATCATGTGTAATCTTCGGAGATTTATCATAGAGAGGGTTTGTCAAGAATATTGAAAAGATCCTCATGTCTGGATAGCTTAGATTGGGAAGAAGACCCTGAAGAACAACCGTGATTTTATTGATTAGAGGTTTAGAAAAGGTTAATGAGATGATGAAGACGGGAAGCTGCTCTTCCCCGTTTACACTGGCAGCTGGTTTTAGCTTTTTCAAAGGTGGTGTAGTCAGGATCTGAGTTAGTGCCAGTTTTTAGGAATCTTGAATGTAAACTCTACCCCTCCCAACCAGTTTTCCCCTCAGCTCCTCCTCTCAAGCCCCGCCCACAAACAGACGCTCCTGCTCGCTCGTATCGTTCCAATTAAATTCAGATATAATGCAGATAAATACTTCAGATCATTACAAATGGGGCCCAGTCAAGGTGAAAGTCAAAAGCATTGGTGCTACTGTAGATGCCAACAGACTACCAGCAAACACAATGTTTGCAGGACTTCTACAACGAGGATAAAGTGACATAGTCCAGGACCCGAGGGAGGACAGTTTAGTGATGGAGCTACAACACGCTACAGCAGGTCCGTTTGATAAGAAACACTTCTGTTACAGACACTTGTCTTACTTTGTTAAAGCGGTTTACCTGTCCAGCAGAAAGGTTACAGGGTCACCAAGATCCCCAAGCGTCCCCCATCGTTTATGTTGACCCGGCTTTTTAGCTCTTGTCCGGTCTACCTCCGTTTTAAGCGCCCGTTATTCCTCCAGAGTCTCCGGTATTTACGTTGTTTTCTTGCTTGTGTTTTCCGAACTTTCTGGTTGGTTTCTACTGTCCGATGTTGTAGCACGCTAACTTTGTTTGGGCTCCTGAACGACACGGGGGAGTTGGGAACCCAATCGGGTTGGGGAGGTGGAGAACGGCTTTGTTTACAGTCAGAAAGAGCAGGCTGTACCTTTACCTGTACCTGTTAAAATACCATACTAGCACTTTAAAGAGGTTGAACTAGCTTTAAAACAGGAAATGATACTGGATGTTAAAATAACATTTATCCTTCCTCTTCATGTTTTCTCCTAAAGTAATCATGTGTATTTCCTTCGTCTGTCCTGTAGGGTGAGCTGTTGAGCCCCTGCCGCTGTGACGGCTCCGTGCGCTGCACACATCAGCCCTGCCTCATCCGCTGGATCAGCGAGAGAGGCTCCTGGAGCTGCGAGCTGTGCTACTTCAAGTACCAAGTCCTGGCCATCAGCACCAAGAACCCTCTGCAGGTAAGAAAAAGAGAGTGCTAAAAACTGCAGTTCCTTAAGTGGCCACTTGGGCTCCAGAAGTCGAGAAAATGCCATCGAGGCTCCTATAAAAACGCCCATTTTCACAGCAGGACTCCCATCTTTGGACCAGTGATCATCGTCGGTTTGACTCTGTCTCTGTTTGATTCAGCTAACGAGTCGACACCTCTGAGGTTTCATCTATTTGCATGTACTTAAAAATAAGGCAGGAAAATAGCTTTCACACTTGAGTCACTCTCGCTTTGATGAATCTGACTCAGGCTGCTCTTTTGATTCAACTAACAAACACGCCAGCACAGCACGGCTCAGTATAGCTGATCTGCCTTCTCATCAGTTTCTTCACTAAACTCATGCACTGGTCTTTAAAAAAGCAGACAGGGCTGGAGGAACACTACAAAAACCAGCTGGAGATAGGACGCGAATAAAAAAGCGCTTCTCGGCGTGCGGACTAACACGAACGCTGTCAGGCTCTGTGAGGTATAATTTCCTTAAATCCAGGCAGAGAGATCTTTTTGCATGAGAGGGGGGGAGTTGCCTCTGACTGTGACATTACATAATAACATATACAACATAAAAACAGTGCCGCATCAGACCAAACACTCTCTGCTAGAACAAATCCTGGGCGGTCTCTGCGCTGGGAGGACTGTTTGCCATATTGTGCTGACACATTTTCTCTCTGCGTCACTGTCCTTCTGCCCTCCTTTTTAGAGGCTGCCAGTGGCTCTTAATTCTATTGATAAGGTGCCATCTATCACTGTGTGTGATTGTGTGCGTGGGTATGTGTTTCTGTGTTTGTGTGCGTGTCTGAAAATTTTTGTTAAGTGTGCATAATATCCCCTTATTTGTATATTTCGCTCCTTGTTGTGGTTAAAAGTGACTGAAAATTCACTTTTCTACCCGAGTATATTTCCATTTTATTCCAACTCGTATTTCTCTGACTAAATTTCACTGACAGAGATTAAAACTGTCTTTATGTTTTTAATCTTACAGTAAAGTTTTCCTGAATCTTTGGTTGTGAACCACTGGACTAAACTTCACCAAACCGCTTGGAGAAAATGAATGTGCTGGGGTGCAACCATGCAACAATCTGCCCTGCATGTTTCCCTACCAGTGGAGAAAACAAAACTTCCTCTGCAGATTTCCTCTATAGTGGAGAAAATGCACGGAGAGTGTCCTTTAGGCATGTGAAATATGTTAAAAAATCTTTCCTTTCTGGTAGAGAAAATGTTCTTCAGTGAAATCCTCCTAGTGGAGAAAAGGGTGTCCTTCATCACCAGACATAAAAAGTATTATACAGGTTACCTTGGTGGAGAAAATGGGTGGAAATGCCCTTTAAAATGTCCCCCAGTGGAGAAAACATAAAAATCATGTCATGCAGAGAAAAAAAAGTGCGTACAATTTCCTTCCCTAGTGGAGAAAATTGTGCGAAATTTTGCAAAGAAGTATATTTAAAATCTTATCATTGTTTTGTTTCCTGTGTTTGGATGCCAGCTGTAATCTGATGTCCTCCAGGATGATAACAACACAGTGGAAACTTGAAACCTCATGTGAAAAATGTGTGGAAATGCCCTTTAGAGTGTCCTTCTAGTGGAGAAAACATAAAAAAGGAATCCTGCAGGCTTTCTTCCTTGTGAAGAAAATGCGTGGAAGTACCCTTTAAAGTGTCTTTTTCTCGTGTGGAAAACATGAGTATCCTGCAGATTTTCCTTCTAGTGGAGAAAACACACAAAAAATCAGTTTTTACTCTTAGTGGAGAAAATGTATTAAAACACCCTCAAGATTTCTCTTCTAGTTTAGAAAACATCATTTAGAATTACAAAGATTTCCCTTCTAGTGCAGAAAACATTAAGTATTATAAAAATTTCCCCTCTAGTGGAAAAAACAACAAAGAAAACCTCAGATAGTTTTTACTCCTAGTGAAGAAAACATGTAAAAACACCCTCAAGAGTTATCCTTTAGTATTGAAAACATTAATTAGTATTAAAAAGATTTCCCTTCTAGTGGATAAAACATAATTAAGTATTATAACAATGTCCCTTCTCGTGGAGACAACACAAAGAAAACATAAGTTTTTACTCGTAGTGGAGAAAATGTGTTAAAAAAAACCCTCAAGAGTTCCCTTCGAGTATAAAAAACATCATGTAGTATTGGACAGATTTCTCTTCTAGTATAGAAAACATCATTTAGTATTATTCAGATTTCCCTTCCAGTGGAGCAAACTTTCGAAGCGCCCTTCCCTGGAGGACGAGACGTATTAAAGTGTCCTCAGAGTGCTGATAAAGATAAGCCGGCTGCCCTTTTAGTGGAGAAAGTTCATTTCACTGTTTTGTGCCTTTTGCGTGTCACCAGTGTCGGCTTCTTTCCTCACCCCTGTTTCAAAGAAGACCTCGATCTGATGCTATTTCACTGGAAAACACTTTTTTAACTTGATTTAAACTGACACAAAATACAAGCTGGAAATCATTTTACATTATTTGAACTTTTCTGTCAATATCTGTACCGGTTTTATGAATCCTGTGCCAGTTTTCATGTGTTCAGGTTCTTGGCAGCTTTATACTTTATTAAACAGTCAATAAGAAACTAATATCAGCAGCTGGATTTCACCTCTACTTAAGAAAAGCTCCTTCTGTCGGCCTTTTCGCCGTAGATTTCCATTATCTGTGGCTTTAAGCTTAAAAAGGATGATATGCAACACTGAAAAAAGGTCGAGATAGTTGGAGAGAAATAAAGAAAATGGATAACTGTGGATAAATTTGGAGGGCTTGAAGTGGATTGTGTTGATGCGAGTTTTCTTTTCTCCTAATTGAAACATTTCTCTCCTTTCAGTGGCAGGCCATCTCTCTAACGGTGATAGAGAAGGTGCAGATCGCAGCCATTATCCTGGGTTCCCTTTTCCTCATTGCCAGCATCTCCTGGCTCATCTGGTCCTCCCTCAGCCCCTCGGCCAAGTGGCAGCGCCAGGACCTGCTCTTCCAAATCTGTTACGGCATGTACGGCTTCATGGACATCGTGTGCATAGGTAAAAGAAAAACTGGGTCACCGAAAATGTGCGACCATAAAACCACACAACAGGGTTATAAATAGATGTAACAGCAGCAGCAGTCGTGGTGGAACCAGACAGGGAGATATCTTTATAAACAAAGGTGGAGGACGAAGTTACGCTGTGATTTCAAACTTCACATTCTGGTGGTTGTTAAGGTCAAACTGAATTACACAGAATAGAAACCGAATAAGCAGATGGTGCATAGGTAGGAGGCGACAACTTCACTAAAAAGCAGAGCAGCTTTGAGAATAAAAACTCTGTTTTCTGTGAGCAAACTGGTTCACTGCTCTTGTGTAATGGTGAGCTGGCTGTGTAAGACAACACTGAGAACAGATGGCGTCAGATATCTGCACCGAGATTATTGCCAACTGTCTATTCGCATGCTCAGGCGAGATGGAAAGTTCTTACCTGCTATGAAGCCGATCGCGGCTCGCAGGAGCTTTTAGCGCCACGTTTGATGTAAAGCGGCTCTCGTGCGTCGTCCTTCACCCTCTGCTCCTTCTTCTCCTTTCAGGCCTCATCATCCACGAGGGATCATCGGTGTATCGAATCTTCAAACGATGGCAGGCTGTCAATCAGCAGTGGAAAGTACTGAACTATGAGAAATCAAAGGACTTGGGCGACCCGGTGAGTTCGAGCAGCAAGGCGGGGGCTCGCGGCTCTCGCGGTAACCCTCACGGTTTGGCCAGCAGCAGCGCGGGGCGACAGAGCAGGAGGCTAAGAACTATTCTGAACCACCACTGTGGATACACCATCTTGCACATCCTCAGCCAACTGAGGCCGAACGACCCCAGGATCAGCGCCGCGGCCAACCGGGAGGTGGTGATGAGGGTCACCACGGTATGAGACGAAAACAGGGACGTGGCGTTTTGTCGTCTTTGTGTGCAGATGTAAATGAGAGCGCGGACTCATGGACCTGATCTTTAAGGAAAAAGACTCGTGGAGGCGACAGGAGTCCTGCGAGGAGCTGCCAGACAGACAGACAGACAGTCAGCACACGCCGGAGGATTTCTCCTCTTGTTTCGTACTACAAAAGGAAGTCTGATGCTCCTTTTCAATAATTTAAGAACTCGTGAAAAAAGGATGAAAAAGCATTAAAAGACATCAAACATAAAATGTGAGGAGGCGAGAAAAAAAAGTGTAAACAGGCTTTATAACCTAACCCGACGAGACGATGAGACATTTTTCCAGTTCAATATCAGGATGCACAGAGACATTTTACTTTGATTTGATCCTCTTTCTTTGGTTTGTATCTCTTCTTTTTTCGGGTTTTCTTTTTTACTACTCACTTTGATTTTGTACGGATGTATGATTTTAGAGGAAATCATGTAACTCCATACATGCCAAGCATTTCCAGACATCTATGTATAATGCTCTTTGAAATTTCTACAAGCTAAACAACGACGACGATGCTGGTAAAAAGACCGAAAACTGAAACAAACAAACAAACAAACAAACAAATACATGTCTGGGGGGAAACTCTGAGGTGACAACTGAACAAATAAGTCTTAATAAAGTAAAAAAGAAAAAACAGAAAAAAAGAGAAAACAATAAGATTCAGAGACACTTAACCTTTCTGCAATAAAGAGACGTATGTACATTTCACAGGGAATTTTGCATGGGTATATAATTTTATTCTTCATCACATAACATAAGCACATGACAAATTTGCTCTATTTCGAATGGTGCTTGCCAAAATAAACACTTTGAAGACATCTGATTTCATTGCACCAACTTTTTGTCGACATGACAAATGGCAGTGTGTTACAGCTATTTCAGCTAAAATACAGATTGTTGCTGCTGTGTGCTGATTCAGATTTGATAATAAGTAAACTATTGGATTAAAAACGGGGATCGATGATCTCTTAACGCTCTGTCTCTGTCTCTTTTTTTTTTTATTCTGCAAAAATTGACTCCCCGAAAATGATCCCATAATCGGGAGAAAACAAGCTTCGTTATTTGGAGATAATGAGATATATTAATCAAGTATAGCAGGAAAACCAGCTTTGTTATCCTGAGATAATGGGAGGGGGTGCAGGTCAAGTTCCTGAGAAAAACAAACGACATTAAGTTGTTGTCAGAGGAGGACCGGAGATAAGACGAATGAGGCGAGATCTCCGGGATGAACTAGAAATTTCTGTTTATCGCTGGAAGAGGGGGAGTATAGAGGAGATAAAAACAGGTGAAAGTTATTTAATTAATGTTTTTTATTCTGTTCCAGGGCTGCATGATGGTGCAATTATTAGAGCTGTTGTCCTACAGCAAGTAGGTTCCTGGTTCGAATCCTTGCAGAGGCCTTATGAATTTTACTATTTCAAGGATGCCACGATTGGACTTGTCTCATAATTTTGACTCCTATACCTGACCATGCCATGATATTGACTGATGCATGATTTAATTCTTTAAATCCTAAATGTTCTTCCTTGAGCTGCGTCACCCCGCTGTAGTCCATAATGGCCTGGAAGAGAGTAGGTGAGCAGTCATTACTAAAGTTGGTTTAACTAGAGAAGCAAGCGGTCGGCAACATTCATCTCTGGAGGGGGTGTCTAACTCAGTCTTACGTTGGTTTGACCCTAACTTAATATATCCCTTTAAAGTACCTGTGAGACAAAATAAAGTTACAATAGAGACATTATGTGAGTAGATCTAAGGATAGTTTCTCTCTAAAGTTACTCCTTCGGGGCTCAGAAAGTCTGCGCCAAATTAAAATATCCTCTGTCCAAGAATTGTCCAAATTATTCACTCAAAACCAAAATTACAAAAACCCAAACTGGCTCACAAACACGTACACAAAAAAATCTCCTTCCAAAGACACCAAACTCTCAACACCTCCAAATGTTGTACATTTGTTTGTGCGCTCCTGTTACATCAAATCAGCGATGACTAAGAAGCTAATGACTAAATGTCAGACGCTTACAATGAGGACCAACCTACACTTGTGGACGAGTCACCGCCATGACAAAAGATCTGTGAAATGAAAATAAAGTTAGAGTCTGTTTCAGTTTCAGGGCTGTGCTGTTGTTCAGAGTGAGTCACTGCTAAAGCTGACAGGGACAGAGTTAGTGTCTCTGATGAACCTTCACTCTCAGCCTCTGATGAGTCCGATTATCTTCATGACAATATGAATGAATCCAACTAAGAGACAGTTACTGTAATGATTCATTTGTTAAGTTCCTTCAGGTGTTTCAGGTGTGAAGCTGTTGTCAGGTGGAAATCAGTTTGTGTTTGTCGCCCCCCAGTGGCTGTTTGTGTATTTGTCACCCTTTCACCTCACAGTGAAACCATTTCATGTCTCAGGCTGTGGCTGTGTCTCATTTCAGAGACTTCTGCACTGTCGAACGGTGCATTTGAACAACCAATCTTTAAACAACCGAGGACTGATGTTTCTTTATTTAAAAGTTCTATCAGTATGGTACTATTAATTAAATTTAGTTAAATCTAATATTTAAATTCATTTTAACATATTTAAACTTCTAGCCCATTTAATTTAATTTAATTTAATTTCTTTATTTTTCGCTCTGGAAACGAACTGCTTTTATGTTCAAAGGCTTTTATTTTGAAAGGAAAACTTTTTTAACAACCGAGGAGTCACCTTTGTTTTATTTAAAAAGTTCTTAAACTTTAATTTAAAAAATAATGATAATACGACACCTTGTTGTTTTATTTTGATAGTCCGGAGGTTTTCACACTTCCTCTCTCTCCAGAATCAGCTCAGAGTTTTTCGCCGAATAAATCAGGTCACGAGACTGACAGAGGAGCTCCTAACAGCGGGTTCACTTGTTAAACATTGCCGCTGTGTTTGACTTTTGTCCTCTCTCCGTAGTCTTCCCCCCTCTCTCTCTTCCTCCTTCTCCTCTCCTTCCGTCGTTACCTGTCCGGTAAGTTTACACCTTCTCTCAGAGGGACGATGTCCAACCTACCAGCCGGATTTTCCTGCTCTCGGTAAAACTTCAGAGGAAGGAGGAGAAATGAATCTGAACACAGGAATGTAGCTCACAGGTGTGAAGAAACCTTTATTTCTGATGAGAGTTTGATAAAGTTTGAAGAGATTTTTACACCAGAAGAAGAAGGAGAGGAAGAAAAAGAGGAAGATGTTTTCGTTCCTGAGGAAAGGTAAGAACTCTGACAGGTGCTCTGACGGAAAGTTTTGGGGTTTATTTAGTCGGTTTACCTGGGAGGGGTTTAACATCAGACTGTTTCTACAGTTACACCTGTACCTGTGTGTATTTGAGGTACTTTTACTTCCCTTTAGTGTTTTATTTAAATACTTACAGTCACTTGAACTCCACAAAAGTTGAGGTAGTTGATGTGGGATTACTTTTAACTTTACTTAAGTGACTTTGAATCTAGGTAACTAATATACAGACTAAGGACTATGATTTTTTTACTGTTTTTATTTATCTATTTATTAATTTATGTGTATTTTGTTTTTTCAAACATATACGTACAGCGCCAAAGTTAAACTGAAAACAAACAAACATAACTAGTGAGAATATTCAAAACAACAATAGCAATAATCAAAGCAAGAAAATAAAAAATTAAATTAAAAGAAACTTATAATAATAATGTGAACCCAACATGTCTGAAAAGGAGTAGGATGAATGAATGACCCAGTTTTTAGTTAATATACAAACTATGACTATGATTTTTAATTTTTTATATTTTTCATTTTTTATTTTTTTTTATTTTTCATTTTTTCAAACAAACATAACTAGTGAGAATATTCAAAACAACAATAACAATAATCAAAGCAAGAAAATAAAAAATAAATTAAATTGAATTAAATAAAAAACAAAAACATAATAATAATAATGAGAACCCCACATGTCCCACTGAGCGAAAGACGGCTATTAGACGTCTAGTTTATTCTTAGACCTAATTTCAACCCCCTAGATTCTGTATTTTTTTAGACAGAGTTTAGACGTTGCACTTTAACCCATTATTTAATAACTATTTACTTCAAAAAGTAACTGTGAGTAGCATAATTGATCTCCAAGTACTTCACCAAAATAACTGTGATAGCTGTCAAGCAAAATACAGTGTAATATAGATATAGCCCAAATTTAGACTTGGCCTAAATCTGGACGTCTAAAAAACGTTCATTTTTAGACCTGTTGTAGCCTGATTTTAGACCAGTCATCTAGGCTACATTTAGACGTCTATTAGACCTCTTTTAGACCTTTTTTAAACCTACCCCTTCTCCTTTACTCAATAATGTCAGTCAGTCTCCAGCAAAATTAAATTGTATAAACAGAAAAATACAACATAAAAACTATAAATAAGTACATTAATCACTCTATAGTTAATTCCCTTCTTCCTTCCCCCTGTACCTGCTGAGAACCGTGTTTTTGTACCGCTTCTTAAACTGGGTCATGCTTAGACAACACTTGAGCTCCACACCTAATCTGTTCCACAACTTTACTCCACAAACACAAACACAAAAACCTTTTAATGTTGTACATACAAAAACAGTTAATGCTGATGCTTTAGGTAAAAGTCCCCCCTCAGATGAAAAAACTATTTTTTGATATTTCCAGGCAGTAGATTGTTTATTGCTTTGTACATGATTTGTACTGTTTGAAAGTTAGAATTGAACGTCTTAAGTGATGAATTTAGTTTTTGTGTTTAGTTTTTAAGGAGTAGCAGTGACTGGATTATACTGTTCAGCTAGAAACTTAATTTTGTAGTTTTGAAAAAGAAATGAGCGCACAAAAGAGACAGAAAGATATCATATTTAAAGATTTATAAGAAGCATAATGAACGGCAGAGTTAATCACAATGAAATTTGGTATGATACAGTTCCATACAGTGCAGTATATACAATATGGTAATAATAATGATAACTTTAGCACTTGTAATAACAATAAAGTTGACAGACAGGTAGAACAAGAACCTAACATACCGAAAACTAAACACGTATATCAGAAACCCAAACAAGAACCTTTAAGAAACAACAAGAGCCCAGACGACCCTCTGACCTCAGACCTGATGACTCAAAATTTAGAGACGTAAAAACAATAAAAGCAGCCGGATGAGATAAAGCAGTAAAGAGAGATAATGAGAGCTTTAAAATTGATAAAGGACTCATAAGATTCAGCTTGAAAACATAATTAAACAAAATGGTGATACACTCAGCAGCAATAAGAAGATGAGGAACAATAAAGAGAGTTAAACTTAGGAAAAAAAAGAGATGAAACAGCATAAAGAAATGAAAGTATTAAAGTTAATGATGTGATTAAGATAGAGTAGAAAACAGCAAAAGGATGATAAAAAGAGAAAATATAAATAGATAAATTCATAACTAAATACACAGTTTTACACATACTGTAAAAGAGGTGAGTTTAAAGAAGTGATTTAACAGGCAGCGCTGATTCTGAGAGTCTTATCTCCTAAAGCAGGTCGCTCCACAGTCTCTGATGGCAAAGGTTCAGTCTCTATCGGATTTAAGCCTCGACTTTGGGACATCTAGGATGTTCCCGCTCAAATATCTAGGGCTGCAGTCCGGCTCGTCCAGAGTCAGAGAAAAGAGAGTTTTGTTTGACACAAATGTATGAGAGAGAACTAGTTTAATTTTGACAGTGGATCAGATCTGGTTAAAGCTTCAGGGGTCCTCAGGTCTCTGGTGGAAGTATATCTGTGCGTCGTCTGCTTAGCAATGAAAGGAGACTCTGTGGAGCTGATTTCAAAGTAAAAGCGGACCTAAAACTGAACCTTGCGTAACACCACAGGTGGTTTGATTTGAAGGGTAAGAGTGAAACCAATTAAAGGGATATTCCGGCATAAAATAACACCGTAACACCGAGTTAGACAACCCGTCGAGAGATGAATGTTGCCGACCGCTTGCTTCTCTAGTTATACCAACTTTAGTAACGACCGCAGGATAGAACGCCACTCTATAGCCACAAATAATGCTCAGAACAGCACCTAACTTCATCAACAGGACATATAGGGTCACAGACATAGTACTAAAGAAAGTACTGAGCAAAAAGACTAAACACAACTCACCTACTCTCTTCCAGCAGCCGTTTGTTTGTAGTGAGACCTCGAGCCAGTCCATAACGAACTACAGTGGGGTGACGCAGCTCAAGGAAGAACATTTATGATCATTTCTTTATCATTTCCTTGAAGTAATAATCACCATATTGATCATTTTTCTCTGCAGACGCTGTAGTTCTTCTGCCTTAGCGTCTCGGTCTGATTGTATTTCCTTGAAGAAATGATCATGTTTTGTCTTTTTATTGTTTTGCCCTGTTGCTTGGATTTTACTGTTATTGTTGTCTTGTTGCGCACTTTGAGATTTGTTTTTAAATGTAAAGTGCGTTACAAATAAAATCTATTATTATTATCATTATAAATGTTCTTCCTTGAGCTGCGTCACCCCGCTGTAGTCTGTAATGGACTGGTCGCTGGAAGAGAGTAGGTGAGTTGTGTTTAGTCTCTTTGCTAAAGAAATGAGTCAAAGTTAAAAAGATGTTTGGTGTCTAGTACTATGTCTGTGACCCTATATGTCCTGTTGATGAAGTTAGGTGCTGTTCTGAGCCGGAATATCCCTTTAAATACAGCGTATATGATAATAAATTAAATTCTATGTAATAATAAAATAAACTATAAGCAGTTTGTCAGTTTACCTCCTGATTATTCTGGATAGTAAACATTATTAAAGTGTTTCTGGGTAAATTATAAAGCCACACCGTCTCCAACAACAAATCAGGGATTAGCTGTAAAATTTCCCCTCATGGTTTTCTGTGTGCGGCAGATTTAATTCTGTGTGCGCTGAGATTACGCCTGTGACTGTAATCCTGTTATAATTACACCTGTGTGCTTCCAGTCAGAGACCCCCCACCTGAGAACATCCACATATCCTGTCTGCCGCCCAGTATTCCCACAGATCAGGAGCCGGACCACACTGGAGGACGAGGTAAAGTGGATGTTTGTCCTGTTGGCGGTTTAGTTACAGAGTTACGGCGAGTCTAGACTTTTGAATTAAAGCCCCTAATTTCACACATTTGTGCTTTTAATTTCCCTCAAACCAGAAAAAAAATCAACATTATACTGATGAAAAAGTCGTATAAGATATTGTTCAGCATATAAACACAGAGTAGAGCGCAGCAGTGACCTCAAACCACTTCCTGTCAGAGTGTGACCTACAGAGTCGTCCCCAGGGTGTCTTGTGTCGTCTGTAGACATGATTTATTGTGTATGTAGTTTGTGTTGTTTCTTATACGATAGTTAACGTGTTTTTTTCATGTTTTCCCAGGTGACCCGGTGGAAGAGAAAGCCGTGATCCAGACCACGCACACGCACAGAGTCACGCCGCCTTCAGTCTTCCTCCAGAGACAAGATAATGATCCTGTTTCTAGTACTTACTTTGACCAGAGGGTTCCTGTTCCCGAGGACCACAGTGAGGTAACGGTGTTATGGTAGATGCTGTCATCATCATCTTCATCTTCAGTTCAGTAAGTTACTCTATATTTGACATTATTTTTATTACCGTTTGTGTTTCTCTCTCTCTCTCTCCTCCAGAGGGGAATTAGTCTCCGTAAACTCTGGGCCTTCACTGGACCCGGGTTCCTGATGAGTATAGCCTACCTGGACCCGGGTAACATCGAGTCGGACCTGCAGTCTGGTGCTAAAGCTGGTTTTAAGGTGAGGCTGAATACTTTTTTTTTTTTTTGACAAATAAATACACGTCACCATTTTCTCTCCAAGTCCTTGTTGAGTTTGAACAAAGACCAGGAGATTTAGTTTGTAATCGGATTACAAAAGGAAATCCTTATTTGGAAATGTTCGATATTTTTCCTGAAGTGTTGAGGCGACGGCGCTGCTGCCGCTCAGTAATGAGGTTACAATTAAAACATTATCTTTATTTATTAGAATATATGAATAAATCCTGAAAAAAAAAAACAGATCTAAGGTGAGCTCTCCTCAGCTGGACCGATTTTATTTCATTTTTTATTTTTAGAAAATATTTATATTGAACATTAAGCATCACGTTTTTATCAAACAGTGCATACATTTTTTTTGAGAATGATAGAAGAAATACAGACCACAGAGCCTCCCCAGTCCATGAGCCATCTTGTCCTGGTTTGGGACGAGTCCTCCAGAATAAACTGCACATCCTTGACCCCCCACATAATCAAGAAACAGAGTCCAGACACAATAGAGCTGTCCAACTGTCCCTCTGGACCAATATGTCAAATATTCCATAGGAAGCAAATCAAATCTGACCTTATGTCAGTCAGAGACAGTCGGTGGTTTATGTGAAACCCGTTTCAATAGTTCACTTTTAGGTGCAGCAGATGTTAACACACGCCGAGCGATTTTAGGCATTCCTAAGAGGAGGTAAACTGGTTCCACCTTCATGTTCTCACTGAAAACCAAATAAAGCTCTGTGATCACTTTGATCCAAAACTCTTGAACACGAGTGTTTGACCATATTGAATCTATAAAACTGCCGACCTCCTTTCTGCGTTTGATACGGACAGCCGAGTTTTCAGGGTCCATCCTATGTCGAAGTTAAGAACGGGTCTAAAGGTGGTGTAGTAGTCTGAACTGTAACTCTTTAGTTGTAGTTTACACTCTGATATTTTACTGGCACGCTCCCATATACCTGTGTGGCTTTATTTGCTTTACTGGATTTATAGAGGTCCTCATAGCGTTGTCCTAATATTGAGAGTAATTCTTCATCTGGTGACATTTCTCTGTTAAATTTATATTCACTTTGGTCATGTATGAAGTTTGTAGCTGGACCGGTTTTAAAGAAGTAATAAATACAACAAGGAAACTCGACTTTGTTTAACCTCCTATCAGAGTAAAGATCAGACTGAAGTATCGGCAAACAAAGAGACACTTTGACCTTCTGGGACCAGGATCTGAAAATCAAACTTCCTCTAACGTTTGTTTCATTTTCAGTTCTGTGAACTTTGTAAACTATTTGGTTTTTACCGAGGCAAAAAAACTTCGATTTAGAAGTGTTTGATAATTTCTCTTGTTTTAAAACTTAATTTCTTATTTTAAGCGTTTAACTATAATCTTATATCAAGCACAAACTTATCTTTTTTTGTGTGTCAAATATGCAGGAAATCTTAAAATCAGTTAAACTCCATCTTTCTCCCAAAGTCTCATCAAAAGGAATCTTGTTTCAAGATGAACCTGCTTGGACTGAGACAGAGTTTAGTCATTCTTCACTAATACTGGGTATTTTTTCTCTAAATTTGTATTTTTTTGTTTAACTAATCTTCAGCTTAATTTGCTAAAAATAAGAAAACAAAATGTGTCAGAGCTTATATTTAGTATATTTCACTTATTTTGAGGCTGTAAAAAAGTTACTTTTTAAGTTATCTCATCTAAAAACCAAAATTTTCTCCCAATCTTAAACTTATATTTAGTACATTTCACTTATTTTTTAGGCTGTAAAAGTTAAATTTCAAGTAATCAGGTCTTAAAACCAGCATTTTATACTAATTTTATGCTTATATTTAGTATATTTAGTATATTTAACTTATTTTTAGGGCTGTTAAAGTTAAATTTTAAGTAATCTGATCTTAAAACCAGCATTTCTGTCTTACTTTAAGCTTCCAAATACATTTGTAAACATGCATATTTCTAGATTTAACAATCTTAATTAAAGAAATCTTGTCAAGTGAAGTTATTTGCTGCATGGACAGATAATTTCACTTGTTTTTTGTACCTTTTTCCTCAGATTTAGTGTTTATATCTTGTTTTTAGACCCTTCTTTTTTTGCAGTGAAGTCGTTACAAAACAGAGAATGTTTTATTTTTACAGCATCTAAAATCAGGAGTCACCTCCACAGTTATCTCAGCCCTGATTTTAACTCTCATACTACGTTCCTTCCGCCCTGTTAGCTCCTCTGGGTGCTGCTGGGAGCCACCATCATCGGCCTGCTGCTGCAGCGGCTGGCGGCTCGGCTGGGCGTCGTCACCGGGATGCACCTCGCCGAAGTCTGCAACCGCCAGTACCACACGGTGAGGAATCAGACACAGTCGATACGCAAACACAGATTTAAGTAAAACTGAAATGATGGAGTTTGACAGGAACTTTGAGGCAGCGATCAGAAGTAATCCTGGTTCGCTGTTTCTGCCTCGTTACGTAACCGGCTTTGTTCTAACAGCATCTGTAATCTGTGGATTATTTGATCAAGACCGTGACCTCGAGAAAGGTCACCAAAACTGTAACAAAATGCTGGAATTTACAGGTAGAGGCCGACGTGATTTAATGGAATATTCATGTGAATTTACACCTTAATTAAGAGCGTCGCTGCTCCTCTGATACCTGAGAGGAAACTCCAGCGTTAACCCCGAGAATGCCGATCATGTGACCCTCCTTTTCTTCTCTGTTTCTGCCCCCTGAAGCTCCTTTCAGTTTCAGCCGGAAACATCTGAACTGTTTAAAGGAGCCAAACGCAGAGCTGAGGAATGTAGATGTCTGATCCAGTCAGTCTTCATTTACATAAATCATTAAAATGTCATGGAGCAGGTTTCTAAAAATAGATCTGAATCTGAGTTTGGGATTAATGTAAGGCTTATCACGGTGTGTTTTTATGATATCATAAATGATCGTGTGTCCTCAAACAGCCACAGACAGAAGAACCAAAGGTCGACTGAGTATCCTGATGGAAAACCTGGTGTTTGTGTTAGACTAGAGAGACACGGTGGTCTCCTCCGAGGACAAGAGTCCAGTCTGTAAAATGCAAATCTCAACACGGTGTCAGGATACGACGACTTTTTTCCATTAACAACATTTTAGAGAGAAAATTTGACTTTTTACTGCTTTAAAACAGCTTCAGGCACAATTGATATCACATTTATTTTAACTCTTTTAACACAAAACTTAAATTAAATCTTCTTTTTGTAAAGAAAGGAAAATAAACCACTTAACCTTCACCTCCTTTCATTTTCAAATCTGATAACAGCTGTTTTTCTCAACTCTTGTGTCACTTGTTGTCGAGTTTTCATTCATTCTCTCTGAAGGTCGTGTAAAGTGTCTTCCTGTCTGTCCGTCAAGGTGCCTCGGATCATCCTGTGGCTGATGGTGGAGCTGGCGATCATCGGCTCGGACATGCAGGAGGTCATCGGCTGTGCCATCGCCTTCAGCCTCCTCTCCTCGGGCAGGTGAGGACAGCGGACGCGGTTTTATCAGACAGACTCCGGCGTGTTTCTTCCTGTCTCTTTGCTGACCTTTGCTGATCGCGGACAGTAAAGTCACCCCGCCGTCTTTTAAGAGTCGAGGTTAACAGCTTCATCCGGTACGACCTGACGACGTTAACAATTACTCGTGGTTTTATTTGCTTTTGTGGGTCATATAAAGATATCTCTGTCAATCTCCGGCTGTTTCACAACCACATAAAAATGTCCTCTAGGAGCTTTTTATAAATATATATGAGATTAAATCATGACTCTCTTTATAAAGTACCTGTAGAGGTTTGTTAACTGTTTAGACCGTCAGTGAGAAGAAAGACTGAATAAACAGCTGTTTTAATTTTTCCACCGCGAAACATTTAGTTGTTAAAGTTTTGTCAGAGCAAACAGACAAGAGGAAAAGCTTCGTCTGCAAGTTTCTCGCAGTAATCAGAGTTCCTACGAAAGTATGGAAATAAATTTGATCAATTTCTGGCTCTTGAAAAGTCTGGAAAAATTAAAGATAGAAGTATTAAAAATATTCATGTTTCCAGTGTTTTCTAAAATAGGAAAGTAGGTATTTCTAAATTTAATTCTAAATATTAGGGTATAGAAAATTATGGAAATTCCAACTGTGTAGGAACGCTGGAATAAAAGCTAAATTTGTCTATGGTTTAAAGGGATATTCCGGTGTAAAATTAATTTAGGGTCAAACACACCGTAACACCAAGTTAGACCCCCCCTCCAGAGATGAATGTTGTCGACCGCTTGCTTCTCTAGTTATACCAACTTTAGTAACGACCGCAGGATAGAAATACAGAGAGCCACGCCCTCAACCAAAACGCCACTCTATAGCCACAAATAATGCTCAGAACAGCACCTAACTTCATCAACAGGACATATAGGGTCACAGACATAGTACTAGACACCAAACATCTTCTTAGCTGCTTGTTTGTAGAGAGACCTCGGGCCAGTCCATTACAGACTACAGCGGGGTGACGCAGCTCAAGGAAGAACATTTATGATCATTTCTTCATGGAAATACAATCAGACCGAGACGCTAAGACAGAAGAACTACTGCGTCTGTAAAATGATTAATATGGTGATTATTACTTCAAGGAAATGATAAAGAAATGATCATAAATGTTCTTCCTTGAGCTGCGACACCCCGCTGTATGTCCTGTTAATGAAGTTAGGTGCTGTTCTGAGCATTATTTGTGGCTATAGAGTGGTGTTTTGGTTGGGGGCGTGGCTCTCTGTATTGCTATCCTGCGGTCGTTACTGAAGTTGGTATAACTAGAGAAGTAAGTGGTCGGCAACATTCGTCTCTCGAGGGGGTGTCTAACTCAGTGTTACGGTGTGTTTGACCCTAAATTAATTTTACATCGGAATATCCCTTTAAGTTTAGCATCTAAGTTGTAGATGCAAAGTGATCTTGTCTGTTCAGGCCCAGGTTTGACCTTGATCCTCAGCCACTCGGTGCATGTCACCCATACTTTGTCCACCTTATATTTGTCGTCTCTCAAAGGGACAAAAAATCTGTTTTGGGGGATAAAATGTTTTTGCATTGAAAGTGGTCCTGACTCCTGGATCTGTCCTAACACTGCATGTCAAATAAAGGAGAAACACTTATCCTGGATCAGCTTTGAGGCTCTCTTCAGTAGTTTAATTTTTCATTTAAGAACTCTAAAAGTAACAAACACTTTTGGATAAATCAGAGTGGAGTGGACAGAAAGACTCGAGCTCTTTAAATGTGGACTTATCCAGAGCTCTTGATTACTGAAGAGCTCTTTAGAGCTCTTAGATTACTTAGTTTAAGTCCACTCCTCAGCGCAGTTTAGAACTAGTCTTTTGATATCGTAACGTTGATGATTTTCTCTGTGTTTAATCTCAGGATCCCTTTATGGGGCGGCGTCCTCATCACCATCATCGACACGTTCGTTTTCCTCTTCTTGGACAAGTACGGTACGTTTTGGTTAATGTAAGGAGGAAGTTATCGCCTCAGACACGGAGAATAAACCGTCTCTATTCTGTCCGTACAGGTTTGAGGAAGCTGGAGGCCTTCTTCGGTTTGCTCATCACCGTCATGGCGATCACCTTTGGATATGAGGTACGAATGTGACTGAGGTTTTAAGAGCTTATTCCTTCTTAATGTCAAATCAAATCCCACAAATGTCTCTGAACCAGTTTTCTCATATTTGTTTGTTCAGCTCAGACGCCTTCAAAATAAAAGCATCTTCATCACCCATAAGAAGCTTTAATCTCCACTCTTCTTTCTTCCTGTCAGTATGTGGTGGTGAGTCCAGACCAAGGCGAGGTCCTGAAGGGGATGTTCGTGCCGTACTGCGCCGGCTGTGGACCGGTCCAGCTGGGTCAAGCCGTGGGCATCGTAGGAGCCGTCATCATGCCTCACAACATTTACCTCCACTCTGCTCTGGTCAAGGTGTGTTCAAGCAGCTGAGTCCTCCTTAAAAATCAGATTAATGAAGAATTTAAACGGTCAAACTTTGCCCTCGTAGTCTCGAGAGGTGGATCGCACGAACAAGAAAGAAGTCCGAGAGGCCAACAAGTATTTCTTCATCGAGGCGACCATCGCGCTCTTCGTCTCCTTCCTCATCAACGTGTTTGTGGTGTCGGTGTTTGCGGAGGCTTTTTACGGACGCACGAACGAAGAGGTGGTGAGTGTCTCTGCTGAAGCCGCTCTGTTTTCGTCTTTGGCTGCTTTTCTTCAGGATTTTCCCTTTTTTTTCCCCAGTTCACTGTTTGCAACGAGACCGGCAGCCCTCATTCACACATGTTCCCTCTGGACAACCAAACTCTAGCTGTGGACATCTACAAAGGGGTGAGTCTGAAACTGCCTCAGAGTCATCCAAACACAGCAGATCTTAAATTAAATGAAGAAAACGTGCTTTTATTTTGAAATAATCACAGAAATCAGAGCCACAGAGAGAGTTTGAGTAAAAGAGCTTTAATACACATGAAAACTCAGCTGCGTTTGAACCTGCTGAACTGCTGAACGTTGAGTCCATGTTTCTTGTTTGTGTGATGTTTAAAGAGGGTTTATGCTGCCCTCTATTGGCCAAACACGGATGCAGGACAAACGCTGAAAAATGGTGAAATTCTGATGCAATGTGGTGCAAAATGAGACCTTTAAGAAATAATAACCTAGATGTAAACGAGAGATACTGAAAACTGTAGAGCTTCAGAGGATAGAGCTGCAAACACAACCAGACTTAGACTCAAACTCCTGCTATGTTTGGAATATAACAATAATAACGGTTGAATTAAAGGTTGGAATTGTGTTGTTTGTGTGTCTGATGCAGGGTGTGGTGCTGGGCTGTTTCTTCGGCCCGGCAGCGCTCTACATCTGGGCCGTGGGGATCCTCGCAGCTGGTCAGAGCTCCACCATGACCGGGACGTACTCGGGACAGTTCGTCATGGAGGTCAGTGTGGAGCGGGAATCAAAACACACAAAATCAAACATGATCATACACGGATGGTTTTTGATTCAAGGTACAAAAATCTGGATTTTTCTGTCTTCAGGGTTTCCTGAATCTGCGTTGGTCACGTTTCGCTCGGGTGTTGCTGACCCGTTCCCTCGCCATCACTCCTACCCTGCTGGTCGCCATCTTCCAGGACGTGCAGCACCTGACCGGCATGAACGACTTCCTCAATGTGCTGCAGAGTTTACAGGTCAGTCAGGAGAGAAAGTCAGACACTAGAAGCTTCATTGAAGAATCTCTCCTCCTCTAACTGTCTGACTTCTGTCCAGTGGTCCGAATTATAAGATACAGTCCTATAAGATATGATGATATGACACAGTGTGGTTCAAAACTACAGGACATGACTCAATACTGTATCAAGAGTATGAGACGATGTGGTACAATGAGGTGTAATTTGATAAAATATCACAATACAACATGAAAAACAACAAGATGATAAGATACAACATGATACAATATTTTACAGTCGGACAAAATACAATATGAAAGGACACAATCGATACGTCATGATAAGATACAACACAGTATGATACAATAGGAGGCAATAGGTTAAAAAGTTACATTATTTTACTTCACATTACATTATGTTACTTTACGTTACTTTGTTTAAGTTACTTTGTTTATGTGAGGTTACATTATGTCATTTTAGTAGACTGAACTTTACTTATCTTTACTTTATTCAACTTTAAGTTACTTTAGATAAAGTATTATTACTCTGCGTTATGTTACCATACATTACGTTACTGTGTTATGTTATGTACGTTATGTTACTTTGTTTGTATTACTTTGTTTATGTTAGTTTACATCATGTCATTATTTCTTTACGGAACTTAACGTATCTTTACTTTATTTTACTTCACGTTAAGTTACTTTTCGTTTCTTAGGTTACTTTGTTTACATCAGGTTACATTAAGTCATTTACTTTACTCTTAACTTATCTTTACTTCATTGTACTTTACATTAAGTTACTTCACTGTAAGTTAAGTCTACATGAAGTAATTTCACTTTATGTTGCAGTATATTACGTTACTGAATGTTACGTTACATTATGTTACGCTACTATACAATACATAACAATATTGTGCTCTATGTTACTTTGTTTATGTTACTTTGTTTATGTGAGGTTACATTGTCATTATTTCTTTACTTTCTTTTACTTTACGTTAAGTTACTTTACATCACTTTGTTTACATTATTTGACGTAAAGTCAGTTACTTTGCTCTTCTTTACTTCTCTTTTCTTTACTTTATTTTACTCTTAGTTTCTTTACATTACTTTTTGTTCCTTTGCGTCACTTTACATGAAGTAATGTTGCTTTATGTTTCCGTACATTACATCACTGAAGGTTATGTTACATTATGTTACGTTACTGTACAATACACAACCTTATGTTACATTACCGTACGTTACCTTATGTTACAAAACATTTCAAAACAACACAATATAAAATCAAATCTATTTATTTAAGAATAAAAAACTTGTGCAGAGACCATAAAGAAGGTATTTCAGCAGTTTTGAAATGCTTTGAACTTTATTTTTAATAATTTGAAACAAATGACTGGATTTTTATCAAACATAATTTAGACAGAAGGTTGTAAAGATGGAGGACGCTTCTTATCTGTAATAACTGGGTAACAGGAGAAATTTGAAGTAAATTTCCTGTTGGCAAAGACTAAATTCTCTCATAAGTTCACAGAAAAACTTTCTACTTTTTAGTAAATACTTTAAATACCTTTCATCGCTGGTTTCTCTGATATGATTCTTATCTCCCCTGTTTTTCTTACAGCTTCCATTCGCCCTGATCCCCATCCTCACTTTCACCAGTCTGCCGTCTCTCATGGAGGAGTTTGCTAACGGACTGTGAGTGAAACTGGATCCTGAAACACAAAGACAACAAAGATTAATTCCCCCTCAAAAATACGTATTCTTTTGTCCTCCTCGCAGAGTTTTTAAGATCGGAGGAGGCCTGGTGATCCTGATGGTGTGCTGCATCAACATGTACTTCGTGGTGGTCTATGTGACCGCTCTGAACAGCGTGTGGCTGTACGTGTTGGCGGCGTTCCTCTCCATAGCATACCTGACATTTGTGGGATATTTGGTAGGTAACTTTAGGTCGTTCTGCTGCGGCTGAACTTCGTTCCGCTGTAAAATGAAAACTTTATTCGTCCTAACACACTGACTATATCATCTAATGTGAAGTAAAATAGAAAAGCTGAACCTGTGCTCCTTTTCCTGCTGGTGAAGTGAGAGTTTTAGGTTCAACTGGAGGAAAATGGTTTGTCCGATGAGAACATCTCAGAAATCTTTATGAAAAAAGTGAAATTATGTGTTAGTATGTCTGTGATTTTGTTCGAACGGGCCGGGACGCTCTTGTGAGATAGATTTTTGATCCCAGTGAGGCTAAATAAATGAAAAAATGAATAAGTATTACACGCTTTTAAGGATATTAGTGTCTTTATCTTTGCTTAGATTACGCACTTTGAGGACCTGAGCTGGTGGAAGTGGACTCTATAAAAGTCCTCTGAAATATGAAAACCTGATTCCTCCTATTTAAATTCACTGACATCGTCTTTGTCTTCTATGTTCGGAGACTCTGTGTGTGTTCTCTGTTTGATGGTGCGGTTTTGTGTGTCTGTCCCTTCGCTGCAGGTGTGGCTGTGTCTGATAGCTCAGGGTGTTTCTTGGTTGGATCCGAGCGCGAAGAAAGGGAACGACACGTCCGTCCTGATCCAGCGGGAGCCGGAGTTTGACTCCTGAGCGGACCCTCGTTTTGTGAGAAACCCGACTTTACTCTAAACTGTGTTCTTCTTCCTCCTCCTCCTGCGCTGCCACTCATCCGGAGTATGAGAGGTTTTTCAGGGTTGATGTAACCCGAAGGTGCATGACAGACTGAAACTGAAGAAGCGAGTTAGTCAGAAATGAACACGGCGCACAAACTTAACGTCGTCACTCCATCAATCATAGGCATTAAAAGGTGACAGGTGAGGTACACCATGTTCTGCAGGTACTTCTCTTCATGTGAAGGTTTCAGTAGCTAAAAGTGATACCTCAGGTTTTACAGATCTTCCTAAATTGTGTTTTTATTCAGTCAGACTGGAGTGGATGTGTTGGTTTTGTAGTTTCAGAGTTGCGTTTGTCTGTTTTTTGCTGCTCTTTCGTACAAATTCACACACAACTATCAGCAGATTACCACATCGGACACTTTATTTAATTTCTTACTGTTCGTTTGTGAAGAGGAGTGTGTAGAAAATCACTACCGCTCACTGTAGCATTCACAACCTTGACTTGTTGCAGTGAGTGTAAATGTCTGTTTCTGCAGACTTGGTAGAAATAGACTGTTATCTTTGTAAATATGTATAAATTAGTGCGTTATCACCTTAATTTAAAGATTATCTCGTGTTTTTTCCACTGACAAATCTTCTTTTTATGCCTCCATGCGAGCAGAGGTGCCGACCTGCACTGTCATGTTTCTACGGTAGCTCAGAGAGGACAAACTTGTGACATACTCGCTGTCAGTGCACCAGATAGAGGAAGATCCTGGTAGTTAAACAAGTGAAGGATCATTCTCACCGAGCGTCTTGTCCTCAAAGGCCACTGATGCTTCACTGATGCGAGGGGTGAGTAAGGGGGCGTTTCAGTCCAGGATCGAACCCCCAGCTAATGCAAAATATTCACATTTCTACAGACTGTGCCTCTAGAAAAACTTAAAACACGGAAAAATAAGAGAGTTTAGAGGGAGGAGGTAATCGAACTGTCTTTAACCAACCAATTATTAACAGGATCATGAAATTAACATCAAATAAACGAGGAAAAATCATCTGGATTAAAGTAAATTTCATCATGTAATGCTGTGAAAACCACAATATATTTGCACTAATTCACATAGATGTATAAATTATTACTCATTATAGATCTAAAAATGATGTGCAGCATCAAAATAACAAACTGCATAAATTAAAACAGCAATAAAGACAAAAAAGAGAGGTTATCACAGTGAAAAAGTTCTAAAAAAGTCAAATAAATGTCGACGATAAGCCTGATTAGGAAGTAGGCGCAGCATGTAGATTATTTATGATTTTCCATGTGAAGTAACGGCGTTAAATTTCACTCCAGTGTTAAAGTATCCTGAGAGGAACTTTTTAAGGGATAGTTTAGTTTTTGTAACGACTCCTCCAAAAGTAGAAACACCAAAAGATCACCTGATTCAAAGACACAGTGGTGCTATTATCCTCTTAGTCAAAGAAATATATAATAATCTAAAAATTTAACTGATAAAAGTTGTAAAAATAATATGTCAATAAAAATAAAATACAAAGAACAAATGTGAGTTTTTTTCTGACAGTCTGTTAAAAAGGTTACAGAAGTATTTATCAAATTAGATGTTAATGACATTTGCAGCTTAATTAAAGGGATACTCCGGCGTAAAATTAATTTAGGGTCAAACACACCGTAACACCGAGTTAGACCCCCCCTCCAGAGATGAATGTTGCCGACCGCTTGCTTCTCTAGTTATACCAACTTTAGTAACGACCGCAGGATAGCAATACGGAGAGACACGCCCCCAACCAAAACGCCACTCTATAGCCACAAATAATGCTCAGAACAGCACCTAACTTCATCAACAGGACATACAGCGGGGTGCCGCAGCTCAAGGAAGAACATTTATCATTTCCTTGAAGTAATAATCACCATATTAATCATTTTGCACTGCAGACGCGGTAGTTCTTCTGTCTTAGCGTCTCGGTCTGATTGCATTTCCATGAAGAAATGATCATAAATGTTCTTCCTTGAGCTGCGGCACCCCGCTGTATGTACTGCTGATGAAGTTCAGTGCTGTTCTTTGTGGCTGTAGAGTGGCATTTTGGTTTTTTTATGGCTCCTCAGACCGCTGTGTATTGCTATCCTGCGGTCATTAATAAAGTTCGTATGACGAGAGAAGCAAGCGGTCGGCAGGATTCATCTCTGGAGGGGGGGTCTAACTTCGTGTTACGGTGTGTTTGACCCTAAATTAATTTTACGTTGGAATATCCCTTTAATGTTCGTTATCTAAAAAAATGTAACTGCATCATTAACTTGGTTTTATAAGATAAAGAGTCTTTAGTAAATAAGACTTTTAGATCTCCTTTTGTGGCCTTCATTCAGGATTCTCATTTTTTTTTTATTTGCATAACCTGCAGGATCCATCTGTAGCTTCTCTTTTGTCCACCGGGGGGCGGTGCAGGCCACAGAGGACACTCCTCGGTGGATACTGTAAATGCCTCACCAACACCAGAGCAGAACAACACAACGCATTAAACGACATGGTGTGTTACATCATGTTTATGTGTTATTGCTGCAGCACAGAGACGTGGTGTTTGACGGCGTGTTCTCCGTCTGTTTGATGAAATGAGCAGCAGGGAGAGGATCTAACAGCGTGAACACTCAGATGTGTCTCCTGTGCTTCAGCTATTGTGAAACTAGGAGCAGAAAAAGCACTGCTGGTTTCAGTGTTGCTCAAATTCCAGTCCTGAAGTGCTTCAGCCTCTGAAAGCCGAGGAGAGGCGGATGGACAGGTTTTTCTTTGCATTGTGGCGAGGAAGTTTTTCCCCCTCTCTCTCTCTCTCTCTCTCTCTGCCTGTCATGGAGGGAGAGTTATGTAAGAGGGGAGAGTCTTCCCACCGCCCCTCTCTGTTTTTGTTTTTCTCAATGAGCCAATGTCTCCCTGCCTAGGCCTCACAGCCTGTCCAGTAGGCCCCTTTCCTGGAAACACAGCCTAGCAGAGGCCACTCAGGGGCAGGCCTGCTAGGTGGGAGGGTAGGGAGGGGAGGGGAGGAGGGGGGGGCTCTTCCAGCAAATCACATGACTGTAGACCCTTCAGTCCCAGCCCTTCATGAAGCTCAGATGCTGCAGGAACATTTCAACAGCTAGTTTGTCACCAACATGATTGGATGTGTCTAATGCATGGCAGAGTGTAAGTAGACGCTGTGGATTCCCAGGTGTGAAAAGTAGAAGTAGAAACACAATGCCTGATGGGTAAAAGGTGTGTGTGAGTGTGTGTGTACATGTGTGAGAGGTTAAATAGATTGTTTTGTTGTTTTATGTCAACATCACCACATTTTTTTTTTTGGACTATGCAGTCGAACTTGACGAACAACTTTTTGTAAAGATTATTTCGTCACCTTTAAATTCCGATGTTTGTTTATAAAATAATAGGATGTTCGTTATTTTAACAGTGTTGTAAATGCTTGACAATATGACAATGACAAAATGTACGAGGCAAACATGTCACAAGACTGAAGCTGCTGATTTATTCCTGCAAAAACATCCTCCCTGCATTTGTAGAAGCTGACAGCAGCGTGTTTGTTTATAACTGGGACCTGCTGATTTAATGAGCTGTAATTTAAAAGGATCATGAAATGTGATATCGAGTTGTACACAAACAGTTCCACTGAACCAACAATAAACTGAATCATGGATTTAATGTGAGTAGGATGTACGTCTTCCTTTTTCTTTCACGTCCTCAGCCTGTGATTTGTCTCTCTCCTCACCTCGTGCATTAGCTCCATCGGCCGACGAAGGATGGATGAAGCGTTAACTTGTTGCTGATGTTTTGAAGTCACATGTTTGGAGCAGGGGGTGGGGGGGTGGGGGGTACGACTGCATGGAGACCCTTGGCGCTCAGCTGCAGGGCCTCACCATCAGTCGGCCCCCAAACTTTTACTCTTATTCTGTTTTGTCTTCTCGCAGGAACGCTCGTACGGCGCAGGAAGAGGGCAAAGATAATGAATTTCAAAGTTTGATTCGGTAAACAGAGGCATCAGCTGCAAACCACATGACATTTTCCAGCTGTGCGGTCCATACTTCTTATTCTGTATATATTTTTACACGGATCTGTCAGTGCTGCCTTAAAATGTCCGACACCAGGAATGCAAACAGCCAGGCCGTTCTTGTTTATGTCTTGCATTGTGGCTGCTGTGGGCACTGGCTGAGCTTGTGGCGTAATGGTCCCACATGTGTTTGGAATGGGTCGACTCGAGTTATTTCAACTTTTTCCTAAATTGACAAGTTAATTTTATTGTTTTCCTTCTGCTTTCTTCAGCTCGAGGATGAACTTCATTGTCATATACGTCTCTGAATACACGCCGTTGCTATATCACTGTGATTTACCCCGTGGAGGTTCCTGGACTCTCAGAGGTTGAGGAGGCGCTGCAGAGGCTCCGAGCTGTAAATATAAATATCTGGAGACCCACTGGTTGACCACACTGCCTAATATGATGTCAAACCCACTTGTGTTTATTTAAACAAGGTACAACAAATGAGTTTTAGTTCTGGCTGAGAGAAAATGACTATACTCAGTGTGCTGAAAAATTAGTATAAAGTACCCAGAACTCCTCTGCAGCTGTAAACAACTTCATTTTCATTTTCAGCATTAAAAACAGCGACTGTCGATGTATTTTTTCCTGGTCAAACGCAGGATCCCAGAGTCTGATCAGAGTTTATTTGATACGATGCTGTTTTTACATGATGCAAACATCATGTAATGTTTATAACCAGCAGTCTCACAGTAAAACAACTGCATTAGAGCCGTTACTGTTTTTATACGTAGTCAAATCCCTCTGCAGTTCGTCGGGCAAAACAAGTGAGTTTCATTTCACTGTTTACTGAGAGCAAAGGAAAGCAAAAGGAGGGAGAAACTGAAAGGAGCCTGCAGGGTCACTGGTTTCACTCTGCCCTCTGTTACCCTCATAAAATACTGAGGGACAGCAAGCGTTTATTTCTGCATGAAGCAACAAAATTCATCTGACACGGAGGCTGTGGGAGCCCATGAGGAGAAGGAGACCTGGAAACATCTGCAGAGTGACTACATGCTTTACAGGTACACTAAAAATCTACAACCCTGGATTCAGAACAGTTGTGAAGCTGTTTAAAAAGTCACTTAAAATCATCTTAATGGTAAACAAATCCTCTAAACCCTCCGTACGACTAAAAAAGTGTAAAAACAGCTCCTCAAATGTCGACACTCAAAGATGTTTTATGAAAATATATGTTCATTGTGACAAAACACTCGGGACAGGGGCGTGTTTACCATCGTGTTGCTTCACTTTCTTTTCGGAACAACACCATGTGAACGTTCAGTTTCTGGAGGATTCTTGCATCATATGGGATTTTAGCTGTTCAGCTGATAGTTGGGGATTTCCTTTCTTTCATTTATTGGTTTTGTGATGAGCCAAATGTTTTCAATGGGTGGTAAATCAGGACTGCAGGTGGGCCAGTTTAGCACCTGGACTTTCTACTACAGTTTGGTTTGGTCTTGCTGAAAGAGTCATTGTCTGGATGGCAGCATGTACCACTCTGAAAACTGTAAATATCGTTCAGTATTAATGGTGCCTTTCCAGATGTGTAAACCACCCATGCCTTGGGTATAATGGTGTTTCTGGATTATGTTACATGGTGAAGTTTTAACCTGCATTTGTGTTTGCAGCAGTTTTGTTTTGTTGTTTTTTTGGAACTGATATTAAGCCCATGCAGTGATTTCCACTACAGAATTATGACCATTTTAAATACAAACCACCTTCTTTTTTAGCACAACAAAACCTTTTCAGAGTTGAGTTGTCCTTCTCCAAACTGTGTGGAAATGTGTTGTTGGCATCAGACTTAAACTGTGCAGATATGTTTCACAAATAACAATAATAATTTAGAGTTTTAATGTTTGGTATGTTGTCTTTGCTCTATACTTCCAGGTTTATCTGGTTTAAGTAATTTAAAAATTATTTAAATCAGTTTTGGTTCATATTTAACACTGTCTTCAAATGCATGGACACATCTGGATTGGACATTTTGAATAATATCTCCAATAACACAATATGTGTTGTAGGAATTTGACTTAATATATCCCATGATGAACCTACTTTTGCCAGCCAACAGTGATTATTAATCAGAGGTAATATTATTACATTTTCAAAGGGAAATGAGACGTCTTTTTGTCCTCTAAAGTAACTGGAAAATGCACATCTGGTGACCTAAGGGTACTAACCTTAATAACAAACATTATGAGCATGGGTTAAGTTTTTAGGGGGAAATGTACTTAGTCTTATCTGATGATATTGTAGTCTCAGTTTTCAGAGTTGAGTTGTTCTTCTCCAAACTTTGTGGAAATGTGTTGTTGTCATCAGACTTGAATTGTGCAAATATATCTCCCAAATAACTGTGATAATTCAGAGTTTCAATGTTTGGTGTCTTTGCATTAGTTTCATGTTTATCTAACTATTTAAATCAGTTTTAGTCAATATTTAACACGGTCTTCAAATGCATGGTCACATCTGGATTGGACATTTTTTATAATATCTCAAAAAAACACAATATATGTTGAAGGGGTTTGACTAAATATATCCTATGATTAACCTACATTTGCCAGCCAACACTGATTTTCGTGATACTATTATTAATCAGAGGTAATATTATCACGATTTCACAGAGATAAGACGTCTTTTTAATTGGAAAACACACATCTGGTGACCTGGGGGTAATAACCTTAATAACAAACATTATGTACATGGGTTAAGTTTTTTGGGGAAATGTACTTAGTCTTACCTGATCGTATTGCAGTCTCACTTTTCTTTAAAATTATTGTAAAAGTCTAATTATTGTCTAAAATCTACGAAAAGTATACTACAAATATATTAAATGTGCGATTAAATATCATTTTAAAAAGAAAAATAACCATCTCGACGTCCAATTCAAAATTTTAAATATATATTTCTTCTTTAATCTTAATTTAAGTGATATTAAGTGTTTCTAATTGTTTATTTGTGTATTTTTAATGATAATGTACCAACACTGTGAGCTCATTTGGACGAGCAGCGTTGGAATGTGTTCGCTGCGGAGCGTGCAGGACGGGGAGGAATGCCTCTGACCACGCCCCCTCTCCGCCCGGGCGTCCAATCCGGGAGCGGCGACGGTTTCAAGGCACCCGCGGAGTCCCAACCGTAGAAAAACAAAGCGTCGGTTAACAACAAAACTCACATTTAACGTCTCCGAACACACGGGAATCCGTTTATTTCCGTCGAAAACGACTCCAGCGAGCGATTCCGAGTGTTTTTCGTCGCTCTAAAGGGCCTTTCCGGCGATGTTGTTTATCTGTAGTAAGGGGGGCCTTGAAACCGGCCTCCCTTGCCCCATTTCCTCGGTTGTTTTCCTTCTCTCGCCTGGATTCTCCATGTTGTTGGTGCAAGAGTGAAGACTTCGCAGCGACGGGAGAGAGAGAGAGAGAGCGAGAGAGGGGGGCTGCTGCTCGGTGATATTTCCACTTATAGTCAGCTGTAAAAACCCAAGACTAACGGGGCGGAAGGACCCTTTAAACAGCCCCTCCGTAAACATATACAAGTGCCTTTCCCCCCTCCCCGAGAGAGGACCGAGAAAGAAGAAGAAGAAGCAGAAGTAGCGGGGGAATAAAGAAACCCAGGAACAAGATAAACCCCACTCGCATCGAGGATTGTAACTGAGGCGGATGACAAGTTACCTCGGTGAATAATTGAGTCCACTCGCGAAGAGAAGCCAATGAGGGATGCCCATCAGTGCTCGCGGACAGGATTTGAGGATTTTGAGGGCTCCGTGATTGTCAGATGGAAAGTTCTGTTATCACCCAAGTGCAGAAAGAAGACGTCCAAGTGTCACCGAAAACAGGTGAGAAACGGGCTCCATTTTACCTCAAAGGTGTTTAAATCTCATCTAAGGTGTTAAATGTTCGGTTATATTCGCGCTAATATGTTTAGGAGTGCGCCTGTTTGACAGTTGAGCGATGCGGACGCTGGTTGAGCGCGATTTGAGGCGCATTGCCCCCTCCCCTCCCCTCTCATATTTTTACACAACCAGGCTCCTATATTATTTACAGCCTCAAACCCTCAAAATAACACAGAAACGAGCGTGAAATCCTCCCGTGAATCAAAATAAACATCTCAACTTGGATTTTACACCCATGCGCCATGCACAACTTCCACCGTCTCCATTTTACGCACAGAATTTGCCATCTTGTATTTTGTGCTTTTCTTAACACATGTGTTGTTGTGATCAGAGAGGCTCTTCTTCTTCTTGTTCAGCTCTCCAAAAAGAGACAGACAGAGAGAGAGCGAGCTGTGGGTGCCTGCCTGCCGTGTATGTATTTATGTGGATCAGGTTCCAGCTTGTTTGGCACCATCCCATATCCTCCTACTACAAGCAGGTAGAGCGCGAAGAGCTCGTCTGTCACCACAGGCAGCAGCAGCAGCAGCAGCAGCAATGTAGTACAGAGAAAAACAAGCTGTTAGAAACTATATTTAGTGCTGTTTTGTGAATAGATTTCGCAGAGAGGATGGGGGGAGGTGGGTCGTGGATTTGCGCTCTGCTGCTGCTGCTGCACTGTCCTTACATTTGCTTCATATTTTTACCAACACATACTAAATCCATTTGTTGTATTGGGGGGGTCTGAGTGGTTTCTGATTAACAGCAGGACTGTGGAAATACCAGGTGCCGCGGTGTGACAGCGGAATGCACAAACACACCCCTCTGCACACGCCCATTGTAGCGCCGTTTCAAAGATTTCGTTGTTTGCACGCTTTGAAAGAGGCTTTGCTCATTGACTCCCAGCTCTCCACTTTGGAGGTTAACATCGTGCATGTTTCCATTTTGCAGGTCCTCATGTTAGAGAATAATTAACAGCGTCCACACAGTGTTTTCTGCATGCTGGATTTGTCTGCAGGATTAATCTGCTCCTCTCTATCCTTTTACATGAAGGGGAGATGTAATGCATGTGTTATGTCATACATGCCAGTGCTGTCTTCCTGAGGGAAATCAATAAGCTGACTGGATTCATGGGATATAAATCATGTGGATTGTATTGATTATTGTCTGAGGACATCTGAGGAATCACAGAATTAAAGCTCCTGTCTCCTTTTTGTTGTTGTTGTTGTTGTTGTTGTTGTGTAATCACAGTTGGAGCCCTGAGGGTCAGCCTGCTGGACTCTGTAGATTATAGTGAAAAAATAAATCTCTCAGCATTCACTTGGCCGGCACACTTTTGAGGGTTTATCAACAGTTTCTCTTTCGAGTAAGAGTCGAGTGTGTGTGTTTACAGTTTTATAACATATCGACGGGTTCGAATTCTGCAAGTCCTCACAGGAAACACACCAGAGGGGACTGGCAGGAATGCTCCTCGTCTCCCTCTTAACAAGTCTCACCAGTATGGGGCTGGGACTCTGCTGGTTCCAGAGTCTGATCAAAGACCTGCACAGGTCACTGAGGTGTGACTGCTGGTCCATCTCACTGCCCGCCTGTTTCTCTGTCTCTCTGTGCAGCGTCTCGCTCTTTAAAATGGTTGGAATGTTTTCTGTCTGTGTTTTCTGTTGAAGGTACTGCTGAAAAGTGTGGGTTTTCCCGCCCTCTGTGATTATATAACATGTACCAGCCATTTCCAGCAGCAGCAGAGGCAGGCGCATTAAAAACAGATTTCATGTGCAGGCTGTGCCATCCCCCTGTAATACATAGATGGATGGTGCCTCTGGGAGAGGGGAAGCTCTGTTTTTCAATCAGGCCTAATAATGGAGAATTGGGAATATTTGATTGAGCAAAAACAGGCAGAAAGAGAGAAATGCGATAAATGACAAGAGTGTCGACACGACAAGATCTGAATCATGTGCACATCTCCTTTACTCTTAATACTTCTTCTTTAACGCACATTAATGTTGTTTTTAGTGTTTAATGTTTCCTAGTTTCTGCTGTGAGTTCTCATAGGATCATTTTTCACCCTTAAAGCTTCAGTGAGGAGTTTTGAGCTGGTTGTGAAACTGACTTACATGAATTTTGAAAAACAGATGAGAGCATCTAGAAGAGGAGGAGGAGAGGAGGGGCTGTTTTTTTTTCTGTACGGGTATTTTAATGTCAGAAAACGCTGGCGGCAGGTACATGTCAGACCAAGAGTTCAACTGCAGATACGGTTCGTGTCACATGTTCCTCTGCAGAGACTCTCGAAGGTGTTTACACACACAGATAAGACGTCTTCACACACCAAAACAGTCAAGTGCCAAACTGGTCGTATTTCAATCAATAAAAACATGGAAAACTTAACATCTCTGCACCTTTTGTGTGAACGCTTCATCTTCTTCTTGTAAACAATAATGCTGTTTTACTTCGGGGTGAACTTCTGGGCATGCACAGACCTCGTGTCACTCTTGAACTCTTAAAAATCACTCCCCAAACGTTTAATCCGACCATGACGAATATAAAACACCTGAACTATGTTGACATGTCGTTTAAAAGTCCAGCTTTAGTGAGGCTAACAAAGTAAATGGATTTTTTTAAACATTGTGGAAATGTTTGGAGTGATTTATCCAGTAAATAATCGCCAAATAAACACAAAAATTCATAAAAATAATGAGAAAACAGAGGATTGAATCTTAAACTAATGTAAGACAGAGGGTAACTCCTCATTCGCTGATCTGAGTTCAGTCAGAAACTATCATCATGTGTGGGAGGAGAGGCCAAATAATCCGGAAAGATCTCCATTTGTTGAAAACCAATTAGAGGTTTAATCTGTCGTCACCCCTCCGCTCTCTGCAGCAGGATCTCGTACATGTGTGTCCGCGTCTCGCCTCCGTGTTGGCGACTCATAAAAGTGTTTTTTTCCCTCTCTGTGTGTCGAACAGGCCAGGTGAGCCGCTCTGCCCTGAAACAGCCTCGGAGTTGTAACATCTTCAAAGCGCTCTTCTGTTGCCTCCAAGCTCAGGATGGCCCCAAACCACCGCCACCACTGCCGCCGCCTTCCCAGCAGGCCTTGCTGGAGTCGCAGGAAAATGGGACGGTTGTCAAGGTAACACCATTCCAGCAAGATTTCACACCACTGAAAACAATTTGAGAACCTCAGCTCGGTCCCTGCCTTTATTTTTGTTTGTTTAAGAATCACTTCCTTGTTGCGCCCACGCACACACACACGCACACACACACACATATAAACTCACACACACATAAAGGAGGAGGTGTTTGGATAGTTTGACCATCTGTAGGATTGAACACGCTGCTGTAAAAGTGCACTTATCATTATCTTCAAGCGTTCTTTTTTTTTCTAAAACCCCGAGAGTGCACCTGCTCCGAACATCTTAAAAGCAAACCGCAACTGTCTGCGGATATGGAATCACTTTGATGCTCACACTTGATCCTCTGGGGAAGATATGACAGAGCGACTCCCAGTCCTTCAGGCGGATGTTCACACAGAGAGAGAGAGAATGGTGTATTGTTAACCAGTAATTGCTGAGGTGGGGAAAATAAAGCCATAAAGCGGCTGCTGCGCACGCTGGCGAACGCTGTCAGCTAGAGAAGCCGTGTGAGGAGCATCTCAGCGAGGGCGCCATGTTTGTAAATGTTTCACAAAAGCAGAAAACATGTTTCGGATCCAAATTAGGAGTTTTCTTTCTTTGTATGGAGCTCCTCTAAATGGATAATCTGTTTGTGTTATGTAATATATTTATAATGAATGTCCGTTTGCGCACACTCAAAGTGAAACAAAATGAGATCGTGTTCCTGTGCAGGTGGATCTCTGCAAGTGATGCTTTAGGGAAGTTTAATGAAATCCGTCGGATATGGAGGCCGCCACAAAAATAATAAAGCTCACAACACATACATGAGCGCTGACAGTTTAATTTCCCACAGGTGAAGCCAAACGGCGGCCGTGATATTAGGATTAATCAGGCTCATTAACTCCGAGAGCAGAAGACATTGTACAAGTGTGTGTGTGTTTTTGTGTGTTTGTGTGAAAGTGTTAAAAGAAGTCTCGGTGTGTCTCCTCAGCCGTGCGAGCCCAGCCTCCTGCCTGAGGTGGAGGCCCAGGACGAGGGGAAGATCTGCGTGGTCATAGACCTGGATGAGACCCTGGTGCACAGCTCATTCAAGGTATCGAGTCAGAGTTTATTGAAAACACAACAGCTGTAGAGCAAATATGGTTTAAAGACACAGTGAATAACAACAACTGGGAGTAGAATATGATTGGATATAAAACATCAGGGTGTCACGCTCAGCTGGTATTAAACGCCAATGCAAAGAGATGGTTTTAGGAAGAATTGGGATAATCAGAAACATCTAATTCCTCTTTATTCGCCTCATTTTTATGTGCTTGTTATTGTCATTTTAGCACAATAACAACACATGTTCATTTCTGTGTTTGTTTTAGAGCTGCAAAAATGACAAACGGATTAAACTGTTCATGAACTTTTTGAACAATCTGGTCTTTAAGATCGAAAACACCGACTTCAGATGTTTCCACCTTTAAATTTGGTCGGTTATTCGGCTTGTTACGCATCAAAAAACAGAGAAAATCTGTTTGAAATTCAGTGAAAAGAAAAGTCTAATTTTGTCAGTTTGACCTCTTCAGTTTTTAAATTATATAACATGCAAGAAAATGGTGAAAACAACATCAAATATCTTTGGTTTATTTTCATCAAGGAGGAAAAGAAACCTGAAAATACTCACGGTTAAGAAGCGATTAAAATATCAGGAGATTAATTTAAGAGTTTACAACTTATCGATAAATCTTTTTAAGTTTGCGCGTTAATCCCAGTTTCTCCCTCACAATCTTTACATGTGTTCAAAGAACATTTAGAGGATTATTTAGTGTTTGTGTAGGCCGTGCGCTTTGATTTATAGCAGCCGTGCAGAGTCTGGTTTTGAGTGTTCACTTGTTATGTAATGCCATGTGAATGTACACAGCGCGGCTCATGTGAACGAGCATGCCAACCATCTCCCTCTGTGTTCTCCCTCCAGCCTATTAGTAATGCAGACTTCATCGTGCCTGTGGAGATAGAGGGGACCACACACCAGGTAAAACTACTGTGTGTGTGTGTGTGTGTGTGTGTTTGCTGTGGAGGAGGGGAGGGGTTTGTATATGTATGTTGATGTGTTTGCAGCGGTTGCTGAGCTAAAAAAAGGGATGGGTCTTGTAACTGATCAGCCTGGTTTTTGCTGTGACGGGACCACAGAGCCCTCTACTGACCAGATGTTGAACAGAAGCGGAAGCATCAGTTAAAAAAAAAAAAAAAAAGAAAGAGTAATTTTAAAAAATGTCACAAAGAAGTGTTAAACCGACTCTGAGGAGGAGAAGAGGAAAAAAAAAAAGACTCCCTGCCTCGCAGAGCGCAGCCGAGCCCTGTGGTGTCGAGCGTCTCCTCGTCGGACATGTGGAAATGTAATTAAGTCAGAAATGTGATTCCCTGGACCCCGTGTGCTGGATCCTCTGTGGGCCTCTGCCTGGTTCAAGTAATCCAGGATAGGCTGGTTAACACTGGCACGGCCTATTCTTGATTACTTGTTTCAGGAACTTGCCATTAGCAGCAAACGGATGAAGAGACGAAGTTAATGGGACTTAATGTAAAGAGGTTAAAATGATGCTGCTGCTGCTGTGGGCCGCTCCCTGATGGTGTGTCTGTTTGCAGGTGTACGTTCTGAAGAGGCCGTTCGTGGACGAGTTCCTGCAGAGGATGGGAGAGATGTTTGAATGTGTGCTGTTTACAGCCAGTCTCGCAAAGGTACCCCACTTCAGAGAGATCCTCAAAATAGATCTTTATATGTTATTCAGCTTTGATTTGATCTTTGATGTGATGTCTGATCCATCAGATGTTCTTCTGCTTCCTCTCGCCTTTTAGTTCTCCTTTTTTGTTTTGTTTTGTTGGAGCAGCTGATGAACACGCTGTTAGTCAGCTTATAGTCGACACCCTGCTTATGTTTTGTTTCCGTGCTTATCTGGAGCGGGTTACAGCAGCAAGTTAGACTCAAACTCTGAATTTCAAATCATTATTTTAGTCGGTTATCGACAGACGATAAAAACAGCTGGACAGAGAAGCCTCTTCGGTCAAGTCGAGATGCCAAAGACGTGCAAATAAAATAGTAAAAGGACAAAAAACAAGCAAACAACACTTCAGACGGGGGGCTGTAAACTGCCTGTTTACATGGTGAGGGAAAACAAACTAATAAAATGTGAGCATTAGAGCTGCGCACTTAATAGCAAAATAATCAAAACCGCAGCATGACTAAGTGCTTCATCCAAACTGATAAAGGTGAAATATGACTCCGGCGCTGCAGAGTTTGTTCCTCCAAAGTAATAAACCGTGTTTGCTCGACGCAAACCCAAACGAATATCTCAACACCAGGATTTGACTAAATTTGGAGGCAAAATTTCATCATCAAAACACCAAAATGTGAAGCGTGTCCCAAATGAAATATCTGCAAAATGAGTTTTGGATCATATTTTACAGCCTGTAAACACAATAATGTAACAAAAGCTTGTTATGGGGTTGTATTTGTGGTTGAACATGAAATGAGATGACAACAGAAGAGGGAAAAATGCTTCTTCGAGGTGCTTCTTTTGTCTGAAACGGAGAGACACCTTCAAAATTACAATTAATGCAGAAAATTATGACTCCTCAGTAGCTAGAATCAGTAAATACTTGACATGTCTGCTCCATTTTTTTTAAAATAACAGATCTCCTTATCGAACAGGCACCTAAATTCAATCGATCACTACGAGAAAGACAGCTGTGATCAAATATTTACACATGCCAGCAGCTGCAGTGAAATACCTGCATCAGAGAGCTCATGTTACCCCGCCAAAATAAGAGCCTTTAACACGGACGGTAAAGAGGTACCCGAGTTTGTAGCCTCTGAGTTTAAGCTCTTGATTCTGGACATCTGTTCACTGTTTTGTAATCTCCTGTTTTCAGTGATGGTGCAGATTAAAACAGCTAATTAAGAAACAAACCCAGAGAGTTTAAAATCAGTCAACCATCAATGTGTATCATCAAATCAAGACCAGGTCTAAAGACAGCTGAGTGACCCGCTCCAGATTTCTTGCTGTTCAAGAGTCCATGAGTAGAAAGTACTTCATTAGTCCGACCTCACTCCTCCCTGCTCTCCCTCTCCTGCTCCCTCCTTCTCCTCCCTCATCCCCCGTCAGTACGCAGACCCGGTGACGGACCTGCTGGATCAGTGCGGCGTGTTCCGGACCCGGTTATTCCGGGAGTCGTGTGTTTTCCACCAGGGCTGCTATGTCAAAGATCTGAGCCGCCTGGGCAGAGACCTTCACAAAACCCTCATCCTGGACAACTCTCCTGCCTCCTACATCTTCCACCCAAATAATGCTGTGAGTTTGTGTTTGGAGAAACCATGATTGAACAAATACAGCACCAGGTCTTAAACTTTACCTCCTCTCATCTGAAGAGGGCTGAAAAACATCCGGTACGGGGTTTATTTTTATAAAACTGTGGTGACTAATGGACAAAATAATGATGTGAATAAGAACTTGTTCACACTCAGGTCTGGAGAGTATTTTTCTCCAGGTTTGTTCTGGATATTTAGCTCAATATTGAGTTTTAAATAAATAATCATAGTAATGAAGTGATCAAAAAGCTAAAAAAAAAATAGCAGATTGGAGAGATGGACTGTTTTCTAGATTTCTCCAAATTTGTGTCACAACTGATGATTATTTTCATCAGTAAAAAGACAGCAGAGCATTTTCTCAGCAACTCCCACTGAGACGAGTCACTCGTACAGTTGTGATAGTTTCTGAAGTGCTAATGAAGCAGCTGAAGTTCTCAAAGCTGCGAGAGATGCTAATTGTTTCATAGTCATCTTCTTTTTTCTGTTTCTGTGAATCTTAAATCAATCATCTTATTTTTCCAAGAACATCCAAAATATCTCCCCAGAGCCCGAGCTGACCGAAGACGGTTTCTTATTTCATCGGGAAAACCTTGTCCAGCTCTTCGGATTTAAAAACAAGCAAATTGTTCATCAGTAATCGTGAATGAATGAATTTAGACACGCAGGACTGTTCAGATTAGATAATTTTTATTTTCTTCTTGAAATTCATCCGTTTTGAGTACCTTTGTTTTATTTTCCCGTCAGGTTCCTGTGGTGTCATGGTTCGACGACGTGGATGACGCTGAGCTGCTACACCTCCTGCCTGTGTTTGAAGAACTAAGCCAAGCTGATAATGTTTACGAGCGGCTGGACCAGCTCCGTGGACAGTAAAGAAGCTCTCAGAGGACCCGAGCGGCTCCCGTCAGAGCTCCGGCTTGAAACTTCTTCAGCGACAATAGAACTTTTTTATATCTAGAATAGATACTGAGAGTTTTCAGGAGCTGTTCTCCAAGCCTCCGCACAAATCCTCTGTTTAGTAAATCGTATTATCTCGGGGTTAAGGAAATTCCAAGGCTGTAAAACACAATGTGTTTGGCTTAACTGAAACTATAGATCGCAATCTGAGGCCTTTCCTCTGAACCTCAGTGCTGACATTATTGACAACCACTATTTGAAAGCACGATGAGAAAGAGCGGAAAACAACAACCAAAGCAGTCCCATCACAATCACTCCGGTCAAAGTAAAAGTGGTTCTTTTGCCAAAGCAGAAGCCTGCCTGCCCTGACTTGACTTTTTGGACATTGTTTTTTTATGATTGTGCCTTTGAGGAACAACAAGAAAAAAACATCAGCTCTTTTTTTTAAATTTCCACAAGATTTTATACATTTATTGATTTCTTTTTTATAGGTTCTTTTATAAGGAAATCTATTTTTAAACCGTGAACATGGTTCCTCTATGCAACCCATGGACAGTACCTCCTGATAGCCAGTCAATAATTGCATTCAGCAGATGTAAACATTACTGTGTCGCCTTATTTACCTGTAAATGAGCAGCAAAACAAAGTGTATTTTACTTATTTGTACCATAAACTAAATTTCTACTCAATGAATATACATCATTAGTGGTCGGGTTTGATGTGATGTAAGTAAACAGGGTGAAATCTTGTCTTTGATGGTCCGTTGAAAGCAGACACACTGGATTATGATGGCACATAGGACAAACAGAAATGCCACACTTTTCAGTCAAGGTTTTCTAATAATAGTTCATTGTTATCATGTTTTTTCTTGTATTACTATATGACAAAAAAAACTTGCACTTGTTTTATATTGACAGTGCTGAAAGTAAAAAAATACTGTGCCTTGGAAATTCGGACAGAGAATGGTGTTCTGCCTGAAAAGAGATTCGTAGGCCTACACAGTCTGATGTGTCATGCTGAGCGTGAGTAAACACTGTCAAGAGCAAGTGTAATGCCATGTGGCTGTGGTACTTGCAGTGCAACACTTGAAAAATATCAAATTTGATTTTTTTTAAGCATGTGTGAGCGTTTTTTTCTGTATTTATTGGCCAAAAACATGTGTTGTCCAGTACTTCTTAATGCTTAACATTTTGTATTGTAATCCATTCGCCTACTCTGAGGCTGGCCTTTTGTTTAACTGTTTTATCTGTGCCTCTATTTGCTGTTAAAGCTCATGGATAATCCAAAAAAGACATCAGCAGTTAAATCACATACATGTAAAATCCAAAATCCAATCGTGCAAGTTTTTCTTCCTCTTTTAATTTTAGTACTTTGAATGTTTTGTTGGGGGTTTATGTCTGGTTATTCTGTTCTTTCTATGATGTTTAATGTCTGCTGCAATTATTGCCTGCATGTTAACGAGTAAAATATGACAATGAAATTGTGCCAGTTGTGATGACCAAAAGTATTTGTTGAGACGGTCACAATTTGTCTTTGTGCATCAAAATAAATCCAAAAGTCATTTTGTCTACATGATCTGACCAAAACGCTAAAAGACAAGGTGCTGCCAGTTTTTATTTTCTAATAAAAATTGGTTGTGTTTAAACCTTTTTGTGTGTGCCTTGTTCCACTTTTTAAGACTTCGAAAGTATTAAATAGATTTTGTTATTCAGCTTCTTTGAATCAACAAATTATCTAAGAAAGTGTCCTGTTTGCCAAGATTTAAAGAAAAGGGATTTATCTTGACTTATAACAGTTATATTCATGTCAGCATCACATTTTGCGTGGCTATTTTTTGTCCTAAGTATGAGTAATAATAAAATAAAATTAAAAAATATCACCATATAAAAGTTTTGAGAGAGCGATTTTAAGAAGTTAATCAGTTATTTTTTGAATAACATCCATTTGCAGAACTTTTAAATAGTGTTACACTTTGTACTGATTGTTCAAAGTTTAGTATTTGATCATTATAAGTCCAGCAACATTTGTTTATGTGAAATACACTAACAAGCTCACACGTCAAAGAGGTCGCCCGTTACAAACATGTTGCACGTAGTTGCACTCTATATCAATCTTTAAACTCGTACGCTTACTTTTTCCACTTTCATCATCATTTTAACTCGAATAAACGCATGAAATGTTCATCTTTGCTTCCATACAAAATCTAAACGCCTAATGCGGGAAACATTCACCCTAATTTTGGAAATATCTCTTAAATTCAATGTTTCGCTTCCAACCGTTCATAATGGTGTATCTACGTTAGAGAGTCGGCCATTTTAGGTGTACCGACGAGGCTAGTCGGCGACACCAGGAAGTAGTTTTAATGACATAAAGCACCTCGGAAATGGCTCTTTGTAAAGGATTATAAAAATATGTGCCAAAAGTTTCAGAAATGTGTTATTTTTATTTCTCCTTTATTCGAAACGTTGTACAAATGGCTCTATTTCCGGTTTTACCTTTTCGATAAAGAACTACAAATTTCTGGGCGTTTCCGCGGTGACGTCATGTGAGCTGACTGACACGTCCTGTTTGGTAGTAGAAAAAAAAAGTATATAACAGGAAGAAGAAAGAGGCAAACAGACAGCTCAACCCACAGGAGAGCCAAGAGGTAGGGCCGCTATATTAACATTAACATCGGTGAGGTATATTTATGTGTTATATTTACTGTAAGTTAAGCAGAATATACGGCTGAAAGAAGGAGATATCGAGCTGTTTTGACTGAGGAGTTTACGGCTGCTCGGCGTTGAGCTAGCGGCTACACGTTAGCAACATTAGCCGCTAATATGATCCTGATCTCATGCGTCAGACATTTACAGCTGTTGATCAGTGGACTAAAACAACATTTATCGATAAAGTACAAAGCTCCGAATCATCGATATTAGCTAAAAGCTTTCACACGAGTCTAAAGCATGTCATGAGGCAGCCTGTTAGCTCGGTGAACGGGATTTCGTGCTGGTTGTAAGTCTTTACTTTTAACGCTGTTGGATAATTAAAGATGTTAAACTCTTTATGTAATCAAACTGAGAACTTTCAGCCGGAGACATTTGTGTGTTATATTATTATAAGTCTAAATACAGTCATATAAAGTTAAAAATTTCAGTAGAAGTCCTAAAATAACTGCAGTTTGACGGCAGTTTTTGTCATAATGCTCCTTATTAGTAAAACATTTTAAGTGAAATTAAGTGCATTAATTTATTCGTACACCTTCTCGATTTAGAATATGATAAAATATGTTTAAAATGTTGAAAAAAGTGCAATAAATTACAAAGCAAGACTTCAAAACTTTGTCATAAACATGAATCAGATATAGTCTAAAAATGCTCAAAATGAAAACGAAACAATAACAGACAAAGACTCAAACAACTTGGACCAGATTGACCTCAATGTGTGGAAAGTTTGTGTCATGAATCATGTGTTGAACAACAATAGTAGACGTCTTTAATTGTGTAATTTGACTGCTCTAGTGAAGAACCACATTATTGTAAATTATTAACCCTTTTCACACACACTTGGTTAAAATGTTGGATGTGTCAACATGAAACACGGGCAAAGTTTAAGACTGGGAGGTTAATTTGTGTCGCAGTAATCCCAGGATCGGACCGCAGGCTGCTCATTATGTGTTTCAAATTAAGTGAGAGGGACATGAGATTTGTTTTATGTGAATCTCTGTTAATGAGCGTTATAAATGAGACACCTCCCACACAAACAAGCTGGTACTGTCCCAATCAACAAGCTGGATTTCTTTTTTTTGTTAAAGTGTGCCTTCATTTTACTTTTTTTATTTTTATGTAACAACAAAACAGTGACAAAAAAAAGAACAAAAATACTTTTGTGAGGGAGGGGGAAAGAATATGTATAATAGAGAATTAAAAAAAAATGTTAGTTAGATTACATTGAAATATACACATAATAATAAAAATAATAATAATAACAATATATACATACACACATACTGGTACTGTTGGTGCTGTCCCAATCAACAAGCTGGATTTCATAGACTTGGTAGCATGGCAGCAGTGGAGGAGGCTTATAGAATGCTAGTTTGGTGTCTTTTCAGAGAGACCAGCCTGAGATAAAGAGTTTGTTGACACTTGTAAATCTTGTAAAGTGAGCAGAAAGATGACCTAAAGCTTCAAAATGAGTGTGTGTCCAGAAAATCTCCATCTTGAAATTCAGCGTCATCTCTTTAACTTCTGTTCGTAGGAGACCGCATCTTCAAGACTCTCTTTGGATCCGATCCCTGGTTCCACCATGAACGTGTTCGACCGCAACATCAACTTTGACGCCCTCTTCAAGTTCTCCCAGATGTACGTAAGCTCGCACGCCGCTCAGAGCTCTGTCAGTCAGTAATGAATATTATCAGTTACATCTTCAGTTTCCATGACTCAGCCCTTCTCATTCACTCTAATCTGTGTTTACAGATCCCATTCAACCCAGGTGCACCTGAAGAATGTGTACTCCTGCCTGGCTGTTTGCATGTTTGTGGCTGCAGCCGGCTCCTACGTCCATGTCGTCACACGCCTCTTCCAGGTAGTTTTAGCTGCAAACAGAGTCTTTGAGGAGATTCTTCACAAAGTTCAGACAATAGTATATTATCTACTTTATCTGGTTTAATGTGTACGCCACCGTCCAGTTATGATCGTGGTTAAAACAAAAGCTTCACTGACAGGAGAAGTAGATGGTTAATTTTGAAGCCTAGATTAGCAGCAGGATTTCACCTCAACAACTGTAGTGAAAAAACTAAATTACACTATCACTGTGTTTATTTTTTCACACAATATTAACACAATATATGACTTAAGTCGGTAGCTAACCAGATATAAAGCATCTCTCTCCGTGTTTTTTGTCAACACTCAGCTGATGATTACATACCAAGTTGCTTGTTTACCTCCATTTCTGTGTCATGTGGCAACAAGTGTGAGTTTATGTAGAAAACAGTGAAGCGAGCTGCAAGTGTCAGATGATCTGCGGGCTCACACTCGCCACCACGCACTACATAAACTCTCCGTCCTGTATACACACACACACACTTACACACAGCTCCTTCAGTTTAGAATGAATTGATACCACATAGATGGGAAAAGTGAGGCGAGAAGTGATGAAAATGTGGAAACTACAACAACTACCTAACTCCGAAAGCTCAAACGACAGCTGCTGAGATTTGGTTCTTTATTTGTTGAACCGGCGCCGGTGTTTAACATACTAGAACGTTCTGCTGTGTATCAGCCTGAGCAGTGCAGACTCATCTTAGATGTCATTGGCTGCACGGGTCAGAGTACAGGTCTGAGATTTCAATCATAATCAGCTGCAGATGTCGAGATAAACCAGACTTGACCTGTCTGAGAAGTTTGTCTGTCTTAAGATACTTTTGTTGTTTAACCAGCTGCTGAGAGAGAAACAGAGGCTGCACATTTTTAAAAGAATTGTTTAATAATTCTGGAGTTGTTGTATTTCTCATCTTCCTTCGTCTCCTTGTTCTCAGGGCGGTATGCTGTCCGTGCTCGGCTCTTTGGGGATGATGTTTTGGCTCGCCATGACACCCCACAACCCAGAGACAGAGAAGAAGAGGCTGGCCATCCTGGCAGGGTTTGCCTTCTTCACAGGTGAAATACTGACAGTGGTGTAAAATGAAACTCTAGTTTTGTGTAATCCGTCTTTGAGTTAAAAAAGAAAAAGAAACACATGAATCTGAAAGCTGTGTTTGCCTTTCCCTCTCTCTCTCTCTCTCTCTCTCTCTCTCTCTCTCTCTCTCTCTCTCTGTCTCTCTGTCCAGGCGTCGGCCTCGGCCCCACACTGGACTTTGTCATCGCCATCAATCCAAGGTGTGTGAAAGGTTACTCAGTGTTTAATGTCGACACACAACACAGTGAGCTCTGAAACAAGTTCAACATTTCTATGAAACACACAGAAAGAGAGTCTCTGTACGTCTAAAGAAAACTCAGTCTTCTCTGAGGTCTCTGATTCGCTCTGGTTTCTTTCCCTTCAGCATCATCGTGACCGCCTTCATGGGAACCTCTGTGATCTTCATCTGCTTCACTCTCAGCGCTCTTTACGCCAAACGCAGGACCTACCTGTTCCTTGGAGGTAAAGGAGGTTTAGGCTGAAGTGTTGTTTTCCTTAAGAAAGAGGTTCTTAACACCAAAAAACATTTCAGTATTTTGCATCCAGTAATTTTGCAGCATTTCCTTGAATATTTTCTAACCAGTAGCTTTTTAATGCAGCCTCAAATTCTGGTTTCAATAGTTGTCAGTAGAAAAAGGTTGGAATGTGACTCTGCTTTAAAGACAGAGATTGTATTTGGATCTGTAAGGACCCTCCTTGACTCCTAACCTTAATTCCTCCTCTCTCTCTCAGGCACTCTGATGTCTGGTCTCTCCCTGCTGTTCCTGATGTCCCTGATGAACATGTTCTTCGGATCTATGATGATGTTTAAGGTATCTGAAGCATCAGTCCTCACTCAGACTTTGGTAGAGTACCCGTATTAAACTCTGAGTGTTGAACCTCTTTCATGTCTCTGACAGGCACACATGTACCTGGGGCTGCTCATCATGTGCGGCTTCGTCCTGTTTGACACTCAGCTCATCATCGAGAAAGCAGAAAACGGGGACAAGGACTACGTCTGGTGAGGACCTGAACTTTTCCTGAGACTGTGAATCATTCAGTCTTCAAACATCATGACCATCGATACATACATCTCACATAATCAGATCTGTGTTTTCATGTCCCTCTAGTATTTTCTCGGGTTCTTTATCTGTAGCAGGGAATTATAGAAGTCTATGAAATCAGGTCTCCTCAGTTCAGATTATTCTGAATCTGTGCAGCAGAGAGTCAGCTGTAACCTGTAGATTCTCACCCTCTGGTTCAGCTTAAATAAATTTTAAACCACAAACTAAATTTTCTGTTTTTTTCAGGCACTGTGTGGACCTGTTCCTGGATTTCATCACCATCTTCAGGAAACTGATGGTCATCCTGTCCATGAACGAGAGGGTATTTTTTGTCTTTTTCAATTTTTACTGTCAAATAAAAATGACTAGAAACAATTTAAATTATTTGCAGAGGAGCCCAAAATGTTATTATATAATAATTTTAATTAAAAAAAGAAACATAGAAGAAGATCAGAGCAAGAAATGACCTCCAGACAGACAGCAGGGTTTCAGTAATGAACACAAGTTTATTTCCTGACCAGAAAGAGTAAATAAAGGCACAAACACGAGTTTGTTGAAGAGTTTTCTCTCCGATTTAATAATTACAGACTTAATTTATGACTCAGAACTTTAACTTTCTCCGATCTCTGAACTGTCAGCACTTGCAGATGCTTCTGAATTAATTCACGTATCATGAAGAACAGTCTTTAAAAAGATATTTTAAAAAGGTTCACTTTCATATTTTCTTAGTTTATTGAACTTCAAGTGAAACTGTTAAATTCGGGTGTGCGGCTTGGTACCACTTTACAGAAATAAAAAGACTCAGTTTTGTTTTGATCTGAGTTGAAAAGTCTGTTTTTGTAACTCTGTTTTTTCCTCTTCTTTTTCAGGACAAGAAGAAAGAAAAGAAGTAAAGAAATCTGAGGAAAAATTAATGAATCTGTGAGATAGAGGTACAACTTGCAACGCACTTGGTGCTTTTCACTTTCTGTCTTCATTTACTGAATTAACTTCCTCTGTGGTCTTATATTACTGAGAAAGAAAATCTCTTTTTTTCTGCTTTGTTTTCAAACTTACAACAAACAGGTTGAATGTAAGTTCTGTTTTACTAATGCTAGTCCCATTTTGGCTGTGAATGGATAGATCAATGCTGCAGTGAACATGTTTGGCCTGTAGGGGGGAGCGTTGCCTCATGACGGCTCCCAGAAGCTGAGCAGCACTTACTGAAGGTTTTCATATTTACTGTTATTTAGTGCCATAAATTAATACATGACATTTTAGGCTCCTTTTTTTTTGAGTGTGAGCTTCTGAGAGCGACCGTCGTTTAATTTGAGATCATGTAATTTCAGCTTATCTATAGTTTTCTCTTCTAGTGGAGTGTCACGAGACGTGCTGTCCCATGATTTTGACAACAGATGCCCCTCTCCCTCCCCGGCCCCCCGCTGAAAGAAACATCCCTGTAATCGTTTGTTCTGCACAAAAATGAGTTGTGTGACTTTGAGCAGGAAGCCTGTGGCTCCCGTGATGAACACTAACTCCATCATCACCCGATCAAAGAGGGCGAGGCAGAGCCGAACCAACTCTGAGCCCTCAGTGTAAATTTCTCTACATGACTGTTGTCTAGAAACTAGTTTGCCAAACCCGACAATGTTAACCTCATGATTTGATTCTTTTATGATTTCTAGGTGTAAACTGTGAAGAATTTATTTTATTGATGTAAAATTGAAACTAATAATTTGATACATTTGCTCAAATAAATGTGTTGAACATATTGAAGCTGATCTGTGCTGTCTGCTGTTTTTTTCTCAGGAAAGATTCAAGAATAATAACCAGCAAATGATTATAATGTCATTTAACAGACACTTTTATCTAAAGAGCAGGGGAGGTTACTTGTCTTGCCCACGGACAGACCAGTGATTGGGGGAAATGCAACCACCAACCTTCCAGTTGTTGGACAGTTGTCAGTCTTAACAACAAAAACACTCGCAGATTTCAGCGTCCTCAAATGTCCATCACTGCAATTCAAGAGAAACAACTTCAAATCAGCAAACAGGACTCGAAGCGTTTCCTTATTAGCTCTTGTTTTTATCTCTTTTTGTCTAAGAAGCATGTTGGTGTCATTGAGATGAAGATAATCTCATTATCTTTCTACATCTTTGTTCTGATTTCACCCTTTAAAAGGTGTGAACAGATTAAACACAGTGATGCTCTTGCATGTCCTGAAGTTAGATTTTGTTCAATGCTATACGTTCGTTTGTACCAACTCAAAAGTCTTTTTTCCGACTGCTCGTAAACGTCACAGAAGTCAAGTGAGGACTCCAGCACAGCAGTTCTTTGAGGTGTACTGAATCACTAGAATCAGTTCACTAACAAGATTCATTATAAGTAAAGTATGAGAAAAATATCAAATTTTAGTATGAACAAAATGTCATGTATACTATGTTAAAAATGCCATAGTATGGTATGATAAAAATTTTAATTTAGTATGAAAAAAACGTTTTAGTATAGTATGATAAAGATGTCGAAGTATAATATGAAAACATTTAAAAATTTAGTCTGGAAAAATGTCCTAGTATAGTATGAACAAAAACTTCAAATTTGAGTTTAAATAAAATGTTGTAATAAATTATGACAAAAATATCATAGTACAGTATTGTATGATAAAAATTTTAAATCTTAGTCTAAAAAAATGTCATAGTAATGTGTGTTAAAAATATGAAAGTATAGTATGATAAGAATGTCGTGGTATAGTTTTATAAAAAATGTCCAATACTATACTAATACTAATGTCCAATACGATCATACCAGTTGTATTTCTGTGTTTATGCTGCTCTGAAATCCTCTAAATGTATTCAAACATCAGCATTTGATATTAAACTCATAAACAAAAGAAAAATTAATGATATTTTAAACTGTCCTTCATTGGCTTTATTTAATGTGATTTAATGTGAGTATTATTTGTGGCACTTAACGAGCGTTTTTCTTTAGAAAAATCAATAAAAACTTCAGACCTGGTCCTTTTATAAAACTTTAATGTGCAGTAGTTAATCATGTTTCTCAGGCAGCAGACAAGTTATATCAAAACTGACCACCAGGGGGCGCCTTTTCTGTATTATGCCTTTTGCTTTATCTAACTGGGTCCTGAACTCCATATGCTGAAGTCTTCTATTCTTAGTGTTTGATCCTCAGGTGTCTGCAGGAGGACTGGAGACTCAGCGCTTCGTGGGACCTGCAGAGGACAGCGTGGTTGAGATGTGTTGTTGGCTCAGCCTCTTCAGGGTCTTCAGTCCCTGATCGTGTTGTTGATGTTTTCAGCAGCAGTAGTTTGTTTTTTTTTTATGTCACATTCAGCTGCTGTTGTGTTTTTATACTGCAGATGTATCAGGACAGAGTTTGTAGTTACAGCTCAGATTATAACTTTTATTTTTGACCCAGTGGACTTTTAAAATCTGACTCAGTATGGTATGATAAAAAATAATAATTTTAGTGTGAAATAAATGTCACGGTATTCTATGTTAAAAAATTTCAAAGTTAGTATGTTAAAGAAATTTCAATTTTAGGATGGAAAAATTTCATAGTATAGTATGATTAAAAATTCAAACTTTAGGATGAAAAAATTCACCAGTACAGTTTGTTAAAAATGTCATAGGCCAGTATGTTAAGCATTTCACTTTGTAGTATTGAAAAAAAAGAGTAGTAAATATCGGATTTAAGGATGGAAAATCATGCCATAATGTAGTCTGATCAAAATGCCATAGTAAAGGGTGTTGAAAATGTCATATTTAAGTCCGAAAAAAAAACGTCATAGTATAGTATGACCAAAATCTCAGATTTTGTATGGAAATTTTTTTCTGATTTTATAATGAAAAAACATGCGATACTGTATTCCTATCGAAATGTCATAGTATAGGGCGTTGAAAATGTCGCATTTTAGCACGAAAAAACAATTTCAAATTTAACCCCCCAAAAAAAAACTTCATAGTATAGTATGACCAAAATTTCAGATTTTAGCATAAAATTTTTGTTAGATTTTAGGATGAAAAAACATGCCATAGTGTAATCTGATCAAATTGCCATAGTATAGGGGTGTTAAAAATGTCATATTTTAGCACAAAAAAAAATCAAAATTTGGCCTGAGAAAAAAAAACGTCATAGTATAGTATGACCAAAATTTCAGATTTTAGCATGAAAAAAAAATTCAGATTTTATAATGAAAAACATGCCATAGTGTAGTCTGATTAAAATGCCATAGTATAGGGTGTTAAAACTGTCATATTTTAGCATGAAAAAACAATTTCAAATTTAAGCCCAAAAAAAAAAAACGTCATAGTATAGTATGACCAAAATTTCAGATTTTAGCATGAAAGTTTTTTTTAGATTTTAGGATGAAAAAACATGCCATAGTGTAGTCTGATCAAATTGCCATAGTATAGGGGTGTTAAAGCTGTCATATTTTAGCACGAAAAAACAATTTCAAATTTAAGCCCGAAAAAAAAACCGTCATGGTATAGTATGACCAAAATTTCAGATTTTAGCATAAAATTTTTGTTAGATTTTAGGATGAAAAAACATGCCATAGTGTAATCTGATCAATTTGCCATAGTATAGGGGTGTTAAAACGGTCATATTTTAGCACAAAAAAAAATCAAAATTTGGCCTGAGAAAAAAAAAACGTCATAGTATAGTATGACCAAAATTTCAGATTTTAGCATGAAAAAAAAATTCAGATTTTATAATGAAAAAACATGCTATAGTGTAGTCTGATCAAATGACATAGTACAGGGTGTTAAAACTGTCATATTTTAGCATGAAAAAACAATTTCAAATTTAAGCCAGAAAAAAAAAACGTCATAGTATAGTATGACCAAAATTTCAGATTTTAGCATGAAATTTTCATTTAGATTTTAGGATGAAAAAACATGCCATAGTGTGGTCTGATCAAATTGCCATAGTATAGGGTGTTAAAACGGTCATATTTTAGCACAAAAAAACAATTTCAAATTTTTAGCCCGAAAAAAAACGTGATAGTATAGTATGACCAAAATTTCAGATTTTAGCATAAAATTTTTGTTAGATTTTAGGATGAAAAAACATGCCATAGTGTAATCTGATCAATTTGCCATAGTATAGGGGTGTTAAAACGGTCATATTTTAGCACAAAAAAAAATCTAAATTTGGCCTGAGAAAAAAAAAAAACGTCATAGTATAGTATGACCAAAATTTCAGATTTTAGCATGAAAAAAAAATTCAGATTTTATAATGAAAAACATGCCATAGTGTAGTCTGATTAGAATGACATAGTATAGGGTGTTAAAACTGTCATATTTTAGCATGAAAAAACAATTTCAAATTTAAGCCCGAAAAAAAAAACGTCATAGTATAGTATGACCAAAATTTCAGATTTTAGCATGAAATTTTCATTTAGATTTTAGGATGAAAAAACATGCCATAGTGTAGTCTGATTAAAATGCCATAGTGTAGGGTGTTGAAACGGTCATATTTTAGCACAAAAAAAACAATTTCAAATTTAAGCCCGAAAAAAAAACGTCATAGTATAGTATGACCAAAATTTCAGATTTCAGCATGAAATTTTGTTTTAGATTTTAGGATGAAAAAACATGCCATAGTGTAGTCTGATCAAATTGCCATAGTATAGGGGTGTTAAAACTGTCATATTTTAGCACAAAAAAAAAAATCAAAATTTGGCCTGAGAAAAAAAAACGTCATAGTATAGTATGACCAAAATTTCAGATTTTAGCATGAAAAAGAAAATTCAGATTTAAGCCCGAAGAAAAAAAAAAAAAGGTCATAGTTATGTATGACCAAAATTTCAGATTTTAGCATGAAAACTGTTTTCAAATTTTAGGATGATAAAACATGTTATAGTGTAGTCTGATCAAATTGCCATAGTATAGGGTGTTAAAAATGACATATTTTAGCATGAAAAACAATTTCAAATTTAAGCCCGAAAAAAAAACGTCATAGTATAGTATGACCAAAATTTCAGATTTCAGCATGGAAAAAAAATCCGATTTTTGGAAGAAAAAACATGCTGTAGTGTAGTCTGATCAAATTGCCACAGTATAGGGTGTTAAAATTGTCATATTTTAGCACGAAAAAACAATTTCAAATTTAAGCCCGAAAAAAAAACCGTCATGGTATAAGTATGACCAAAATTTCAGATTTTAGCATGAAAAAAAAAAATCAGATTTTATAATATAAAAACATGCCATAGTGTATTCTGATTAAAATGACATAGTATAGGGTGTTATAACTGTCATATTTTAGCACGAAAAAACAATTTCAAATTTAAGCCCACAAAAAAAAACATCATAGTATAGTATGACCAAAATTTCAGATTTTAGCATGAAATTTTCATTTAGATTTTAGGATGAAAAAACATGCCATAGTGTAGTCTGATTAAAATGCCATAGTGTAGGGTGTTGAAACGGTCATATTTTAGCACAAAAAAAACAATTTCAAATTTAAGCCCGAAAAAAAAACGTCATAGTATAGTATGACCAAAATTTCAGATTTCAGCATGAAATTTTGTTTTAGATTTTAGGATGAAAAAACATGCCATAGTGTAGTCTGATCAAATTGCCATAGTATAGGGGTGTTAAAACTGTCATATTTTAGCACGAAAAAAACTATTTCAAATTTAAGCCCGAAAAAAAAACATCATAGTATAGCATGACCAAAATTTCAGATTTAAGCATGAAAAAAAAATTCAGATTTTATAATGAAAAAACATGCCATAGTGTAGTCTGATTAAAAGGCCATAGTATAGGGTGTTAAAACTGTCATATTTTAGCAGGAAAAAAAAATTTCAAATTTAAGCCCGAAATAAAACCGTCATAGTATAGTATGACCAAAATTTCAGATTTTAGCATGAAAATTTTTTTTTAGATTTTAGGATGAAAAAACATGCCATAGTGTAGTCTGATCAATTTGCCATAGTATAGGGGTGTTAAAACTGTCATATTTTAGCAGGAAAAAAAAATTTCAAATTTAAGCCCGAAATAAAACCGTCATAGTATAGTATGACCAAAATTTCAGATTTTAGCATGAAAATTTTTCTTAGATTTTAGGATGAAAAAACATGCCATAGTGTAGTCTGATCAATTTGCCATAGTATAGGGGTGTTAAAACGGTCATATTTTAGCACAAAAAAAAAATCAAAATTTGGCCTGAGAAAAAAAACGTCATAGTATAGTATGACCAAAATTTCAGATTTTAGCATGAAAAAAAAATTCAGATTTTATAATATAAAAACATGCCATAGTGTATTCTGATTAAAATGACATAGTATAGGGTGTTATAACTGTCATATTTTAGCACGAAAAAACAATTTCAAATTTAAGCCCCCCAAAAAAAAACGTCATAGTATAGTATGACCAAAATTTCAGATTTTAGCATGAAATTTTTTTTAGATTTTAGGATGAAAAAACATGCCATAGTGTGGTCTGATCAATTTGCCATAGTATAGGGTGTTAAAACTGTCATATTTTAGCACGAAAAAACTATTTCAAATTTAAGCCCGAAAAAAAAACATCATAGTATAGCATGGCCAAAATTTCAGATTTAAGCATGAAAAAAAAATTCAGATTTTATAATGAAAAAACATGCCATAGTGTATTCTGATTAAAATGACATAGTATAGGGTGTTATAACTGTCATATTTTAGCACGAAAAAACAATTTCAAATTTAAGCCCGAAAAAAAAACCGTCATAGTATAGTATGACCAAAATTTCAGATTTTAGCATGAAAATTTTTTTTTAGATTTTAGGATGAAAAAACATGCCATAGTGTAGTCTGATCAATTTGCCATAGTATAGGGGTGTTCAAACGGTCATATTTTAACACAAAAAAAAATCAAAATTTGGCCTGAGAAAAAAAACGTCATAGTATAGTATGACCAAAATTTCAGATTTTAGCATGAAAAAGAAAATTCAGATTTTATAATGAAAAAACATGCCATAGTCTAGTCTGATTAAAATGACATAGTATATGGTGTTAAAACTGTCATATTTTAGCACAAAAAAAACAATTTCAAATTTAAGCCCGAAGAAAAAAAAAAAAAGGTCATAGTTATGTATGACCAAAATTTCAGATTTTAGCATGAAAATTTTCTTCAAATTTTAGGATGATAAAACATGTTATAGTGTAGTCTGATCAAATTGCCATAGTATAGGGTGTTAAAAATGTCATATTTTAGCATGAAAAACAATTTCAAATTTAAGCCCAAAAAAAAAACGTCATAGTATAGTATGACCAAAATTTCAGATTTTAGCATGGAATTTTTTTTTAGATTTTAGGATGAAAAAACATGCCATAGTGTGGTCTGATCAAATTGCCATAGTATAGGGGTGTTAAAACTGTCATATTTTAGCACAAAAAAACAATTTCAAATTTAAGCCCGAAAAAAAAAACGTCATAGTATAGTATGACCAAAATTTCAGATTTTAGCATGAAAAAAAAATTCAGATTTTATAATGAAAAAACATGCCAAAGTGTAGTCTGATTGAAAGGCCATAGTATAGGGTGTTAAAACTGTCATATTTTAGCACGAAAAAACAATTTCAAATTTAAGCCCGAAAAAAAAAACGTCATAGTATAGCATGACCAAAATTTCAGATTTTAGCATGAAAATTTTTCTTAGATTTTAGGATGAAAAAACATGCCATAGTGTAGTCTGATTAAAATGACAAAGTATAGGGTGTTATAACTGTCATATTTTAGCACGAAAAAACAATTTCAAATTTAAGCCCAAAAAAAAAAACCGTCATAGTATAGTATGACCAAAATTTCAGATTTTAGTATGAAATTTTTTTTTAGATTTTAGGATGAAAAAACATGCCATAGTGTAGCCTGATCAAATTGCCATAGTATAGGGTGTAAAAACTGTCATATTTTAGCACTAAAAAACAATTTCAAATTTAAGCCCGAAAAGAAAACCGTCATAGTATAGTATGACCAAAATTTCAGATTTCAGCATGGAAAAAAAAATCCGATTTTTGGATGAAAAAACATGCCATAGTGTAGTCTGATCAAATTGCCATAGTATAGGGTGTTAAAACTGTCATATTTTAGCACGAAAAAACAATTTCAAATTTAAGCCCACAAAAAAAAACGTCATAGTATAGTATGACCAAAATTTCAGATTTTAGCATGAAATTTTTTTTCAGATTTTAGAGTGAAAAACATGCCATAGTATATTCCTATAAAAATGTCATAGTATAGGGTGTTGAAAATGACGCATTTTAGCACGAAAAAAAAAATCTAATTTTGGCCCGAGAAAAAAAAACGTCATAGTATACTATGACCAAATTTCAGATTTTAGAGTGAAAAAAATGGAATATTTCAGGATGGAAAAAACCTCGTAGATTAGGATGATAAAAATCTAATTGTATTATAAAAAATTGCCTCTCATACCAGTTGTGTTCCTGTGTCTATCATGCTCTCAAGTCATCTACATGTATCTGTTTACGAGTGTCTTTGCTTTAAATCAATAAAAACACCAGACCTTGTCCTTTATAAAACTTTAATGTGCAGTAGTTCATCACAAGTTTTTCAGGCAGCGAACAAGTTATATTAAAACTTCAGGTTCTGAAGTCTTCTATTCTTAGTGTTTGATCCTCAGGTGTCTGCAGGAGGACCGGAGTCTCAGCGCTTCGTGGGACCTGCAGAGGACAGCGTGGTCGAGATGTGTTGTTGGCTCAGTCACAAGTTTATAAATAAAACACACAAACACACTGTGACTCTGTGTCTCTTTATTCTAATCAGACCCTCCTCCTCCTGTGTCTCTCTCAGGTAGAAGTTCATCTGCTTCATGATGTTGAGTTTAGTTCCTGGTTGAAGTAGTCGTTAAGTTTAGAGTCTGAAATTATTATTTCACCTTTTCACTGAGTGTTCAGAGAGTTAAGTCATGAGTGAAAACCTTTCAGAAACAGGATCCCCCTGTGTGTCCACATGGCTCAGTGGATAAGAAGACTGACTGGGACTCCTGAGGTCGTGGGTACGAACCTTATCCAGGAGGTCTAATTGAATTTTAATGTCTAGAGTCTACAAATGAGAGTGTAGGATGAAACAAACAGGATCGTCTTCTTTGACCACATGGCTCAGAGGATAAGAAGACTGACTAGGACACTAGTTGAATTTTTAAGTCCAGGAGCTAAATGACGAAGATAAACGCGCGCGGAGCTCATGTCAAAGTGTGGATGATATCTTGTAGCGCAGTGCGGTAGTCTACCGGCACCCAACGTGGGTACCCCGGTTCGATTCCCACTCAGGACAGGAAGTTTAAAGTGATGAAATGATGATAATAAATAGAGAATACTACTTGTAACAAGTAGAGAATTCTTCTCTAGCAAGAAGAAGTACATTCATCACTTCTGATGATGACAAACAATAATAATAATCATCAATTCTAATGATGATAATCTGATCATCGCTAATACTCTCCAGCAACGAGCTGGTATCAAACCGGCACCCATTGGGTGTCAGTAGACTACCGTGCGGCGCCATTAGATACCATCCACACTAGGGCATGAGGTACGCCCGCTTTTATCTTCATACTTTAACTCCTGGACTTTAAAATTCACCAAGACCTGGATAGGGATCGAACCCACAACCTTGGGAGTTCGAGTCAGTCTTCTTATCCACTGAGCCACATGGACACTCAGGTGGATTCTGTTTGTGAAAGGTTTTTGCTTTTCTCTCTAGACACTGGACTTTAATGATACCTGAAAGCTTTTAAGTAAATAATTAAAGTGTCTCAAATCTTCACTTTTAACTGTGACTCAAGTCTCTGAACACTCTGTGAAAGGGTGAAATAATAAATTCAGACTCTAAACTTAACGACCACTTCAACCAGGAACTAAACTAAACTAGGCTCCGAACTCCAGGATCCACTGACGAAGAGTCCTGAAAGAAAAGTAGAGAGACGATTAGTATTTTTTATATTTATCCCAACAAAAGACAAAAATCGTTGCTGAGGATGTCAAACTGGACTGTGGTGAGAAGCTCAGAGAAGCTCTCTGGCTACTTCACTGGTCAAGGAGTTTTTTTACCCTGATGTCTTTGAAAACAGTAAAAACAAAAATAAGTGAAAAGTTTTACTGAATTTGGACCTGAGATCTGTTTGCACTTATTTCTGCATGACTGTCAGAGAAGCTGATCTAAGTCTAGTCATAATATCTATGAATAAATGAATGATTCAACCTTGTCAACCTAATCAATTATTCGCTGTCTTTTTATCTCTTATTTTAATCAATTAGAAAAACCCCAAAAGTTTCTTGTCATGATATTTTACGGTACCAATGTTAGTTCAATGAGAAAGAGTAGTTGTCTACTTTCGCACCTGCGCAGTACAAATCGGGTAGCGACTAGCCTGTTAGCATTAGCGTTAGCATTAGCCACTTAGCTTCTTCGTGTTTCTGTTCGCCTCTCTTTTACTTACCTAAACAGTTACGATGCGCCGTGATTCGGGATATCTTGTCCTTCTTTTATGTCGCTCCCCTTTCTTCTATTTTCTAGTATTTAGGTAAAAATCTTGACACGCTTTTCTCTGTTGTTGTTACCTGCCGCACACCTGAGTGTAATTAGCAGCGGATCTGAGTCACGTGACAAGCTGATATCCGGTGAAGGAAAACTAAACATTTGATTAAAACAAAACAGAGGAAAACACCGAAATTAAGGCTGTTTTTTACGTTAATTTTGGGAAACTATACAAAGTAAAGTAGGGATTTTTGTCTTAAAACGGCTAAAAATTTCCATATTAGCCTGAAAATGTTTGTTTTTACCGATATTTTAATCACATTTCTTGCCAAACTCAAAGGACGAGTAAAATACTTTAATTTTTCTAATTTTTGATTTTAAAAAATTGTGCTAGTTTTCAGAAATAAATTAACAATCTTTATCCAGAATTAGCTTTTTAAATAACTATCATCAGTGCCGGCCCAAGGTATAAGAAAACTAAGTGCCTGCTCCGGGCCCCGCTGTCAAAAGGGGCCCCCGCAGAGCAATGAAAAAAGTTTTTAAAAAATCATCATCAGTTTTACTGTCATTACACTTCAGATAAAACCTTTGGTGGCTTCAGACACCTCGTGATGCCACTATTGTCGGTTTCTATCAGAGTAGAAACTAATCTTTAAGATCTGACAGAGTCTGGATTTAAAGGAATAATGTTGCATTCAAATGCTGTCTTAATAATCCGGAAAAATTGGTTTAGGAGTGGGGAACCACAAGCCCAGAGATCAGAGTCAGTTTATGAGAGCTTCAGCACAGGCCTGCAGAGTCATTAACAAGCATGAGAGTTGCAGGATAACTCATGATAAGTTACACAGCTTTGAGTCATCATATGATACATGATGATATCACGTTTATCCCTGCCAGAGAGTAAATAAGGTCTCCTCACAGAGCGCTAAATGAAAACATTTTAATTAGAAAGTTGAAAAAACGGCAGTAGGTACATAGGACCTCTATCGGCTAAAGAACGAACAGCAACAGAGATGCTGAAATACGAGATATGAACAAAATCTACGAAGCGAAGACACGGCAAATTTTCACAGAAAGATTACAAACCAAAAAAACAAACAAAAAGATGACTGCAAATGATGAACATTAAAATAAATAAATAATAGAAATACATATTCATTGAATAATGTAGCCATTTCTCTTATCTATGTTATTATTGCTGGTATATATTACCTTTAAATGTATTATGATTTAAAAACAGACATTTTCTGACAACCTTCATCGGTCGCAAAACAATATCAACATGATCAATAAAGTCGTTTGTACATTTAAAACCGTGAAGCATGAGTTCAGCAACGAAGAATCACAGACATGAACATTCATTTTTTAAGGAGCTTCATGTTTCGTCTTTTAAATACATTATGTGGTGAAATGATGATGATGATGATGATGACGAAGAATGTTTTAATACAGTACAGAACGTCAGCCGTCAAACTGAGAAGAAGAAGATCCGTCTGAGAACAAAAGACAACTACCAGGAGTGACACGTTTGTGCTAATCTGTAGCTTAGCCATGCGTTTGGAGTCCTGTACACATGAGTCGAAGAGAACGAGTCCTCGGTCAGTCTGATTGTGAAAAAGTGAACAACCTAGTTTGTTTTGGTGGCTTTTGGCTTCGTGTTTATTGGAAAATCCTGAGGAGAAGTCTATCCATCCATCTTTCCAGTTGCAACAGAGAAACGGCTTCATCGCCACGGTATTCCTGCGGACATCAAAAGGGGGCACAGTTTCTTTTTTTTTCTCTAAAGATGGCGGTCAGTCAGCAGCATCACAGAACAACCAACCAGGAGACGTGTTCAGAGCCGTGCTGGCTCTTCCTGTCCCTGTCCTCCCTCCTCCCCCGGTCCTTGGCTGGCTCATCCTTGGCTGCCGCAGGACGACAGACTGTCGTACAGCGAGTCGCTGAGGGACTCGGGGGTCTCCAGGACTTGAGGGCGACTCGGGGAGATGGCTTCCTCGGGACGCTCCCTGAGCAGCTCCAGCCCGGCCTCCCGGCTCATCTCGGGGACGCTGGGCGTGCGGGTCTTCCCCCTGCGGCTCATCCCGGACTGGGCGGGGACGGGCAGGCTGCCGGGGTCGACCACCCGGCTGGAGGAGGGGCCGCCGGCCTTCATACCCTGAGAGGAAGCAGAAGCATTCAAGGTCATGTGACGTGCCTTATGTAACGCCTTCAGGTGCAAAAGAAACAGAAGCGAAACAGAGATAAATCTTTAATACTCGGCTGATGAATAATTGGTGTGTTTCTGTGTTCTTCATTATGTAAGCTGAGAGTGCACATTTAAAAATGTATCCTCGCTTTACTGCTGCAGAGTATTTTAAGTCTGAGAGCGACCCAGATTTCTGCTCCTTCATGCCTCTGCCCGGCAGCTTCTCAACAAGAACAGACGACAAAATGAAGTCGAAACACGAGCAAAGTCACGATTACACCAAACAAAAGGAAGTTCTCAGCGTGTTCGTCTCCATCTAAGTGACTTTTCCTCCATCTAAGGTTTATTTTTACGTGTTCGTCCTCCGTCCTCCTTTGTCTGAGGACAGATGGTGCCGTATGCCGTACAGATTGTGGTCCCTTGAGGCAAATCTGTGTTATCACGGGCCTCACAAACTCAACCGACTCGTTATTTAACCTTTTTTTTCTTCTATGATTTTAACTCTGATCCTGTCTTTGGTTCCCAGTAAAACTACGGGGAATTTCTGTGCAGTTTTTTTTCCCACAAAAGATCAACGCAGAGATAAAAAACGAACTTCATCTGAGTCGGAGATTTATGTGACAGTAATGGGAAAACCTGTCTGCACCAGAGAGGAACAAACCTCCAAACTCCCTCAAAGTTTTCCTCCAAACTTGTTTTCACCTTTTCTGGAGCAAAATGTGGATCAGTTACTCTAAAAACCCTAAAAACAGCCTCTCTGGTCTTTTTGTCTTAAAATTTATACATGACAGAGTTTCTTCAGCGGACACAGAGCCTGGATTTACCCCTCTGAACGGTGATCCAAAGGACACGGCCTCCTCCTCTTCCTCCTCCACTGCCAGGTAAACCTCCGCAGGACCTGCCGGAGTCTTCAGGTTGGGGAAGGTCCAGGTCTTTGAGCGCGGGGAGAACATGTTCGCACCGTGAGCCTCTTTGTCTGTAGATGAGGGAGAGATTGATCTTTAAAGGACGAAGTCGTACATTTAGATTTTCTGTGACTGTGCCGTCACAAGTGGCAGCAGCTCCGTCTTTTTCGCTCGTTTGTTGTGTTTCAATTTCCCTCTGAGATCAATAAAGTATCTATCTATCTATCTATCTATCTATCTATCTATCTATCTATCTATCTATCTATCTATCTATCTCGTTTGTCTTCACCTTCTCTGATGACGCCCGCGGAGCCCCTCCCCTCCATCACAGAGCCATACTGAATTGTGGGAATCAGCTGTTTGTGCGGCGCGTAACACTCCTCCTGCGACGTCAGCTCTCGCTCCAGGGTGCGAGCCCGGCGTCCGGCCCTCCCGGGGGACCCCGAGTGGTGGTCGGCCCCAGCCCTCGTCTTGGACAGACCGCGTCCTGCTGCTCCGCTGCTGCAGTCAGGCAGAGGGAACGTACCGATGCCGCTGTCCAGGGTGTACGTGGAAGCACCAGAACCTGCAGAAGAAGAGAAGAGGAGGGTCTTCATCCGGATTATAAACCAGATTTTTGATCTAATTTGTTCCACATGTGAGCGGAATAAACGAGCGAAAGAGACGCTCAGATAATTAAATAAACAGACGGTAGAAAAGAATCCAAAGTTGTTCACTAATGAATTCTCCTCTTAATTTTCTCTGCGACTGCTCTGATCCTCCTCCGGGGCGCGCCCTCATTTATTTACTTTGATATGCTAATAAAGGTGTTTTCACACACATATGCTAATCGCATGTTTCAGTCGAACCCCTGTGGATTTAAAGGCAGGGAGAAATGTGAGCTTATCCAAGAAGAAGAAAAAACAGATTTGTAACTTGAAGAAGATGGTTGTGAGGAAAATGTCGATTAAATAGATAAATTTAATAACAGACACGAATTTAAAAGATTAGATTATTTCTGTTCGTATCAGCTGAATGAAGATTATCGTACATAAAACTTAAACTTCACATGAATAGAAAAAAATATTTTTTTATTGTGATAGTCACGATTGGCAATGATGGAAATTAAATCAATATTTCAGTGAGGAAATTGTAGTTTTGGAATAAAGTATTAAAAATCCTCTTTTTTCAGGATAGGAGATGATAATCTCGTCAATGCTTTACAGAAAAGTTCCAGTTTAATGATCAAATACATTCAGGGGTAGTGAGGAGTCTCTGCTCTGAAGTTTACCTGTAATAACTCCTCAGATTGTTTTTCACTAAATTCCTCTTCAGGTTCGTTTTTGGAGCTCCTTTCCCTCTGAATATTCTTGAATCTGTGTCTGTACTTTCATCCTCTTATTCTCCGCTGTTTCATGTTTTCAGTGCCAAACGTCTCTCTCTCTCTCTGTGAAATCCTTCATACATTAATTCATTTCTCTATTCCCAGACTTCTTCTTTGGTTTGATCCTCCACAAGGTCGTTCTTCTCATGAACCTCACAGAAAAAAACAGACGGATGTTTCCATCCTGGCAGACTCTTCTTACCTGCGAAGTGTTGGGAGTGAACCGAATCGGCGAGGTTTTCGTCTGACGTGATCTTGCCGATTCTGTCTGATCCCTGCGTGAGACGACAACAAAGTGTCAGACGGAGAAGTGAGCGAACTGAATCGACATGTAGGAAACACGAATTAAAAACAGAGTTCAGCTTTGAAGGAAAGAGAAACTGGATTAAAAACCAGGAGACGACTTTTCCTCTTTTCTCACTTAGTCATGTTAAAATCTTTCTCTGTGTCTCTTTGAGTGTTTTTAAGATGGACGATGCTTCTCCACCTCCTCTCATGATTGTATTTGTGTGGAAAGAGTCTATTTGTAAGTGTTTGGTGCCTTTTCTCTCACTCTGCTCTGTTAATCTGTTGCACACTAATCTGCAGGAGTTGCATTTGTAAACAGAGCTGCCAATCATGTAAATCCGATCATTTAAAAACAAGTACTTGGGAATAAAACTGTACGATAAAAGCTAACTATAATGATGGAAACCGTGCCACAGAAGCATGTATTGAATGTGCTGTTTGAGTTTGAAGTTTGACTCATGTCCCATCTGTTTACATGGAGGAGGCGGGCTCTAAGACCAACTTTTTCTAGCTTGCACAGAGAGTTTTATAGCGCCGTACCTTCTCGATGTCGTCCCGGCTGGTGGTGTGACTGATGACGTCGCTCTGCTGACTGAACACGGGCTTCGACGTCTTGCAGTCGAAGGAGAGGCGGCGCTGCGGCATGCTGATCATCTCCTTCCCGTCGACCCTGAACATTCGTCAAGTTTAGACAAAGTTAATTCGATCTTTTTAATCTCAGAGTTTATGCAGAAAGAACAAGAAAAATGACCAGAAGAGGCTTAAAAAGGCGGCGCTGAGTGGACGACTTTTACAGTTTTTATCTTTAAGACGTTCTTAAGCTCATGTGTCAGAGGCTAATCTACAGTCACAGTCATTACTGCTCTGCAGTTCGAACAGAGATACGAGGAGACCTGAGATCAGACGGAACAAAGACGTAATCCTGTTGTTCAGATACGAGTGAGTGAACTTCAAATTACAGGAGACGACTGATTAAAGGGATATTCTGACGTAAAACTAAGTTAGGGTCAAACACACCGAAACACAGAGTTAGAGATGAATGTTGTTATACCAACTTTAGTAACGACCACAGGACTAAACACAACTCACCTACTCTCTTCCAGCAGCTGCTTGTTTGTAGCAAGACCTCAACCAGTCCATTACGGACTACAGCGGAGTTTCGCAGCTCAAGGAAGAACATTTATGATCATTTCTTCATCATTTCCTTGAAGTAATAATCACCATATTAATAATTTTGCAGACGCGGTAGTTCTTCTGCCGTAGCGTCTCGGTCTGATTGTATTTCCATAAAGAAATGATCATAAATGTTCTTCCTTGAGCTGCGTCACCCCGCTGTAGTCCGTAATGGACTGGCCTGAGGTCTCTCTACAAACAAGCGTCTGCTGGAAGAGAGTAGGTGAGTTGTGTTTAGTCTCTTTGCTAAAGAAATGAGTCAAAGTTAAAAAGCTGTTTGGTGTCTAGTACTATGTCTGTGACCCTATATGTCCTGTTGATGAAGTTAGGTGCTGTTCTGAGCATTATTTGTGGCTATAGAGTGGCGTTTTGGTTGAGGGCGTGGCTCTCTGTATTGCAATCGTGCAGTCGTTACTAAAGTTGGTATAACTAGAGACGCCTGAATATCCCTCTAAATTTCACACAGCAGTTTGACGGATGAGGCGACGATGTTTTCATCCAAACATCGACTTTGTCCGGTTTTCTTATCTCTTTATTTTGAAATCTCTGAATTTCGCCCCACCACTGACTCACCTGTTGAGCAGCTGCTGCATGAAGTTGTCTGAGCGCGCTCCTCTGTACATGACAGCCAGCTGTCCCTGAGCCTGGTCCATCACCACCTCGCAGGAGTGACCCCTGCCCGACCGCTCCACGTACGCCCGCTCCTCCTCCAGGGCCCTCCTCAGCCCCTCCGCCTTCTCCATCAGGGTGGAGATGTTCAGACCCTCCACTCCCTCTTTACACCTGGTGGCCATCTTCACCGAGTCCCGGCCCACAGACGGGATGTTGATCTTCCACTCCTTCTTCTCGTCTTTCGCTTTGGTGCCGTCGGTTTTGCGGCTCAGCGCCGGCAGCTTGCTCTTCTTCAGTCCGAACCAGCTGGCGATGCCGTTGGAGGCTTTCTGCTTCACCTCGCCGCCCTGACCTCCTCGGTCCTGCTCCTGCAGCTTCAGCACGTTCTCCTCGATGCCCTTCATCACCTTCTGCTCGATGGCAGACTGCGGGGTCGGGGTCGGCTGCATCGGCTGCTTCTCCACGTCGGATGTCGGAGGTCTGGGAGGAGGAGGAGGCAGACTGTCTCCGTACATCGGGTTCTTCTTCCCTTTCCCGCTGATCTTCGTCCTCTCCTCAGATTTGGACGAGTATCTGGGGGTCTCTGGTTTCCCCGCTCTGTGGACGGACGTGGGCTGACAGGGTTTGGACGGCGACTTCGGGGGGATTTTGTTGGGGCTGCTGCTGCTGTGAGAAGCTTGTTTGAGATTATAGGCCAGATTCAAGGAGCCGGGACACTTGATGTTGTTGCGAAGAACCTGCGGCGCGTCGGCGTTGGGGGACGGCAGACCGATTTTACTCTTGGATCCTTCTGTCTTTGTCACACACACTTCCTGTTTAGACTGGGACTTGACGGCCTGCTCGTAGATCTGAGATGAACCCGGGTACTTCAAGCCGACGCTCCCGCCTTTAGGTTTACTGTCCAAGGAGTCCGCGAACTTCGAGTGTCTCTGCTCCTCCTTGTGGAGCTCCATCGGTCTCTCCGCGGCGCCTTCGTTCACGTTCTCCACCGGCCGCAGACCCACCTGTAAGTCCTCGGAGCTCCTCAGTTTGCTGAGAGCCGCCAGTCTGTCTTTAAACGCGTGATGACTGGAGTCAGCCTGAGATCTCCCCGCTGCAGACATAGGTCGCTTGGGGATGGAGGAGGAGTCTCCCCGTCTGATTGGAGGAGGAGGCGGCTGCTGCTGGACGACCTCCAAGCTCTGCACGGTAACATCAGCCTCCGGTTTTTCTCGCGGTTGGGCGTAGCTGGTTCGACCCTGGGCTTTGTTGAGGGCGGAGGAACTGGGCAGGCTGTGGTGGTTGACCCACACGGGACTGTCTGAGTCCTCGTCGTCGTCGGAGGTGGACTCCGACGTGGAGGACGACGACTGCTTCCTCTGAGGTTGGGGGTTCAGGACACTTTCAGGCAGCGATTTGACGAGCTTCCTCTCGGCGCCGTTCGCCTTCGTCTGTGAGGGGAGGGTGGTTCTCTTCTCGAGGTTGGAGGTCGGCTCCGCCTCTCTGGACATGTTACAGACGTTTTCATAGTGAGGAATCCTCTGAGAGACTTTTGGGGACGAGGAGGAGGGACACGTGGACGACGGCGGCACCATCTTTGAGCCGGCTTTGGGCGCCGAGAGGCTGCTGTAGCTTATGTCTTTAACGGGCGGAGCGCAGACGTCTTCAGGCTGCGGAGGGGACGTCGGCGCCGAGTGTGTGGCCGGGTACGACTCAGACCTGGAGGGGGGAGGCGGGGGCTGCCTGCACCTCTCCGTGGTCGTGGCTCTGCGCGTGGGGACGGGCGAGTGGTAAACTTCGTAGTTGTTTGTGCGACACGGGATTCTGGAGCTGCGGGTGAGCTGCGGGCTGAGACGGACGGCGGAGGTTGACGCCTGAGACTTGTCGCCTATCGAGGGGATCTTTAAGAACTTGAGCAGTTTGGACGGGGAGTTGATGGCGGCGGCTTTGACGTCGCTGAGGCAGGACGGGCTGGGGCTGACGGAGGCTCCGGCTCTCGATGAAGCGGCCTCGTGATCAGGGACGTCTTTCTCAGGGATGGATGAGGGGTCGCTGATGGAGGCCACGCCGTTCTGAACCCCGTCGCCGGTCTCCATGTCACAGTGGGAGATCTGTTTGCCATCCTTCACGGCGCTGAAACCGGCGAGCTCCTCAGAGGCACTGTCGTTGAGGAAACTCTCCGCGCTCTCCTGCTCCTCCGTCCCCTCCAGGCTCTGATCAGCCGAGGCGGCGGGGCGGGAGCTGCCGGCGGCGGGTTGCTGGTGGACTTCATTCTTGGTGCATTTGGACGAGGGAGCGGCGTCTGCCGTTCTGCTCTTACTGTGACATTCGCTCGTAGCAGCTGCGGGGACGCCGTGGCTCTGGGCGGCCGCTTTCGAAGGACTACAGACGTGGTTGCATGGCTTTAGAGGACCCCCCTCTGGACTCCTCTTGCAGTGTAAACAGCAGGTGTTCCCCCCCTCGCACTTCACCGCCCCGTCGCCGTTGACATGCTGGTGAGCGTCAGCGTCGGAGCGCGAGCAGTGGCAGTGTGTGTGGTGGGGCTGTAGGGGGAGGGGCTCAGCGGCGGCCAGAACAGCCTCTGTGGACATGAGCACCTGGCTGTAGTCGCAGAAAGACAGGCTCGTGGTGGACGGGTGGAACTTGAGAGGGTCCGTCTCCTCCATCTTGCGCAGGACCTCCAGGATGTGTGCTTTCTTCTTGAAAAAGGGGGACAGGGCCTCCATGGAGGCGGCGGGGCCGCGGGGGCCCGGGGAGGCGTGCTGTGTGCGGTAGCCGTTTCCCTTTGGACAGAAATAGACGTCCATCAGCAAACAATCAGCTCTCAGAGGCAAACAATCCAGTTCATAAAGACCTTTAGAGAGCGTGCGTGCAGGAAGCCGGCGCAGAGCAGATTAGCTTTTTAAAGCACAATAGATGATTACAGAGCAAATGTCAGAGCGGGTTAAAGCCTCCGAACAACGACACACAACTTTAGCTTTTAACTCCAGGAGATTAAATTCACAACAATAAGAGATTATTTTAGCTACTGTCACAGAAATACTTGACGAATCAGTTAAAATCTCTTTTCTTTTAGAGATGTTTTAAGTGTTTTACTCTCAATCCTGATTTCTTCTTTAGAGACAAACTGCTGCTAACTTCTATTAACCCGTTTAAACCAGGACAGCCTGACGCATTTCTACCCTTCAAGCCGTGAGCTTGGATATGTTATTTTGTAACATTCTGTAGTTTGTCAATCATTTCTGAAATCGTGGCGAATCAAATCAACACACCTGTCTGCCTCTGACAACCTAACAAAGTGATCGGATTCATGCTCTGATCTCGCTACGTCCTTCGTGAGGAAAGTAAACGATGACGGAGGCAGAGAGGAGCTTCAGCCTTAGCGATGGTAGCAGAAATGACAACGTTGGCGACCCTATTTAGAACCTTCTGGGCCACAAGATCGGGATTTGTGGATGAGAGGAATGTTTTTGGTGATGACGAAGAGGAGCTGGTGGACCTCCAGTCTGAACAACCTCTTCATATTGAGATCTTTGTCTCACACTATCGGCGTTTTCTGTGAGTGTTCATGACTTTGAGTGAACACAGAGATGAACACACTGTCAGACACGCATTTATTTATTTTTTATTTTTTAGTTCTGCTTTTGTTCTGGCACTATACTAGGGCAGCTGTATACCTTTTAAACACTTAAAGAATGGAGACTTTATCATGACTGCCGCTTGTTTTACAGACAGCAAATAGTTTGTTATTCTCCATTTCAGAGTCTTTACTTTGATTTATACAGCTGCTTTATTTCATGTGAGTTTGTTCAAGATTTTTAATAATGTGATGAAGGTTTGGAAGAATTAAAATATACTTTTTTAATTTTGTTTCTACCTGCTACAGAGGCCGAGATATCAGCTTTTTTATAAACCTCAGGATCTGGGGGCCCTTCTCAGGATTTCAGAGGCGTGTCTCAGTCAGGGTTCAGGTCTTAATGGGTTAAGAAATGTTTTAAGTGTTTACTGACTGCTGCTTTAGAGGCCAACTGCTGCTGACTCCTATCAAGTGACTAACAACTCATATATGTATGTAATATTATGAACAGGTGTCTGATGAGGTTTCAGTTTTACCAGATAACTGGAAAAAAAAAACTCTGTTAGAGCCTGTGAGAGTTTATAAAGTAAATAAAGTTCTGTGGCTCAGGTGGAGATCGTTCTCTCTCTCATGGATTTGACTCGACACACACTCACACACACTCACACACACTCTCTGTGCTCCTCACCTTGGCTTGTGCTTCAGTCTGTGCAGACTCCACCTGTTTGGCAGAGTCATTGTGCAGCTGTGCATTGTAGTCTGGGAGGGGTCCCGCCTGGACCTGTAACAGGAGAGTCATGAGGCAATTAGGACGGCGCTGTACACACTTCAGGCTATTATACACACAGATGACTGCAGATACTCTGTTCTGGCATCTGCAGGAAACAATACGAGCAGAAACCGAGACTCTTGACTGACTCACCAGCGTTTGAAAGAATGAGGCTGAAGTGAATCAGAGCTGAGGAGATCAGAACTGTTTTAGTTTTTACTCAACATTTCTGTATTTAAGGAGTAAAGCTCCTGTAAACACACGCTGAAGTTCAGAGAGTTAAAACCACACGGCTCTTCGTTGATCATGACGGACAGGTGAGGCTGATTTACCTGGTAGTGAGCGGTGGGGTGGTTGGGCAGTTTCTGCTGAAAAAGCTCACAAAGCGCTCGGTTCTGTCTCTCCAGGTCGAACACCAACATCTTCAGCTTGATGCACTCCTCTCTCAGATCCTGTTCGGTGACACACAGAGCTGTGAGAAACCTGACAGACTTAAATCAAATAATCCAAACACATGAAGACACGCGTTACCTTCTGATTTAGCAGAGCCTGCACCACGTGGTTGGCCACCTATGAACACCAGAAAAGATTAAATATGATGCAGAAAGTCTGAGCTGGGGAGATATTTATAACTGTTCTTAGTGTCCTGATTAATTTACATGAACTCACCTCATCCAAACATCTCTCATAAGCTTCCCTCTGACTCTCATTCGCCAACATCAGAGCAGAGTTTTCAGCCTGTGAGGAGAATAACAACTCAGTGATGAATGTCAGGCAGATAAACACCGACTTAAGATTTTCACAGCCAGGATACAAGCACACAACAAACACCCATCAGACTCTGTGAAATCGCTTTAAATGTGATTTATTTTCCTTCTTTATTCCCTTTTTTTTCCCTCCGTGCGTTACTGTCTCACCTCCAGCTCTCTAAGTCGGTCCATGAGCTCGCTGCTGTTGTCCTCCAGGTACGACTCCACGTCTGCTTCCTCGCCCTCCTCGTCCGTACCAAAGTCCTCCTCACACATTCTCTGTTCTGTCTCATCAGACATTGTTCTCATCTGAAACACAGAAGGAGATTTAACAGCTTAATAACCTCCAGGTTTGGTAACATTTGCTGAAACTACTCTGAGCAGACAGTAACTTTTGCTCATCCTCTGAACAGCTGATTATTTGGACATCTAACAGACGATCAACAACGTTATTATCAGTCTGAACTCAGTCCGGTTTGTTCTCTATTTTAATCCTCTTAAGGAAGTGAAACTAAAAACATGGAGAAGGATCTGCAGAGTCATAATCCCCTGTAAGCCCCCCTGGGTTGATATATACAGGTCATCCAGTCTATTTACAAATGCAGGTGAAACGACGGATCAAACCCGCTTCATTTAGACACCTGAGCTCAGCTGAGGAAACACTGAAACACTCATCATTTCACACACACTAAGGGTACGTCTTTATGGAAACGGAAACGAATACTTCCTCTGCTTTTTTAAAATTAAAACAGTCTACGACAGCGTAGAAATGGTTAAAAACAGACATAATTAAAAACGCCGACATTAGCACACCGAGTCAGCAGGGGACGTTTTGTTTTTTTTTTGTATGGTAGGGGAAAGTCCCGCCTCCTTCGCCTCTGATTGGCGAGAAAAGCTGGAAACATCATCACATTACTTCACCTAACAGCGAGGTTTCTCTGTAGCTTAAACATATAATTAAAGCTTACAGTATGAACAGACATTTACACACCGTTAGCCCGCCACCATAGTGCATATGCATTACCGGAGAGTTTTCTAGCTGTTCAGTCGAAAACGACAAAACTTTCAGTTTTCTAAAACTTCCAATTTAAGACGTTCATTTTGAGAAACTTCAAAGTTCTGTCCTGGAAAAAACAAAACTACAGTTGTAAGTTTTAAGAGCATACACACGGGGCATGAGGACTGATTCTGTTTGACTTCTCCAGCAAAATTAAAACAGTTAAAAGTAAAAGTTTAACTTCAATATCTTTGGTGTGTTTGAAAATGTTGGTTTTCACAAGCCAATCCTATGAAAAGACAGAATCACTGCCTATTTATTCACACTTAAAGAGTGAGGAGAGCAGTTTCACACACAGATTATTATTGAGTACATTTGAATCGAGTTATTATGAATCATAATGATTTTATATCAACAATATTAAACAATCCAAGCCTGAGAATTTAACTTTCCTGCAATTTTCTTTCTTTGATTCAAACTTAAAACCGTCTCAGCCAACAGTGACCACTTTAAAATTATAAGACTGTCATAAATAAAAAAGTTTTACAGATCAGAGGTCAAACTTTTTTATATTGTGGCTCAAACAATCAAAACAAAACCGAACAAAGACGAACAAGAACACAAACAGGAGCGCCGCCTTTGTGAAGCCTGAGAGGTGAAACTCAGGGCACAGAAACTCCCCGTCTGGTAAAGCTCTTTGCTTTGAGCGGACACTAACACCTGAAGGCGACTCGGGTAAATGGATCAACATGTTAACTAACCAGAGCTCCTGTTATGTAGAAGAGGAGACGTTCAGGTCGACTACGACGTTCAGGGAGGTGACATAAAAACAGTTTGAGTGGGTTTGTTTTCTTACTTTAATAAGAGAGGGCAGCTCTGATTTAGACTTCAGTCATTACAATCTTCTCCTGTGATTCTGTTGATGTTCACATTGTTTGAGCGGAAACTTAAACCGACACTGAACCACAAGAAATCAACCAAAAGTCAATCATTTCTCATTTTGCCAAAAAAGTCAGAAAATTAAGAAGAGAAGTTACATTTTTAGGCGTTTTCTTTTGTCCTAACTTTAAATATTTAGTCTATTAAAACCAAAAGCAGCTGATCCTGAAGTCTCGGAGGACAAAAACAGGAAATTTCTGTCTTCTTCGCACCATAAATAAGTTTTGAATCTGATTAAATCGATCATTAAATAGTTCTCTTCCTGTTCCTCTAAACTCGTCCCGTCTGCTTCTAAAGAAAAGACCAGAATAAACACTGATGTGAAATCTGCTTTTCATCAGCTCCTGTGACATTAACATCATTACAGTCTGTTTATCTGACAGCAGCGAGGCAGCAACTCATCTCCACATCAGCGTACACGGCGGCTCTCCTCGGGCCGTTTGTTTACTCTCCTAACCCACATTACTTACTGTATATGGAGGATTATGGAGGAAACACATTAATCCATTCATCCTGCATTGTTTCAGATAGGTGGACTGAGCCGGGAGATAAGCCTTTGTGTCCATATTCCCTCAGGTTTAACTCCAATGAATCCGCGGATCAAACAGCAGCACCACGCTGAGCGCACAAGCTGCCCGAGTCTGTCAGCGCGCCACCCTGCAGGACACACAACTAGTCTAGTAGGCACCGCTCCAGGTGTGTTTGTCTGTGCGTGTGCGAGCGTGCAGGGTGTCCTGAGGGGAAGGAGGTGTGTCGACTGGACCCAGATCCAACTGTCACATCTTAAGGAGTCATTAGAGCAGATGAGACGGGGCTGATTGTGCGGCTGGAGGCCAATCAGGAACTGGCACAGTTTACAGGTGACACACAAACAACAACAACAACAACAACAAGAGAGCAAACAGTCTCTGAGGGGACAAACCAGCTGAGTGAATCTTTAGAGCGTCAACAACTGGCTTAGTAACATGCTTGATTGATTTAAAGATGGTGGATGTTACAGGTGAACAAATCCTGGAGAATGATGAGATGACCTGGTTTTAAGATTTATCCAGATAAATTTAAAGTTCATGTTTCCTGTTTCTCTGAAACCTTTTGAGTGTTTGAAATCAGGGCTGTTGGAAGCAGAAGTCCAGCAAACTAATATCCCTTCTTAAAATGGTTCTTCATGCTAGTCTGAAGACACAAAACGTAAAGGGATATTCCGGCGTGAAATGAATTTAGACTTTTTCATTTAAACATTTTTGGTTGCCGACCGCTTGCTTCTCTAGTTAAACCAACTTTAGTAACTTTTAGCATATAGTAGACATAGTACTAGACACCAAACATCTTTTTAACTTTGACTCATTTCTTTAGCAAAGAGACTAAACACAACTCACCTACTCTCTTCCAGCAGATGCTTGTTTGTAGCAAGACCTTGGGCCAGTCCATTATAGACTACAGCGGGGTGCCACAGCTCAAGGAAAAACATTTATGATCATTTCTTGATGGAAATAAAATCAGACCGAGACGCTAAGGCAGAAGAACTACAGCGTCTGCAGTGCAAATGATTAATATGATGATTATCACTTCAAGGAAATGATAAAGAAATGATCATAAATCCAAAGATGACGGTCTAACATGAGTCTGGTTCTGCTCGAGGTTTCTGCCTGTTAAAGGAAGTTCTTCTTGTCACGGTAACCTGATAAATACTTCACTCATGGTAGATTAAGATCGGATGGGAGTGGATCTGAGCTCATCTTCATGTTGGGTCTCTGTAAATACCACGAAGAGGATGGTCTAGACCGGATATTGTGCTAAAATAAGCCACCCATATATGGAGGTTTAGTCTCATGCAGACACCCTGAGTTTGACTCCAGCCTTCCTGCTCGATCATCTGTCCTATTCTTTAATTCAGAAATATAATCAAATTCAAAACTAATAAGACATTTGTGGGATCTCCAGTCTACAGGACAGCAGTGACAGTAAACAGGACTAACGCCGCTGCCCTGGCCTCCATCATCCTGCAGATTTCAGTGGAATAGAGAGAGTAACCTTGCGTGCGTTCATGTGTTGTCAGACTCATTGCGAAACGAGTTTCAGAGTTGGGTGAAGCCCATGAATGCCAGCTCAAGTCTGAACAACGACTCGTAAACTCTGGAGAAAGTTTGGTGCCAGACTTTTGGGTTAGAGGTCGTATTTGTCACCAACTTTGAGTTATTACGTTTTTTTAGGTCATATTCTTCTATTTTTGAATGAAAAATCAGGTATTTTTACAGCCCTATTTTTAATAAAACGATGAAAAAACCTGTTTTGGTGTTGAGTATGAAGAGTTAAGTCACTGATGAGTTATTTCAGCTGATAACAGGTGATCTCAAACAAAGAGCTTAAACCCAGTTTGCTGAAGAGCTCCCCAGAGCTGAAAAGTCAGGTGATAATCCTCAGTGGGTTCACCGCTCTGCGTGACCCTTTCACATGCGAGCGGCGGTCGTGTGATCCAGTGTTGGTGTATAAATATTGATCAGAGCGGCTTTAAAGATGTATGTCTTCAGGATGAACGAACGGACCTGAGAGACACACGGAAAGGAGGAGAGCTCAGAGGCGCTCTGACGCACGTCGTGGTTTTTCTGTTTGTAAGAGGTTTAAAAAATGAATCAGAAAATCAAATAATATCAAATATAAAAGGTGTGATTGTCTCAGAGTCCATCTTTGATATGATTCATTAACATAAAGGACTGCTCTTCAATTTGGTATCATTTAATGAATATCGAGAACTGAATCCAAAGTAAATTTTTACCAAATAAAACTGAGAAAAAAATGAAAAGATTTTTTTTTTCTTTTAAATTAACATCCTAACGTTTCCACAGATTGAAGGAGTGGACTTAAAGTGCAGATGAAGATATAATAAAGTGAATTCTCATGTCAGGTAGCTGTCGTGTGAGAAATATGAACTTTCGTGATAACTCAAACAGATCTCTCGGCTTCTTTGCATGAAAAACACCAAGGCGTCGTTTTTCTCCTCAATGTGCTAATAGCTTTCTCCGACATGCAGGCCTCGCAGTCACCGCCGCTCTCTCTTCATTATGAAGTTTTCTTTAATCAAAAACAGTCCTTCACACTTCCTTTAATCATGTCTGTTGATTTAATCTCAAAGCCATCACTCCAGACGTCACATTAAGGTGCAGGAATTATCAAGATAACCTCAGACTTCTCTGTTATGACTGAAGAAAGTGGAAAATACTGACTAATGAGAGCTCAGGTGTGGTCATGGGGTCTCAGGTGAGATACCAGATTTTCCAGACTATAAGCGACTTATATTCAGGTGTGACTTACATATATTAAAATATATGATTTCACATCTAGTCTTATATATAGTTTCGCGTCGCTTCGTCCACCTCCGGAGTTGGCGAAGTTGTTCAGAAGTGACACAGAGGATGAAAAATTCGACAGATTTAGTGATTTGGAGTGAGATCGAGTTTATACTACATTTATCTGTATTACTGTTAATATGTTACTTAGCTTATTATCATAACTTGCCTTTCAAGATGTCTGCTCTTGGATTTTGTAAAATAAATTTCACTCCAAAAATGCGACTTTTACAGATATATGTTTTTTCTTCTTTTTGCATTTTTTGGCTGGTGCGACTTATAGTCCGGGAAATACAGCAAGTCTTACAGCTGAACCACATTGTCGCTTTTCTATCAGCAAACAGTCAGGCAGACTTTTCATAAACAGTCTGCATGTCATGGTGTCCAGGACGAACGCAGCGAAACCTCCGTCAGCTAAAACCGCTCCAATTTTAATCAATAACAGCTTCATATAAATTCAACTTTAAAGCCAATGAAAGGGAAATGTAACGCAGAAAATCAATCGCCTGATTTGTCCAGAGGGGGCGCCAAAACTAACACAACCAAGAAGTTCCTTACAGGAGCTTTAAAGTGATGCACCTAAAATCTAATCTAAAAAGACTAAATTAAGGATCATTAACTATCGAAGAAATGACACTGACAGAGACACTAAGCTTGTTGTTCAGGTATCGACAGAAACAGTGAAACTCTTCCAGGAAGTGTCTGTGTGTTTCTTCCAGTTTTCGGTCGAGTCGGTCTTTGTGTAACCAGAGCTGTTTTCAGAGCGTTTACAGGAAGATTATCGAACACGCTCTTCAGCCTTTAGACGCTCAGTCCTGACTGACAATCCTGAGCAGCACCGTCCAAAATGTTGAGGGTTTATTGAGCTGCGATTGACTGAACACACACAGATCTACACGTATAATGGAGGTCTGATCAATGCAGGAAGCAGATATTAGCCATCAGTTTGACCTTGGCTACAGGAGTGGTTATAAATACCGGCTGCTCTCTCCTCTAATGCACATTAAAGCTCCGGGCAGCGGCGCACAGGAACAGGCACACGTCGTGCTGCGTTCGCATTCGTATGGAAATTACAGCGTGGACTAAAAGACAACAAAAGTGAGGCTAAATATAACAGGAGATGTGGTTGTGCCGCCGCCGCCGCCGCCGCCGCTGCTTCTGTGGTTCCTTTTGATGTGCAGAGTTAATGTCACAAGCTGCTCGCTGAAAATGCCAGCGGAGGAAAAAAAGACGACATTCATCCAGAATCCAAGAGGACTTCACGTCTACAACAAGAGCTGATCTGACGCCACGATCAAAGAGCGAATCAGCAGGAAGACGTTCACTCATTATAAATCACTCATCATCACTGAACTCCTCACATCTCTGCACCGACTTCCTGCATGTCAGACCGTTGATTTATAGATACTGCTGTCGGTGGAGGAACCACTAAAATTTAGCACCACAACACAACAGATGGAAGAAGTCTGTCTTTAGTGAGTAATCCTGGTTTGACAAGAAAATAGTTTGGTCCAATAAAAAATTAAAGAGGAAGGGTGACAGTTTAGTTCAGTTGGTGGAACAGGAACTCATAAACAGAGAGTTTAATCCTCATCACAACTGACTGCAGTCCCAACAAAGGTCTATGTTTTTATACTTTCTGCACTCAGTAACTACAATTTCACTCACCCTATGATATATCCTGGTTTCCTGATATTTATATACATCTTTTTTTATATTTTACACCTTTCTTTTATAGAGCTGACTCTGGAGGTATCGCACAAAAATTCCAATGTGCTAATAGCTGTAAACGTCTATTCTATTTGATTCTATTGTATTGTATCGTGTTCTGAATAAGATCCCGACCTCAGACTGAATATAGAGACAGAAGAAAAGAGTGAAGCTGTAACATTTGGAGCTCTTTCTGCAGACAGACGCTCGTACAGATCATACAGCCTGACTTTTCATGTCAGCAGATAAGAGACGGGTCAAACTCACGGGTATCAGGTAGAAGAGTTACGAGTTAATTTGCATAATTAGGACCTGTTGTACCTGTCGTCCTAGAGGATGACAGTCTGACTCGGCTTCGTATCTTAGATTGACTTAAAGTTAGGATGAGTTAGCAGTATAGTGACTGCAATCATTGGACTTCATGAACCCATCAGATGTCTGTTTTCTGACATACTTAGAAGTTTACTTGATGTTTCAGGATGTTTAAAGTGTGCTGGTTTGTAGAAGAGGCAGGAAGCTTCATCAGCTGATCCAGACTGCACAATATGACAGTAAAGAAATAAGTCAGCAGGAGTATTTAGGGAATCACTGATCGATGAACCTGATATTCCAGAAGCTTCATCCGACGAACGATCGGAGGTTTCTCTTTAGAGATGGACTCTAACGGTTTATTGATTATCATCTCAAATGTCAGCTCACAGAGGTCTCAGATGCTGCTCACACACGGTGTAACAGTGATGTCCCGGTGTGTGATTTCATATCGTGTAAACACGCTCAGTCACCGTCTCCTCCCTGTTACTACATCAGACGGCGGATCAGAGGCGGAGAAACTCCTCTGCTCGTTACAGTCTGCAGATGCCGCACAACAGTGGCGTAAAAATCACACTTTGAACCGGCGATGTGTCAGAGCCTAGAGCTAGACACACAGAAGCTGAAACAAAAACTCAAACTCTTTTTATTCTTTTTTCCCCGTGTTTCATTTATGTTGTGTTTGTTTAAAGCTCTTTCTCTCATTCATACATGCCTCACTTACATTAAATATTAATTACTGAATGTGAACAAAGTAAAAGTTTAAAAAAATGTCCTGAGGTACTTTTTAAAGAAAGTTTACATCCCAAAAACTGAACTAATCAGCCTCATCAGGATTGTTTGGGTTTAATTTGATCCTTTTGGGACTATTTTGAGAAAGTTTTATTGAAGTTGAGAAAGCTTTTCAATAAAAAATCTGAAATTTCTCTGATTACAGTCGGTGAGACGTGAATATCATTATTTAGATTTGAGCATTCTACTGTACGTTTATTTGGGTGTTGAGCACAAAACAACATATAAGGACCCGATTACAAGCTTTTGAAAGCACTGAATCTAATATTTAATAACTTTTCAGACATGTTGTTGACCTGCAGGAATCAGATACTCGGGGAAATGATCAAGAATGAAGATACTTGTTAGTTAAATCTGAGATATAAAGCTTGAAAGTTAATTAAGATTCAAAAATGTAATGATTTAATGATTTATAAGCCTTTAACACCGTCCTGTATGTCTCGTCTTAATCCAGTTTCAGCTCTAATAAACAGAACTTTAAACTGATTTGTTAGTGAGAGCAGTCATACAAATACAGTCGCCTTAAAGTCTGGGTTTGAGTCGGCTGTAAAGGCACCGAGGGGGAACAGAGGGTGAAGAAACAGACAAAGACGGACACACACTCAGGGGGCTCCTTTGTAAACTGTCCCATTGTCTTCATGGTGGTTTTAAAGCCTGTGATTGGCCTTTAACTGAGCACACAGAGGTTCATTGACGGGGCAGGGGACAGGGTCAGTGTGTCTCCGAGGGGCTGCAGTGCCAGGGAGCTCCTCGCACAGAGCTCGGCTGGCAGACTGTCAGCTGCCGGAGAGTCAAAGAGAAACCACCGGAGACATGCAGAGAGGGCAAATGTTGCTGCTCTGAAAGCTGCTCTGCTGAGTGGTGGGATCAGTGCTGATCTTTACTGCGCTGAGAGTGCAACCGCTGCACCATCAAAATACTCAGTGAGAGTCCTGCAGCAAAGGTACGACTGATTTATGTCCGTGCACATGCAGAAACATGCAAAACTTCAAATATTCGTCTGATTATTATTTGTATTTCTGCAGAAACTTGACGCTTTTATCATTTACTCAAACATCATCTTTTTCTCGCTCTATCTGTCTGCAGGATTACAGAAACCTTATGGTCTTGTTTTTAACTCGGAGAAGAAAAAAAAACACGCAGCGCACGCCAAAGAAGAACCCATTAAACTCTGGAGCGAGTCCAGATCTGACTCACCAGAAAGTGATCTAAATATTGGCTGAATCATAACGCGCTGATGTCGTATTTATAGCGGATCGAGAACACAAACAAATAAAGTCGTGTAAATACTTTTCCTAACATCTGTTGTTCATAACGAGCCGCTAATATTCATGATGTCGTTTCAGTCCAGCATGTTCTGTTCCTACAAATACTCACCATCACGAGCTGTTCACGGCTTTGCACGTGTTTGTTCAGGATTTAAATTAAAGCGCACGATAATGACACTAATTAATGAGGCTTATGGTGTAAGGAGCAGTGGGATAGATAATGACAGATAACGATGGTTTGACCAGGTACAGTCATATGATAAGTCTGATATATGTAAACTGATGGATAAAACCTTAAAAAGTGAGTTAAAGTTTGTTGTTGTTGTTGGTTTTATTTATCGTCTGTTTCCAAAACAAAAAGTCAAAATTACAGGAACAGGTGATTAAATCAGGTTCAGGACGGACTTGGTGTTCTTATAAATGATATAACAATAAGTGTGTCTGTATTGTTAATAGTGTTGATTTGAAAATATTGATATCGTGCAGCCCTACTAATATTGTCTGCACTGGTCTGGGTCTCCTAGGGGTCAAAAGGTCTGTTTTCTGTTTTCCTGATCCCCACTGTACTCAGCAAAGCCGACAATCTGCAGTTTCTGATCAAGTCTTTTCAAACATGTTTATGTTTATTTGTCTCTTTAATACGATGAGAATGAACTCTAATAAAAGGGAAAAGCTGTTCTAAAGGGTCGAAGTAAAAGCTGTTGTCACCAACGCAGACATGTCCGTTTGAGGCTCCTGAAACCGCACACTCGCTTCATTACAAACATACTTATCAGTCTTGACTGATGGTGACGCTGCTTAAGCTCCGCCTCTTGGTGAGTTAACCTAAAGTTAGGTTGAGTCAGCATTTCTAATATGGGGTCTGCTGCTGAAGGATCGAAATAAAGGGTGACGTCACTGAAACTATGACTGAGTATGACTGTATAGGGCTGAGCGATACGGCCTCAAATCAATATCACAATATATTGATCAGTTCACCTCGATAATGATAAATGGACGATAACTACTCCACATCTGCTCACCCCCTCCCACATTAACTTCGTCAACTTCAGCCGCCGCTGACGTCTCTGACGTAGGACAGCGTCTTAAAGGGACATGAGACCGCAGCCGACCTTCACACATCCAAAAACAACTTTGATTTTTTTGACACTGAATATACCGATATGGGCAAAATGACGTCGGTTATTGTCGTAAATTTTGTTATCAGTAAATTTTCAATTTATCACCCACCCCTATTATTACATATATGTTATCATAAAGTCAATATCTGAATGCAGGAGGTGATGGTGGCGGCCAAACCCGTGGTCGTGATGAAGCTGTAGCTCGTTTACTGTCATTTCTGGGTCACATCCTGCTCTCCTCTCTGCAGATATTGGTTATAATTCTGTATAGAGTCTAGTCTGGTCTTTGGTCGACAAGAAACAACACGCTTAATGAGCCTCTTAACCCACAGATCAGCTGATATATACATATATAAATATATGTTACCTGTCAGAAGGAAGTGACGCTTTCACACCATTTTCATTTGTCTGAGTAGATTATTTCAGGATGATTTAGCGGTAAATCCTCTCATTTTGTTTTTCTATCTGCATAATTTTTTGTACATTTTAGGAATCACATCAACTAGACCTTTACTCTGACATTTATGTGGTGATTAAAATGAAGGTTTCTGGATCTATAATGAGTTAATCATGAGATCACAGATGTCTGTGAAGTGTATTGTAAGCTCCTAACCTTCATTTAAAGCCTCTTAAATCAAAACTATCATGTTCGGTCTTCGGTTCATTCGTAGTGATGAATAATAGAAGACGAAGTTTTGTTTTCTGAAGGAATAAATCAGAGCTGGATGCTGCGAGTGATCATGTGAAGGTAAACACAGTGAGGAAGACGAACCGAAGAAACAGATAAGAGTGAAGGTCGGAGTCAGTCAGCCGTCTGGAAAACAAACACAGCCACTAAACGCCACATCGCCGAGTGTAAACAAAGTGCAGCGAGGCCCGGCGTTCGAATCAGAGAACAAAACACAGGGGATCATGTGTTCGCCTCCGAGCCAGGAGAGCATGTGGAGCTTTTGTTCGCCCCTGAAACGCCTCGGATGGATACCTGAAGACCAAGAATGTGAGCTGAGGGGACGCAGCCGAGCATTCATCACAAACAAATAAAGAGCAACGGGACACCAGGGGACGAGAAACCTGTCATCTACTGTAAATAAATAGTCATGGTGTCTTTGAAACAAACGAGCCAGCAGCGACTTCTGCAAAGGTCGGTTTAACTTTACACGGGCGTAACGCCGCAGAGATCTACGCACAAACTTCACGTCTTCTTCAGCCCGAACAAACGACCCTTTAACTCATCGGACGGGCCGAGGAGACGGAACATGAAGACAGCGAGGGCTCCGGGATCGAGAGAGAGAACAAAATGTTCTATTATAACTTCACAAACAAGATGAAAAGAGCGGATTGAGAGGAAGAGTCACACTTTTCTGCACTAAAACACAGAAACACAAAGAGCTCTTTTAGAAGATAAAACCCTTTTAAATTCATGGATTTATCTGAACGGACACCTGAAAACGGATCAAACACACACACACACCGACATCCCAGTGATACTGCTCAGAGACACACACACAACAAAAACCAGCATCTATTGATCCGGTTTCAGCTCCAGTTTAGAGGCTGCATCCTTCGGGGATCCTTGCTCGATTCCTACATCCTAGCTACTCTCAGCTCTTTCCAACTTTGTCTCCTGTCCGAACTCAGAGTAAAAATCTCCTTAAAAAGCCGTCTTTGAATCCTGTGAGCCTAAATCTATAAAACACAGAAACAAGATCCATCGATTTAAAGGGACAGTGCGCAGAAATTGGCAGATTGAGTACGTTTATCACCTGGATAACCGTTTCCTTTACGTATTTAGAGAGAAGCTTCACAAACTAAACAGGATATTCAAGTTGTGCACAACTTAATTCATATTTATCGATGTTTGCAATGGTCAAAAACAGTCAAATTAAGGATTCTTATCTGCAAACGTCACCAGGGGTGAGCGAGGGGGCGTTTCCATCTCGAACCTCAGCTCTAGTTAAAGTTAAATATTCATGTTCTGCACCTTTAAAGCACGGATCTGTGACACTGACATGCTGCTGGCTCACACACACACACACACACACACACACACACACACACACACACACACACACACACACACACACACACACACACACACACACACACACACACAGATTATTGTCAGTTTAAGTCTGAAAGAGTTCCTCACATGACGACACGATGAAAGCGCTCACCTGTGATTTCGCTCTCCTATGATCCTTGTCGAGGAGTCAGTCTCCTGTCAGGCACCTCTGTCTCCCAACGACAACACCAAGGAGCTGAGAGAGAGAGAGAGAGACACAGGGACACATCTGAGTGAATAAAGTGCTGCAGCCTCCTCCTCCTCCTCCTTTCTCCACGCTGCTCGCTGGCATGAAAACACCCTCCTCACATCTCTGCCAATCCTATTTGTGTCTTGAATCATAGGACAGGAAGGAAGATTTGGCTGTGTGGGATGAAATCTTAAGATGTTTGATGGCGGTTGGTGTTTTTAGACCAATGTCACCTCTGTGATGTTCTGCAGCGGCGGGCGAAGGCTGCAGCTTTTTGCTCCGATGTGCGAGCGAACAGGAAACCGGGAGGGGAGGAAGACGCTGCATCGCCCTGGGGAGATACCAGCGCTCGGCAGACGCCAGCCATGCCAAGACCACAAGCCCCCACTCCTCTATCTCTCCGTGCTCCTCTCGTCTTTCCTTTCATCTCTGAGTCATTGTAAAGTGTAATGAAAGAAAGATGGATGAATAATTCAGCAGACGCAGCGTTTAAGAAGTCCTCTTTTATGTCTTTCTGATAACGCAGGACTTTACACACACACGCAGAAGTTTCAGTCTGATGTGGGTTTCCCCGTTAACTCGGCGCTCTGTTAATTATCTTCACTTTCTGCAGTTTCATTAAAATCTCAACGAGATGTGGCGTCTGCGACGACTGAACGATTAATCAAATTTAGTTTTAATTATAATTTTGGATTCCTGTGATTATGCAAACAAAATAATTGAGATTAAATTAATGTTTTAGTACAAGATCGACTTGTATAGATACTGAGGAGGAGAGTCTGAGGCTGAGCTGATAGTCAGCGAGATGCCGCCAAAGAGTTAATCAGCTGTAAAACACATTTATCAATAATTAGAATAAGACCAGCCAATCAGTGAGAAGTAGTGACCACTGTTGTTTTGTTTGTCATTACTAAGAGCTTGAATCAGCACACGACAAAGTTTGGGAGTAGTAAGGTTAGCCAAGATCAGTCGACTATCAAAATCATCAGTGACTAATTTAATGATCGACGTTGTCATTTTGTTTTTCTCTCAAATTTGCCGCTGTACCATCCGCTGACTTGTCTCACTTGTCTCTGTCTGTTCTTGACGAACATGTAGTAATCCAGAGTTATCCAAAAGTTATGCCTGAACAGAATCACGGCTAGCCCGCAGCAATAGGGCTGGGTGATATGGCCTCAAATCAGTATCAGGATATATTGATCAGTTCACCTCGATAACGATAAATGGACGATAACTACTCCACAAGCTGCTCACCTCCTCACACATTAACTTCGTCCTCCATCTCCTCACCTGTCTTTCCCTCTTTGTTACAGACTGGATGGGGTGGAGTCTCGTCTCTGATGTAGGACAGCGTCTTAAAGGGACATGAGACCATAGCCTACCTACACACATCCAAAACAACTTTGATTTGTTTATTTATTTGACACTGAATATACCAAAATGGGCAAAATGACGTTGGTTATGTTGTAAATTTTGGAATCAGTAAATTTCTGGTTTATCGCCGAGCCCTACATAAAGAAGCTCAAAAGTTCAGGTGCATTTTTCCAAAATAAACGAGAAGCATGTGAAATATAAAATCTGCAAGACAGAGCTTGTCTTCTATGGCAACACGACGGTGACACACGAGCATCTGAAAAGGAAGCACGCCGTAGCTGATATGGATTTTGACATAGACGGACAGTCGTCTCTGTAAGCTAATTAGCTAGTTTGCTGCTAACATTTAAAACGATTTAATTAGCCTTAGCACATACCTTAAACTAGGATGACCATATTCTGACCTCCCAAAAAGAGGACACGACTTTTTGGGAAGTCAGAATATGGTCACCCTCTGCGGGGGCAGCGTCACGGAGTCGCTCGAAATTCATTTTAAGAGTTTTTTAAGAGTTTTTCGGGTCAGATTAGGTGTCTTTAACACGCTTCTAACTCAGTAAGTTCACATGACACAAAATCAAAACATATGTTCAAAACCGCAGACATTTGAAGAATTTCATAAACTTCCCTGGACAAAGCCGGACAAAAAGAGGACATGTCCGGGTAAAAGAGGACGTATGGTCACCCTACTTCAACACTTAAAGCTAAAAGCTAACGCTGGTTATATCAGAGCAGCTGCATGCTGTTTACGTATGATAATCGTTTGTGGCAGCCCTACAGACTGGTTGTGTGTTAGTAAAGCAGAGGGACGGAGTGAGCCTCTGATCAGATCAGAAATGTGTATTCAGGGTTAAATGGATTTGATGGTCGGCGTTAAATCGTGACCTTTCCTGCTGTTTGATCAGCGCAGGTACGTTCAGCCGCGGCGTTTACTCCTCATCCCCAAAAGCACGGCTCTGCGGGACGACGAGGCCTGATCCTTTCAGATCTCGTCAAACTGAAATGGGATTAGAGGTGTTGAGCATCTGCCCGCTCAATCTGGTTTTTAATAGAGCGGGAGCCGGTCTAACGCTGTCCACCGAGTTACACCTGAAAGGAGCAGACTGTGATCCGTGAGCCGTGTCAGGAGGCAAAGATCACAAACACGGCAGATCACGTGACCTGGAGTTTTGAAAATAAAGGCACGACAATCAGCGAGGAGCCGAGGAAGCGACGAGAGATGAAGTGAAGCAGGTTTTCAACGAGGTTTGGTCCTGATGAGAAGATGAGATTCACGGAACGAGGGCACATGGAAAAAAAAATCAAAAGGCGACTCAGCCGAAGAAGAAGAAATGCACAAAAGCTTCTTAAATCATGTCAGTCGCACTCTTGGGGATTTGGCATAGGCAAGGCCGTCTCAGGATATGTCAAACGCCACCCTTTCCATCTGCCAATCTGGTGAGGCGCAGATTGAAGTTCTTGCTGTGTAGGCAGAGTGAGGGGGCCGGGGATGTAAACAAAGTGACAAAAAACCTAAACCCTTACATGGGAGAATTAGACGAGATTTAGGGAGAGTGAAGCTTTCCTCCACCACCACCAAACCAGTCGAATGTAGGCCAGAAAGTCTGGATTTTCTGCAGACGCACTGTTTGAACGTGATTGTCTGCTTCATTAATAAAGATGCAGATCGAAATCAAAGTGGGGGAGAGATGTGGGGGAGACAGAATCAGGCTGCCGGGCTCCCTCGGTGCTGTTTCCTGTCTGATGTTTGGCTGTACACACCGAGACGAATCGAACACAAGCAATATTTGGGATGAAGAGCAGAGAGAGAGAGAGAGAGAGAGAGAGAGGAGGTGGGGGAGGGGATGAAGGAGGAGGAGGAGGAGGAGGAGGAGGGGAGCTCTCTTCTCCAAAAAGGGCCTGAAAGGTTGGAAGAGCGCCATGTGTGTCTGAGAGCAATCAAAGTAAACGCAGGGATGCTGCTTCAAATCTGCACCCGGAGGAGACGCATCCCGGGTTCCTCCGTCTCTGATAACAGAAGGCTGACTGTGTTTTTGTCTCATCACACGTCCGAGCACAAACGCTTAAACCGCACCGTCCACCACCATCACCCGCAGCAGCAGCCGCACACTTGGCAGATTTACGACACATTGTTTGCTGCAACCAAAACAACCCGCCATCACGCCGTGTTGAAATAAAAGCATGGCGCTCTCTCTGGAAATATGATGCTAACCTAAATCAAAAAACACTCTGTGTCTCTGTCGATCCATGTAAACATCAAACAGCTGATTTACTTTGACACCAATCTGCAGACATGGCGAGGAGGCGCGGCGAAAAGCCAAAAACACCACACTGGCAGTAAATCCGGTCTTTCTAATGTGGACCAGGGTCTTTAAAGTCGCCTCACGTCTCAATAAAAACACATATGGTCACATGGCTTCGATCTGAAACAGGTTAAACCGCTTCATCTGGACTCAAAACGCAGAAGAATTCACTATTATGGTGTTCACAATAAATATTAAAAATGACAAGAAAACATGGTGGAAAAAACTCTAAAAAACAACAAACCAGCTGAAAGAACTGATGATGTTTACAGTCCAATTATTTCAACACTAAACCGAAACTTTAATATGATGTTAATGAAGATAAACTCATAGAAAATCAGCTCAGGGACCTGAGCTCAGCTGCATAAATCAACCGCCAGAGGTTTGGAGATCCAATTTGGAGGAACCTTTGACTCACCCTTGACTTTTGGGGTCCTTAGAGTCTATTACTGTCACAATAGACCTCACATTACACCTGATATCACAACCCTGGAATCTAATATCGTATCGTATCTTACTTCCCAAACTTGTCAAATCTGACCCTCTTTTACCAACATTTCAGGGTCTTTATTCACCAAATGTCAAACTAGAGAAATATCCTCCTTTTGACACCGAATCCAAAATAGACTCTGACATCTACTGTATATAGATCTGTATTTAGAGAGTCTCCATTGTCTCATGTTTGGTTGTCTCTACGATCTTTTCACGACAAAAACACATCCGTCCGCGATCAAATCGCTCAAATCTGACACGAGTAAGAATCGAGGAAACACAACAAAACAGGCCCTAAAAATACGTGACTCAATAACCGTTTACTCCCCCCTTTGACTCACATTTTAGGGTTTCTACCGCCTGTTTTTGTCACGATAGATCCTGAATACGACATTTCCCCCTTTTGTGACAGCGGTTAGTTCTTAAATCTGCTGTATTAGGAGACAGAATCGCCTGAACAGCATCGTGTCAGCTATCGTATCGTATCATAAGATATCGTATCGTGGTTAATCTAAAATCAAGACCTTCTTTACCCACATTTTAGGGTCTCTGCAGTCCACTATGGTTACATTAAACCCCACTGACACCTCAAACAAACATGAAATCCTCACAATAATCAATCAGGACGCACCGATTTATAAACCCACAGCCCACTGACCCACAATCTGGACTCTCCTGAAGTCCTCTCATGATGTCCTGCTATTGTGCTCTCTCCTAAACCTGAAACAACTGAAAACCTCCTGTATTTGGACACAGGAATGCGGCCACAACAAGCAAACACCGCAAATAAAAAAAGCCCCCAAAGCAGCGTGTCAGCTGTCTGAATCAAACAGCATTTACAGGTTTACCGATCCCCCTCCCCTCCTTCTCATTTCAGACCAGCTCACCTTGATCCTGCAGCCTTTTCAGTCATTCAGTCAGCGCATCTGAGACCCCCTCACAGCGGAGAGAAGCGTAAGGCACCAGATTGGAGAGAAGAAAACGAGGAGACACGGCGACAGAGAGGCCACAACCTCACATTTCTGTTCCCCGGCTGTGGAGGAGATTATTTCCCTCCCTGCTCAGAGTGCCGTCACCACGCCGGTCTGCCGAGGAAGCCGGTTTCCTCTACTCTCCGGCTAGTAAAGAAGGCCCGTCCTTGGGCATGTGCATTGTGTGTGTGTGTCTGTGCTGTCTGCAGAGGCTGCCATGTCTCCCATTGTTCCAGGGCGAGTGAGGCAGGCTTCCTACCCCACTAGACCCTGCCTACTACAACAGCTGTGGACCAGCCCCCACCTCTCTGCCGCTCTCCTTCTCCCCTCCTCCTCCTCCTCCTCCTCCTGCTACTACTCCTGCCTCTCTCTCTGCTGCTGCTGCTGCTGCTAAACATTAACCCTGCAGCTGCTGGTTCAGGCCGTAAAGAGGTGGAGAGAAGAGGGGAGGAGGAGGAAGAGGGGGTTGTGTTTCAAAAAGAGAAAGAGCCCACCGTGTAGCGGACAAAGGAAGGTAACGGAGACAGAGGGAGGATATCCGACAGCCCGGCTGAGCTGACAGGACTTCAGCAGAGACGTTGGCCTAGAAATAAAACAGGCTCTGGTGCTAAGAGGATTGTCTTTCTCAATCACAGCGGTAATAAGTGTTGGACTCAGGCCTGCGAGACCGCGCTGAGGAAAAAGAAAGTCACTGGAAAGCAGATTTCATTCAGAACAGGATCCGAAGAGACGTCGAAAAAGTGCTTTTGGCTAAAACAGGCTGGTGTCTTATCTACTTGATCATAAAAATGCAGTAAAAAACAGATTTTGGTCTCATGAAAGCAGAAAAACAGTCAGTAAAAACTTCAACTGTTTGATTTTTACACCACAGTCCAGGTCGTGTTGTTTCAGTCCAGAAAGGGTCATACATCAGCTGTAATGCGGACTCTGAGCCGTCAGCGGTCACACTACATGAATTACTCTGTGATGAATGTCTGCAAACACCAATATCTGCAGCTAACAACCCACCACAACACATCAGCTCCTCGCCTAAACTCGATTCTTGTTTCTCAGGTTACCCGTTAGACTGTACTTAGAAAATCGAACCCTCGACTGAAGCCTTAAAAGTCGCACACGAGGCTTTTACACTGTTGGAGAAAAGGGAAAATATGATCATATATTGGCAGTTAAGTAGAGGAATCAGTCATCTGCAGCCCTGGAGTGATATGTTAATGACTTTATCAATAAATTGACTGATTGTGAGGCGGACAAACATCAGAGGACTGTGGGAAATCATCAACGACGTGACCTGGAACCAAGAAAACCCAAAGATTCAGCGTCAATGCTACGACTTCAGGGGAATTTTACTAAATTGACAAACTAATTATCAACAGCGGTTGCCAGCTCATCTTCAAAACGTCCCTCTGTAAACTCCCAAAGCCAAAATGACTCATCGAAATATCTCATTTCAGACGATCAACAGTCCAAAAACCAGAGATGTTCAGATAATGACGGTATAAATCAAAAGTCTTCTCATATCAGGAGCTGGAGCGAAGAGATCATCTGATATCTCTCGTTGAAGGATGACAGAATAACTCCAGATTTTTGCACAATAACCACCTTGTCTGATAATCACACAGTCATTCACAGGTAGAGCGCTGGTTCCCCCTCTGAACGGGTCTCACGGCGAGGGTCGAGTCCAAACCGGTCAGCAGTATTTATGTTTTCTTTCGGCGTCTCGGTGTGGTTCATCTCTGCAGGTTTTCGCCCCGTCTGACTCATCTGCTCTCCCTGTTAATGAAGCCACATCATCCTCATCGCCCCCAGACATACCAGACACACTAAACTGAGTCTGATGACAAAATGACTGGGCGCCACGGCAACAAAAACAAGAGGAGGAGGAGGAGGAGGAGGAGGAAAACACCGGTTTCATCGCTGGAATGTGGGAGAGTAACGCGATAAAGTCATAACATGAGACTGAAAAACATCCCAGAGTGACTCACACAGATCCATACATGCTCTCGTTGATTTCTTTATCAATTTGACCCCAATTGAGTCGACAAGAGACCTGACCTCCATCGACTTTACCCCCACGCCACACTTCCTACGGTCAAAATAAAACGCCCGGGGCGCTCTCATGGCTGACGGCGGTTTGAAGCGATTGTCATTCAGATCTGAGCAAAAAAAACAGTTTCGTCCCGGAAACACAATTTCAATTTCTGTGTCAAAGCTGATAAATTCAATACCGCCCAGGTCAGCAAGAACCGACCACAACAAAGAGCGGGAAACACAGACGCTGAGCTCCACACATCAGAACTCAGCAGATCAAACAGCAGATCCAGACCAGTCAGAGTTTATCCTCTTATTACTCAACACATCTGTCCTCTGAGCTCAGTCTGTCCGCAGCACCAGGACTCTGATCTGAGTCCACCTAGTGGCTGCAAACACAGACTCATGATCCAATAAAAAGTAAAACATCAGGTCTGGAGGATCCTGAGGGTCTTTGACGAACTTCGTCTGAGTCCTAAAGGTTTTTTTTTTATTTGCGTTGATTTTTGCACCGATCAGAAAAGTAGATTTTGTCACATAGAAGCAACACAGATAATTGTTCTTAACCTCTGATGCTGGAAACGAGTTCATTTATGTTTTTATGCTGTAAAAAATACTTGACTCTGATTGGTCAAAACCCAACAGTGTTGGTCATCAATCTCAACAACACAAGGGAGACGAGAGACAACCATTTCACCTCTTCCTGTTGACACTGTGGCAAAAGTGACTGCTAGCGTTGTAGCACAGATGTTTTCATCTTGAGCGTTATAAAGGAGAGCAGGCGCACATTAAAGAGCCGCCAGAGGAGCGACATCTTGTCCTGCAATCCAGGCAACGGCAGCAGAGCTGTGAGTGTTTCTTTAGTTATCTGACTGTTCGAGTCTGTGACGAAGAGCTGTGGTGATACGAGCTTTCGTGTGTCGACTGCGAAGCTTCAAGAAACAGGAGCAGCGTTCATGATGTCCAAAAGAAAGGTAAGATTTTGTTTTGTTGGACTTCAGGACGGTTTTCAGTAAGGCTGCACGATATTGGAAAAAAATAATATTGCGATTTTTTCGACCCTGCGATATATATTGCGATATTAAAAATACAGTATTTTCACCAGATGACCTGAATAGCACTTAATGTTATGCTGCACTGCTGAAATCTTGAGGACAGTTAATCTGCTCTGATCTTACCTCTTTTTGTGAATGTTAGTAGAACGGCTTCTGTCTGTCTCAGAGATATTTTTAGCTTTTATTGTGCTGGGACGTTATTGTGGCAACAGGTGAACACAGAAGTGTTTTGGTCGACATCATCCTACTTTTAACCGAAATAATTCCAGATAACTGACTTTCCTTTTCTTTTTGGCAACAAATCTTCATTTTCGGTGGTTTTCGCTTGTTCGTTGTTCATTTTGCGATCGTTGTTGTTGTTAGCGGTGTTGTGCCGAGAAACGCATGTCCTCCGAGAATTGCATGCACCTCGCAAAACGCGCACTGCTTATAGTAGAGTGATCCACGGAAATGTAAAATTTAAAACCCATACAGTTCTTATTTGTTGGGCTTAACAGTCATGAGTAAAGTTCCGAAAGTAATTCTCAGCGGACACACGTCTCCCTCCATGTGCAGAACATGTGCAGGGGTGGGTTTTCTCCTCCCTGATTTTGATTGACAGCTGGCAGGGTAGTCTGATTGGCAACTGAGAAGTGAGTCTGATTGGCAACTGAGTTAAGGACGAAGGCGATTGGTGGATCGCTGCACAGCACATGCAGAGTCACATGGAGTGTATCTCAGTCGGTTACCCTTGAAATTAAATGAGTTCATTCACCTCCAATATCGCAGGCTCTGCGATGTGACTATCGCACACACGTACATCGCGATGACGATAGTCAAACGATATATCGTTCAGGCCTAGTTTTCAGTACATCTTTAACGGGGTCAGGCTCAGAGCAGTTACATCAGCCTGGTTAGTGGATTCAGCAAAAAACTGTGTGGCCGTTTTTAGAGGTAAATTTGAGCCGATGCGGTGACTTCCACTCCAGAGTCACGTCTGTTTTTAACGGTTTCCAAGATTCAGAGTTCTGAACATGACTCTGAAGTTGTCAAGCTATTTGCTAACACAGTCTGTCACAGAGCGGTAAATCGTAACTCTTTTTTATAACTGAGAGACTTCGGCCAAGTCCACACGAAGGCAAAAACAATATATTACCGTTTCGTTTTGGTAAAGTTTACCGTGAAGACAAAATCATTTCAGGAAATAATCGCTTAAACACGAAACCCCTGAAAACGCTGAAGTGCATATGACAAGCCTGTAACGCCGCCCCGTAAATGCACCAAAAGACAGAAGAAGAGTTCAGAGCATGGGTATAAAGGTGTTTTGGCCGAAAACACGCGCAGGCGCTTTAATAGAGTTATGTTGTGTATGAAGTAATCCTTTCACAAAAGATGTGGATAGGCGAAACGGTAGTTGTTTACGGATTTATTCGCTCTACAACCTGTTTTCAAAAGTATCGTTTTCAGTCGCCCAAAACGCCATTTTCATGTGGATGAAACGCCGATACAACAAATTCTTTTGTGTTTACTCCTGAATTCATTTTTGTGTGGATAAGACCCCAGCTTCTCTGAATGCTCCTCCCACACCTGGTCATGTGACTATCTGGTCGCAGCTTTAAGATTTTATCAGGTAAATTAAACCTAACTTTATCTTACTTTACCAAACTTTGTCTGTTTTTTGTCGTCCTTGTCCCGACTGTTTTAAAACGTGTAAAAATAAGGAAAAATTTACATGAAATTATTAAATTTTCAGTCTCATCATTTGATATGTTGCTCTATTTTGACTTGATTATTGAGTTTAAATGATCGGCAAACTACATAACGACTTTTTTTTAATCTTTTGTTACAGAGTTAATAAAGTTATCGTAGAAATAAACTAAATAGATGCTACTGTGTTGTGCAGGCCTCATCTACATGCCAGCACGGTTATCAGACGTCAGCAGAGAGGAAGAGTTCACCCTCAGATCAGCTGAGGAGTGAATGAAAGCTCGTCAGAGGATTGTCATACCTCCGCCGTGTCGGACGTTAACACACACAGACATCTGTGGGGCTGAATGGGACATTGAAGGACTCGCTTCCCTTCTAAGAGGGTCAAAGGCTGAACAGGCCGACATGACCTGAATGAGCGCCGGTCACATGGTCCCCCGGAGCGAACACAAGGGAACGAGGATAACTCTCAATGTATAAAAGGCCTATTGTCGCCCTCTCTGACATCCACTCTCCCCCTGAAGAGAGGATCTCCACGAACCGCTCAGAAAACTCAAAGTAATGTGGACATGAAGAGAGCCGAGGCAAACAATGTGGAGGAGGAGCGATAAAAGAGGAGCGCTAATGGAGGGAAGAAGGAGAAGAAGGAGAGGAAGAGTTGTTTCCCTGCAGGCAGATCAGACGGGGTCATGTGACTGAATTTCAAATGCAAACATCATGTAAAGCAGCAGAGGTCACACCCTCATCACACCGACTGACTGACACCTCTTTAACAAACAAGCTGTTTACATACAAGTCCTGATTACATAAGGGGGTTCAGAGAGTCCTGCAGCCCCCGAAAAACCAAACACCCCAACAGTTCAACGGTAAATTCATTAATTAATCTGTTTTTAATCGTTTTACAGACTAAACTAAACCACTGATAAGAACTGAGAGCAGAGATAATCGATGGTCTCGAGCAGCAGCAGTAAAAACACAAAAAGCAGTGATCTGTCAGCAGATGGTCCACCGTTGGCGTTTGTTTGTCAGATGGCGGCCAAAGCGAGGGAACGGTCAGAGAATTTGTGAATGAGGGTTGTAAATCAGACTGGAGGGGTACAGACCTCCCATTGAGGGGCGGACAGCTTAATGTGCACAGCTCCATGTGAGGATGAGGAGCTAATCCACCTCCTCGAAATGTGACACTGCAGGGACTGAGGAGATGTCCGGGGTCTACAGCTGGAGCCGTAAAAACCCGGGCGGCGTTGGCGGAGGCCTCATGTGTTCATTTGCATGAAGCTTCAGTGAGGAGTCAGGAGCTGGAACCATCAGAGGGTAGAGCTCCAGTCCAGTCCGGTCCAGTCCGGTCCGGTCTGGTGGTTTTATTTACTGGTGCAGAAGAAATGTCCTCCTTTGTTACATAATATCGAATATCAGGAGATGAATTTGACTGATTTTCTGCTCTTCATTTCTAGGAAACCTTCACAGCCGCTGCCTGGAAGTCAAATATTCAAAATAGGTGGAGAGAAAACTGATCTATTTATATTTCATATGAATCAAAACTACAAACTAACTGTATTGTCCTGTATGAAAAAGTCACAGTATGGATCCCACTGAGAGGACAGACTTTGTTTATGAGGTTTGATCTTGTTGGATAATAATGAAAAACTGAAATTAAAGTTTAGAGGAGGGACTTTCATTGATCTGCAGAGCCGGGGAGAAAAGACAGAGCAGAAAAATGAACTTTTTAATGATCTGAAATGAGTTATCGAACCTCTGCGGCTGTTTTTAAACCCAGGAGGACCGGGGGCTCAGGGCGTTAGAGATTCATAAAATCATTTATCTTTAAATTTTGCAAAATAAACTTTTGAAATCTGATAAATTAGCTGCGTTTACATAAGCAAAAAATAATCGGAATAAATGCCTGATCGGAAAAAGATACAAACACATCAAGAGGGGTGGTTTATGCCTTATTCCGAAACGCGTCCATGTAAACACTTTTGCTGCGTTTGAGTTACCTCAGAAGTCAGATGTCGGAGTTGAAAATGACGTCACACCCGAGTTATCAGTGTTACCAGGCGGAAACAAGATAGCTATATCTACAAAAGTTATCTTAGCGCTTGTCTTCGCGTTTGTTGGTTTGTTGACAGCACAGGCGTAAATACAAATCTTCTTCTTCTTCTTCTGCGGTTGTTTAAGCGAAATCAGAAAACTCTGCGCACGTCATAATGCTTCTAATCTGAATAAAACTTGGTGCATGTATATGCACGGATTATTTGATTTTGTGCCCATATAAACAGTGGATTCAGATTATCGGATCCCTCAATTTTTTAAGCGGATCAAGAAATTTTGCACATGTAAATGCAGTTAGTGATACATTAAATTTCCAAAGTTGATCTCTCTTTAAGAAAAGGTTCTGTCTGTTGTTCGCTGGTTTGATAACATTAGAAAAATGTCATGAACTGGTATTTCTGCTTCATGTAAAGTCCTTTACTGAATATTTTTCCCTTTCTAAATTCACGTTATCTTTACAACAAACACCTGAAGGTCATCAAAGCTGTGATTTTTGATGATAGATCAGAATTTTCTCACATTTCTGCTCTAAATGCTCCTGTAGTTATTTCAGCTCAGTAGTATGAGTCGTAGTTTTTGAGACAAGCTTATTTTCATGCAGAGGGTTGAATAAAAAATACATGAATTTCCTTTTTGTGATGTTAGAGCTTTGCACAAACTAAAACCTGCAGAAACAGATGGATATTTAAATGATTCGAGCAAAGATTTGTGATCGTTCATGTGTTATTAGTCGCTTTAGCATCGCATAAATCTGTTGTTAACAAACACGGCTCCACAGACCGGCGTCTCAGCTCTGAATACAGAGTGAATTTTGGTGCAGTGGCGGTAAATTCTCATGTTCGACACAGTAATGTGAAAAACTATCTCCTCCAGCTCGCTGCACCTGCGTTTTTTAAGGTGGAAACTTGTGATGAAAGGAACCCTGAGTCGGTATAATGAGAGGAAATCATCAGATTAATAGATGATGAGGGGAAACGAAGGCTGCAGCCCTCTGAACACCGTTAGAGGTGACTTTGCTTCCATCTTATTCTCATTCCACAGACACAGCCACCTTCATAAATTCCTCACATGGACCAGGACTCCGAGTATGCAGCTCGGTCCGCTTCTGCAATCATAAAGACCCCGTAATGAAAACCATTTGTCGCGGTCGCTGTAAAAGCCGCTTTCATAGCGCTGGAAATACTCCAGAGAGAGAGAGAGAGCGAGAGAGAGGGAGAGAGAGAGAGAGAGGGAGAGGTGGTGTCCTCTGCCAACCAGACTACCAGCCTGCCTTTGGTCCAGATCCTTGCAGCATTTCCATGTGTGTCAGCAAACGTCTTTAATACCTGCTCCTCTGTGAGTCACATTCGCACCAAACTGCTGAACCCTGACATGCCTGGAAAATATGTGGAGGCTGAACAAGACAAGCTGGAGAGGCCAGACGAGTAAATCCAGGTCACAGGCAGCGATTATGTCCGGTCTATAGAGCTGCTGGAAGACGAGGCATGAGCCAACCATAAAACAAAAGACACCACAAAGACAAATTAGTGGGTAAACCAGCAAACTTTGGTCCCGGATCAGGTTTTCTGGTAACTTGAAACCGGCACACTTTAAACCTCGGTGAACCACCGCGGTGACGAGGCCGAATCAGAGAGTTAACAGGGAAGAAACATGTCAGCAGGCCGGCCTACAGGGTCACCAGGAGGAGGACATCCGGGGCTTTTTGGTGAAAATGTCAGAAACTCTTGGACTTGAATTTTGGTGAAACCATTTCTGTCCTCGTCTGGATGAATCACCTCAACATTTAAGTGACCTCTGAACTTTTCTTTAAGCACCATATTGTGGCGAAACTTCAACCATCAAATCAAGTCTGTGTCAATATTTCCAAGCAGTTGGAAACAGGGTCCTTGGTGTTTCGAGAGGTGCGAGCACGCCAACGTAAAAGGTCATGATCATCTACTCAGAGAGCAGACAGTCAGTACGTTTACACGACACTTGAGAAAACCGAATTATCGCCTTATTCCGATTAAGAGCGGACAACTGAAGGTCATGTAAACACCTTAGTCTGACTGTAATCAGAGTTTGAGAACTCCGATTGGAGTCTGAAATAATGTGATTGGAATTCGATTTTCTCTACCATGTAACCAGCGTAGTCGGAGTATGATCGGACAGTAGCGTTCGTCTCATCTGCAGAGAAAGTAGCGCCTCCATCATGTAGGACAAAAACAACGCTGTACGATGCTCCATCTTCTTGCTCTTAAACGCCCAGCAGCAGTTGTAGACACTTCTGACGTCTGACACCGACCTGCTGTTGTTGTTGACGGTTGTATGGGGTCGGAAACAGCACACGTTCACGTCAATAATTCGATTTTCTCAGCTGCATGTATACGTGGACAAGGAGAGAAGTTCAATACGGCGAATTATGAGCTTCGTCTGATTAAACTGTGCATGTAAACGCACTGACTGAAGACTGAAAACCAGACTAAAGGGGGTCTACATGATGTCCTAAGACTGTCAGACTTCAGAGGGTCACGCTCATCCTGCTGCTTCAGGTATGACGGCCAAAACCTTATAAATCAGCTGACAGACGAAACATCACGACTCTCCTGAGGACGACTGCTGCAGGTTTATGAACACTGATCTGACGCCAAGACAACTGGATTAGACATGCTTTTATTTTGAAAGGTACTTCCACTTTATTGTAAAGTTAGAGAAGAATGTGAAAGCGGCAAGAATGACGAGTAAAAAGGCTGGATGGGGAGATACAAGTTTGTCCAGGAAGTCAGAAGCCTGGGTCCTCGGTAAAGGGTCCCGGTCTGGAGACCACGTTGAAGACACCGAGCGCGTCTCTGTTTGTATTAACCCTTTAATCAGGTCTAAACACAGGAAAGAGGACCTGGTTCAAAATGACCAACCTTGGAAAATGTTTACGTCGTTCTGAACCATTTCCTCCACACGCTCGAGGCGACTGGAGAACAATGACACCAGAACAGAAGATATCAAAGATGAGTGATTCGGCGATCGTCTCCACATCTGGCCGCCAGCCGCGGCGTCTTAAACTCAACCAGGACTCAAACTCATCATCCACATCCTTTTCCCAAGGTCAGGCCAAGAGGAAGACCTATTTCTGGTTCAGAAATAAAGATAATATGTGGAGGTTTATATATGGAGATCCAAACAATCTGCTCTCCATCACACGCCGACAAACA